GTCGTTCTTTGGACGAAATGCGAAAAGAGGAGCTTCGAGTCCTGGCTACTGCGGGTGGTGTGGAGACACGATCCGGCAAGGCTTGACTGCCTGTAGCAGAGCTGCGCAACTCGTTGATGAAAGTCTTGGAACCCTCCACGGAGGTTGGGTTCAACCACAAAATGTGTTGTGACATGAGTTGTTTTTGTGACCGAGTTTGAATGTTTGTCACATGGTGCGATGTTGTAGAAAGATGGCGGTTTTGTGGTGGCAGTGTGTCGGATGCCGCAGGTGGAAGAGGCATCGGCTGCCAAATTGGAAGAACTTCGCCTTGGGGCTGTTTCACAGGGCAAGGAGTGGCTCAGTCGTTCTTTGTCGGAAATGTCAGCTCGTCAGCTTCGAGTTCTGGCTGCTGCGGGTGGTGCGAAGACGAAGTCTGACGGGAATTGGCTGCCTGTAGCAGAGCTGCGCAACTCGTTGATGAAAGTCTTGGAACCCTCCACGGAGGTTGGGTTCAACCAAAAAATGTGTTGTGACATGAGTTGTTTTTGTGACCGAATTTGAATGTTTGTCACATGGTGCGATGTTGTAGGATGATGGTGGTTTTGTGGCGGCAGTGTGTCGGATGCCGCAGGTGGAAGAGGCATCGGCTGCCAAATTGGAAGAACTTCGCCTTACAGCTGTTTCACAGGGCAAGGAGTGGCTCAGTCGTGCTTTGTACGAAATGCGAAAAGAGGAGATTCGAGTCCTGGCTACTGCGGGTGGTGTGCAGACACATTCCAACCGGAATTGGCTGCCTGTAGCAGAGCTGCGCAACTCGTTGATGAAAGTCTTGGAACCCTCCACGGAGGTTGGGTTCAACCACAAAATGTGTTGTGACATGAGTTGTTCCCGAGAGCGCCTGCGAAGGGTTCTTCGTAAAAAAGCAGCCGTTATACTACATCTTCACACCTTCACATCTGCTGATCTACATCTTCACACCTTCACACCTGCAGATCTAGATCTTCACACCTTCACACCTGCAGATCTAGATCTTCACACCCTCACATCTGGACATCTAGATCTTCATACCTTCACACCTGCAGATCTAGATCTTCACCCTCACACCTGCAGATCTAGATCTTCACACCTTCACATCTGCAGATCTAGATCTTCACACCTTCACATCTGCAGATCTAGATCTTCACACCCTCACACCTGCAGATCTAGATCTTCACACCCTCACATCTGCAGATCTACATCATCACATCCTCACATCTGCAGATCTAGATCTTCACACCTTCACACCTGCAGATCTAGATCTTCACACCCTCACATCTGCAGATCTAGATCTTCACACCTTCACATCTGCAGATCTACATCTTCACACCTTCACACCTGCAGATCTAGATCTTCACACCCTCACATCTGGAGATCTAGATCTTCACACCTTCACACCTGCAGATCTAGATCTTCACACCTTCACATCTGCAGATCTACATCTTCACACCTTCACACCTGCAGATCTAGATCTTCACACCCTCACATCTGCAGATCTAGATCTTCACACCTTCACACCTGCAGATCTAGATCTTCACACCCTCACACCTGCAGATCTAGATCTTCACATCTGCAGATCTAGATTCTTCACAACCTGCAGATCTAGATCTTTCACACCCTCACATCCTCAGATCATATCACACACCGCACACCTATCTAGTCTTCACACCTCACATCTGCAGATCTACTCACTCTCACATCTGCAGATCTCTTCTCGCTCTTCTTCTATTCTCCTCTTAAGGCGGGGGCGGTGCCGCCGGGCGCCACGAAACGCAACCCTTTCGCACGAAATGGACGTTGGACGCCAAAAACTGAGGAAAAATTGCAACTTTGAGGTGTCGCGCGCAACCCTTTCGCACGAAATGGACGTTGGACGTCAAAAACTGAGGAAAAATTGCAACTTTGAGGTGTCGCGCGCAACCCTTTCGCACGAAATGGACGTTGGACGTCAAAAACTGAGGAAAAATTGCAACTTTAAGTTGTCACTCGCAACCCTTTCGCACGAAATGGACGTTGGACGTCAAAAACTGAGGAAAAATTGCAACTTTGAGGTGTCGCGCGCAACCCTTTCGCACGAAATGGACGTTGGACGTCAAAAACTGACGAAAAATTGCAACTTTGAGGTGTCGCGCGCAACCTTTTCGCACGAAATGGACGTTGGACGTCAAAAACTGAGGAAAAATTGCGACTTTGAGTTGTCAATCGCAACCCTTACGCACGAAATGGACGTTGGACGTTAAAAACTGAGGAAAAATTGCGACTTTACTTTGTCAATCGCAACCCTTACACACGAAATGGACGTTGGACGTCAAAAACTGAGGAAAAATTGCGATTTTACTGTGTGTAAAAGCTTCTGTGTGAAAAAGCGTCTGTGTGTAAAGGAGTCTGTGTGTAAAAGCTTCTGTGTGTAAAAGCGTCTGTGTGTAAAAGCGTCTGTGTGTAAAGGAGTCTGTGTGTAAAAGCTTCTGTGTGTAAAAGCGTCTGTGTGTAAAAGCGTTTGTGTGTAAAAGCGTCTGTGTGTAGAAGCGTCTGTGTGTAAAAGCTTCTGTGTGTAAAAGCCTCTGTGTGTAAAAACGTCTGTGTGTAAAAGCGCCTGTGTGTAAAAGCTTCTGTGTGTAAAAGCCTCTGTGTGTGAAAGTGTTGTGTGTAAAAAGTTCTGTGTGTAAAAGCTTCTGTGTGTAAAAGCGCCTGTGTGTAAAAGCTTCTGAGTGTAAAAGCGTCTGTGTGTAAAAGCGTCTGTGTGTAAAGGAGTCTGTGTGTAAAAGCTTCTGTGTGTAAAAGCGTCTGTGTGTAAAGGAGTCTGTGTAAAAGCGTCTGTGTGTAAAAGGGTCTGTGTGTAAAAGCGTCTGTGTGTAAAATCGTCTGTGTGTAAAAGCTTCTGTGTGTAAAAGCGTCTGTGTGTAAAAGCGCCTGTGTGTAAAAGCTTCTGTGTGTAAAAGCCTCTGTGTGTAAAAGCTTCTGTGTGTAAAAGCCTCTGTGTGTGAAAGTGTTGTGTGTAAAAGCGTCTGTGTGTAAAAGCGTCCGTGTGTAAAAGCGTCTGTGTGTAAAAGTGTCTGTGTGTCAAAGCGGCTGTGTGTGAAAGTGTCTGTATGTAAAAGCGACTGTGTGTAAAATCGTCTGTGTGTAAAAGTGTTTGTGTGTAAAAGTGTTTGTGTGTAAAAGCGTCTGTGTCTAAAAGCTTCTGTGTGTAAAAGCGTCTGTGTAAAAGCTTCTGTGTGTGAAAGTGTCTGTGTGTCAAAGCGGCTGTGTGTGAAAGCGTCTGTGTGTAAAAGCGTCTGTGTGTAAAAGCGCCTGTGTGTAAAAGTCTCTGTGTGCAAAAGCATCTGTGTGTAAAAGCGTCTGTGTGTGAAAGAGTCTGTATGTAAAAGGGTCTGTGTGTAAAGCGTCTGTGTGTAAAAGGGTCTGTGTGTAAAGCGTCTGTGTGTAAAAGTGTTTGTGTGTAAAAGCTTCTGCGTGTAAAAGCTTCTGAGTGTAAAAGCCTCTGTGTGTAAAAGCGTCTGTGTGTAAAAGCGTCTGAATGTAAAAGCGTCTGTGTGTAAAAGCGTCTGTGTGTAAAGCGTCTGTGTGTAAAAGTGTTTGTGTGTAAAAGCATCTGCGTGTAAAAGCGTCTGTGTGTAAAAGCGTCTGTGTGTAAAAGCGTCTGTGTGTAAAAGCGTCTGAATGTAAAAGCGTCTGTGTGTAAAAGCGTCTGTGTGTAAAGCGTCTGTGTGTAAAAGTGTTTGTGTGTAAAAGCTTCTGCGTGTAAAAGCGTCTGTGTGTAAAAGCGTCTGTGTGTAAAAGCGTCTGTGTGTAAAAGCGTCTGTGTGTAAAAGCGTCTGTGTGTAAAATCGTCTGTATGTAAAAGGGTCTCTGTGTAAAAGCGTCTGTGTGTAAAAGCGTTTGTGTGTAAAAGTCTCTGTCTGTAGAAGCGTCTGTGTGTAAAAGCTCCTGTGTGTAAGAGTGTTTGTGTGTAAAAGTGTTTGTGTTTAAAAGTGTTTGTGTGGAAAAGGGTTTGTATGTAAAAGCGTCTGTGTGTAAAAGCTTCTGTGTGTAAAAGTCTCTGTGTGTAAAAGTGTTTGTGTGTAAAAGTGTTTGTGTGTAAAAGCGTCTGTGTGTAAACGTGTTTGTGTGTAAAAGTCTCTGTGTGTATTTGCGTCTGTGTGTAAAAGTCTCTGTGTGTAAAAGCGTCTGTGTGTAAAAGCGTCTGTGTGTAAAAATATTTGTGTGTAAAAGTGTTGGTGTGTAAAAGTGTCTGTGTGTAAAAGCGTCTGTGTGTAAACGTGTTTGTGTGTAAAAGTCTCTGTGTGTATTTGCGTCTGTGTGTAAAAGCGTCTGTGTGTAAAAGCTCTGTGTGTAAAAGCGTCCGTGTGTAAAAGCCTCTGTGTGTATAATAAAAGCGTCTGTCTGTAAACAGTTCTGTGTGTAAAAGTGTCTGTCTGCAACTTTACGAAAGATACGATGCAAACTATTGTCTTGTACTCGTAATATATTGTTTTGAAACTACTCTTCTCGTCTGCCTATAATACATCTTCAATATATTGTCTTGTAATTTGGTGTCTCCATACTAGCAACAGAAGACTTTGCTCGTCTACGCTCTCGGGCCATCCGTCGTCTAGTTCTTTACATCCCCCTCCTGGCCAGCTGCAATTTGATTGATCCTGAGTTCACACTACGCAAAATGTAAGCCAAAACGGTATGGGGCGGGGTGAAAATTTGACGCCCCCGCGGGCTACAAATCTGACAAAAATCATACAAATTCGGCATTTTTGCTAACAACTTGACCAGCTTTAGCCAAAGCCTTGGATCTTGAAGGAATTTTCTAGATCGAAAATCACTGTCCAAACCATGTTAAACAATGTTTGACCGTGGTTTTCATGTGAGTCACTTTCCGAATTCCTTTCCAAATCACTTCGTAATGTGATTTTTCTTGCCTTTCAAATCACCACCTGGGATCTTTCTTGCGGGGGCTCAGGCTTTACATCATCAATTTATGGCCGTTGTGGTCAGGCCGGATGCGGAGCCATGCAGACATCTATGTGGTTGGAATCTCCAATGGCGGTGATGATCAGGAGCTGCGGGGAGCCATGAAGCGTGGGAAGTTGACCAACGATGGGCATATAAAGTGATGTGAATTGATATAGCACCCCGCCTAAGAGATGTCATTCATCTCAATGTAAGTAGGATTTTACGAAGGTCTATCTTTTGTGAGGGTTGCTATGTGCAAATCACTACGGCTATAGTTGGTGATGTTATGCTGCTTCCAAGTTAAACATGGGACAATTTCACGGATTTAAACATGAAAAACATGTATATCAACATATGATGGATTAAACCATGAACAACAGATGTGGTGGGATACGAGCCATTAACAGTACATAGCTGGTTGGTGGTTTAAAGCATGTGTTGTTTTCAACCCTAGAAATGCGATGATCCTACCTGACTAGTGGTATGAATATGACGGGGGTTGACACCACCAGAACGCCTTGGAAAACGAAGAAAGAACCTCCAAGAAATAATTTTTGAAGAGAATTGTATGATTATATGACTATATGTAGTAATCGCATGGAATCGGACTTCTCTTTTTCCTATATCGCTGCTTCGTAGGGACTTTTGTTACCATGCATCCTTCTGCTTGGCCTGGAGAACCTGACCCGAGATATTCCACCGCAGCCATTGGGTACAACCTACTGGGAACAAACCAGGAGTGAAACTCAAATCCCAACTTGTCAACCCATGTCTGTTGCATACTCGTACTTGGAAGTGCAGTTCCAGTTATAAGGAGGTTTTATCCCAACTTATTGGGGTTTATTCACCACGGATATGCAGAATGGTGCCCCCAGTTATAAGTTGGTTCATAAACCCCATTGACTATAGTTGTATCTACCATAAACCATAGTTAAACTATGTTAAACTACTTAGAAGGCAAGTCATCCGACGCGAACGTCCCAGGACCGGCTTCTGTCTCGGCGTTTGGCGGGCACCCTGGAACGAGGTGGTTTCAGCTGCACAGGCACCATGGTTTTAATGGGAGAATCGAATGGAAAAGCATGGTTTTAATCCCCAAAGCAAATGGAGGTTTCAGTTTCTAGCTGGGAAAAGCATGGAAATAAATGGTGGAAAGTTACTATGATTTTAATGGCCAAAGCGTTTTGAGATTTGAACAAAAACTCAAAGACTAAGAAATTCGGGAAATAGGAGTTTTGTCTTTTTTTTTCATGTGCTGTTTCGGGCCAAGCCCTTCAACTTTGAAGCAATAGATGTTTTGGTTTTCCCAACATTTGAGTTGTCTATTTCCCAACTGTTTTTGGGTTAATTAAACCTGAAGGAGTCAGTTTCCTAATAGTTTTGGGGAAAGTATATGCAGGATAATTTGTTTATTTTCCCAAGATTTTGCCATACATTTTTCAAACATACCAACATTGAGATATTCGAAAAAACTCATGGACCAAGCATGACTTAGTCGCACCTTGTGTGACTGATCCCCCAAACCAGACCCATCGACGGAAGGTGAACACGAAGGCGACGAAAACGAGCCCGGCCGGGTGAACATCGCGGAAACGGAGTGCCGCTGCGTTTTCTTCGTGGTTTCTCCAGGCGGGGATACGAAATCCAGGTGTGGATGCGGGCGCATAGCGTGGGGGATTTTGTGCCGGTGAAATGAGGTTTTCAATGGGTGATTTTGATATGTTTTGTTCATTTCAACATTTTGAATGAACACGTCTTTTACATCTGGAGCAATGCACTTGAAACTAAATGGGGCTTTTCCGGTATGCCATGTTTGATTTCTCGAGGGTGTGCTGGGAAAGTGGTGTGTTCCAGTCTAATGCTCATCCCATTGCTTTCACTAGGCAATTGCATTAATTACTATAGTCCCCCTTTTCAGGTGTTCAATCACATTCTATCACATTCATATATTATATTTAAAAAAAACATGTTAAAACCACATCATATGAAAACCATCTCAAATCCACATTTTCAGTGGTGAAGTTTCTGTTTTTTGGAACGAACATCCACACCTTTCAGGCGCTCCGGTGGATGCAGCTGTGGTGGCCCAGCTCCGGGCAGCTGCAGCAGCGGGGCGCGCCACGCGCTGTATCTACGAAGCAGGGAATAGCGCCTGCCAGGAGCGCCAGGGAGTTATGGCTTTATTTATATATTATATATATATTATGTATGATTTATTTTGATTTGTCTATTAATCAATAGTTGTTAATAATAAAAGAAATTTGAAATTTGATACTGGGATATTTCCATAATCCAAGGGTTTGTAATGGGAATTGACGGAATAAACATGAAATAAATTTGGGCCTTGGGATATTGATCATAGTTCATAATTAGAGAGAGAGAGAGAGAGAACAATTATACAATGGAATATGGAATGATATCGATATAATAGGTTTGTATGATTTAATTTAATCACGACCTCACTGCGACCTCACCATAGATGATGGTTAGTAAAGATAACTATCCCAAAATAGCCTTACTTCAGGCCAGTGAGCTATTCTAATTTACCCAGATAATTTGATAATGGGATATACATGGGATAAACATTGGATATTGATAGTAATCGGTCACTGGAGGGTCATATGGCTTGATATCGTTATGTTTTATTGGTTTAACAGGCATAATCATGGTATGATCATGGGATAACCTTGGGGATTTGATATGATTTGATCTGGAAAATGGGGAAGCATGTTTGGGAAAACTGACTGGGGTTAAGTGACAACAATTTTCACCCCGCAACACCGTTGGTTTCAACCCCACAACTTGGTTCCGACCATGGCAAGTTCCATGCATCCCCGGTACAGGATGTCTCGGAGTGGGGCTCTGCGATGCCCATGTCCTTCTTGCGACCGGCTGTGCTACTCGGTGTCAGGTATTTCACAGCCACTGCATTGGATGATTCTAAACGGGTTTCCTCAGACTTATCTCATGGCCCGCAGTTACAGTTGCCAATAGAGATATTATCATTTGTATATATATATATATAGGATAGAAGTTCTTGGCAACTGCAACTGCAGGCCATAAAGTAAATACAGAACAATTAAAACATAAATTAGACCTGACACATGGGATTATTTGTTCAATGTCCCAGGCATCAAAAGATCTACCGAGCTGTCAGGCTGTCAGAAGCGTGGGTGTCATCATCTCACGTATGTCACCGTTCTGAGAAGAAATGCATTACCTAAAAACGTTGGTAAAACCCTCTGTTTTTGACAGATTTAAGCCTCCTTGTACAATGGCCTGCACATGTGCATTTAGTGTAATTTTACAATTGTTTGTATACATTTATATATACATATGCGTTACATGCACGCATCCATCCATCCATACATAGATACACAGATACACAGATACAGAAATAGATAGAATACAACAGATAGGTGGATGGATCGATAGATGGATAGCTCAGATAGGTTGGAAGGTAGATAGATCCATCCATCCACCCACCCACCCATCCATCCATCCATTCATCCATCAACCCATGCATACATACATCCATACATCCATACATCCATACATCCATACATCCATACATCCATACATCCATGCATCCATACATCCATACACCCATACATCCATACATCCATACATCCGTACATCCATACATCCATACATCCATACATCCATGCATCCATACATCCATACACCCATACATCCATACATCCATACATCCATACATGCATACATGCATACCTACATACATGCATACATACATACGTATGTACGTACGTACATACATGCATACATGCATACATACATACGTATGTACGTACGTACATACATATATACATACATGCATACATGGATGCATGCATGCACCCATGCATCCATGCATCCATGCATCCATGCATACATGCATGCATGCATGCATGCATACATGCATACATGCATACATGCTACATGCATGCATACATGCATACATGCATACATGCATACATGCATACATAGACATACATACATACATACATACATACATACATACATACATACATACATACATACATACATACATACATACATACATACATACATACATACATACACACATACACACATACACACATACACACATACACACATTCACACATACACACATACACAATTATCCGTGGCAAACTGAATAATTAATACGTCCCCAAATTTACCGTAATTGGTTAAGATTATCCCCCAAATGGGTGGTTTCTTGGGTTTACCACATCTCAATCACAACGGATTGCTGCGAAAACACTGACAATCTCCAGGCCCATCAGCCGCTACTTCCCACGCACTTCGGAGAAGTTAGTCCTGGCCGCCGCAGCCGAAGAGTTACTGCGGGCACCACCCCGGCAGGCGCGGGGCCTCGAATAGGATGGATTGAATCAGCAGTCATGGATGGATAGTTGATTTGGGATGTGTCAACTTTTCAACATAGAAAAAACTATTGAAAATGGCCATTGATAGTTGATTTTCCCATTAGATAACAGAAAAACTAGGTGTAGTTTTGAGATGCACCCGACGTTTCTTGCGCAGTGTGTCATGGTGAATAAGCCCAATGCTCGTTTCGAATGTCACCATCAACAGAGATAATGGCAAGTGATTCCAGGGAAACACCTCGAAATTGCAAGTGTTTTCCATTCTTGGCGGGTGAGAACTATACTGTAATTTATCCAGCTTAAATAATGTTGGCTGCCTAATAACAAAACACCCCCCCTAATTTTTTGAATTTTTCCTTTGTTTTTTTAGGGGGGGTCAGCATTCCAATAGTAAATTCTTGGAACCCTATTCTGGATACTATACCATGCCCTCTGGACAAGGTCAGAACATGAGTTTTTTGGCAATACTAAAATTAAATTAGGCTAATTTACTTTTAGTATTGGATAAAAAACTTGAGTTGGGAAAAAAAATCCACTATTGCCATGTTGGGTCCACTATTGGCCATGCCCTCTGGACAAGGTCAGAACATGATTTTTTTGGTAATATTAAAATTAAATTAAGCTAATTGACTTTTAGTATTGGAGATAAAACTGGAGTTGGGAAAAAAAAATACTATTGCCAAGATATCACTATTGGTTAGACAACATTTAAGGCGGATAGGAATCTGTAATAATTAGAATTGGTGATGCCAGCAGTACGACCGCTAGTTTCTTTTTTTCCTGGATTGAGGGGTAGGGGATGATCATGGATGATCACGGCATTTTCTAACAGAACGCCTTCCAAGCAAAAGAAAGATAAATAACAGCTCTAGGTTCAAACAAGTTGCTGAAACTGACCAACCGGGGACCGGAAAGGAGCAATAAGTATCAGTCAATAAGTGTTGTATCAGATGTGGGTCTATCCAAATAGCTGTAACAGTCAAACAAATGTTTATATGTTGTTTTGAGTGTTTTCCTTCGTGGCAAAAATAGTGCTTTTTAGTGCTCTCCTTCGTGCCAAAAATCGTGCTCTAGATCGTGCTTTTTGGTGCCCTCCTCCGTGCTGAAGATCATGAAAATCGTGGTTTAGATGGTGCTCGCTGTTACAGCTATCAGTATATATCAGTATCAGGCTAGTGTCAATATTGAATGATTTTAAATGTTGTGCTTTGAAAACTACCCTTCGGCGACGGAAAGCCAACGTCGTTTGACTACGTGGAGTTCTTCTGGAAGACGACGTGCGGGGATACGAAAGAGTGTGGTGTTCTTGCGAGGATCCCCAACGCATAGAATATTGACAAGTTGAAATTGTGATTCTCCATTGCTAAGTTGGATTATAGAGGATACCAGGGTAAACATGTTTGATGCTTGAACCCCAATGCGCTCATTTGTTGGGCATGATGTTCCCGTGAATTGCAGGTAGATGCTGACGGCCAAGCTGACTTTGTGCGAGGCAGGTGGCGTCAAACAGCCGGAAAGGTGTGTAATCCCGTCACATGAATTGGTACTCCGATTGGGAAACAATAGGGGTGTCAACCATCTAAAATATATGCCGTAATATGGTTTAACCATCCTGCAATGAGAACTTGTCGCAAATTTAATATCAAACACCAGCCACCTGCAAAATGATGCAAAATGAATAGATACAATACCAAACTATGGTCCCGTGGATGTATTTTTAATATTATATAGCGGGAATGGATTACTCTGGTAGTTGTCATTCGGTTGGTTTAAGGACAATATAGGCAAACCTTAAATTTCTTAAGAAATTTGATGAGTTTGTTGCAAGTATTCCCTTCAGAAAAGAATGGAAATAGCACCCACGATTTTGGGATCCCAACAACATAAAATGTTACATATCCCTTCGGGCAATTTTGTGCAGCAATCCATTGTTTATGTTTTTTTTTAATACCAGGAAAATCTAGAATAGGGCTTCTAAATTTGTACGCTGTCTTCGCTTGGGGTCCCCACCGTGTTTTTTCCAGTACTAAAATAATCACTATACGCATATGTATAAGTATAGTTCTATATCATATTCATATTCACCATATGCGTACGCACAATATATGCATAAACAATATGTACTACTAATATACGACACTACTATAGCTGCTATATAGGATACCAATAGTACTATCTATGATTGTAGTATAGTATTTATACTCACTATTTATAGTATACATACTATTCAATATATTGTATTATTTTTTACTAGTACAGTATATATAATTTTTAAATGGTTCAAATATATATATATATACATATATATTTATAATAGATAATACTATTCTGTGTTACCATAGTACTGTATAATGTTACCCACACTCAAAGAGAGTCGAATCTCAGGCTTTCCAGCGGACCCTGGCGGACGATTCGCGGCGGAGACCCGCCACTCGACTGAGCCCGTTTTTGAATCAACAAAAACCGGAGATTTACCAACAAAATGGGATTTCAATGGATTTAATATGGTTTAATGATGTTTCATGGCGATAGAATTATGGAACAGATATGAAAAGATCATAAATAAATAAATAAATATATATATATATAAAAGCCCTGAGTTGGTTTCCAACCCCTAATAATCCATCATTATCTCACAATACATCTACCATAAAACCTACTTAGATAAAGCCTACTTATCAGATTGAATTGGTTTGGTGATGTTTGCTGCAACATGTGGTCATGCCCGCGATGTGTAATTAGTGGGTGATAGATTTATTTCCCATTGGATTCCGATCCTGTCTGAGCCGATGGGCAGGTCGTTTCCAGTCGTTGATGGCGGGCGAAGAGGGTCAAGACCATTCTGACTTTGCTCAGTTGGCCAATCTCACCTGCATCCAGTGGCTGCAAGCGAGGGACCGGTACGGTTCGGGATGCCGCTTGGGGGGAAAATTACGACGTGGTTTTTACCTGCCATAAACCTACCTTTTGGAGATATTTTGTACCAACCATTTCTATCCATTTCTGGTATGGGGGATATTGGGGGATGGTTGGCAATTGGCATGTGAAATCCCTGCTTTTTGAGAAATTGTTTTTGATGGGGTTCTCAAGGTCGATTTTCCAAACAGAGTGTCAGGCGCATCTGCATAGATTCTTAGAATGTCATCAAACTTGATTGATAGATAGATATATTTCAGGGATTGAAGTCTTGTATTTCTGCGGCATCATCGGCTAAGTTGTTCATAGAATTCAAGGAGCTTTGTCGAATGCATATATATATGTATGTGTGTGTGTATGTAGATGTATGTATCATCACCCACTCATATACGGCCTCGATTTTGTTTGGAGTTTTCGCCGTGATATATTTGATCAGTTGAGACCACTTCAATGCGTGGCGCATCCGAGGTTACCCGCTCTGATACCTATCCCGCCAAACTCAACCAAAATCACAGATGGAGACTTTTACCATTGCCAGGCAATAGATTTCCCATAGATATCCCATAGAGGTAATCCCGCTGGGTTGCCTGTAGAGTTTCCCTTGGTCACCAATGGAGGGGATCCCCAAATGGTCACCATGAAATTGGCAAACCCATTGAATGTCATCTAGTTGCTACCTTAAACCAACCATTAACTGTCTCCAACTTTCATGGCAACCCCATGAAATCCCATAGCATCCGTAACATCCCATGAATTCCTTTCCTTTGACCCATTTTGACCCCAAGTTTCAGGGCTTCAACCGCCCCCAAAAACCTTCCTTCAACCGTCAGGACCTTCAGTTGGTCTTCGGAGCCGATGACTCGGCGGAGACCTTGCGATCCATCCTGGAGGAGCGTTTTTTTGTGATGAAAAATTTGGATTTTTTTTGATTGGAAGAGGTGACTTGATGGTGATTATATGGTGATTTAATGAATATTTTATGGTGTTTTAAGTGAGGTTTTATAGTGACCTGATGGGATTGCATAGTGATTTTTCATGGTGTAGGTCAGGGGGTAAAGTTACCACAAGTTGAACTATATAGAGGTTTCCAAGCATGTTTATTGCTTGGGTTTACCATGGTTTACCACTATATTGATAAATGATAAAGGATGTATTGCACATGTGTATTCACGTGCATGTTTCTGTGGGCCTTTTTTAGTACATCAAAAGAACTGGCTGATCCAAATGGCTTCATTTTAGACGTGGATAGCCGATGGCGTCCCTCTTGGAACGGATAAAGCGTTGGTTCCTTCCCAATTTGCCCGAAATCACTGGCCTCGTTGGTATCCCAAAAGGAAACCATGATAGACTGCTGCGATGATCATGATTTGTGACCTGTCGGACAAGGGTGAAATAATGAAAAATGATGATACATATCTTTGGTTAGAGCCTCTAATTGGCCGCAAATATGGTTTAATTAAGATGATTGGCTTTGCACTTAAACTTGTTGAGTCCCCAAAGTGGTTCCTGAAAGGGGACGGAGGAGGAACATGTTGAATATCACCAACAGCTGGACCAAATCCATCCAAATCCCCAGATTTGGAGATGGATCAAAACCATTCAACACACGTTGACATATCATATACATAAACATCTATATCATAAGCGTAAACATTCAGATAATGTATATATATATATACGTATATATCTATATACAATTATACTATTCTATAACTAATGAATTGAACTGTTTTATCCATAACCATTATATGTAGAGGGGATCAACATCCACAAACACCGCAGACCAGGAGAAGTCGTCTCCGGCGGTGTCTTCTGCCATCATGTTGCTGGGAGCTGCCTATCGGCCCATCTACGTGTCTTTCTTGCCAGGTCCATGGGATGCTTAACTAACAAGCGCTTTAAATTAAAGGTGGGTCAATGGAGTACTGTACGTTATAATAGTAATTATCATAGGATATATGTATATATATATATATATGTATATATGTATTATATGTGTATGCATGTATATATGCTGTTTCTCTGTTTCTAGTTCGATAATTATTCATATATGCAGATCATCACCTATACATATATATATATATTCATACATACATATAACTTATAGACAAACATAATATGTACTGTTATATTTTTGTATGTACTGTTTATTATTGTTTTATATTTTGCACATATAGATATCTGCAAACATTAGTTACACACTGAAACACATATTGAGGGAGATACCGTGTAGTTGGCTGGATGCCAAAAAGTCACCATAGGTGTGATTAAATTTGGTGATCCATTTTGGAGCGATCGGATGTGAGTCAGATTCTCCATGCTCGAGAGAATCCTTGAGCAAATGTTACCGAAGTTTTTATCAGTTCAACTTGAATGTCAGAGTCTGTGAGCATTATCGAGTTGATGTTGCACTACACTCCATTAGAAAATAACATGGCAAGAGAAAGTACGGCTTCATCTAGTGCCAGCAGGTTGTTTTAATCGCTTTGGACTACTTACAGGAGTGATTGATTCATGGTCCCATTTGACCAAGTATGATCTTTGTTTCTTGTTGTTCTTTTGTGGCTATGTTTGAGAAATGCGTTTTGAAACCCTTTCAACTAATTAACGGTGATCCCCATTTGACTCAAAACATTTAAAAACGATGTCAATTGTCCAAGATTTTGACTCAGAAAATCTCAGAAACATTTTTTTGGACCTGGTTGTTCCATGTTTTTGCCACGCAGGTGACCTGCATTCCATGCCTGTCTCGGCGGCGCATTCGCATGCGACGACACCTCTGAGTCGCCTGACCAACTGCCAAACACCCTACGGACACACGCCACACTGCCAGACGCCCAAGAGTTCAGCCGCTTGGGCCATATTTTGGATGGGTTATTGATATCCTATGGTTACTGATATCCCAAAATTTTGGTTGTTGATATATCAATGGGTTATTGAAGCAATTCTCGATGTCCATTGATGTCCATTGATGTCCTATGGCTACAGTCATCCCATCCAGAATTTCCCTGATTTTTGACGGGCTTGCAACGAATTTCTCGGTGGATGGTAGCCACTTCTGTGGTGGAAATATGTGGAAATTTCCATTGTTAAATTGGCCACTTTACAACCCCTGGAGTTGTAATCGGGGCAGGAGCAACCAACCAGGGTAGCAATTTCTAGGGGAAGCAGCTGGATGGGCGAACCCCCTTTTTTATCCTTTTTCACAACGAAGGCAGAGGTGGCAAATGCTCAATTTGTCCCAAAAGGACTAATATGGCAAAGTCTCCATTACCTGGATACATTTCAATCAATTGCTTGGGGTGACCAATGGCATGGCCCATGCGGTCACAATTTCTTTGGGAGCTGCAGAAGTGTTCCCCTTTGGCAATTCAAAAAGGAACACGCCTCGAGATGAATGTCTGTCAAAATCATCTAATGTGGGTAAAACAATGCCATAAACCACCCATTTGGGAACTGGGGGATGGTGCAAATGGCATTGTTTTACCCACATTCATTGGGAACTTCTCCAAAATTCCATGGTAATTGGTTGTTCGGGGTATTTCTGTGAGGCGAGTTTTTCTGGCCCCTTATCCTGCGCGGTTCCATCCGAAAATCAGCTGATTCTGCTGGAGAAGGTGGGGAAACTGATCCATGAAGTCTGGGATTTCAGCCGCAAAAAAGTGATTTGCACTGCACAAAAAGCAAGGGTTTCAACTTGGTAAAGTGGCAAAATCTTGGGCTGATCGGCTGTGGAGCCCATGTCTTCCCACTGTCTGTGAACCATTTGAAACATGATTGCCAGCTGGCAGGCCTTGGAAAGCCTCCCCGGCGGATGTACCGACAGTGTGGCGGTGGGCTTTTGCGTCGTGAAAGGGATTGAAGGTCTGGGAGGGGCTGGGCATCGTGCTTTTGCTTTGTTTTTGTCACTTGTGATGTCGAGGTGGTGATTGAATTGACTGAGGGGTTCGGCTGTCGCGGTTTTGGTTGGGATATAGTGGGGGTACTGTAGCTATTTGTCGCTCCAAATCCTTTACCAATATGTGTACTAAGTTCATAGATGATACAGTAGTAGATGATTGTAGAGAGACATGATTGGAAGTCATGATTTTTGGATTCCATTTCCATCTCCTCCAAAATTGTAGTTTTGGAAGCCATTGATGATCAACGCCCGGCTTGGATGAGATGATGAGCCAAGCACTTGGTGATGGTAGAGCAAGATACTGAAGGGTTGTTGCTGTTGCTGTTGCTGTTGCTGTTGCTGTTGCTGTTGTTGTTGTTGTTGTTGTTGTTGTTGTTGTTGTTGTTGTTGTTGTTGTTGACGCATAGCGTATGATCGAAGCCAGCTGTGTTTATGAAGCAGTTTTTCAAATTTCCTCATTTCCTCATCATGACCATGGATGTTATATTACGTCTATCACCACCATTGCTGGCTAAAGACCCCCTATCTGAGTCCTTTGTTGCATCTGACATATCTAAGTAAACTACATCTGAAATCCAGAACAGGAAATTTTTCACATCTTAGAAAAAATCATCAGATATTTCCGCAACTCGCCTACTTTCCAAACATCCACCCCATTTGACTTCCCATTTTTTTTACGGCTCCAAGTAGGGCGGTCCTGTGCCTTTCGCCAGGCCCAGGGATGCCGGAAGTGCTGCTGGCCTCGCACATCGCGGTGCTGGAAGGGCCTGGAAGCAACTCTTTGGAGGAGCACTTGATGCGGGGCGAGTCCTTTATCGAAGTGGCACCTGGCCGATTATGGTGGTTTCAGCTGATGGACTGCGCAGGGTGGATGGACTTTTTCTAGGTGAATCAACCATAAATCATCCGTAAACTATGGAAAATTCATGAACATCGCCATTGTAATCAACCATGAATGGCAATTTTCAATAGCAAACTGTGAGTCATTACCAGGTTGGCTTATTTTCATTGCGAAGATTCCCAGCCCATTAGGGCCCCTATGATGATCCCAAAGTGACGGGCAGGTTTGTTCAGATGGGTTCCCAATAATAACTAGTAATTCTGGTTGGTGGTTTGGCACCATGGAATTTTATGACTTTCCATGAAAAGTTGGGAATGGAATAATCATCCCAACTGACGAACTCCATCATTTTTCAGAGGGGTTGAAACTACCAACTAGTAATTAGTTAAACATGTGATGAAAGTCGGAAGATGTAGAATACTTCCCTTTGTTTGATGACTTTGGTGGCCGATTCTTTTCTTCGAAAAGATTCCGTGAGGACTTGTGAGTGCAGTGTTCACAGTCGGAACATTTCTGTGGTGACTTGTGGCCCATGGTGGATTTTGTGTTGGTAAAATCGATGATTGGGGTCACCTGACTTGGGTTGGTGAAACCCCCTTATGTTAAAAATGATATGCCGTATATCCTCCTGGGAATTTAGCCTAAAGAGTTCAGGACATGATGTCTTTAAAAACTGTATTTTTTAAGGGACATACCTGGCCGGCAAAAAAAAACGGTTTCTATTTTTTAAGGAAATCCTATTGTTTAACGGTCTCCTATTCTTTAAGAGGCCCTCCGAGGAAGATTCTAGGAACTTGTTTTTTGGATTTTTTTGGTATGTTCATCAATGTTTTTGGGATTGTGTGTCAAATGAAAACCAGCTTGCCTGCCGCTTGAACAGATGCTCACAAGCAGAAGACGTGAAGGTGAGATGGAAGATGAAAACGTGATGAGAGATTGCATGTAAATGATCCCCCTTGGAATTTCCACTTTAAAAATGCAACAACCCGGGTTGTCGCAAAAAACGTTTTTTTAATGCAAAAACAGATGATTTTTCCAAATGGCTAACCCGGAGTCCCCATTTTTTGCAAAGGTTTCCTAGGTCATGATTTTTTAGAGAGAGCATTTTGAGGGGCAATAGACAAGCTCTTTGAATTTTTGCGATTTGCTAAAACTGCTGTTGTGCGCCGGCCATCGTTTGTATCGCAGATGAGCCAAACAAGTTTCAATATTGACAACACATTTCAACTGATTTTTCAACAAGGACATTCTTCAGGGACGCCGGACTATGACTATTGCACATTTATGAGCGTTTGAAAACAGAGCGTTTGAAAATCATATGGTGTTATCCCTCTTGGAATTTTCCCTGGCTAAAACATAAGTCAAACCGGGTTATCAGTTCCCCCTTGGTTCTTTAGAGATTTAATTTGGAACCCTAAGTTGAGTTTGTCAATGTTTAAAGTGCTGGCGAAAACATGGCTCAATAAACGCAATCAAACTGAGACTAGATATGATAAAAGCAGCAAATTGCATATATTGATTTATACAAATAAATTTGTTTATCGTTTTGCAGGGTATAGCTCTAAAGAATCAGACACCAGCTCGAACCCAGTCCAGTTCTCATATCCAGACGTCTCCGGAAATCCCCAAGATCCCCAGGCAGAACACCAATTGTCTCTAGTCGAAACCCACTGTGTCCGGAGGTAGGACCTTATTTTTTAATGGCACCCTCCCAAAAAATACCACAAACTGTGAAAAACTGCCAGGTTTTGCAGGGTCGACACGCCCTGAGCCTCCAAAGAATCAAAACAACAGCTCGAAAAAAACAGTGTTTTGGCAGGACCTGATTCTTTAAGGACACCCTTCCCTGTGTCGGGAGGCAGGACCTGATTCTTTTTTGTGGCACCCTCCCCAAAATATCCCAAGTTGTAGGGTCGACAGGCCTGAGCCTCAAACACCAGCTCGAACCCAGCCCACGTCTCATATCCAGACGTCCTCAGGAAATCCCCAAGATCCCCAGGCATAACACCAGTTGTCTTTAGAAGATCCATCAAAACTCATTGTGTCCGGAGGCAGGACTTCATTCTTTATCATTCTTCAATGGCACCCTCCACCAAAGAACCGGACACCCGGGTCAAAGACTGAATACAAAGGGGGATATGTTGTTTACAATCAATTTTGATCAAACCAGAAAAATGAAACAAGAGGAGGCAGCCAAAGACAACGCTTTGGCAGAAGCTTCTGCCATGACAAAAACAGAAGCCGCTAATCTGGCATGGGCAAAAGAAGGGCAAATTTCATCTCCGGTGTGCAAAGTTGTTTTTTTTGGGTACGTTTGGTGTTTTTTTATGTTTGTTGATGTCCGCATGGCTAACATGGACGCCCTATTTTTTAGAGGTTTACTTTTGTATTTGTTTTTTTGTGTATTTTTTGTATTTGTTGTAGTTGGTTGCCTGGGCCATGATTTCTTAGATGGTCTTAGGCCCCTTGCATCCTAGGTAGGCATTCTTTACAAGGTGGACCTCCGCTTTTTGTCTAAAGAATGCTGGAGTCCATGTGAGCAGGATAATTCCAAGGAGAATTGTAAATGCAAGAATTTGTGTTAAAATCTGTTAAAACACCTTCCAGAGTTGAAGAATGTTAAAGATGTGCTTTCAAAATTCACCTAAAAATGCTTAATGAATTATAATAATCCTAATATGGACACAAATAAATAAGTCTATATTCTCATGTGATTGCATGCGCATCTTATTGATGATGCTTGACTGCGCCGTCGTCCATTCGACTGCAACTTGGGTATCCAATTCTTTAAAGGTCTTTAAAGGGGCGCCCCTTGGTGTGCAACTTGGGTCTCCAATCCTTTAAAGAGACATACCTGGCTACTGTGTTGCAATCTTGGTTCATTGGGGTTAGATTCTTTAAGGCTGAAATTTGCCCTGGTTCGCATTCTTTAAGAGGCTACCAGTGGTCCCTTAAAGATTCAGGGGTCAGGGTCGGAGCCCGAATTGCAAGGGGGATTGCCGTATAAACAAACAACAAATAAATCTTACCATCATCCTATCCCTATAGTAGTAGTGTTTTCCCTATAGTATCCCATAGGAACAGCCATCGTACTATATGTATTGAATCTCTACTATGGCTATATCCCTATAATGGTATCCCTTTAATAGCAGCTTAATATTGCTATTATCACTACTATCCCTATCTAGTACCATTACTATTCTCAAATAGTGATAGTAGAATAGTATATCATTAAGGTATTATGATCGATATGACTATGGTATCAAAACTGAATTACATGCTATTCCATAGTAATATTTATATTAATCATGATTTACCATAGTAATCATAAGTATGCACGATGATCATTACCATAAGTAGTCATAATACCATATAGTATTCTAGTAAATATATATATATATATTCTATAATGATATGACTACTTCCTACTGTCACTATTATCATCTATTATCACTAAAAAATCCTCATCCATAGTATCTCACAGGGTTGGTTTAAGGGATTTGTTGAAACCAGGAACCCCCAATATTTAATGGTAAAAAAAATCATGGTTTCCTGTAGATCCCCATCATTTCCATAGTAATTTTACCATCACTATCATTTTCACTATGTCATACTGTGTCATTATTATCACTACTGTAAAAAAAAATCACTATTATCATTATTATATATTATTATCCTGGTATTTCCATAGTAATAATACAATTTTCATAGTGATACCCTCTGGTAATTTAACATAGCTATGGAAAATCACAATTTTTAATGGGAAAATCCACTATAAATGGCAATTTTCAATAGCTATGTTAAATTACCAGAGGGTATCATCCATAGGAAAACTTTCCAGGTCATTTCCATGTGGCCGGAGCGAGGTGATCGCCATCGTCACGGGCCGCTTGGTGCCGTGCCGCCCCAACCAGTTGGCAGAGCTGGATGTGGCGGTCGGGAGAGAACTGGAACCTGGGGCAGGCGCGTGGCCGTAGGGTACGAACGGCCAGGGAATCCCAGGGGGAAATTCCCGGTGAAATATGGGCAAGATGGGAAAATCACAGGAAAATATAGAAAACATATGGGAAATCATGGGAAATCCCTGAACTAGATGGAGTTTTTCATGAGAAAATCAAAAGTAAATGGTGGATATTCCATTGCCAGGTTTGATGACCGGAAGGTGACTATCAAAAACAAGGGGGATTTAAGATCCCTATGGCCCCTAAAATGAAAGGATCCAATACTAAATCAAGGGTTTTAGTTTTAGCCAGTTTCTACGTTAGGGTGAAGGAATTAATATAGTAGGGGTCAACAACCAAAAGAACAAAACGAGGACGTATAATGGTCCAATCACTGTGGAGAGCCAGGGGATTGGCTGAAGGGAGGGCTCACTTCAAGATAGATGATGGTTAGTCAAGTCAGTGATTCCAAAAGGACATCATTAATCATTTTTTCAATTCGTTTCTTGGTTGCTACATTAACCATTCCAATTTATTCATATACGAACATTATCAAGAAACCATTTATTCACATATTCCATTTATTCATTAACCATTAAAGATTTCCACAGGTATCCACCAAAAATTTCTCTCGGAAGACGTCACAGGTGTGACCTTGACCGAGCTGGTGGATGCTGATGCAGAAGGCTCCGGAAATCTCATCAACAGGTGCCCGGGGGGGGGGGGGCAGAAAAAAAAGCCCGTTGAACAAAAACTAAGACATGTCATGAGGTCGGAAGTCGGAAGCTCATGTTTTGCAAAAACTTGTAGCCGCATAAGTGAACATTTTTTTCTTATTGTATGTATATAAATGTATATAATACATTTGGGTCCCAATGACCCAATGATCCCAATCTCAGCCTTATTTCAGACTAGTGAAATATCATGATTTACCCAGTAATTGGTGAATATTGGTTAGTATTGGTTACTAATGGTTACTATCGGTTACTATTGGTGAATATTGGTTAATATATCGGTTGATATTGGTTACATGGATTGCACGAAAAAATCTGAAAACATGACGTGTGTTTTCGCCACAGAGCCGTTGTTTTCGCCGAGGATTTGTGCCTTCGTTCAAGCCAAAGACTTTTCCAGCTGCGAGGCGTTGGAAAATCCCCGGGATGCGATGGATGGTTTGCATATGTTTTGATTATTTATCTAATGAAAATCTAATCAAAGCCTAAATCAAAGTTTACTCTCATTTAAATTTATAAGTCTATAAGTCTATAAATATAAATCTAATCTATTCACCTATATCTATCCCATGACACCCCCTTGGTTTGCTGCACCCCTCGTAGTCCGCCGCCAGGCCAGGGCTTGGTGGACGCGGCATTGCCGGCGGGCGCTGGAGACGCATCCCTTGCTGCAGGGCCGGGCCTATCGACGGACCTTGTTGCAGAATTGTTCCCTGGCCTAAGCGGCGAAACACATTGGGAAATATGGGGTTTATATTTCGATAATAGGATACCCAGCACTTCCTCGACCCAGTTTAACCCGGCCTTTGGTAAAAGCCAGGTTTAACCCGGCCTTTGGAAGATGCATCTTTATAATAGCGATTATAACATATATTATAACTACTTGGCCGAGGATCACATGACATGTTGGGAATAATGGTTCATGGATATAAAAGCCATTTGGTTCAATTCGATGCAAGTAAAATGCGCCTGGGAGCACGAGCTCTGCGCAAACGTCTGCATCTTAGATTATGATCACCAAATTCAGCATAAAACCTATAATATATATATATATATATATATCATCCATTATGCCCAGGCCGATCGTTTGATGATGGTGATGACTTGCAAGGTCAGCTGGCCCTGCTGGTGATGCGTTCTTATTATGTGAGCCGCATTCTTATGTGAACCATTCTTGTACCTTTTGGCCCAAGGAAACAACACCATGGGCAACATCAAAATCATCAGGTCCATTTACCATAATCTTTTAAACAATTTATAAGTAAATCTATTTCTTGTAGCTAGGCCTCCCAAGACAAGTGTGTTGTTGCTGCAGCAGTGGAAAAGCAGCTGCAGAGTAGTGAAGATGCCAGAGTCAAAGCCGAAACCTGAGCAAGTGCAGCTCCTCAAGGACTGGAAGCGTGCAATGAATATATATTGTTGATCCCCATGTAATCCAGAAATATATATCTATACATATCCCCTGGCATTGGCTCATGGGAGGAGTTTTACGAAAGTTTCCTGTCGCCAGAGTACATCAACAAACGGTTTGAAGAGATCAAACAGGAAGCCAAAAGAAAGAAGGCACATCCCATGGTTTGTTCGATTGACCTGTTATTTGATATATGTCCCACTGATTTCTCTGCAGGCCCCAGTGGTTTTTAGCTTCCTCGACATCACCTCAAAGTTCATCGATGAATCCCAGGCTCATTCAAGAAATGTGAGCATCATTATTGTTTTTTAAATCTTCACCTAGACAATCAACACCCCAAACAAAAACTTCCTGGCAGGTGACTTCAAAGAACAACTTTGACTTTGTGCTGCGCTGGGTCTCCGTCTCTAGCTTTGTTGGCCAGCCGCCAACAAAGAAAGAGGTTCAGGCCGATATATATATATATATCATCACATGGATTGTTTGGGACATATCAGATCATGATTTTTATCGTTAATAATTTTAATCAATACATTTTCCACCATGGTCCCATGCAATCTCGCATGGAGGCGGCACTAGCTGTGATCAACAAGGAACACCGTCTAAATGCATTTGACAGCAAAGAGGATGAAGAGGACCTCTGTGATTTACAATTTTTTCTTAGACATGATTCCCAAGGTCGCCCAACTGATCCCGATCATTCCCAATTCTTGCCTGTTGCATGCAGGACTGGTTGGAAACCGAGAGTGGCCTGCACAGAGGTTGCGCCAGTTACGTGACCATGCGGACGAGGAAAAATCCCAACTGTAGGCCAGGTTCTAAGAGAGATCAAATGTAATAGAATATTATTCAAAAATTCACCATGGTAGTGCATGCGCACTGGAGGCTTGGACACAAAGATATGGACACCCTGAAGAAGGCTTGCGAGCTTGCCAAGAAGGCAGGACAACTATCATCGATATCTATCTTTTTGTGACTGCTATGCAGGCTAGCCTATACTGATATTCATGTCCCATGTGGATTGGATACACACACACACACATATATATATATATTATACGCTATATAATTTTGAAAAATATCTGTGTGTGTGTCCTTCATCCTGCCACTCAGGACTACGATGAAGCGCATCCACCAGTTAAGACTGTGAGATCCGTCAGAATCTGAAATCCAAAAAAAGAAATTTCGAGTGACAATAAAGCTCGACATCTGACACCAGATCCTGTCCCAATTTTTGCCTCATGCCAAGGCTGGATCTGCGTCAGCTGCTTCGTCCAAACCTGAGACATCAAAGGCAGCTTCTGTCTCATCGTCCATGGACTCCGAGACTGATATTTGGGTTGAACATATCCATCCAATGAACCAAGAAGATGAGGATCCACCGACAAAAACAAGTTCTGAGAAACGTGAAACTTTTCAGAAGAAGCAGAGGAATTGGCGCTTGAGATCTGGCAAAGCAAATATTGATGAGGAATACATCGACAAAGTCACAAAGGGCACCCAAAAAGAGTTGTTTCCGGATGTTGAGTCCAAGCAATCGAATGTCTCAGATGACAAGGGGCAAGGATTCAACAATAAAGATATGGATGATGCTGATCAAGATGATCTCAAAGGGCATGCTGGCACCTTTAAGGACCCCCATTGCTTGTTATTTTTGTGGATGCATACAACTTGAGAAACATGTCCACTGACCACTTAGCATGTTTTTTTGAAATTTCATTCCAGGACGGAAAGGCCTTATGTGTACCAACCACTCTTCCCAGTGCAGCGGCTGAAGCAACCAAGCAGCTTCTCGAGCGTGAGAACAGTCTGCAAGAAGGAGATCTTCGTGAGGCCTGGCTGTTTACAACTGGAGCCCTTGATATTTTTTACAACGTGAGCCACAGGTGTGATATATTTTTCCCGATCAATATGAAACATTATATCACACCTGTGGGATATCATTTTGTTATCCATTGCATTCGGCTAATCAAAGTCCCATGACAGGAAATGACTCATCTAGATATCTAACCAACTTAACGCTAGGCGCAAAGAGTCCTACGCAAAGCAGCACGAGAGCCGGAAAATGAAGGGGAACGGGGAGAAGAGTCATCCCAATGTTCTGATCATGGCCAGGCCATGAAGAAACCTGCTGGGAGGGGAAGGGGAAAAAGCAGAGGGAGAGGAAAGGGCAGAGGGAGAGGGAGACCACCAGCCAATCCCAAAGCAGCTGCCATGAAAGAGAAAAACAGAACCAAGGCAAAGAGCCAGCCCAAGCCAGAACCCCCCCCAAATCCCCCAAAGAGAGCCAAGTCAACTCATGCCAATGCTGGTGGTGCTTGTGACCCGGAGGACTAGCTCATAGATTTGATTTATGTGTCAGATCCTTTACAATTGGATCGTGATCAGCGTTCCTAGTTCTGCAGGATTTGGTGGCCCTTCAGGGCATTCAAGATGACATTTTCCAATTTGAAGCGGAAAAAACGTACCACTCTCAATTTGTTCGATGTACATGTTGTAAAGCCACCCTTTCCCTGCGCCTGTACCCTGAGGAACTGGACCATTGCTTCGCCTGAGGACGGACTTCAGTCGATTGGTTGTGTGTCAGTGGCTCAGTATGGCCCTGACTCTTCCTTTATATATATAGATCTCAAATTACATATTGCTCGGCTCAGGGCCTATGCCCGAAGCTTCTATATCAAGACAGTGGACTCGCAAAAGGTGGAGGAGTTCAATGATCGAAATGGCACTTCTTTTAAGGCTGGTTATAAATATATACATTATATGTGTATGTGTGTGTGCTTGACAGCCCTGATGATGATACTTGTAAACTACTTGAAGCTAACACTTTCTCCCCGGTAGGTGAACAAGAAAGGTGGTCTGACTTTGGGCTTTTGCCGTTTCCCAGATGTGACCACAGCGTTTGGTTCTCAGCCACATCCATGATGCCAATCTATCAAGCCCGACATTGCCCGGCCCAGGTGGGAAGCTGCCAAAGAGTTGGCAGGGTGGCCTGTGGATGTCGATTGAGCATCCAAACCTGGCCGACTGGGGTTGTGATCTGGAGTTCCCCATAGGTTGGAGGATTGGTAAGATTAAACATTTTCAACATTGATTTTCAATTTCCAAGTGATCTCCAAGGGGGCAGCTCCATGATCTCTATTTTCACGTCAGTGTTGAGGGATTCAGAGTCGCAAGAAAAACGACAAAAAACACGACACTTTCGATTCAATGTTTAGCTGCATGATCAGCCGAAGAGATGTTCCAATGTATGTGTGTGTGCCAAATTTTATCAAATGCAGTATTTCCCAGGCTTGAAGCTGCAACCAAAGGTCGAGGAATAGGATAGGGTTTCAAGATGGCCCGGCGTTCTCCATGGATGTTATCGGGGCTTGCGCTGACCAAAAGCATGGTGCGAGCCTTGATGGTCATTGGCTACCCATTGGTAATGTCGGGACCTCAGAAAATTGTAAAATGGCAGGTGCATGTTGTAGGTGGGAAAATGTTGGAAGAAGGAATCCCCCCCCCGTTCCTTTTTGTGGCTTTCTGGTGAACCCTAGGATTCACTTTTGTGACTACCTGTGTCAGCAACATCATCAAGTGTATCAAAGAGTGTGGAACTCAACCTTCGTCTTCCTTGTGAACATGTACATGTCTTACTAGTGCCTTCCAGTTTTGAAACTCGTCCTGCTCAGGATGTGTCCAATGTGGACCTCTTTTCAGGTCAAGGAGCTATCTGGAAAAGTTTTGGCCTTGACCTCAACTAATATCATATATGTGGATTAAGATACTGATTCGGTACCCATACATCTATCTATCTATATATATATATATCTATGCATATGGCATGGTAACTTTTATTGGCACTAAGATGACCTTGGAGAGAAGACGCTCGTATCCCAGGAAAATGTGTTTTTGCTGCAATCTTGGAATTAGATTTTACTGAGGGCCCACCTGGAGATAGCCGAAACACCAGATGATGATTTGGCAACAATGCTGCATACTCAGAAAAGGGTCTTCTTTTCCAACTAATTATATAGTAATTCATCTCCCATGATTGTCAAGGTCTGGCTTCGCCAGGGCCACCGTTCACGTGCTGAGACTCAAGCCATCAGGTCTTTTAACTGCAGGACTTCCCTGCAGCAGCTACATTTACTTGAACAGAGCCACCAGTGGCAGATCAGAGGAAACACCGTTTGGAGATGAAAGCAAACCTTACGTAAGGTTGTCCAATTTGTTTCTCAGCTGAATGGTGGTTCCAATGAATTTGAACAATATTTTGAAATCGTTTCAGCATTAAATTGGATATATTATATATATATGAATCCAGTGCTGATTGTGGAATCTGAGGCTGACATGTCGCCTGCTGCTACTATGCATTCTTGCATCGATCAGATCTTGCGAGTGGCTGATTGAACAGCCGTCTTCATCTACGTTCGTCCATTGCCCCTACCTGAAATTTGCCCAGCGGGCCTTCAGGCGACACATCAAAATTGGACTGCAGAGGTTGTCAGATCCTCAGTTTGGCACTGCCAGTGGAAGACTTTCCAACATTTTCCAGCTTATTATCTGGCCACTAAGTTGGATGGGATTATTTGGAGCAAAGAGCCCCAAGTTGACTCTGGTCATAGGAACGCCGCTGGGGACTCAGGGAATCAGCTATCACTTTATTCCATTTGAAGTCTGTTGCACATCCTGAGGAGTTGGAAAGCCAAGCTGTTTCGACCTCTTACGAAGAAGTTGAAAGCCAAACTGAAGTTGTCTTCAAAAGGCGTTGTGATCAAAAAACACTTGAAGTGCGGCAAACTTTCAGTGCAGGGTCCTCAAGATATAGATCTATAGGATTCAATATAGCATATAGTGCAGTACAAGATGTATATATAAATATATTATCTGTCTGCGTGGTTGCGATCCAACAGGTATACAAACTTATTGATCAATTTGTCGCTGAGGCAAGGAGGGCCACTTTTGAAGCAAACGCAGGTCTACCCCAAACGGTTTGGGCAGAAAGTGGCATCCCTTCATCTCGACTATATGGCAGGCCTCTCAAACAGAACCATCCAGCAGTCTTAAGTTGATTTTGAACTATTTCGACACAATTAATTTCAAAGATCCTGCTCCTAGGCCAAGTACTCGTTTCAAAATGAAGTGGCTGTGAAAGCCATTGAAGCCAGCAAAGTTGGAACCTCATCTTAGAAACCCTGCTGCCCGACCCAGCTTTCAGCCCAGTCGCTCTCTCAGGCTTTGGTCAAGACTTGCAAATTCAAGCATGCAGACCTCAAAGAGGTTCGTGAGTTTCTGGTGCAGGAACAGCATGAGGGCCGTTTCAAGCCCAGCTTTAAATTCTAGGCCAGTGAGTTTATGAACAGCTTCTGGTTGTCATTTTGTTCCCATTATATTCAATTTGTTGACTGCTGACCCATAAATTCCTAATTAATCCGTGGATTCCCAATGGATTTGCACTGCTGAGAAAAAACTGGACAATTTCTCAAAAAATCCAGAGCGTGAAAAGTCCGTGAAAAGGCCGTGAAAAACCCGTGAAAAGGCCGTGAAAAACCCGTGAAAAGCCTCCAAAAACTTATGCCTGAATTTCAATAGTTTTTGATGGTTTTTTGGTGGTATTTTCACTGGTTTTTACTGAAATCTTTGGAATAGTTGGTCGTTTCAAGCAGCATTGGGTTTGAAATTGATTGATTACATGGCTCAAAGCTCCATTTTGGAGTGTACGCATGGGGGGTCATGAAATCAGAAATACAAAAAGCAAAAGAAAGGGCCGCTCTTGCTCTCAAGGATGCGTCAGAATCCCAATTGCAAAAAAAATAGGGGGTACATGGTAGCTAGTAACCAAATTCAATCTGGCCAAGGCCATCTGATGGTGCAGCTTTGGATACTCAAGAGGAACCAGGCTGGGTTCATTATTAGCATATATCGATGACCGAAACTCTGAATATATATAACTATTAGATCAATCTTGAATCCCTGGAAGGTGGAACTCGTGATGAGTTTACAACGCCGCCTCCAGCCCTCAGAATGAGACGGAAGAGTAGTCAACACAGAGTAGAATCAGCAGAAACTTTGAAGGTTGGAGAGAGTCAAGAAACTTTGGCAACTGACCCTGCTTTGCAACGTGCCACTACTTGTGAGCAAGCTTTGGCTACTCCTTGTGGGACCCCTACACCAGCACCAACAGGGTCTGCAAAAGACATGCCCAAGATCAGAAAGAATCGGCTCAGAAAGATGAAAACTCATGATGTAGAACCAGAACAAAGTCCTGTGAATGAAAAAGCTTTGCCACTGTACCCTGCTGACCGCTCACCAGCCAAACGCCCCAAGAAGGCCAAAGCTAAGGCAAAGGCTTCTCAGGTGTTGAAGAGGCCCGCTATGGCTATCACTGCGCCTGGCAGTTCGAAAGTGACAGGTGGTGGTTCAGGTGTTTTGATGCCAAAGGCCAAGCCCAAAGCAAAAGTGAAAACAAAGGCAAACCCTAAACCAGCAAGCCGTAAGAGAAAGCAACCTGATGAGGACCAGGACGAGGATGAAGAAGAAGAACAGGAGACTGAAAGGAATGGAGATGAGGAACCGGGTGAGACTGAACAGGATGACATCTCAGACAAGGCCAAGATAGCCCACAAGTTGTACATGCGATTTTGGAGGGACCTCAGAAGCCAGGGCCTTAACACTAGTGCAGTTTCATTATTATAGTCAATACATTTGTGAACATCAAGGCCGGAACACGCCAGCAGAAGTCAAAGACTTGTCGAAACGCTTCAAGTACTGTCTGGACCTCATATATTAAATCTGATCAAGTGAGTGTCGGTGGTTTTGATTTGTTGATCTTAACTTTAAGGCCAAGCTCAGCAACAGACGCTCTATGAGGATTTCTTGAAGCATGGAGGGAATTGGAAAAAGGGTTTGATATGGAGAGAAGTAATCAAACGTCACCGGGGAGTTTCTCGTGGTGTCAGAAAGTGGCTGACACGTGCACAGCTCATTACCCATTTTGGGGATGCTGTGGTTGCTGATGCTGTAATCGCCAGAAAAAAAGAAGTTGTCGACCTGAAGAATGAGATTCGTGATCATCCAAATCTTCCAGGCTGGAAGCTCAGTTTAGTTTGATCATTTTGGAGCATTATAGATCTATATATATAATATATCCAGTCATTTTTCGAAATATATTATCGAAATCTATGCACTAGCAGCCAAACTTTTGATCTAGGTTTGGAACAATATTTGGTCTTGACAGAGGACGAAGAGGTACAGGAGGAAGAGAATCTCATGACTGACATGTTTCGCTGCAAAGATGGTGGATCCAACGATGGCAGTACTTCAAGTGATGAGACTGACAGCAGTAGCCAACCGAAGAAGAAAAAAAAGAAAACCACTGGCAAGAAAGGCAAGAAGTCGAAAGCTAGCAAGAAGAAGACCACTAAGAAACAGAAGAAGTCAAAGAAGTCAAAAAAAACAAAGAAGGATGATGATGATAGCGAAGACCCAGAGAAAGCAAAGATTGCAGATCTTGAAAAAAAGATTCGCAAGGCAACTGGGGGTTATATAACATCTAAAATCATATATGTTACCAAACCATCAAAATCTCATGGATATGATTTTCCTTGTTGACAGGCAATCGCTGATGTCACCAAGAAGATCAAAAACTGCAATGTGGAGTTGACCAAATCTGCCAACTGGTGCGATCCTCAAATTAAATGTTAATTCCATTCAGTCATATATTGATTGATGATTTTCTTTCATAATAATGAGGTCTCCTAACATCAGGAAGGCTCTCCAGAAGGACTTCAACATGGCCCTGACTAGCCTCACATCGTCTCGATCTTCGATGCAGGCTGCCCTTGAGACTGGAACGAAGGACCTGGATCGAATGTGCAGTCGACATAAAACACATATATAAATAATGTATATACCCTGGGATATATATTTTTTCCTATTTATGTGATCTAGAATTATGATCAATATTTTTCAACCCATCTTATCACTTCAGATCCCAAGTGTGGTTATTTAAATCACTTTTGTTTGCAGGACCCTGATTCGATGCAAGCTGCACTCGATGAAAGTGATGGCGCTTGTAGCCAGTATGATTCAGTGATGGCACCCATGGGTAAGAAAAAACCCAAGTCCAAAGATTCGAAAGACTGATCAAAATGATCCAGCTGGGATAACATGGGTCTGTGCAGAATGCTTTTGAAATACAGCATTCTCATCAACTTATTTCCATTTTAATTTTGCTCGTTTTCAGTGCACTGACCCGTGCCTTCTTTCCGATTTCATAGACCCGCGTGCTCCACGCACCTGGCCGGGAAGAGTCGGTGGAAGCTCATAGCGCTATGCGATAGAGGTGATTTTGATGCTGCGCCTCAGTTTAAAAAAATGTATATGCAATAAATCATTTGTATTTTTCATTGATCGAACTCTAAAGATCTTATCTTTGACATTGTGATTGCGCAGGTGTTTATGGTGATAATCCTCGACAACACCAAATATCTTCAGTTCTGGATGCTGTAGCTGCAGGTGTTCGGTACCAAGTTTGTTTTCCGAGACTGTGAAAACTAGCCTGTTTCCATTGCCCAACACTCAGCTGCTTAGGCCTCCATCGAGGAGAAAATGGCTGACATCAACGCTTGCCTCAGAGATACTTGCAGTGTGAAGGGGTTGACATGTCCAAGAAATCTGTTGTGATATATATCCCCCATTTATTCTGATCCCTGGGCTAAGGATACACCAATTGGTCTTCCTCCTACCATTCACAAGCTGGGCAGCTACAGCCGATTTAATCGTGCTAGAGATTTTCGACGTGCTATGCGGCTGCCGTTGGAGGGGGTACCATAAAACCTTAGTGTACAATATATAATATATGTGTAAAGTGGTTGATTGGGCAACAATATTTTTTCAAATTGGATCCGGGTAGAATTTATACCCCATCAAATTGTTTTGCATTATTTTTTGGTGGCCCATCCAGGAGCCACGTATGGTGGAAACAATGGTCAAGGAAAAAATGGCTGGAGATGATATCACCACAAAACCAATGAAGTTACCAGTGTTCTTGCCAGAGGACATCCTTACCTATTTGTTTGGAACACTTGGGATGATCATTGAGGATGAGGCGGTGAACAAATTTTGGGAACATGCCAAACGGTATGATTGCCCTTGGAAAGATATTTCCCCAGATGGTCAGCATTTGCCACTGGGGTTGTATGGGGACGGGGCAAAGTATGCTCCAACTGGGGAAAAAATAATAGCGGTGTTCCTCAATGTGATGTTGTGGAGCCCAAAGAGCTCTCGGATGTCTCGGTGGTTGCTGTTTTCTGTGGAGCAGGACATGTCCCTAGGACCTGCTACGTTCAGGCCATTGGTGGCTCCTATTGTTGAGTCACTATGCCGGTGTTTCAACGGGATCGATGTTGGTGGTCAAACCATCAAATTCTCGGTCGCTGAACTACGAGGTGATTGGGAATGGCATGTGAATTTTTTGGATTTGACCCGATCCTGGAGATTTAGCCAATTTTGCTGGAGGTGTGATACCAGTAAAAAACCTGGTGACCCATATTCCTTTTGGGATTTGTCTGAAGACCCAGAGTGGGAACAAACACATGTTTCCCATGGACAATTTCTGGCACGGATGATCCGCGCTGAAACAGCTAGATCCTTCATTTGATTGGAATTGATTTGATATTTTTCCCCCTAAAATTGGGCCTAGGAAGAAATTATGTGTTTTTACTATATAGCCAAAAATCTATGTCATGTGTCTTCAATGTTAGTTATTGCAGATTGTACCCAAGGTCCACTCCTGCTGTTGCCAAACTTTCACTTTGGGATCATCAAGCACTGCAGCTTACATAATTTGAATCTGGGAATCATGGGAACATGCAATGGTGGAGCAATGTCACCTGGTTGCCCTTGGTTTTTTACATTTAAATTTTCCCAATATTTATATATTAGTATTTATGTATGTGTGTATATTATATATATGTATGCATATATGTATATCTATAGCTATATCTATATCATCCTAGTTCCTGCCACACTCCCAGGCTACTACTTTGTGACCTATGCTTCTTCGGATGCTCTGAGACTTTGACATTGAGACAGCGTCTGGCTACTGCATACCGGGATTTTCGTCAGTGGTGTAGTGAAAACAAGGTACAATGTGGTCAGCCTCTTTTTAGAGAGAGCATGGTATCTCGCCTATTTGAGTGACACATAATTTATGAAATTGTTTATTCAATGTCATCAGTCTCAGAAGTTATTATAGCCAAGGTATGGAACCAAAGTTATGGGGCCTACTTCACGGCCAAGGGTTACAACAACAGGTGCATTCTGGCGTGGCTGTCAGATTGCCTAGCCATTGCGGTCAAAAAAGATGTTCCTATCAATCGGTATGTTGGGGCATGGATCCAATCCGAAGTGGCACATCACAACATGGAATGGCCCCACCATGAGATGTTGGAACCTTCAGCTTGTTGTTTGAAACTTTGAAGCATTAGACACAACTTAGGATGGTCACCCCAAAAACAACATATATTTCAACATATATTTCCATCCTGCCCTTTTCCATTGCCAAGGGACTCTCTGAACAGAATGTTTCTGGCTATGGAATCTTCGGGCCGGTACCTGTTGCCCGGTGGCATGGGCATTGATATCATTACAGATGTTTGCATGATTGTTCCCCTTGTTTATCTTTTGGTTCTTTAAGGACTGAATGCGAAGCTGATGCCATATATTCCCATGGGATGACTTTCTTGAGAACACACCGTGTATTGACAGCTCTTTCACAAAGGCCAGAGTATATAGCTGTTGCATTGAAACAGAAATTGGATCATTTTTTAAATCAATGGCTAAATTTCTCAACACCCCTGATTGCAGGAACGACCTTCTTTTTTGGATATCCAGACCCAAAATACATGCTGCTTGGCTTACATGACGTTGCTGATTTTTTGGGGCATCTTGTGTGTGTGCACGCGCGCTTGCAGATGGTACATCACCAGCTAAGAGATTGCAAACGGAGGAGTTCCTTGGCCAACAAGCTAGCAACAGATCATTACTGTTGTGGCTGCACAAGTGTATATTATATATCGCGTACCTGTTTTTGTGCCCCATGATGAGGATACAATATCCGGTTTGAGCACACTTTTATCGATGAAGATCAAATGAAGTGGGCGAAGAGAGCTTCAGCTTAACATAGCGCATGCAGCATGCACTGAAAAATTACGCGCATGTCTCTAGATGTAACTGTGGAATAGCCAAGGAATTTGTCAACTCTCTGATCGCCGGAATCTTGCAAATTCAATTGCAAAAAAGGCACCAATTCGACTTTTGGCCATGAAGTCTCACATGAAAAGACTCAATAGGGTCAACAAACAAAGGATCATGAAATGAACAATTGGCGACAAATGAGCGGTGGCGCACTTGTCCGCTGATGTTGATGTGGAGGATGCAGCAGCTGTTGTTGCTGAGGCTGTGGAGTGTATGTGGTGTTTGGTGGGCATCCCTAATCCCTTATAAACCAGGATAAACCTACAATCCCATATGATCATGATCATGTGTATATAATATATATATATATAATATCATATCATATCATATCATATCATATCATATCATATATATATATGTCGTCGGTTTTCGATGGCCTTTAGGTAAAGGACGTCCTTTCATACAACGACCTAGTTAAACTCGTCCTTTGGAAGACCTGGGATACAATTAAATATACAAATATATTGATGCTATATAAACTGTTGGGAAATACCATCCGATAATCAAACATCGCTGGCTGGGAAAGCCCCTAAAAGCAGAGGCTTTGATGGGAACATCATGCATAAATGGTCAATTCCCATTGCCACATTTGATTACCGGAGGGCAATTATAGGGATTAACCATCAACATTTGGGTAGGATACAATGGAAATGGTAGGACACTAAGAAGATGGGGATAGAATCAGGCCAGTTAACAGTCTACAAGTAAATGGAGCGGGGTTATAAGTAATTGGAATAGCAGGTTTGTAATAACAGTCAATCTATGGGGATATAATAAGGATTTAAATGGATATAATGAGATAATAACTATACTTGGGAATATCCGACATATATCGATATATTTTAGTAGAGGAGTAACTAACAATTACGAGGGCACAATGGAGATGCAATGTGGATACTTGTATAAGAAAAATGTAATGATCGATTACTGTACAATGAAGATACACTGGGGTGCATTTAACACCCCAACACAAATATTTTACATATATATTTCTTGTAAATAGCCAATTGAATAGAAACTAAAGATCAGAAAGGTTTGAATCGTAGGTTTAGGGCAAGTTCTACCTAGTTTAACCAACCAAATTGGGCATAGATACGGCGTCGAACTTGTAGAAGCTGCATCAACCAATATACAAACATGAATGGGGGGCTATCGCATTTGTATAAACCATGTACCGCGAAGCATTTACAAACATCCGGTATACAACCTACACATGAACCATGAACCAAATGTAAATGGGTCTAATTTAATCCCTGATACTAGTAGCTGGAAAACAGAAACCAATGGAACCCCATACATGAAAAAGTCCATTACACTGCGTGTCTTGATAGGGGCAAAGGAGTTAATGTCTTCTACCCGGAGTGAAAGCCATATGCCATATGCAAGCGAGGAAACGCAGCACAGTTCTTCACAAGTTCTATACTGTTATTGTGGGTTACATTGCCGTGCTGATTGGATGAAACTAAATTTTATGAAAACAAATGATTTGGCCTGCAACACCAGGTTTGCTGTGGGGGCGGGTTGCATGTTGATCAGCTGCAAGGTCATGATTTAGATACTACACTGGGGGTTTTAGTTCCTATGACTAATCGGTGGATCGCTCTTTTACCAAGAATGAGGGATAATGAGGAATCATTAATCAGCTTAATGTATGTTCATATTGTATGGCCAGACGCATCTAAGCTTAAGAAGTCTTTTTCGATAGTCTAGAACATCTGGGAACTGTTTTATCACAGGGGCCATTTCAGGATTTTCAGGTACCGATGCGTTGGAGGTACTGTACCATATAAAGCCATATTTGTACAGTACCTCCAATGCATTTATATTACAATACCTTCATATATATACCTTATACTTCGTGTACCTACTATTTTGTAGGTAGAGAATTTAATACCTGGTATTATCACTGTTTACATGAAAAAACCTGGTATTCCCCGAAAAAGTAGGTAACCTGTTTTTTGGGTATATATCACCATTCTTACACCCCTCCGCGCCTCAATTGATCCGCTCAGGTGCCATCCATGTGGAATCTGAAGATATCAAATCATGAAATGGATTCGATTTCATCAATGAAATATGTCCAGAGCTGAGTTTACATAAGTTGAAGTGAATAAAACATTGAATATATCCTTTCAGATAGAAGTAACATATCTCCAGCAGAGATGTTCTGATCATATTCATCACTCTTAGGAGGTTTACCATATCGACTATGCCCTTAAGCGTGGGTCAAAACCTGCCCCGGCCATGATGCGTGCCCTGCACGCCCTGGAGACTACTGGCAGCAGTCGGAACCCCAATGATTTTTTTTTCCAGACTGGCGCTCAAAGTGTGGGAAGGTAGCAACTCACATTGGACCATGATCCTTAGATGAACTCACAAGTTTGGAAATATTTTGGAGCTTTTTTCCATGTTCCTGCCCCCAAAAAAAACATCATTGTTATTATGTTCACCACTGGCTTTCAGGGTATCTTTTTGGCTCAGTGTGTGGGACGCAACTTTCTAGGGAAGCTGTGCAGCTATGGCTTTCTCGAAGGCAATGTCACCCCAGGGGTTGAATGAAGAATGGGATCAGATCCCTGAAGTCCGTAGACGGGTTTTGGCTGGCAACATGTTCCTGAAGCAGCCTGACCAGCCTTGGGCCTTGCCAACCCGTGACAATGCCAAGTTGAACAAAGAGGTCTTGATCCCTTGTTTGCATAGGCTGAGTGCAACCCCTGACTATCACCTTCCACATTTGCCCGCTCTTCATGTTGAGATCCACTTGTTGCACAATAAGATGGGGAAGGAAATCTCTCCAAAATACCTTTACCAGTGTGCGATTGAACTGAAGAAGTTTCTCAGCTTCATAAAGAGGAGGGCCACCCACAAGGAAGTGACCAAGGACTGTAGTTTCAAAAGACCACCACAAAAAATGTTGCATATTTTGGTCATGACTAACCAAATACTATTTGGCAAGATTAATCAACCCCAAACAATAATCCTGAATATGTTGTTTCGTGGGTTTTCCCTGGCTTCAGGACCCTGAGTTTCACGAGTTGCTGCTGGCTTTGGATCCTACTCTTGAGGAGCTGATGGATTTTTGTATGATAAACGGCCTTTGGGATCACCCCAATTAAAACAATCAACATGTATGTTTGCTGCAGCTCTCAAATGGTCCATTTTTGAATGTTGGCTGCAGGTTGCAGAATCAAAACAATATGATTTAAATAGATGGTGCTCTTCAGCCACTCTGACTTTTACCAATTATTCTTGCTGCGCAGGAGTTCATCCGAGATTACATGTCCACCCGGGTGCCAGTTGCCCAAGTACCAGCAGCCCCAGCCGATCCAGCCGATGATCCCTTTGCAGCAGACGAGGATCCGGAGATGCAAGGTGATTTCGATGCCTTCACGAAGTGGTTGAACGAGTCCTTGGCTGATGCCGAGGTGGTGAACTTGGGGAACCCAGCGTCAGGCAGCACAGAAGATTCTGAAGTACCTGCTGGAGCATCTGCCCCAGCTGGACCACCTGGCCCACCTGCAGATGCTGCCGGAGAATCTGAGACCCCTTCTAGTGATCCCAAGGGTGCAGCTGCCCCTGCTGATCACCCTGCTACCTTGCCCAAGGAAAATCCTGCACCTGAAGTTGCTGATTCTTCTTCCGGATCTTCTAAGCCGCCATGTTCAAAATGCTATGGGGCCACTGTGTGCACCTAGCTTGCAGGTTATCATACAATATGTTCAGTATTTCAATGTTATTCTAATCCTTATACACCCAAAAACTTGACCTTGATGCTGAACAAGACATACACTATACATTTTTTGTTGTTGACAGTTAAATTCAAGTGGTGCGATGTTGCAAGTAACCCCGGTGTTCCCCATTGTATCCTATATACATGTGCCCTGTAAAGTCTGGAACCAGGCAAGTGCAGTGCGATCGAGCTTTTGCGAGCAAAGATTGCTGACAAGAAGAAGGACCTTTTGTTTCTTGGTTCTGCTATGGGGCCGGGATTGGACATGAGGATATATTGGGGATCAACTGCAGCAGCCAATTCTTTGAACATATTTCTTTGAAGCTTTTGAGGCTAGCAATATTTAATATATGTAGCAGTCGCATTTGCCATCTTGACAGCTGAAAAAAAACAATTTTCTAAAGTCAGATCAAACTTCAGGCTACACACCACTTGGTGTAATGCAACACTATGCTTAGACCCACTGGAGACCACCAGTAGCTTTCCTTACTTTAAGTTGTTGAGGCAGCGGGTGAACAAGACCGAGAACAATGGCACTGCTGCAAGCCAAGAGTCAGTGCCTTCGAGCTCTGCAGGTGCATGGGCAATCGGATAGCAAACCAACCTTCCATCCTAAGTGACATCATTGAAGCAAATATCAGGGGTAGGTTTCGACACCATCGTATCTGAATAAATATATATACAATAATTATCTATCTTATCATTTTCAAGCATCAACCACATGGAAAATAATTAGTAGGTGTGATTTCCACTATATGTGTCTTATTTGTTTTGTTCCTAAACTTCTTGAAACTGTTGAGTCACCCTGGGGTTGCTACAGTTTGCCACCGTCCAATATCAACTCCACTCTGCCCTCCTAGGTTCCAAGCCTACGGGGACTGAACCATGCCCTGACTGGGCTGACACCTTGCCCATGGACATTGACTTGATTCCTGATCTTTCTGCAGTCCCAGCGTCAAAGTCTTTGCCCGATGCCTTTGTGCCAGAAGTTCCAGATTCCCAACCACGCAGTGACTCACCTTGCGTGGATGACAAGCCGGACAAGACTGGGGGAGATGATGAGCCTGAACCCCATAAGGTCTGTGAGCTGGGCATGGCCATGTCCATACAACATATATATTGGTTTTGAAAGCGAACGACCATGTATATATATGTCGAGCTATAGTACATAAATATCAAAGCAACATGCTTCGGTTCTCCACACGGGTAGGTAACTGTATTCAATCTTCCCCCATCCGCCTCTCCAGAACATGTTGGGAATTTGGAAATGCCATGAGGTTTAGCCCAAGAAGCGTCATATCCCAAGAAGTGATTTATATCAATTAGAAATGTGTTTGCACAGGGTAGCTTTGGAAAGACTTTGGTAAGTACGAGGTCCCGAACCACTCGAAAAACATGTTAAACAATCTTGAAGATGTGTTTAATAAAGGTTGGGTCCATCTTTCCTGTCAATGGCATGCATTTGTGAACGCCACGCGTGTTGCAGGTGCTCACACGTCGTCACCAGCTGTGCTTGAAGGAGACTTTGGAGAATGAGATGAAGGACAAGGCCAAGCTGAGAGAGCAGGGGCTGGGGAAGGGAGAAGGCAAGTCAAAGGCTGCTCACCCAATCAAGCCTAAGCCTGGTGCAAAGGCTAAAGCGGCAGGCAAAGCCAAGGCAAAGGCAGCAACAACTCGTGGCAGGAAGCGGGTCGCTCCTCCCACAACCCCTCTGGCCACGAATGATCCTTCAGATGAGGAACCTGACCTGGAGCGGGATATTGAAGCTGAGATGGAAGCAGTGGCATCTGAGGGGAGCAGGGAGGCTGCCCGTACTGATGACGGAGGTGAAAAAGTTGAAACCCCCCGCAAAAAACTTTTTGACGATGAGACTGGTGAGGGATCCGAGCCTGCTGGGCCTGGCCGTGGCCGCAAGACCAGGAAGGCCAAGGCCAAGGCTCAGCCCAAGACTGCAGCCAAGGCACGTGCCAAGGCCAAGGCGAAGTCCACGCCAGCTCCCACTGATGATGCTGATGCTGGTGCCTCAGATCCACCCAAGAGGAAGAGACAGAGGCGATCCGCTACTCAGCCTGTTGACGAGTTCAATTTGGAGGACCTAGAGATCCAGAAGACTATCAGTGCTGACTTCGAGAAGTTGTCTGGGTGGGAGTTCGAAGACTTGAAAAACTTTCTGATCACGGACCAGAAGCCCAAGCTGAACAATGTCACCATCATGCCCTACTGGTCCCGGTGTGCAGTTGGTTTGAAGTGGCACTTGATCCCTGGGAATTCCCAAGTTGCCTACTTTGCCTACAAGGAGTCACCCCGCACCCCGGTTTCCCAAATGCAGGGTACATGGAACAAACGCATGGTGGCTGCCTTTATCTCGGCACAGTTGTTCGTTCCTGGAACTGTATTGACATAACATTTGTTTATTTGATATTGGGGTTTGAATAGGATACTAAAATAAACAAAGTAGGGGCACTATGATCGTCTTCAATGCCCGTTCCCAAGGCTCAGTGGCTTGACTTCCAGAAGGTGATTGACTCCGAACAGGAGATCCGGACTCAGGATACCACATCCTTTACACAGTTCTTGGCCAAGATTAAGTTCAATGCAGCCAAGGTGTTGAGCCCTTAGGTGGTGATCAACTTGCTCGGTGGCTATGGAGTTCCAATTTCATTTTTTTTCAGTCGTCAACATCTCAGCCCAGACTGCAAATGTAAATACTTTAAGACCATAGCATCAAACATATCTGCATTGATCTATATATTGTATTTGGGTCCATTCTGGCATTTATCAGTTTTCCCGTTATCATTTTATCATATCTGATATTATCTATTATGTGTTTATCTTGATAGTCATGCTTATTGTTTCTTCAAAAAGCTGTCCAAGTGTTGAGAACCAGGGGCCATCTTGAGCTCATGCAGCGTCAGCTATGTTGTGGCTGTGCGTCTCCGCACACCGAGTGTTAACATGCTGTTAGCACTGTTTTTGATAGTTGGTGGAAACACATTCTGAAATGAGTGTATCATTGGGGGTTTCCATGGGGTAAACCTCATGGCGTTTAGCTTGGGTGGAATAGGTTTGGAACCAGTCGAACACCAAGCCTCAATCTGACAGCGGTGAAAAGAAAACAGCTGCCTGCTATTCTCAAAACAAAATAAAACAAAAACCTTCCTGATTTCTTCGCAATGCAGGGGTACTGCTCATACAACACTGGCAAGGCCTTTTATGCTTCCAATTGGACGTCTCAATACCCCACGTCCAACATCCGACCCTGCTGCCAGAGTGCCAACGAATGCCAAGGCCAGACCAATGCCTCAGAGCTTGCGAGGCGTGAAGTGGGCAATCAAGGCGAATAAGTTCAGGGATGACCGTGTTCCTGGCTGGATTGCTGCAGTAAACATCCATGGTTGATGGGAATTGCTGCATCCCAATAAAAGTAAAGATCCAACATCACATGCTTACAAGTTATTCCTGCAACCTGTATGTGACAGGGACTCCAAACAACACCTTTGATCCAAAGAGATGAAGGTAGAGCCTGAGTCTTCTTGTGTTCCTCTCTGCAGCTAGCTTTGGTGGCCCATACGGTGGTAGACTTGTGACCTACATTACCCAATGTATATGACTCAAATAACTCAGAACAAAATTGGACTAAATTCAAACAATAAATTGTCCTCATTACAGTAGGCTGGCAGGAGAGCAGTGACATTTTCACCAGGGCCCATCCAGGGTTGTTTTTCCTCATCGCCATGGTTATGGATGAGAAGTCGCGATCAAATTTGGTATGGAGGCTTCGCAAATTACAGGCGCCCAAAGTTCCCTGGTAGCATTTTAGTTGACCAGCAGTCATTAATTATGAACATGATTTTTTTGGCCATATCATCCAACAAATAACATCTACCCTGCAAGCACCGGGGTCTGGTTCGATGAGGTGTTTGTCTTAGCTGTCAGCCTCGCATCGTTTACGGAGATTCCCGCACTGAAGGGTGAGGACCCTGCTCTGGGGCAAGGTTTCCACAAATGGGAGGTGGCAGTCATGCGTGCCTTCAATGTTCAATAGTTTTACGTCCTGTGAAATTGATATTCCAAAAGAATTAAAACTCTTGACATTCAAGCCCAGCCCTTTGAAACCATGGCTGCGGAGGACTGCTTCGAGTGCTATGAGTTTTTTGCTGGACGAGCGCTGCTGACAAAGACACAGCAGTGGTCAGGCAAGAGGGCCATCCGCTTCGATCTCCTGTACCAAAAGGAAAACATCAAGGGTCGCAATGTGATGGATATCACAACAAATGAAGGGATGGGGTTTCCAGGATTTGGTTTCATCATTTTTAAACCGACTGATGATTATATGCAGATATGTTTATGTTTTGAATATGTGTGTCATATATTTTGGGGAATACATATGAACATTTGTTTTAAGTAGTCGACCAAAAAACAGTTCATGTTCAAGCCGACTCAAACAAATGAACAATCCACTAAGATTGGCATTGGTGGCCCTTCTTCACGCAGATCCTTTGGGATTTCTGTGCCATATTGGAATCAAATGTTCCAGCTGGACTATAACAAATGCGGGTACGTCGGCCCGCACAGCATGCTCCAGTGTTGGTTGCACTGACTATCCATCAGTGTTTGAAGCCAATCTGATGGCGGGGCGGATTCTCAGCATGAAACCATAAAGAATCTATTTTCCACTGTGGGAGAAACCATCTGAAAACACATGGTCATTCTATCTTTTGATTTGTGCTTATATATGTTTCCTAGAAATGGCTCAAACTATCTTTTCCCATAGCCCTGTCATTCCCTTAGTGCTGTTGGTTGAAATCATATGTTGTGGGTCCCCCTACTCGCACTGCAGCAGTCAAGGTGCTTATGTCTCTTTGTTTTTATTGTTTGTTATCGTAAAAGTCAGCCATTGGGTTGGTGGCAATGGGGATGGGTCACAAAACAAACGGAGTCAAACCCGGTAGTCCTCGTGTTTTTTGATGTGTAAGTTAATTGGGAGTAGATGAACCAAATGTAATACTGTCAGGGTCAGGGTCTGTCAAAGATTGGGGCATGTCACGTAAGGAATTCCAAATCTATTTTTTTTCAAATGAAAGGGTACCCAAGCACAAACAAAAGAAAATTGGTTTATAAAACCATGAGATTGTTTCTATTTCTGGGTGGATTGTTTAAGACACCAGCCAGGTGCCCTCCAGCCATCCAGCCAAGGGCAATATTGCTGGCTCTCCTTTGCATTGCTCTCAACGGATGCTTCACATTGGAGCAGCCATTCAATAGCGTCCTGGAGTTTTACCCGAGATGGCGCTGGTTCATAGGGGTCATTGAACAAGTGCCTGCTCGGGCTCCTTCCCTTCATTGGGTCAAAATTTTGAAAAGGGATGAATAACTGTTGTATGGCATGTTTCCCAAACCTTGCTCACACATTGATGTCCCATTGGATATGTACACACCAAAAAATAGATCGATTTATATACACTTATTAGATTCTATTATAATGGGATTCCCATCGCCTATATATTCCTCCCAGGTTTTCAGAGCCAGCTGGTACATGTTGCATTATGGCGGCCCTACGCCCAAGCGCCACTACTGCTACTCCAATAGCCGCCACATTGGCAAGCTCTGGAGGGGGAGGTTGGTGGGTTGGGCGAAGAGACCAAAAGGTGAACGTGAGAGAAAGAAAACCACCACTACCTACCAGGGACGAGATGGGAAGCGCAGATTCAAAGGCAATGCCTTGCTGAAACGCAGTGAGTTCTGTTCTTAGTTGTTTTTCTGCACATGGCCAGGATGAGAGCTTGGTATTCTTTGCTGTCATCCATATATACCTATCTAGGAAAATACCAAATTTATCAAACATTGGTTAACCTGAACATCATACTTTCCGTGTAGATGCTGGCAGCAGTATTCTCTATATTTATATAAGTTAAATCTGAGTCCACTGACCCAATGCAACCCATACCACATTTTTTAACCAATCCATTTGTTCTTATCGGGTGATACCACCATACATTTGTTCAAACAAGTACATATTCAATGCAGACTCATTATCCTGGTTATCTTGTATGTAGCTGAAGCTCCATTTGCAGTTCCAAGTTGGGACCCCTCCCACATACGGATACTTACTAGTCTCAATAACTAAAACCATGTTTTTTTTCTTCGGGGGATGCGCTGCAACAATGCTAAGGGAATATCCTGGACCTTTTGGTTTGAAGATGGTTGATCTCTATGAATCCCTGGTCCATGAGAAGGAAGGCTGCCCGATCCTACCCGATGTTGTTCCTCCATCCACGGAAGCCTTCAGCGAGATGGAGTGGGGCGACGATGCTGACTCCTCATGGTCCGAATCAAAGATCGTGGAGGTGTGCAGGTATTTACGTGGTGGAAAATCCTTGATGCTACCTGATGAGTTCCGCTACCTTATCCCCAATAGACTCTAGGATCGTAGATGGACACACCTGTAGAAGATCATGGGTTCCAACAGTGACTAATGGATAATTTCAAGACTGCAAAAAATAGCTTTTCGGGATTCCAAACAGGTTCTATCAAGTTCCATCATGGTTTATGTTAGATTTAGGGCGTAATTTGGCGTAAATACCCGTAAATGCCCGTAAATACCCGTAAAAGTAGTTCAAATACCTGGGATTATCATAAGAAAAACCTGGTATATATAGCGTAAATTTCTACCTACAATTTCCTACCCGTAAAAATCCGTAAATTACCCGTAAAAATCAGTAAATTACCCGTAATAAATTATGGGTAAATTTGATGCTTGCCAACATAATTCAAGATAACTTTTATGAGGTCTGGAACCCAACTCATCCATATTTTACCAAATTCAATCAGCATTTTTCAGTGCTGATGGTATCCGGAAGCTAATTCATCAGTGTCATGGACATCCAAACAGGACCCATGCACAAATTCACCAAATATTTGGATTCCTGCTGGAACTTGGGAAAAAGAAAACAGCTAGACAGTTCTTGGGTGGAGTGTGCGTGAATTGTTTCCCAAAAAGATATAGACACGTCAGGATGTCAAGCTTGGTTTTTCTTGACACCAAATACCCCCAATACCTCAAGATTATGGGACAGAACAACACTTGTGTTGCAGCTGCAGGGATGGGATGGGTGGAGCGGTGTGTGCCCTAAAGTCTTCACGGGGATATCGGTTGGGTACCCCCTAGTCCAACCCTTTGAATCAAAATCAACTGTAGGACATGGATTCCCGTCCAAATGATATGTCTTAATTGATTTACGGGGGCAACATTATCATCCTGGCATTTGATGGAACACCATTATTTTGATTTGTGCTGACATCTTGTTATTGAGGATTAGTTGGCTCAAACGGATCCTAGCAGATTCTAGCCCGGTCTCCATCTCCCAGTGATGTACGGAGTTAAATCCCCATCAATGGAAACTTTGATGTCCAAATCCTGGTCCACCTCCGAACTGGACGATGGGATTAGTGCTCTCATCGCTGACATGCGGAACGAGCTGCCGAATGATTTGCAGGAGCTGAAGGACCTTTTTTTCCGTCCTCAGCTGCACCCCCTGGGTGGTCCAATGGGTGATGGTATGTACTTGAGTGTATCCATGTTCATGTTTTTTATAAATGAGACTAGGATTGCAGAATCAAACAAAATAGTCTTTGGAATTAGATATGCCAAGTTATACCCGTATCCCTTTTTGACATTTTTTGATCCAGGAACTTGAGAAGCAACTCGCAGATCTTGAAGCCCAGCAGTCAGCAGTTCTGTACTTAGTTCATCTTAGCTCATATGCTGAGCACCTCAATGACCAACTTATCTATTTAAAATTAACATGTGTTCCAAATCGTTCCTGTATCATGTGTTTCTAGCCCACACCGTTGTGAGGTCGCAGCCAGGCATGAACTCGAGGAGAAGGAGATTGAGAAACTTGAACGGGAAGCCGGGATTGCTGTTCAGAAGGTGGTCCCTCATATGCAATCATTACTGAAGTATGCGGTGATAGTTGTGGTGTGTATGTTGCCATTTGCATGAACATAATACCAATGGTTTCAATATCTACCAGACTCTAGACTATATTTGATTTCGGACGGTGACCTGGGTGCCTTTGAAGGCTACTCCACAGAATGGACATCGCCCAGCTGCTGTGGTCCCCGTGGTGGAGTTGGAAGACACTCTACCGGCTACTGATGAAGAGTTGCGGGCTATGAAAGCCACACCCATGTCTCCCCAGTCAGTTGCAACTACAGATGCCACTGGTACTCCAGGTGCCCCAAGCACTCCACACACCGCCCCAAAGCCTGTCACGTTTGGTCGAGTGATTTGCCTGTATTAGACGATTGGTTTATTCATTTTATTAAATTATACCATACCTAGAGAGTTTATTGTTTGTACATATGGGATATGGTTCGCTTCTCCACCAAGTCCCCACACCATATATATATATATATATATATATATATATATATTGAGTTTTTCTCCCAGCTCCTCAGGATGATCTTGCCAAGATGCTGCGCGAAGCCAAAGCAGGACAGGTGGATCCGACCAAGGCCATTGAGCTCTTGATGAAGCAAGTGGCCGGAGAATCTCCTGAGACACCGGCTAGTGATGCATCACAGAAACGACCTAGGAATGAAGCTCATGAACCACGTGATGGGAAAGCTCTCAAGACTACTGACAAAGTTTCTAAACAAAATTAAATGCCATGATCCAAACAAGTATTGTTGGCATACACCCAAACACTAAAGCAATGGATTTGTAGCAATCTACTGGGCTGTAAACCTTAATATAATTTGATATATTTGAGTAGTAGTAGGCTAACAATGACCAACATATATCCTGGTACTGATCGATGTTTCTTTTCCTTTTTCAGTTCAACATAGTTCCCCAATTACATGGTTCCACTCCTATGGCCTACTAAGGCTGGTCACGCAGATGCCAAACCGGATGCCGGGGGTGATGCCAAGGCAGCCCCAAGTGATGCTTTGAGACGTAGGAACGCGTTGAAAGCTAAGCTTAGACGACAATGCGAAGAGAAGAAGGGCGGAAAGCTCTTGGTTCCGAAGTGGTTGCACGACATGTGGCGAACAGGCAACAAAGATGAGTTAGCGTCGACTTTTGAAAAATGCAATTTCAATACCGACACTGATCTTATTTCAAGCAAATCATTTATGTCTTCAACTTCTACTTTGTGTGAGATTCTAATTGCAGCCAGAATTCCCATAACGGAAGGTAGCCGATGGTCCAATTCCAGTTCTCGAACGTGTCGTTCACAACATAGTACTTCCCAATCCTCAGCCCGCCCAAGGATCAGTTCGTCAATGTTTGCAAGCAGATCCACACGAAGAAGGAGGCCAAGAAAAGCACAATTGCTGAGGGCTGGTATACCAGAGAAGAGATGGCAAAGGTTTTGCACTGGAATGCGTTTTTTGGCAATATTGGATTTCACAAGTGTTTAAGACCAAAACATATATTCGTTTGGTGTTGCAGCATCAGTTCAATTTTGGTTTCAGTTGAGACTACTCCGGATCCATGTAAGGAAGCGAATTGAAGGGGCCGTCAAGGTTTGCCGAGGAGATTCCAGGTTGATCAGGACTGTTTCCAAACACATGCAGCATTCCTCTGTTGCCATCCCAATCCGATCCATTTGTTCTTTTGATATGGAACCATTCCTGGGGCATCAGATGTATTTTCATCCCTGCAGCCATATCGTATCCTACCAACCCTTTAACCATGCACCCTCCAGGAAGAACCAATATTCAGGGGAAGATGAATTTTGCGTCGAAGTCCGCGAGAGCGGAAGCCGAGAGCAAGAGGAAGTCAACGAACAGCAGCGTGTGTCTACTACACGACTGAATGAGGACAACTGCCCTGTTGACTTCCCAAAAAGAGTCTACTGTTTGGGCCCCTGGTGAATTCAATTTGACAAATAATATGACTATTATCCATACGATATATATAGATCATATCCTGTGTGATTTCACATGTTCAGGAAGAAGTGGCAGATATGGGAGCCCCTGATATTTCTGGAGTTCTTGAAGTTGCAGAGAGAATGAATGCTCGTGGCTCTATGTCCTGCAGCGAAGCCAGTGAAGACGCTCAAAAACAATAGTTCGACAAACAGTTGATGAATGTTTGATCAGTCAAATGGTACTTCCATGTGTTCATGCCACTCTATGGGCTGACCCAGAATAGATATATATGCATGTGTGTTTAATTGGTTTCTGAAATGTCTGAGGCCATTTCTTCGAAAGAGACCTTCCGAAAGTTCTGTGATTCCGTGCTGACAAAGTGTGCCAAGATTCGTGGCCTCATCGCGGATCTCACTAAGAATTACCCGGAAGATCCAACAGCCAAGAAGTAGGATACCTAGCTAACCCTTACAATCTTTCCCTGCTGCCGGGTCTCTTCAGCACGAGGCCAACTCTGCCACCGCCATTCTCAGGTCAATTGTGGCACTTGAGAAGGACCTTGAAACCTTGGATGCCGAATACAACCTTCTCAGTGATTGCATGGCGAAGGGAGAACAGAATGAGTTCAATCCTGCGTCACTAGTCTTATACAGTTACACTAAAAAAGTCAACCCTGAAAAATCCTCATACATCTAAAGGCATTAAGCTGAGTTGCCTTCGGTTAATACACTTCAGCCCCTTCAGATTTTTTCAAACTGTTTCATCTCTGCATTTGTTTCAACAATTCCAATTGCCCAAAGACATGATAGAGCGAGTTCCTCCACTACCACCACACACGCTACATGATTTAAGATAACATGTTGATGCCTGCCTACTTAAGGTGGAAGAAGGAATCGGAAGCGCTGATGCGCACATCTACCTTCAAGTCTCATGGCTTACACATGTGTGTTTTCCTCCTGATTTTTTCTTCTGATCGAACAGGAGAATACCACCAACTACTGATGCAAGTGATGGCACATATTTTTGTTTATATAGGTTACCTGATTCACCACCCTAGCTATCACTCACATCCCACTCAGGTGCACCAAGGTTGCACAAAACGAAGTCAAGATCAGGAGCCATCCTCATCGGTCATCAATCACCTCGGTTGAAATGGGTAATCGAGTACAAACATTATGTACGTATTTTGCAATCAGGTCCCCCAATTCAAGAACAATTTTTGATTTGTTTATCCTTTCAACCCTCGCGTTTTGCGCAGGAATGCGAAACGCTACTTCAAGAAGAGCGGGCCAAAGGAAGAATCCTGAACTTGAGTGGATCTGACAGCCAACTTGGGTGTCGTGTTTTTAAACATGACTAGGATTTCTGATTTGCGGAACTTAGCACAAATCAGGTCACGTTGAAACTTCATGTGAAGTTGGGGGCCGAAAACCATGGAGGTTGCATGATAGTTCAAGTAGTTTCTCCAGGGGAGTGTTGCCCTTGCCAAAAAAAAACATGTGTTTTCAAGGCGCTGGTTCCATAATGTGCCTTCCATCTTTCATCGAGTGGCTCCTGGCAGTTTGTGCACAATTAGTGCCTGGCAAGTTGAAAGCTAAGCGGATGATCTGGAAAAGAAAAAGGCTATATAAGTACCGCAATACGTTTGCTGTTGAAATAGACTCCAACCACAACCACATCTACCAAAATGATATTGCACCCTGTATGAATATAGTCACATGTGTATGTACATTGGCATATATGCATATATACCTATCCAGTGTTGTACCCAGCAACTAGTTTGATTGGCTCATCAAACTCGGCCAAACCGTCCGGTCATGCCAGGTCCTGGCCCAACAGCCAAGCAATTGGCCAAGAACATTGGTGAAGGAGCTGGGTCCTCAAGTTCAGCCAAGCTGTGTGGCCAAACCCTGAAGGGATGTCAAGGGTTTCATGTTCAGCCACTTTGGCTGGCCAACAAGTAGCTGACAGAAATAGATGGCCGGACAAAGTCTTAAATCACATCTTATGTTTGGACATTTTGTTTTGGCCACGACCATGACAACTCATGGTGTCTGCAAAATACATATTGTATGATATAATAAATAAGTATCGCTCTATATATAATATACTGTATAATAGTTATTATAATATAATGTTTTGCCAAGCTTCCACACCAACTCATATCCATACCATCAACAGCAATGCAGTCAAACTCCAGTAGCGCCAGTGCTCCCAGCGCCATGGCGACTGGGAACACCCTAGATGATGAGAGTGTCACAGAAGAACTGGTTGATTTGCTTTCTTGTCATCGTTCAGACCCCTGACTGAGTATATGCGTTACAAGTTACAATGCGCATTGTTTGACACTTGGTTCAGCAGTTACTTCTGCATTTTTCTATGAGCAACTAAAAACTGTTTTTGACACACCAGGGATGGGAACTTAGGCGGCCCTTGGCCCTTACGCATGGGAGCCACAACGCGAGAGACCACCCAAGGCGAAGCGAACCTACCAAGGAAAACACAGCACTTCGTGCCCCACTGTTGAACTAGATGATTCAATCAGAAACTTACCCCGTACCAAGGAAGTGTTTGACAGTATTCATGGTGATGACCAGCTTTCATCGAAACTACCTCCTGCCCGCTCTAGTGCTGGCAGTGTGCTGCAGCATGCAATCAGTGTGTTTGAACGCTTGCATGCCAGGCACAAACCAATGACATACAAGTTTGGTATCACGAACGATGCCCACCAAAGGTGGCATCATAGAAGATACGGATACAAGTACAGCAGAGATAAATATGAACACATGGTCGTACTTTACGCAGCAAACAATCCGCACGGACCAGCTTTCCTTGAAGCTGCCCTCATCAACCAGTACTATAGCAACTTAGCTGCATGTCACGTGCAGGTGTGGGTGCGTGAGCGTGTGTCGCCGTTTAGTGCTTTCCAACTTGTTGTTGATGGTGTTTGGGTTTTAACGCGCGCTTAAGATGTTGTTTGGTGCTATGTACAATGTTTGCTCAGGCGCACAGGGATGCAAGAATGAACGCCTTGGTGGAGACACAATGCAAAATGAGGACGTTTGTGAAGGTCCATATCTCACCTATGTTGTATACAGAAGCTTTAAAACACCACCGCCAGTTGTCTGAAAAGATGGTGTGCGGGTATGTTTGCACTAATTAATGCAGCATTTTTTCAGCACGCACATGTCCTATAGTGTGCTTACGGGCGTCGCTGTGCCAAAAGAGCGCATGAGATTGTGCAAAGCGATAAGGCTATTTCAAGTGGATTGACATGCGTAATAGCATATATACATCTTCGACCCATTGTTTTATTTTTGCAATGTGTGGTTTGATTATATAGCTGTGCCAGCCCGATGCTGAGGCCAGTAGCTCCTCGCAGATTCGCACAGCGCAAGCCGTGAGGGAAGAGCTGGGGGAAGTGGCGGCAAGTGGTTCTGGTGTTTCAAAATGGGCTTCTATTCCATTGAAAAATTCAGAAAGAGATGTTCAAAAAACCATGGAAGTCCAAGGGACCAAGTTGGGTGTTCCTATTTCTACTATAGTTTGTGCTGGAGCTGCGATCCCTTGGATCAATCCAAGAGACTGGCTGTTGTTTTTGCTGAGAAAAGGCCTGTGGCATAGACTTGCTGGGTTGGATTACGAGGAGAAGCACCTGGCCCCACAAGTTTGGACTCAATTTTGGTCTAACTACGGCACTTTGAACCCTCACTTTGGCATATTTGCAATGGGTGTTGATTTATCAAGAACGACTGCCTTCTTCATTCATGGGGATGAGGGGCGTACTCTGAAAAGAGCTGCACTGATGGTCACCACTTTGCAAAGCGCGCTGGGATATGGTTTTGGGGAAAAACGATTGAAAGTGCCTCTCCCTGAAGCTTTCAAGTTACGGGTCAACTACACTGGACACACTTTGACTACACGGTTTGTTGTGAGCACAATGCCCAAAAGTTGTTATGACAACACACCACAAGTTTTCCAAGCGTTCTTGGATACTTTGGCTCAGTGCTTGCGAGACCTCAGTGATGAAGGTATTGTGGATCCGTTGACGGGTGAAAGATACAGAATTTGTGTGATTGGATGCAAAGGAGACCTGCCATACTTACAGAAGACCGGCAACCTGGTTCGTGCTTTCAACACTGGTGTAAAGCGAGGCAAAGAGGCCAAGAAACCAAAGGGTGTGTGCCACCTATGTTTGGGTGGGACTTCTGACGACTACCCAGCGGAGGAGATACAAACACGCGATCCTCGTTGGTTGCAAACAGTGGCTGTACAGTTGCCTTGGGAAATTACACCACCTTTCATTCAGCACATGCATCATGACGTGTCAGACCCTGCCGCATTCTTTATGCCAGACCTGTGGCATAATTTTCACCTTGGAGTGGGAAAGGCATACGTAGCCTCTGTGGTCCAACTTTGTCTTACCTTTGTCCCGGCCCCAAACCTCGAAGCGAAATGGGCTTGGCTTTCAGCTCACTACAGGGCATTTTGTCAGGGTGAGAAGAGACAGCCTCACATCACGAAGTTGACGGGATATTTGATGAGTTATGGTGATAAAACTGGTGCAATGGGCGCATGGTCCAAAGAAGCTCTAACAACATGTTTTGTCAAATGGTTACCAGCTCTTATTGCTGCTTTGCCGGATGATGAGCAGGGGTACTTGAAAGAATGTGCTGATGCTGCACGACACATGAACGCGCTGTTTGGCTCTCTCTTTACTGCAGCAGCATTTCTTGATGCAAATGAGGGCAGCTACATTGCAAACTTGGGCTTTGCTTTTCTGTGTGTTTACAATAAGATGGCGCATGTTTGTTACAACGCGGGGCGCCCATATCTGTTTCCGATGTATCCGAAGCTACACCATTTGCACCACACTTGGATCAAGATACTCCAGGACATTACATCTGCTGGGTATGCCATCAACCCGTTGGTGACTGCCTGCCAACAGGATGAAGATACGATAGGAAGAACTAGTTGCATATCGCGGCGTGTGAGTATTCGCTTGACTATGACCAGAACACTTGAACGCGTTTTAGTTCTTGCTCATTCTTGTTGGGTTGAAGCAGGTATGCTGACGGTCTGAACTTCAAAAGATGTCCGCTCAATGGAAGAAAAAAGAAGTGGGTGGGCTGAACATCGTTCAATTGCAGGCTAACAAAACCAACATCAGTTTCTATCTTTTTCTTGTGACCACATGCTGCAGCACACACGACACTTCAGATTTCCATACCTTGTTTTTTTTCATTTACCTGGTATTTGGAAGTGAAAGTAGGTTACCTGCAAAATTGCAGGTTTTTGAGGTTCAAGGTATAGATAGGTATGTACTGTTACCAGATATCTCGGGGGAAATGGTTAACCCGTAACTTTTCAGCCTTTGTACAGTGACGGCCCAGGTGTGTCCACGGACTCTCTGAGCATAGCATCCACATTTCACTTTGGCGCACAGGCCCCGCCTGGTTGGTCCCATTTAAGAACATGGCTTTAGGGTTTGTTTGAGAAATGTTGTGAGATTTCTCAACATTTATTCTTGCATTATTTTATGTGTTATGATTACACTGGTTGTTTCTCTGGTGCTATAGTTGATGTGAATTCGTGCGACTTCACCGCCTGACCAAGTTTAACACGGGAGATCATCCCAAGAAATAACGGCTGGTTGGTGGTTTGGAATATTTGGATTATTTCCATATATATATATATGTATATATATATATTGGGAATAATCATCCCAACTGACTAATATTTTTCAGAGGGGTTGAAACCACCAACCAGTAATGGTTTCAACTGCGCGAATGATACAGCACAATTTGCCCAGATCTATCTAGGGCAGAGCGCCAGAAGCCATCCATAAATCATCTATAGTAACCACAAAATGACTCGCCAACACCCCAGAATTGTTTCATGGCGAAAGTGAAACTGGAAAGCCAAACCAATTCTTGAGTAAAACCATGCTTTGATTTTACCTTCAACCAATGCATTGAGCATCATATTTGTTGGTATATAGTTATAAAAGTCATGATGAAACCCACAATTTTGACAGAAAAACCACTGTTTCCCATGCCAACATCCCACAGGCACCTCCCCCGGTGCTAACCCCGGCTAACCCCAGCAGGATCTCATTAACAACGAGTGCGCGAACGCCCTGGCGGACACGGGCCTGAAGGTTCGTGTGGTCTCCGAAGCGCCCACGGAAGCTGGGCGGATTCCAGGAGGGTGGAAGGGGGGTGAAGTACATGAGCGGCAGTGACCAAAATCCTGGCTGATTGATTATCAGAATATATAATACTGGTTGGTGGTTTGGAACATTTGGATTATGACTTTCCACTCACTTGGGAATGTCATCATCCCAACTGACGAACTCATATTTTTCCAGAATATCAGCATGCATTCTGGGAAGCCCATGCAATCTCTATCACCCAGAATAGCGGATGATAGAAGGTGATAGATGGTTTTTAAACGCTGCTCACGCGGGCTTTTACATATATATATATATACATATATATGTATATAATTATGTGTATATATATATGCATAATTTTGGATTAATTTTTATTACATAATAATGATAATAATGATTCTCTATGACATATATTTGGATTGGTACTCGTATGGATGCGTGAGGCTTTAGATGGAGTTACATGGACGTGGTATGGAGCTAAATTGGGATAGATATTGATATAGTGTTCTGAGAGCTCATGCGCACTGAAACTGCATATAACATGCCAAACATGGCGATTTCCAATAGCGGATTGTCATTTTTTTGATGGTAAAGAGCGTTTGAGGTAGTAGGGTGGTTGTGAGCGACTGCTCGTGGCTGGGAAGATAATTGTTGTTTTTTTCCCTTTCCCGGAAAGGTCAATGGGAACAAATGAATGACTTGTTTTGGCTGGTGATTGCGTGAAGCTTGCAACATGCCACTAGTGATAAATTCACCAAACTTCCCAACTCTCTCTTTTTCTCTCTATTCGGGCCCTAAGTCCCTCCAAGTGCACCGCTGGTGCCTGAGGAAATGAAACCCGGAGATGAAAACACGGAGACAGGCACCATGGACTGGGGGGAACAAGTCAATCAGCCATTCAGATGCATTCAGATGCACTGCTGTGGGGGTAGGTGGTGGTGGCTTAGGAGGTTAGGAATCGGACGACTATCTATCTATCTAATCTAATCTAATCTATCTATATATATATATATATGTATGTCTATATCTATCTATACGTTTGTGCGGTGGTTTTTTATATATACTAATTTTTTATTGATCTTTATTGAGCCAACCAACAAACAAACAAAACAATGGCAAAACATGGAATTCAAACAGCAACAACGGCCTAGCGGCAAATTTGCCTACTATGCATTTATATCCATTTATCAGTTTGAATTGTTCTAGATATTCTAGTTGAAACAACCCTTGGAAACCCACGTTTTCAATGGGGTTCTTGTTCGTCCTTGGTTGTTGTCAGGTGAACTGTTGGTTTGCCACACTTTGATAAGCACAGGTCCGACTTGGTGATGCACCAGTTGGGCTAACATGTTGCTAGCGGACTCACAAGAGGGATGCAAATGACATCTTGAACTCACAGCTCACTCCGTGCCGTTGGTATAAAACGGCGTACAGTTGGACAACGGTGAGACCTTCAGAATTAGACCTTTGGCAGTTTTCTTCGCGCATTCCTTTCTACTAGAAATAAATATGTGTTCTATTGTTTCCTGCCTTAAATCTGATGGCTTAATCTGTTTCCTACAGATTATGATTTGGGGAACCCCAACATAGAATTTTTACCATGGCCATTGGCCAATTTACCCCATGTACGGATCCATGGGGTAACTACAAAAAAACCTGCACGACTCAGGACCCGATTGAAAGATCTGCGGAAGTTGATGCGATGCCTCTTCCAGGCTTTTGTGACTCGGCCCCACTATCGAAGCTGCGATGTGGGGAAACCATGGGAAAGCTGGGAAACCACGGCTGCCAGTTGAATGGTCGCGGAATGTGCAAACCTATTTATTTGCCAATGGATTCGCTGAGAACATGTAGAAATTTTGAAAAAACAGGTATGCTGGATAAATTTCCCATGCATCAATTCTAAGGAATCTGACAAAAACATGACAAATGATCCACCTGAAAGACTTCACTTGTCATCTCAGGATGCTGATGACCCACAGATGATCAAGGGCAACCAGGCAGATCAACCGTGTAAGACTTGTTGGGTTTACCACCCATCGGAATGGTAACAGGAATGGTGTGTTGGCCCAAGAAGATGGCAATTGTTGGCCATAGCAACACGTTGAAGGTCTCATTTGTGATATTTTCCCTCAACAGGTCCAACCTATTAAGTACTCGCAGGGACAAAGTTTGAAGAACTGAGCAGAACACGTCATACAACTGTAAGAGCTTCAGCAGCAAGTCCTCAGGAACTATGATCACCTTTGGTTTCTGCATTGTGCTCTCGAGACAATCCAAGGGCTTGGGGAGAAACAAATTTATAGCGGTGACCCCACTGATTCCTGTGAGCAGACGCATGTGTATTTGTATGGTCGGTGATGGAGTGGATGTCAGTACGTAGTGGCAAATTTAATGAAATGCCTGGTGGCATTACTTGAAATAAGGAACTTGAGGTTTGGGTGTGTCGGATTGTGAAATCAATATTTAGGCAAACCAACCCGAGCACCGTTTTTTAGCTGCATCGGCCCATCAGCTACCCAAGAGTCATTATTGTAGACGTGCCAAACCCATGTCCACGTTGCGAGATTTTCTTGACTATGTCCATGTCTTTGACCTTTTAGTCACTCTTGGTCACTCGTGTTGGGAAATGGCCGACTGGTCATTCAGCTTATTCTTCAGCGATGTGAAAGAGGTTGCTCAGTTCCTGGGCATTCAGGGCTTCGTACTGGTCAGCATTTGCGCTTTTGTTCTCCTTGTTGTTTGCCTACCAAGAAGACACAGGAAAACGTTGGCAGCATTCAGCAGCGTCTTTTCCAGAATATGTTACTTTTCTACCGGAGTTGAAGGACGGCCACTCTTGCCTGAAAGCATGGCATGAAAGCCCAGAAAGAGGCTGGAACATTTCAAAGATATGCGTTGCGGAAAAAGTGCGGCCGTTTGATTTGCTGTGTGTATGCCAAGTATTTTGTTCATGTCAGCTCTTTGCAGCTATCATGTTTTAATTGATTTCCCATTCTTTTCCTGTGATCCACCTAAAATCTCGGAATTGAATATTGGAAAGGTGCGTCTCTTGCTGAATGGATGACTCAGATGCTAGACATAAGAACAAATGTAAGAAACTGTTTTCCTCCTCAGAGTCAGATGCCTAGACTACCTGGACCACCTTTCTTTACGTGCTGAAATGATATGAAATGTGTCGTGGCTATGGAATGCTTTGGGATTGGAAGCGTCGAGACTGTCAAGCGAACTGGAAGATTGCTGATGGTTGCTGCGCGTTTCATTACCAGGGCTAGGGACTGGGGTTACTACATTCCATGCCCAGCAACTGGCAAAAGTTGATTTAGATGTGATGATTGCCAGGGGAAAGGTGTGATGATTTTCAGGGGTAGATAAGATTTTCATAGGTTTTCATAGATTTTCATAGATTTTCTACATTTCCAGGGGTGGCGAAAGATGTGATGATTTTTAAGCCACATGCTGGTGGGCTGTTGGAATCGAGAGGCTGGCAGCTTTAGCAGTCGCAGATGCTTGGCACAACCCAAACCGCTTCTGTAAAGCCTGTGGTTTGATGATCTGGGTAATGGCAATTGACACATGCACGAACCCGCACATGCAAACATGTATCTAAAGATCGACTCCATCATTTCATGCTGTGTACAGAAATTAATTGCTATCCACATACGATAGCTTCCAGGATTTTAATGCATCGATTGGATTTGGGGAATTCCAAAACAGGCTAGTTGTAGATCGATGCTCGGAGCAGGATGAAGGACCTCGTCATATTTGTCCAAAAAGCTAATGACCATACCCAACCAGATTTAATCTAGTTTCCCGAGAGGATGTTCCCTCTTTGTACGTGAATATGTCCCGCTGCACATGAGCCTTTGGATTTCCTGGATCATTTGAACACAGCAGTTTATGATTGAAAACATATCAGGAAGAGGCGGAAGAGGTAAGCTGGTAAGCTTGGTTGTCAACTAGTTGGTGCGCAGCTGGGATGTAAGTAGATGGCTGCATCAGCAAACCCCATCTCATGACCACGAATACATCTTCACAAGTCAAGAAAATTACTGAAGTTTGGGCAAGCTGACTCAGCAGTTTGGCATTGTGCTACGCGAAGCGGTTGCTACGTGGGTATGATACCCTCCTGGTATGTCGCATCCAATTGTGAGAAGATATCAGAAGTTCAGGGGGCGCAAGGTGGGCCAGTGACTCCTGTGGCTTTTTGTTGCCTCCACACTCTGGTAACGAGTTTCGACTCCGTTTTAGAATCGATCACATCCAATTATATAGGGGGTGAAGAGTTTCCCTGACAGGAAGCCCACTACACAGGAACCATCTGATACAATATTTCCTTTTGTTTCCTTGTCATGATTCTTTGACCCTCTTGGAGTGATCCCCTTTGAAACCTGCTGCTTTAGTCGGGCTCATTGTAATCCACCACAGGGACTCCCATGATCGATAGCCGTGCTCAATCGCCTGAGGATATCGCTTCACTCGGTGGACCTGCTTGAACTTTTTGAATTCCATGGTTCGTTCGGACGCTGGGCACAACATGTTGGTCCTGATTCCCAGATCCACAAATTGATGATAGGTCTGTAAATGGTTTCTAGATTCAAGATTCTTATTGCAGCATGCTACAGCAAGTCTGAGCACTATTACAACGAGGTTGTGCTGTGCTTGTACTCTGTATAGTTGGAACTGATACTGTGAGTCATCCAGTGCCCGCCATTTTGGCACCCAGGACATTTTTGCCATCACCTTCGCGATCCTGACCATCTACACCCTCTTTGCGCCCAACATTTTGCTGGTCTTCGGCCTTAGTACGGAATATACACCCGTCGTGGCCATTCTCAACACTGTGGTGCTGGGTTTTTTCGCGCTCGAATGCATCTTGGAGATGAGGATACGCTGTAATTGAGGTTCGGGGTGGTGTTGAGATTTTCCAAGCCTCATTCTACCAATTTCTACAATTCATAGGTTTTACAAGCCTTGGAGACTGGGATGCCCTTTACCAACCCCTTTTTATTTTGGAGCTTCCGACTGAGTCTAGTTAAGTCTAGTTGCTTCCCAAGAGATCCTTCCATGGCTCCATGATGTTCATCTTGAATAATCCTCCAAGTTCGATTAAATCCAGACACTTCCCAGTCATGTTGAGAGGCTTTGGCAACTAGGCGACACAACATAACAAACAATAGATAACAATAGCATCTATATTTACAAACCTTACCGAAACTAACTAACTATGTATAATATATATATATATATATCCAACCATTTGCTCCCCCAATTTGTTCTTGTTCTTTCCAACTTTAAAATCTAACCTAAATAGATTCATTGCTCAACATTCATTAAACCCAGGCATGTTGAGTTGCTTAGTTCGCAACTAGGCTCAAAAACATAGCACACACACATATATATATATATATATGTAGTAACAATAATTAACAACAACAACAACAACAAGAACAAGAACAACAACAACACCAACAGCAACAGCAACAGCAACAGCAACAACAGCAACAGCAACAGCAACAGCAACAACAACAACAACAACTACAACGACAACAACAACAACCACAACAACCACAACAACCGCAACAACCGCAACAACCACAACAACAACAACCACAACAACAACAACAACAGCAACCACAACAGCCACAACAACCACAACAACCACAACAACCACCAACAACCACAACAACCGCAACAACCACAACAACCACAACAACCACAACAACCACAACAACCACAACAACCACAACAACATCAACGACGACGACGACGACGACGACAACCACAACAACAACAACAACAACGACAACGACAACGACAACGACAACAACAACAACAACAACAACAACATCAACGACAACAACTACAATCTTGACTTATGACCAACAAGTAACTATTAATCCAACCATCTAGGCATGTAAAGTTGCCCAAGTGGGGAAGAAGACAATTGTATATTTATAAATCCCTCCCTCAACCACTTCCCAGGCATGTTGAGTTGCTTCTTCGTGAACGGCTACATGCGTTCCGGCCGTGTCTTTCTGGACGTCATGGCCATGGTCTCGCTGGCGGGAGACACCTTGGTCCAGGCGCATCTCTTTCCATCCCAGATCAGCGGTGCGACCACGGCGCAACCCGTGGATTTTCGCGACGACGCCACCGGGTGCCGTGGCGGCTTCTGGTGGTGCATAGAGTAGTTAGAGTGGCGGATAGTGCATGAGATTTCGATATTTATCTTTCCGTGTATATGATTATAAACTATATGAAATCATGTAGCTCTCTCTCTCTCTATATATACATATATAGATCCGTTGGTTTTCCGGAAGTCAGCCTTCATTGAGTTGAGCATGCTAAGGTTACATATATATATGTGTGTGTGTATACATGTCAATATCCTATGTCCAGCTAAATAATGGATACTCCAATAACTATTCAAGTGAATTGCTGCCGCTTGCAACAGTTGCCTATCTATTGGATTTGCTTAGTGCGTCCCATTCGTCCTATTCCCTGAGCTTGGTTTAGATCCCAAAGGGGGCAATTGCAAGAAACAAGTTGCACATTACAATTATTTGGTTCCTAAGTTGCAAATGATGGATGAGGAAGCTCAACAAACACGTCTAGATATTAATAAGACAGGGGCAAAGATTGTAGGTATATCAAAGATTGCAGGAAGACCTGGCCAAACATGTATGAATTTTAGAACTCCTTCGCACCATATCCCATATTTAAATTACCTCGAATTCACCAACAAAAAATTACTCTACTTCGTGTGATCCCCACCATGACATGTCAGGACGTATATTTGGACATATATTTAGTATATTCTGACATCCTATCTGACATATATTCTGGCATATATTCTGGCATATATCCTGACATTCCACCTGGCATTCTATCTGGCAGTCTATCTGGCATTCTATCTGACATATTTTCTGACATTTCATCTGCATATATTCTGGCATTCTACCTGTCATTTATTCTGACATATATTCTGGCATTCTATCTGACATATATTCTGGCATATATTCTGGCATTCTATCTGGCATTTTATATCTGACATATATTTTGGCATTCTATCTGACATATATTTGGCATTCTATCTGGCATTCTATCTGGCATTATTCTGACATATATTCTGGCATTCTATCTGACAGTCTATCTGGCATTCTATCTGGCATTCTTTCTGGCATTATTTCTGGCTATCTGACTATCTGGCATTCTATCTGGCATCTCATTCTATCTGCACTATCTTCTATCTGGCATTCTATCTGGCATTCTTTCTGGCATTCTTTCTGGCATTCTATCTGGCATTCTATCTGGCATCCTATCTGACATTCTATCTGGCATTCTATCTGGCATTCTATCTGGCAGTCTATCTGACAGTCCTACATGAGGTCCGGCAGGGAACACTTGGCGTGGATACTCGCAGTTGAGGTCCGGCAGGGAACACTTGGCGTGGATACTCGCAGTTGAGGTCCGGCAGGGAACACTGGGCGTGGACGGTCGTGGTTGAGGTCCGGCAGGGAACACTGGGCGTGGATGGTCGTGGTTGAGGTCCGGCAGGGAACACTGGGCGTGGATGGTTGTGGTTGAGGTCCGGCAGGGAACACTGGGCGTGGATGGTCGTGGTTGAGGTCCGGCAGAGAACACTGGATCGCGGGTCGCAGTTGGACGAGGAGGACGACGAGGAGGACGACGAGGAGGACGACGAGGACGACGACGACAAGGACGACAAGGAGGACGAGGAGGAGGCAGGAGGCAGGAGGCGGCAGGAGGAGGAGGCAACTGACATAAAATCTAACAACCCTCACCTGGCAGGTAGAGAACAATAAGAGACTAAAATACGAAATGATTGAAAACAAAACGCCAAAAACAACATCCGATTTAATACGTTGGATTTCTGAGCTGGATCAGCAAATGTCGTAGGATCGCATTCGTTTTGTACTCCAAGTGTTAGTTCCAGATTTTTCTGAAGGTTTGCCAAGAACATTACACAATAGATAAGAATTATATATATATATATATTATTTCATAGAAATTCAACAATGATCAATGGAACTTGACTGAACAATACCTAGGATTATTGAACATCAATGGGAATTGAATGAACAAACTCACGATTTCCAAAGGGAATTTCCAGCATTTTCCGCAGTTTTCGCACCTTTCTCATCCATCGGATGTATTTCCAAATCGAGGTTCACTGGTCGCTCTGATCGTCTCTTGGATATTTTGAAGTTCGCCAGACTGTTCCGCATCGTTCAGCGACTCGTCTGCCTCAGAATGGTTTTTTTTACTTCACCTCGGGGGCCTCACCTTGTGGGGAGGGGCCATGCACAGGTGACATGTCTTCAATTCTTGGAAAAGAACCCACTATACTTCAGTATAAGGTCTCGAAAGTGTAACAATCCAATTGAGTTGAGTTGGTGATTTTTCAAAACGAAAAACTGGCTTCCAATAGTTTCAGGATTCAGGATTGGTTGAGCATTCATATTTGGTAGTTGTGGATGTTCATCGCACACCCATTCCGATGGTCCAAAAGGTATTAACCACCATTGAACCAGCTCTAAACAAGCATCATCTCCATCATCTCGGCCACTAAAGGCCATGCGCCCCCAAAAAAAACAACGCCAAAGAACGTGTTTGCCCTTTCAAAAACCAGTTCTATGTCCATCAACACCCCCAACATCGTCAACATATTTGACCACCACATCTCCTTTTTGGGTACCCTCCCCGCATTTCTGGCGCCGACCAATGACCCCAGGCTGCTTCGGACACTGCACGGCATCGTGTGGCGCAATTTCCTGCGACCGCACCACGGCCTGGCACAACAGCTGTATCACAAGAGGCGCCATGTGGGTTACAACCCCAGTTACCCTCTGGTAAACTAACATAACTATTGAAAATCACCATTTTTGATGGGGAAATCAAGTAATAGTATTAATGGGTAAATTTAACAGTTTGCTATTGAAAATGCATGAAAATGCCCATTTATAGTTGATTGACCGAACTTAAAGATCGTGATTTTCCATAGCTATGTTATATATTAGTGACTGCCAGAGGTTATCAGTAGGGTAAGTAGGGCTAGTCCGGTTATAACTGGGGCTACAGCCCACTATTCCGGACTATTCCTGCGGTGAAGCACGATGTATGGCATGATTTTCCATTTGGATAAGTCCAGTTGGGAAAGAATCTGAAGTAATACTAACAGCCTAGTACTTACCAAATACCCCCAAATCTGGGGCAACCTTGGATGGGTGTTCCATGCCGTTCAGCTGCGCAGGTTGTGGCGGGTCTTCCAAGACTTAGATGAGGCCGGGGCGATATGGGGCGATGATCCCAACCGATTTTGGATGCTTGAAACCGCAACTATAAACATTTTTAGATTTTGATATAGTTTGATATTGTATGTACATATTTTGTAAACTTATGGTATCAAACTATATCACACTAGGTACATACATATGCATACACAGATATGTGCATGCTGCATATCTCTCTCTCTTTGTCTCTCTCTCTCTCTCTCTTTCTCCCTATATATATATATTTATATATACGTAAGTACAAGGGCCGAATGATGAGAACCCAATCATCAACGAAGCAACATATTTTGCTCATGGTGTGAGGTAGCTATACCTGTGCTATCCTGTGCTATTGGGACTTGTCGCAAAATCCAGCAACCCCGCGGCACCTAGTTACCCAGACAGTTCACATGTCAAATGGCTATGGATCAAAGGTCTGGCACTTTTCTGTTCACACTAAATAGATGGGATCTATTGATGTGCATCCCCCACACATACATGGAATATCATGGAATCATGTCCTGGCTTTCGTTTTTGATTCATCTCCAAAGCCCAGAGTTTTCCACAAAGTTTCCAGACTGATTCGCAGGGAAAGAAGGGACAGCTGAGCACCGAACAGATGAATTTCTTTTTCATGGTCGCTGGGCATGGCCATCATGGTCGCGGGAGGGTTGAACATTTGGCTGCCAGGGTACGGCAGGGTAAACTAGATGTGGAATAGCCATGGTTTTCCGTTCGGGACATGATGTCCAAATGGTAGGTTTTCCACAGCCATGTTACTTGACAGGAGGGTAAATGTCCATTGATATTCTTCGGTAGATGGATTGATTCAAGGGAAAATTTCAACCACAAACCATTGCTTCAGCCCCCATATTATAGGATATTATAGGTTTTCCTATGCTTTTCCGGGCATTTTCCTTGAACCGAAGCCTATTCTCTGTGGGATATGGCTTGACGTCCGCTCGACAAAAACAACCCTAGGCGATGCGCCTGGAGTTTCCAGAGCGAAAGGCCGCTGGGTTACGGAGAAAAATCCCTGACTTTGGGGAATAGCAAGAATTATAAAGGCAAAACGCAACATCAATATACATTAGTAGTACCCTCTGGTAAATTAACATAGACCCTGGAACTGACCAATTTATAGTGGAAACTAGTCTTTCAACCCCTATCTGGCAGGGTCTATGTTAATTTACTGGAGGGTATCTCCTAAAGGTATCTAAAGGTTAGATCTTGTACCAATTGTATCATATGATTATCATATGTCATATGCGATTCATTTTTCGTTTGGAGTATTGGATGGGATGGCTTGATTTGCCCATCCCGGAATTGAATGGTAACATAAAAATGGTAGCTAAATGGATAGTAAATCAGGCGCACTCACAAACATCCCAATTGAAAATTGCTGAAATCCTCTCTCTTCAGCAATGATTTGCATAAGACTAAGAGCATGCATTTTCCATTGCGTTTGATTAGATAACGGATGGTATCTCCTAATGCATTCCGGTTTCAATCGGTTCGCTTCATGGATAATCTTCCCCATGTGCCATGTTCCTTTTTTTTGAAATTCTCGGGTTGTCGCACGCAGTAAATATGAGTCAATATGCGGAATGCACTCTTGAATCCTTAATTTGTCGGGCTTCCAATCGCCGAGTTGTTTTTTTAAATGTTTTTGATTCATATTTCATCATCCCCATCCCATCTCGAAGTTGATTTGCTTCCCTGGCATCACGCCTCCTCCCATTCGGGTTTGTCGGTGACCCCCATTGAAATGGATTACACAGGAACCATTTTTCCTTGACAATTTTGGGGTACACCCTATTTTCAGACATATCTAGAATCTAGAGATCATATCGTTTGCTACCTATCCCCGCGATATCTGCATTGCATCCCCATTTTTTGCAACTGGATCCCCAAAAAATGTGATGTATCCCATAGTCCCCAATGAACTCACCAACTTATTCTGCAATCACCCAATTTTTCCCATCATCATCCCCCCCATCACCATCTCCCAGTCCCTACACCAAAAAAATCATATTATATATATAATATATATATAATATATATAATATATATAGATATAATTATATATATATATGTATCCGATTATACATCATTATTATACCACTACTCGTTGCGTCGCATATAATTTTTATTCATGTTTCTTGCCTCATACTGGAGGTTATTTTTTGCCATCATGCCCCCAACATTCCCCCCACCCAATGTGCAATTAATATCATAATTAAAGGGAAAAAACATGTTCGAGTGAGAACAATCATCCCCCCTATCAGTAGCTATCAGTTGATATCAGTGATATTCCACATGCAGAAAGGTATAGTTTCTGATAATTCATAGGCATTTCATATCTAGTTAAACTAATAGTTACAAATCCCATTGATATCGATTGATTATATATATATATATATGTGTAGATGTAGATGTGTGTGTGTGCGTGTGTGTGGTAGTAGTTGAAATTTTCCAAAACGCCATGTTTGATTACCAGAGGCTACTTGCCATTACTAATTTATATTGAACAAACAACTGCTATCCCATTGATGTCATCCCATCCCATCATCCCAGATCCACTGATGGATTGATTTTCTTGGGAGTTTTGTTGAAACCGGTTTCCCCCCATCTTGGTCAAAACCATGGGTTTCCGGTGAAGATTTTCCCATGGATTTTCCCCTTCTCCATTCGCCAGGTGGGGATGTCCAAGTCGAAGGTCTTCCGCTCCAACGTCACCATGGCCTCCTCCCACGGCGCCGCCGCCTTTGCCAGCCGGCAGCGCCTTGACGTGAATTTGCCCAGGGATTTCCCTTGAACAACGGAGGAAAAGAGTGTGGAAAATCGTGGAAACTATGGGAAATCATGGGAATATCATGGGAGATGCCAGAGAATGCCCGGCCGCGGCAGTTTCGAAAGTAGGAGATGACTATCAATAGCCTATAGAATATGTCGAAAAAAACACCGGGGAAACCGGAGAAGAAAAACATGACCCATGGAAATCCTGGGGTTTCCCGCATATCATGGGACTAGTGACTAAACACTGGTATATACATATAATTACTGTATGTATGAGATACGGTCAAAATAAGCGTAGACTACTTTAGTAAGGGAGGGTCCAGTTGCGTTGAGAAAGTGCACCAAACCATGTAAAGCGATAGGCCGCCCCCCCCAAAAAATAGAATTTGTAACCATATGAGAATGCATTAAACTTGGTGTAAACCAAGCAAATATTGTTGTGTGCCTTCACGCGATGGGCAAACTTGATGAAGCAAATTCAACATGCAGTGCCCACGTTTCTTGCAGTTGCCATATCATGCGTTGCCCAAGGTGATTGAACCGTTGCTTTCTGCATGCAGTTTTTTCTTCCAAGTCCCAAGTCAGTAGAATTAAACTCAACTAAATGCGACCGAATTCTGAATCAAATCAAACAATTGTTTTAAATCTATATAATTCTGAATTCCGTTTATGTGCTCTAGTTTAATTCGGATTTTGGTTTCCTTTGTTTCCTTTTCTTCTTTTTTCCTTCCTTTTTCTTTTATTTTCCTTTTAAAACGAAATGCCATTGAATTCTGAAGTATACCAAAATTGAATTTGAATCCAATTCTGAATCCCATTTATTTCATTTTTTGTTTTTTGTTTGATTTGTAATTTCTTCTTCCTTCGTTTCCTTTTCTTGTTCCTTCCTTTTTCCTTTTTTTTTCAATTGTCCTTCTTGTTCCACGTTCCTCTTTCTTTTCCTTTCTTGATCATCAAAGTGATCTAATTTAGCGATAATCTTAGCGATAACCTAGTGATAAACTTTTGTTGCAAAAAGGATCCCCGAAGAGGGATAGACTCATTTGATCCCAACAAGAAGAAGGGTTCAACGAAAAAGTGAACAGGTTCTCAACACTAGACTCTAGACATCACTAGACCATCAGATTGTTCTGAGACTTGGGGAGCCTAATGCACTTCTTCATAGCTACAAACGCTTCTTTAATGGACCATCTTCAATTTCTAAAGCTTTTGAGCGGGGAAGTGTGGCGCTTTTCTGACGCCATTGCTTAATCAAACAGGGACAAGGGCGAGGTGAACCTTTTTTCGTTTTCATAGAGTTAGTGATCGAAGAACCTTTGGGAACCATTGACCTTAATTAATTACTGTCTTTGTAGTTCGGAGTTGAGATTGTAATAAAATTCCTTGCTTAGGAAAGAGTCATAAAGAGTCTAGGAATGTGCTTAGATAGCGCCAATTCCGCTTCATTTTTGCATTATTTAGTGTTGATTTGAACAAAACACTGTAAAGCGATAGGGCCCCCCAAAAAAACATCCAAAAACGATAACTTATACTTTTGTACCAGGCGTAAGCAATTGATTTTGACGCCGGCTCATATATACACAATATCATTGGATATTTTGACACCATGCAGTCAGGTCGATCGAAAATACCTGAAAACCTTGGAATGATGTGGAAAGCGCACAAACTGGATGGATAAAAACATGGACGATACTGTGTAGAAAACTTGAATTAGAAGAAGGCACCTCGACCCTCCGTGTAGCCATTCTATACCAATTTTCAAAAATTGGTGCATCGCAATACCATAAAGATAAATTTGTTTTCACTTTTATATTTTTTATGTTTGGTTTTTGCATATGTTTGGTGGGTACGTTGAGGCCCTAGACATTTCCAAACATTGCACATCTATGTCGTTTTTGTCTACATTGTACTTACAAGGTGGGTGAGGTTAAGGATAGGTTTCGCCGCGGTTTCGCCGTCAGTCTAGTAAAGAACAGATTGAAATCCTGCAATGTTACATTCATCGATGGGTTTTGCCTTGTTTTAGCCACCAAAAACGGGATACATCATGTTCATGGTTTATTCTTCATGATCCGCATCCTCCAGATGAAGAGATCCACTGCTAAGTCCGGCGGGTCATTTCGTAGGCCTTAGGGAACGAACCCCATTCACCCGGCGACTTGCAGCGCCATTTTCAGGGGTATATGGTCCCCTTAAAATGGCTCGGGTACCATCCCGTCAATGGGGGATCCCAGCATATCAAACATATCAAAACAACGTTTGGAGATTTTTGGGATGAACATCCATAGCAACATCCATAGCAACATCCATAGCAACATCCCAGCCATTTTCGTGTGAAAACCCGGGGGAATCCATGGGCGCCATGGGGCTTCAAGCCGGGGCCCACCAGCGACGGTGCCGCCACGCTGAAGGTATGGAACCATGATGAGCCTGAAACCGGCGGCGCTGTCTCGACTGCCGCCTGGCAACGCCTTGGAGGTATAGGATGATTTTTTAGGTTACCGCAAGTTGTGCAAAAACCAAAGCAGAACCATCCATAAGGTCAGATATATCCACAAAAAGGTTGGATTTTCATTGATTTTTTAGCTCAAAATTTGAATCTGGAAAATCCGACTGGTGAAAAATTAGTTGCCAAATAGATTTGTAAACTGTTTACATCCCGCTAAAACAAAAGGTTTGAAGGGGATGCTGCATCTCCGGTGAATGGCGAGCTGGCATCTTCACCGGAGACTTCACGGCCCATGAGAAGTTGGTGAATTGCCAGAAAATTCGCATACAAAAATGGTCAGTCAGCTAGATGATCCAAGAGGATGCACTGAATAGTTTGATACTAATGTTTTATCTTCAACAATTGGGACATTGGGATTTTGTTCAATATACTCTCAGATAATCAACCGTTGCAATTGAAATCACCCACGGAGAGAGAGAGAGAGAGAGATGATGTTCCTATTAAAACTCCAATTTGTAGATGATTTTCAATTGCTATGTTTACCGGATTTTTTTTGCGCATCACCAGGCGATGGGTCTCATCCCCACTTCGCAGGTCCCATTTCGCTCCATCCTGGGACCTACATCCGACGGACTGTGATGGCACGTTCGCTTCCATCATCGATGAGTTCAACGTGAGGCGGGACGGGTGCGGACACGGCGATGTAGGCTGGCAAGGTAATTTATGAAAATTTGTGACATAAGATTTATATAGATTTATGAGGTAGCATGTGGTAACCCAATTTTTGGATGTTTTGAAGCCGTCTTTTCCAAACTCGATGTTCTCTGCTGGGAAAGAAAAAGATAATTACAACCATCCCAGGGCTACGAACATGATTTACTTTTAATCTTAATCCATGTTCCCAGTTCCATCTGACTGAGATTTGAATAGGTTTCAATCATTAAACATCTTTATAGTCAAAGGTGAACAAACAGTACACTACAGGCATCCAACATCTTAATTGCTTTATTATATATAGAATCCAACCAGTATATGTATCTTCGAGAAGGCGATGGAGAGAGATAGAGAGAGAGAGATATTATATATTAAATATTTAAAATGTACGTACAATATGGTATAGATGTACACTCATCTTTGATTACTGTAAATTTTCCTCACACCATGTTTTGCCAGGCCGGAGGGCAAGCGCGCCTTGACGAAGTGTCAAGAGGACGTGCAGCGCGTCAAGGCGTCCTTCTCCTTGGTGCAGAAGGCGTCCAGCAACTTCCCTTGGGGATCCGTTAAAAGGGGCAAAGCCTGAAAGGTTCACCGGTAAACTATGATAAACTACCATAGATGATGAAAATGGTGGGGTAAACTAGGGTAAATCTATGTAAATGTACCATATACTACCATAGATGCGGAAAATGGATGAACATGATCTATTTCTAGATGACTAGCTAGAAACATCATGGTGATATGCCAGACTTCCATGGTCAACCAGGGGTTCAGCAATATCCCGGGTTCGACACCACGTTTAAAGATAGGGTTACAGAGAGTTTATTATTGGATCCATTTGCGGATAGGTGGTCTAGTTTGAATTTTGTGCGTGAATATGTTCAACCATGTTTAAGCCTATTGGGGATGATTCAATGATGATGTCCAACCAGACATCGAACATCATGGTGATGATGATGGTGATGATCATTCATGATCATGATCATGATCATGATCATGATCATGATCATCACAGCTATTACCTACAATCATTAATATCATGATGCTAAGATGCCATCTTAAGTCATGCCACCCGTGGTGTGGTCTCCACCAGGTGAGTGGTCCAGTGGTGGTGAAAGTCTGTTTGATCGTGCTGGGCGTCATGGGAATCGTGATCCTCCTCGATGCTTCGGTCGAGGAGGGCCCGGGACATCCCGGGACACGAAGTCCGAGAATTTCCAGAGATTTCCAGTGCATTCCGGGAAAATCAATAATTTTCCTTCATTTTTATATGCTGCAAATGATACAGTATATACAATAGTATATATATATATAATTACATGTAATTATATGAGATTTATGTTATAGTATTATATATACTTAATATACTTACTAGCATATGACATGGAGAGATGAATTCCAGTTGGCCGATTTTTGGGGGAGCTGGGTGGAAGGCAACCCAGTGCATGTCCCTTCGTCCTTGGATCTAAGAAATGAAGCGGCTTACAAGATATGGAAAGGAAGCTAGACAAGTTGCTGCTCTCCACTTGTAAGCTCATGTTTATAATCCCCATTACATCCCATTACTGTAACTGTAATATACTAAGGATGATCAAATATGATATGATCCAATATGTTGGTAGTTCATTTGTCACCCCCATTATCTATAGATACACAGCGATTTTTGCCGCGGGGATGAGCGACAGGACCATGGTGACTATCAGCACCTGGCTCATTTAGACCACTTGGCCACTTCCATGGAGCACAGCGGGCTGCTCCGGCTGGAAATCAAAAGTTGACCTGGTTGGAAGAGTAAGAAGAGGATTGATAAACCCTGGATTGGTCAACCCCGAGAATTTGGATTGATTGATTGATTGATTGATTGATTGATTAGTGATTGATTGAATGATTGAATTACCCCAAGGAAACAAAAAATAAGCAATAATTGTCGAATTATTTTCTACTTAAATGGTGCCCACCCATGATCAACAGCACAGGGGCTTGAATCAAATCCGGGTTGACATAAGTTGTTCGCTGATCGCAGTGGCATGCAGGGCGGAAGATGGTGCCCAAGCTCGTTAACATGTTTTTTATCATGTCTATTGTATATATTAATTTATATAATTATATAGCATTTATATAGCTGTTTTTAAAGATAACTCCAACAACTTTTGGGTGAATGGTACATATATCTAGTGTTCTATAGTATTCCATAGTATTCTATGGGAGTAACACAACACACATTTCGCTGAGAGGCACCGCCAGTGGCTGTGGATTGGACGTCATTTTTAAGCCACCAGTGACTAATGGTGGAATGGTTTATAGCTACTATGAACAAGGTGAAATTGGGGATGGTTTATTATTTTTACCAACATTGTAACGTTACTGTTAAAAGATACTATGTGATACTATGTGTGTGTGTGTGTGTTGGTGATTTAGTTCGCCATTTTGCGCCTGACATCTCGTGTTTTTGAACCCCAAGGTCCTGCGCTGCTCTTTGCCATGCTGTGGACGATTTCGTTAAAGCTTCGCCACATGTGGCGAAGATGGCCGGCATCCATCAGGTGTATCTTGGTGGAGTGCGATCAGGATCATCCCGCGGCACGTTCCTTCGATTTCCTTCGTAACCACCGTGAGATGCTGAGTAAATCCGTTAAGTTTCAGTGATGCCATACTACATGATAATCCTAATGGAGATCAGTTTCAGTGTGGTTATCCCATTTATAAATGATCCCATTTAAGAATGATAAAGCTAGTAAGTGGATTAGCAACCATATGTAAATGGATAACCCGACTGAATGGGGACTTGCTGACAACTCAACCTTAGTTCATAGATATGGTTATAAATGGCGATTTAACCACCCACAATACGCCAATGGCAATATACTATGATGGGTCGCTGACCCCCCATAGGGGATGAAGCAACAGACTGTGGATGCTTCTGGCTGAGAATTTTCGGACGACCCCCCCACATCAGCAGTTTATTTCTTGTTTGTGAATTAGTCATAATTCAGCCAGATGGGTCATGGGATTGGCTTGAGGGAAGCAATGTGCTATAGACACATGTTTATGTTTTCCTGCAGATGTTCTCCCCCCCCAAAAAAAAACATGGGTGCTGGGGGTGAGACCTGAGAGGTTCAAAAGTTCACTTGATGGGGCCTACCACGGCTTACTCACCACACTTGACTATCTTGACTGGTTAAACCTTGGACAACCGGGGATATACATGAACTATCCAGCTGTTTTACATCTATTTTTGGCAACATGTTTCTCACATGTGTTGAACCATTTGGCTTTCCAGATGTCGCTAAGGTACTGGACAGAGACATCCTGCGAATGTTCGAATCCTTCTCCAAGCTGGTTGGAGGTCAGATGAAGCCCGGGAGATTCGCAGAATTGAGGAATCTAACAATGAAGAGAAGTACTTCCTTTAAACAGTAATCTTTTGGAAGTGTTGGGACCATTTGGTATGACTATAATCATATATGATCATCATGTGTTTTTTTCCATGATTTTGTTTTTTTCCAACTGTTCGTGCAAAAAAGGTTCCTTTGATTCAGCATGCTGTTGTTTTCCTGAAAATAATTCGGCTACTCCAATTGTGTATGATGTGTTGTGATTAGTTGCCTAATCATAGTCTTTCCCATTAGGATTGCCATATTTTTTGGGCACCCTCTTGTTCAGACAGACTCAGATCATAAGTTATCTCAAGTTATCTCCCATTAAGTTCGCCTCCCCATCATGGTAGGTTACACGGTTACACCCCCATGATATCTCTATGATATCCCCATGTTTAACGTGGGCCGAATAATAAGGCCTCCATTGTCAATCGTCATTGGTTATGAGAAAACCCCGCCCCATGATATTCCCGTTGGATCCCCATTATGATAGGCAATATCCCACTATATCTTATTATATATATATATATAATTTGATCCTATCATATCTCACAATATCCCACTATATCCCATTATATCTATATAATAGTGCGATAATTTTCATGATATCCCATTCATGGCATTTACATCTCATTACATCCCCATGAACTCCCATAACAAATTCTGTCTTCTAGGTGCTACGTGAAATCTGAAATCCCTAGTGATAGATTCCATTTTATATCATGGCCATAACAAAGCCAGAATTCCATGAAAATCATGAAATCCCACAACATCCCCCATAGAAATCACCATATTTTCAATGGAATCCCAGAATCACCAGCTGAAAAGATCGTGATTTCATCAGGATAATCCCCATAGAAATCAGCGATGCAGGTGGCCAAAGAGGTGGCCCTGACGGAAGAGCACCAGCCGCACGAGCTGCAACTGGCGCCTCGGATCTGTCGGAGAGAGAATGGGTCAAATTTTAATGGTGATTCTTCATGGTGGTCCACAGGGACTTCATAGGGACTTCATGGGATTTCAATGGATTTCATGGGAATTCATGGTGATTTCATGGGATTTCATGGTGATGAATAGGGGTTTCATGGGATATAATCCCTCAATCTGGGTAAAACATAATAAATTATAACGACCTCTGGGCCACACACGACAAATCTCATCGGGCAGATTGGCATGTTTCTTGCTTGGCTCAGGTGTGCTACCCCAACGAGGACTGCACAGGCCGTGATATGTTCATGGACCCTATGGCCCTATGGTATATAGATATAATATGTGTATTTATATTGCCATTCATCATCCAATATATATATATATATATACACGCCAATGTTTCAGCGCCCCCGATCCCTTCCGTACACCTCCCCGGTGTCGATGCTGAACCAATGGCACCGCCAAAAAGCGGCTCCCTTCATAGGCACCGTCACCAGCGTGGCGCTGATGAATATCCATGAGTCCGTGCGGGAGGATGCGCAAGCAGATTTGGCTAGGAGCTCAATTTCCTCAATCAACATGGAATTGGAACAGCAAACCTTCTGACATTGGAATTTGAGAATTCGACTTCGAGTCTCAGCGCTCATCTGACTTCATAGCGATTGGTTTTAGAAAACCGGCAGGAAATGCTGTTTTGTTAAATGTTTTTGAAACTATCAAATGTAGGAACAGGCCATAGGATGGCATATGGTAAAGCTTGTAGATTTGCCAGCTGAAACCAATTCTGGAAGTTTTGTGTTTTTTTTTGCTGTTCAGTTTTTTTTAAACCATGTGTGTAATGCTTTTTTTAGGTCTACACCTTGATCGTAGTGGTGCTGATGGTCATCTTTGCCCTGGCCTTCATGCACGCCCTCAACAAGGCGCATCGACTGGGCCAAGTCACCCAATCCTGGTTTTGAGGCCAACATCGCTGGGAGTAATGGATGTAAATGATTGCAAATTGATGTTAATCCATGTTAATCCCTCAAAGATATTCCATGTTTCACATGTTTCACCAATGTCTGCAAAGTTCATGAATTTCATGGTGTTTCATAAGTATATAAGTTGACACATTTGCATGGGACTAAAGCATTGCTGCTAGGATCAAGATTGGATTCTGTTGTGGAGCCTATGACCTCCCATGTTTCCTATGGGAGGTGAACACCAGAATGCTGCACCCCTTGTGGAACATCTTGGATGACATGGCCTCTCTACGCTCTCTGGAAGCAGTTCGAATGACCAATTTTCAGCCTGCCAGCAACATGCTCAAGGCTCGGCCAGACAGGGATGCTCAACGCTTCTGCATGCGACACCTCACAAGGAAACATAATTACATTGCATGATGGTTTCACCATGTTTCAACCATAGACCATAGATTCTCCAGGCACCAGGAGAAAGAGAATATCCCTCCCGGCATTTTATTCCTTGGTGATTGAAAAGGCATTCGGACCAGGTCAATGTCACAAACGCGATTTATGTTCGACGAGTTGGCCCCAATGTTTTCATCACAAGTTGGAGGATCATCACACTGAGTAACTGGTTAACCCTAATCCTGACCACTAAGTCTATCTAAGTCTCCCAAGCAGGCTATCCCCACTTACAACTGGCTTCTAGTCCCCAGGGCTGCTCACTTCTTGCGTCAGGACCTGCAGCACAGTGGAAAGAAGCGCAGCACCTGTCGCAGACTGCTCCGCTACAGCAAGCGCAGTGGCCAGTGGGCCTGCGAGAGCAAGCCCTTCGCCTCGGAAAATCCAAGTGTGTGGGGGAAGAAATTGAGCAGTGCTGGAAATAATCCTTAAATTGATCCAAATTCACTAAATTCACCTTGAAAAAAGATGGGGCTACTTTTTCGGCTCGGAGCTCCACAGAAACTCCTACAGGACCCCCAAAAGCACCCAAAACCACTGAAGTTTTGAGCCCAGGAAAGAGGATGATGTGAAAGAACTGGCCGTGTCTTGGCTGACTTTAGATCAGGGTGGCAAAAGGGATAGAGGGTTGTCAAAACTTCGGACCCCATCAGGATTTCCAAGATCCACCTATCATTTGTCGACGTTCTTGCAACCGACAACCCCAACACCAGCACCAGGTGGCACTTTGCCAACGTCCAAAACAGCATACCACGACCAATTGCCAAAGAAAAAAAACATATGCCTCCATTATTCTGCCCCCACCATTGTTGAGGTATGTTGAGGTTAACCCATGTTAATCCCCATTAGCCTTGGTAAAACCATCGAGATTGTCAATTTCCATTGCGTCAAACATCATCAAGCCCCAACAATTGTCAATGTCCATTTTAGTAAAATCCCAACAGGCCAATGTCCAGTGGATCCAAAAAATGCGTAGAAAATTCCATTGCTACAATTCCCAAAGTGGTAAAATCATGTAAAATCCTACAATCCTCTGAACACATGTCCGTCCCCGGAAAACCTGTTCCAGTCGCAGCGCCAGGACTTGCGCTTGTCCTTGTCCACCATGCGAGCTGCCCTGCGGTCCTGGGCCAAATATGTCCCGCCATATCTGCTGAAGTCCTTGTAACTGGTCCAACTGCTCCTGGTTGATGGATTTTACCAGAATTTGGTGCAAAGGTCATGACAACTCGGAATTCGTCAAAGAAAAAACGTGGGTTTCCTTGGAAAAACCATCTTCAGAACATTTCAGAACAGTGTTTTCAAATTAGCACTGATGTTCTCATGATTTGACACGATTTGACAAATTTGACCATTTTCGGTTACCAGGTTTATCATGATTTACGACGGTTTATCATGATTTATGGGGTTTCCATTCAACTTCTAGGGATCATCCTTACTGAGTGAACATGCTGATGTCCAAGTACCTCACCTGGGGTGAGCCACGACACATCCGTACCTGGGGCCGAGGTATAGATCCGGGGTAGAGGCGCTCCTCGAATTTTGCTGCAAAGCAGAGAGGAGTCACTGCTTGAACCTGATGCCCCCACTTTGAGCCTGGTTATACAGCTAACCTGTACCTGCTAGAGATTGAAATATATTGAAATCCAATGTCCTCGTCTTGAGACCGAAAGTTCTGTCATAGTTCACACCCTCCAGGTGTGTACTGACCTTAGGAAGTCAACGCTACTTTAGCTAAATGTACAGTTGAATTTCCTACCCATGCAGTAGATCCAAAGTTTCCATGTTAGGTGCGCTTCCATGTCCCCCAGATCTGGGTTTTCCGTTGTGGTTCAGGCCACCGTTGGCTTTCACGAGAATGAGGTCAGCATTTTGTTCTGTGACCCGGCCCTTCGTCCGGGGTCAATCAGAATTCACAATACACCAAGCTCACACAAAGATGGAAAGAAGATGAAAGAAGACAAAGTAGATCGGAACATACTCCAAAACATGCTCCATAGTAGATTGGAACATGGTATATCATAAATATATATATATATATACTATATACAGTATATATATATATATATATGTGTGTGTGTGTGTGCAAATTATATATAAATTCAAGCAAGTACTTAGTGTATCTTATAAGCGTGTGTATCCCTGGATATGGGTTTTGCTAGTGGAAATCATGTTTGACCATGGGGTATCCTGTTGAAGCCGCTTAGCAGGTGGTTCGCAGCCAGGGTGATGATCATTCCATGGTGCCATGGTGTTGAACGTGAATCTGCCCTGGCTCAGGTGACATTGACGGTTTCAGGGAGAAACTTGGTGACGCCAGAGTGACCTTTTTCTAGTTCACTCCAAGCCTTCAAGTTGTGAGAGAGAGAAAAAAAAACTTCATAGATCTTCATAGTGTCTAGTAGATATTCTATTGTTTTCCAACTTCATAGTATTTTCATAGTATTTTCTATATTTCTTTCAAGGTGCAGTTTTTCTCAATCTGATCTATGAAGCCACCAGGATGTGTCGAGATCGGAGTCCCAAAGAGGTCTTAACTTTACTCAGTTTGGTCCATGGTGAAGTGCCTGGGCTGAGTAACGTTACTATACATCATCTGGGGGAGAAAAAACTGGATGTTTTAGGTATGATTTATGGGATATTTATGGTGATTGTAATGGATTTAATATGTTTTAATGTGTTCTAATAATATGATTTAATATGTTTTAATGGGATGGATTGGTGGTGTCAGGTTCTAACCAATAATGGATGTTGATGGAATATGTCTGTGGATACAATTTTAATTATAATGGTTGTAATGATGATTTATGCATCAAAAATTCTTACTTACAGTAACATACAGTAACCAACTATTTAATCCTCTTATTTTTGATATATGATGGGGGTAGAATGGGTAACAATCTAGATAAGATTGATCGAGGCCTCACTGCGCTTGCCGCACTGAAATCATCCCAAGCTCCAGCGAACTTTGCAGCAGGTTAGCGAAGCAAAACGCTTCGCCTAGAATATACGTATGATTATGGGGCAATGTGTGCCTTCTGGTAATTCAACAATAGCTCTGATATTTATCATAATGATCAATCACTAAAACATCTATAAATGGGCTGTGTACGGTAGCTATCTTAAAATAATACCAGAGCGCAATTCTATTGCAAGATGACTTTGCAATATGACACAATCATATAGACATCATTAGAATATGATTTGAGAGTAGGCCTTTTATATGCCTTGGTTTTCTTACTGATGATCCTTCATGCTGTAGGTACGTACACCTGCAACAACCACCAATTATTGTTTGCACCCAAGCACCATGCAGCCAGAAATAGTGAATGATTGAGTCGCAGGACACCCTGTTGACATACGCTGCTGTCTCACACCACTCACTCCCAGATGGGTACGGGAAACTTCAGAGGATTTCCTATTGAAAATTACAATTTATAGTGGATTTACCCATTGAAAATGGTGATTTTCCATAGTTATGTTAGTTTACCGGAGGGTAGGGGTTTTCAAACCATTGACACAAATACGAGACGTGGTTGGTAGTTTCTCGAAGGCGATGGAGAGAGAGGGAGAGGTTGGTAGTTTCAATCCTGTTGCATGTTCAACGCTACAAATGGCATTGTGGCGGCCTGTGGGGATCATGTTTTGCAGGGAGTGGCTCAAGCAATAACCAGTATATCAAGATCTACAAAGATCGGGGATATCCCCATATTCATCCATATTCCCCATCAGTTGATTGATGTTGATTGTATCAAATCCCAATGTTCATCATGTTCATCATATTTGATTGTTAAATCATGTTAAATCCCTATGAACATGCCACATGTTCATGGTTAAATTCCCAAATGTTCCCCAGAAGTTGATGAAAATCCCCAATCTTTTGCTCAGGTGTCCAATGCCATTGAAGCTCAAGTTGGCACCCTGCTAGAGTTCGTGGGCGATGAGGCCGGCCCTGGAATTTGTTTTGCGGATGTTTTGTGGATGTTTAGTCATTCAATGATATTATTTGATATTGAAATTTATTGTTGGCTTTTTTGGGGATATTTGGGTATGATTTTGTTTACACTCAATGTTTGAATATTCTTAGCCCGTGATCTTTGTCAATACTGTGTCAAAGCTTCAGGATCCTTAACACCACTGTCCACATCCTTCAAACTAGGTAAATCTTACATTTTGGCACGAAGAAGGCATACATTCTCCAACAGAAAGTTACATCATTTTGGATCACCACAAGGCGGTACCCCCCACTTATAAGTTTGTTTATCAACTGTTTGATCAATCAATCTTGGCAAATTTCGATAAACATTTGGTTAATTTCGGCTATTTGAGCTATTGCCATTTGAAGCCTCGTTAACTAGTTCGATATATACCATAACTCAAATGATTATTGGAGTTGTGTCTGCCAACTTGGCGATTCTTCATCCCCAATTGGTTGGTTGAACCTCCATTGTTTTACCCACAAATCCTCCAACGTTATATTCTTATGTTTATGGTCACAATATACCCACAAATCCCCGTTAAGAATAAGGCATCACCATGAATTATCCTTCATGATTGTAAATCCTCCAAATAATCAAGATCATACCATGAAATCCCCATAAAGCCCAAAATAAATCGCAATTTTGGATGTTATTATGGTATTATCCATAAACTCTCCATAATCCTGGTTAATCATCCATCTTCCTCCATCATATCCCCAAAAATCCATCATTTTGGATCCCCGGTGCCAAGTGCACCGGTGGCACCGGGTGCCAGGTCCTGGCAGTCTTCAACGCCCCGAACGAAGTCGTGGACCACGAAGAACATGCCGTGGAGTCAGCCACTGTCGGAAGCACCCAGGGGAGAGGACTTTTCCGTCCTAGGCAAAGGTGGCTAAACATATTAGTTAACGTGGCTAAATATAGTTTATAAACTATTAACATACTAAAAGTCATGATGTTTTCATGTTTTTTTTTTCCCAAAACTATAAAAACTAATATAAACTATTTTTGTTACTATCTGGTGGTTGGGAAGAAGCCGTTCCGAGCTATAGCGGCTATGGCTGTATCCATAATCCCAGAGAATCCCAGTCAACAATGGAAAGCCACGGAGCTAGAATTGTCCCAACTACATGAGAATAGTAAATGAGTCAGGAATGACTGAGGAACAACATGGATCAAGCAAAGTGTGCTTCCTGATTTTCATGAGCAAACATTGGATTTTTCCCAGTGCTAGGCGAGATTGGCGGAGCCAAAGTGGGCCAACGTGCATGCAATTTCCATACTAATCTTTGATTGCGTAGCTGAGGTAGTTGGATGTCCATAAGTTCACGGTATGGAGGTATCGATTATATAATGTATATATATTGGTATAGGTATATATATATACACCTATATTTGATAGAGGCAGGCCCCACCAGTTTTATCATTGCTCCATGATGGCCATGTTTCTTCAACAGCAACCCATCCGGATGATGATCCCAACTGACCATGTATGATATTCTTCAGATGGGTGGCAGAACCATCAGGTCAATAAAGAACTCAATCGATAACGGTGAAATATCCCCATATTAATTCCCATGTATTTTGGTTACAGTAAATCTCAGTGTTGATCATATTTTCATGCTTAAAAGTACCAGTTGGGTGGCTCAACCACCGAGCGCCCACAAAGGATGTTTTAGAGCGTGCTGATCGCTTGGGTGTGCGGATGCGCTGCGGCGTGCATTCGGGCAAGGCCAGAGATGTTTCGGGTGACAGGACGTTTTGCACGACGTGAGGCGTTTCGCCGATTTCTTTTTATTCGTTCACAGCATATATAAATAAATATGTATATACAGTAATATTACATTGCAATAAACAAAGAAATATATATATATATAATTTATAATGTCCACCTCTGATTTATAAATAGGCCCCCCCCCCTCTTTGACCCTAAATAGACTTAAAGCCACCATCAAACTTGTTTGTATGTAAAGGTTTTCAATTACCACAATTGAAAACGAATACATAAAATGCAATTTCAAAAAAAAAGGAATCCAGCAATTGTTTTAGTATTGATCTAGTACTCATGTCATGGATTTAGTATTGATTTATATTGATTTAGTATTCATGTCATGGATTTAGTATTGATTTAGTATTCATGTCATGGATTTAGTATTGATTTAGTATTCATGTCATGGATTTAGTATTGATTTAGTATTCATCTCATGGATTTAGTATTGGTTTAGTACTCATTTCATGGATTTAAAATTGATTTAGTATTCATTTCATGGATTTGGTATTGATTTGGTATTGATTTAGTATTGATTTAGTATTGATTTAGTATTTCTTGATCAGCGGGAGGGGGAAGCTCAGTAGCTTTATTCAGGGTCAAACTCTAATTGGTGCTAAGGCACCTCATGGGGAGTACCCTTGATGAGTTGATTTGGAGTTGATTTTGGATAAGTTTAAGTAAAGGTTTTGAATAGAAAGAGCATCCATCATTTTTGACAATTTCCAGCTATCATTTTTGAATAAAGGTTTTGGTCAGCCCCATCTGGGCAAATCTGGATTTAGGGCCAAAAAAATTTAGCACTATTTAGGGTAGTTTTATTATTTAGTTTGGGAGTTTTTTTAGCACTATTCAGGGTAGTTTGATAAATCGTAGGTCAACATTAGAAGGAATAGAAAGAGAGAGAGAGAGAGGGAGAGAGAGAATACAGAGAGAATAGAGAGAGACAGAAATCTTGAATAAAATGTGTGCGAATTCAGGTTGGAACTGATATTTCTATGTGTTTCTATTTTGCCGGGGGCCTCTTGTCTAAGCTCGCCGCTGGCATCAGGTGCTGGTGGGGAACATTGGCTCCCAGACCAGGATCAAGTGCCTCCAGCATGCCGTGAGGGCTGGATGCCGCAAAATGATCACAACATGGGAAGATCATGGTTTAATGGAGATTAATGATGATGATACTGTAGTATTAATATAATTGTTAAAGTATAATGGGAATGTCAATTGTAAATAATGGGTGATATATATACATGGTTAAATATCAAATCACCATTAGATTAATTTGGAATATCACTGTAAAAATAGTAATTGTCATTAGTTTTCAATCCTTATTATGTATTGTAATCGTTTCATATGGTTGTATAAAGGGAACATTTTGGATGAACTAAATAAGGGATTGGTTAAAACTAATGATACCATTTTGGGGGGCATGAGCATCAATGTAAGCCAGCTATTTTGACGATCACCATGAAACCACCCATGGCCAAGTGACAATGATTATCCACTGATCAACCATCAGATCTTGGGGTACCGACCAATTTTCAGCCCTTTTTCACTACTTTTTGCCATGGTTCAGGTGGAAATACCCTCTGGTAAACATACAAAAAACTATGGAAAATCACCATTTTTAATGGCTAAATCCACTATAAATGGCCAATTTTCAATAGCTATGTTAGTTTACCAGAGGGTACTGATCAGGGAAAATCGTAAGTAAAAACACCGTGCACACTTGGCCCTCTTGATAAAAGTGATAAGACCTTGCATGTTCAACAGGACATCCAAATATCAGCTGGTTCCCCATGTGTTGAATATCCACCAATGGCCCAAATTTTGGAAGCCTGTTTAAGTTTCTATGATTTCATAGTTATCAGAAAACCGATATTGCAAGCATATATCCATACCTGATCTTGTCTTGGAATGTCTTGGATATTTTTTTTGGGACAAACCTCTTTATGAAAAAAATCAAAAGATGTGTTCCCTGAAAGGGTAGATTTAAAGACGTACTTAACATTACCCCACCAATTTTACTCTATATCTATATAAAGCTATACCTGGATAATCCATCTGTGCAAAATTATCGCTCGAAATCCGAAACAGCAATAATTATCGCCGGTTGCCTAAATTTTCGCCGATTCCAGTTTTTGTTCGCCGGTTCGTCGGATTTTTTCGCCGTTTCGTTGGATTTTTTCGCCGTTTCCAAACCGGCAAACACATGCAAAAACATTGGAAAAATTGCAAAATTACAACAATACAAAGACTGTTCGGAGGCAGAAAAAAATGCCGTGCCGCCGGCAATAATTCCTGAAAAGGCGATAATTTTGCAATGTTTTGCCAATTTTAAGCCTACCTTAAAGCATCTTAAAGCCAAGCCTTCCTCAGATTGCCACGCCACGCGCTCCGCGATGCCAAAAAAGGTACGGGGTCCTGGGAGACTCGGTGAATGTGGCAGCGCGGCTGAAGAGTTTGAACTCGCACTTTGCCACCTGCTGTCTGGTCTCCGACGAGAGCCTAGAGGAGGCCCCACCTGGGAGGGATGGGGCTGGGGGTAACCCCGGGAAGGTTGTTCTGATTGGGACTGGGGAATTTGATAATTATATATATATATATATATATATTATATGATATTATTCTAGGTGTTGAGCAGTTGAGCTTTGTTTGTTTTGATTGATGAGCTCAACGACTAAGAGCTATGAGTTAAAGTAGAGGTTATGGGTATGAGATGAGATGATATGGATGTCAAAACCGAATGTCAATCCATGCCACAAGGTACAGAGTGCGTGCCTTTTAGCAGGGCACTCCTTTCACCGATTACCCAATTCAATTATCATCCCCCATAGAGCATGCAGTCCCATGACATGCCTCCAAGGCCTCTATAGTATATAGATAATCAAGATGCATTGAGACACAAACGCACCATAACTTTGAAATTGGCATACTTCAGAAAATTCAATCCTACCTTTTTTTAACAACCCTAGCCATGTTATAACATGTTGAGGAAAATCATGTTAACGCAACCCCTTCAACGAAAAAGACAACTGCCACATTTCCGAAATGTGATCCCCATGGTTCTTTTGATTTCCTGGGATCACTACTGTAACAGTTACAACACGTGAAAGATGATAATTACCCAAAAATAAAATGAAATCAGTGGACTCAGTAGACCTTGCACCCATTTTTTTAGATATCTATTATTATTATTGTGATAATTATTGTTCCCAATGTGATAGACCCAAAAATAAACCATCTCATTTTAACACGATAGATGGGTGGGATTCCAACCATCCCCACATGGTATTTGTATTTGTTTGGCATTGGGTTTACCATGTTGACCATATTAACACCCCCAAAAGATAGTTGGTAAAATATACCTGCAATAGTGATAGAAGTTGGGTTCAATGTTTCCCTACTTGGTGGCTTATCCCACTCAAGTAGTTGATATCCCTGTTTTGTGGGATACCCCCTGCTAGACTAACAATCTAACATACCTATTGAAAAAAAAACACTAATTTTACTAGCATCATCAACTATAAATGGCCCATAACTATGGAACATGACAATTTTTAATGGGTAAATCCACTATAAATGGGCCATTTTCAATAGCAAACTGTTAGTTTACAATTGGGCCAAGGCTGATGACCTCCACAAGAGCTACGTGGCCAGACCGGTGGGAAATCTGGTGCTCAAAGGGCGGAAGTCAGCCACCAAGGTGGGAGAACATCGAACGTTGAGAGCCAGGAACCCAGGAATTCATAAGGATTTCATGGGACAAAATGATGGAGTTTCATCCAAAAAAAAATGATGGAACAATTGTAACCAAATAGGTTTAAAATGGTGGTGAAATATCACCACATGTGGATGTTTGCTGGATTTTGATGGGATTTGTTGGGATTTACGCCAGGGTATATGATAGAAAAATGTGGAAAACCATGGAAAACCAATGAAAACCCATGGTTTCCCGTTCAGAACATATCTACAAATAGCATCAAATAGCGTGGTTATTTTTCCACATCGACGTTAGTTTACCCTCAGGTATTTAATGGGAGTCTACCCTCGGGTATAAAAAATGGGATTATACTGTAGTTATAATGGGAAAATACACTATAGGAAAAATATCGAACTAAATGATTGTTTCTAGTTGGGGGAATCAACTATAATCTTGGATTTGATCAAGATAATTTGGTGAATATGTTCCCCTTTGGGAAATCCACTACTTTGGGAATCGACAAGAGGGACTAGTTCGTTGGTTTATTTTTGTTGGGTGAGGCAAATCCGGGGAAACCACATCTTTGTTCAAAGTAAACATGTCATCCCTTCTTTGGGCAATCTAATCCTCCAGCAGAGTCTTATCCCAAAACGAATCCTCAAGAACCCAAAAATCCAAACATGCCCAGTCCAACAAAAACACACATTCACAATAAAAGAACAAAGACAAAACCAGAAAACAAGTCACTCAATAGCTGCAAGAAACAATCAAAAACCCAAAGGAATTTGCCGAATTCCCATTAAATCGCATTTTTTCTCGGTTAAACAACCATTTTCCCATGGTTTCCCATGGTTTTCCTATGGTTTCCTATGAAATCCCATGGGAATGCCCTCGATTTTCGCCAGGTCTGGGAGGTGCGAGCACGGCGCCAATCGTCGTCACAGACGCTGGCGAAGACCTATGACGCCCATAGGTGGGACAGATTCACCATAGCATGAGATTTACTGGGATTTTAATGGCATTATGGTGGGATTATGATGGGATTTTAATGACTTTAATGGAATTATAGTGATTTAATGGGATTATAGTGAGTTAATGATTTTAATGGTAAATATGAATGGGATTTACTGGTGATTCAATGGGATATTTACTGGTGATTTTTTGGGGTGATACTGTGGATGGTTGCAAAATCCTCCAGTTGATAGTTGATAAGTGGTTTTCACCATCCCATCATAGAATTGGATGATGGGAAAATTTACAGGAAACCGCAGGAAACCCATATATTTCATGGTAAAAACATGGTAAAAACCATGGTTTCCGGTTAAGATTTTCCCGCAGAAACCAATCCGTTGAATCCCATGATTTTCTGGATGCAGGACCTCTCGTATCCTCATCGTAGCGGCTATGAGTCAAAATTTTAAACCCAGAGACCAGAGATTCTAGTCTATTTTTTGTATTAACCATCCGGTTTTGTGCCCAATTTTTACCCACACCCATTTCATGACATATTCAATAGGTGTATATCCAATATATCCTCATTCAGTTCTATATGTTCTATGTTTTTATCCATTTAGCATTCTTTATGTGGCCTTTTTCCCCAGTTACGTCCTGTAAACGTTTGCAGATCGATGGTTTTTTCAAGCCACCTTGTATTTTCATGGGTTTTCCAGGTCGAACTGGATAGAAGTAGCAACATTAATGGGAGATAATGATCTAATAATCTAATCAATAATGGTATATCAATGATCTAACATATGGTTTATCATCAGTATATACACGTAGATAATGATTACTGTAATAATGATCTAATATATCATGGTTTATCATCCATTTAGCCCTTAAAAAGGTCATGAAACGTGGCTGGCCGGAAAATCCTCAGTAAATGGAGGTGACCTGGGAGCTGGTCATCCATGAATGGTGGATTCTCAAGCCATGGAGCTGATTACCGGAGGGTCATATTTATGACCTGACGGGTAATATTTTATTTGGTGATTTTCGGGGATACAATGGTGAATAACTATGTGGAGATAGTCATGGTATTAATTGTGGGGGGATTTTTAGCCTTTCCAGTGGTTAGGAGGGAGCTATGGCATATATGGGTCTCCAGATTCCAGCAAGTTACGGAGCTACGAATTGAGTGGGCCCCGTTTCCACGGCCGATAGCAATGAGTAGCAAGGGGTTACCCTCTGGTAAACTAACATAGCTATGGAAAATCACCATTTTTAATGGGAAAACTCACTATAAATGGGCCATTTCAATAGCTATGTTAAATTACCAGAGGGTAGTCCAGTTGTGTTCAGCTACAAGTTGTGTTGCAGTCGTAACCACTTACTAACATAGGAATATAATGATGCTTAAAGTTGACGTAAATTACGACCCCAGTGCCCCCACATGCATAGCTGTATATAGCTAGGATAGTTCATCCATGTGTTATTGCTATAACTATCCCAATTAATCAATGTTAGTAATTGTCTAATAATGGTATGCCAGATATCAATGGTTAACATGAATTAATATAATTATAACAATGGTATAACAGTTTTTAATTACTTGGATAATATACAGATATGAAACAATATGATAATTCATCAAATAAAAAACATATATTATATTAAGTTACCATTGATGAATAATCATATATAACAATAAATATCAATATTCATCCCATATACGCCATAAATCAATCACCATACGTTACTGTTCATTATATTATTGCTGACATTAATCACCATAGATTACTGATATTAATCACCATATACATCCAGACACATTACAATGAATATCAATAATTGCCATATCCATCACCATATTACAGATTACATATTTAATTGTTGATTGAATCATTAATAATCACCATCTATTACACCATATTGATCACCATACATTACTCCCAGGCGCGCCTTCGAGCTCTTCATCGCCCGACGCTTCGGGGAAGCGCGGCCCTTGCTGGCCGAGGTCGGAGATGGCCGGAGATCGCGGCCGGGAGCGGTACTTTGCATGGCGAGCGGTCATCGAAAAAATGGAGGTTTTAGTGGGAAAATATTCTAGAAATGAAGGTGTTATCCTCGAACTATTTAATAGCTATGGATCATCATTGTTTTTAATAGGTAAATATGGTAAATCATCATCATTTGTGAATGGGCCATTGTCCATAGCTATGTGAAACAACCAGAGGGTAATAGGACAATCATCAATGAATTTTTACATGAGGACCTTTGTTTTTCCGCTAAATTTAAGTTGCGGAGGCTATAACTGGAAGAAATCACGGTATACATACTTAGATCGCATTAAGTATGTATACGTGCAATCACCCTAAACCCAATTAACCCTAGTTAGAAAGTCCCCTAACTGGGCTATCCGTGTATGTATACTGCATACTCATTGTATTTGTTCAATACTACACACGTATATTATAATATAATAGATGATTGTATGTATTTATATGTCTATACACATGATGTTTCAGATACTGATGGAAATGGTACAGAAATGGAAAGATACTTTTTCCATGAGATAATGATGAGATAATGTGATACATCCAATGTCACAATAGTTTGCCCAAGTTCAGTTGGGGTATACCGATACCCAACCCAAAGCCACATTTTTTTCGGTCGGAATGGGAGAGATTTTACTGGTTCGCCATTTCAATGGAATCAGTAATCTTCGCAAAAATGGGGCTCCTTTCAGAAAGTAGTTGGAAACTGATTGGTGATCGTTTCTTGTTGGGCTTTGGAATGACATGAGTGCATGGATGCAAGTATTGGGCCTAGAGAGAGAGAGAGAGAGAGACGTCCAGGTGTGTCGGAGCCTGAAGGGCCGGATGGGCAGCGTGGACATTCCCTCGCAGCACTTGCTACACCTATGCGTTTCTTGACTGCTTAGACTCCAGCGGCTGTGGAGTCTGTGGAGTGGAATTGATCGATAAAAGTGGATTTTTTTGTGGTCCTCCAGTCCTCCCTATCTTTTTCCATCCCCAGGGAGCTTTGAAGTATCCTGTCGCCAAGATTCGCCAAGGACAAATACCTCAAAGAGCCGCCACCGGCTGAATGGGATGGCTCGGAATCCATGAGCAAAAAATAGCACCTTGACAGCAACACAAAAAGTAACAGTCTAATGTCAAACATGGTTGGCTCTTTGAAATTGTCAGCTGAATGGAAGTGTGCATGATTTTAGTGGAACAATCATCTACAAATCAGGATTTTCTTGGTTTTCCATTGCCACGTTACAGGACCTGTTTGCGGATCACTCGTGCGACGCGCCTGTTGAGGCCACAGAAAGAGAAGTGAGCTCTGTGCTGTGTGTATCGAAGGCATTGGGTCGAGTTCTTCATCGTTTTTTTTCCCCTATCCAACATGATCCAGCAGAGCAAGAGATGTTAATATATGTTTATCATTGTTTATCGTGTTTCAAGATGTTTCATGTTCGCTCTTAAGTTAAGTTAAGATGTAAGTTCTGTGTTGGATACTCATGAGGTCTTTCATGGTCTTTCGTCGGGTGTTATATGCCTTCCAATGAGACAGTGAGTCAACAATTCGCGCCAGTGCAAGAAACAGCTCATTCTTTACGGCGAGCTGCCAAATGGCACTCGCTCCTTATGTCAGTGCTTCTCCAGAGAGAGAAGCTACGCGCCAGTGCGGCTACACCAGACGCACTTGCGATCGCACGGCCCGTGCATATGCACAAGATCATGTGCAGATTCAGCCAGTGGATACGACCTGCCAATTTGTGCAAATGTCGCAAGATGTCCCAAACATGTTTATTTTTTCTACGGCTGAATTTACGCAGCAATCCACTGGACAGTAGAGAAGATTGAATTTGAGGCTTTGCGTTTGGCGACTCTTTGGAAGCTTTGCGCAGTGGAAAATCTGGTGGCAGAGGGTGGCAGGCCGCATGAAGCTCCTCAACACAAGTCTCACATAGTCTCACCACAGTCCATATCTGAACTCCATTTTGCCGGTGGCTTATTGACAGCAAATCCCTACTATGATGCTTGCAAATGATCTCAAAACTTCTTGGGTATTTGGATTAGTATTTGGGTCCTTGCTCACAATTCATAAAACAGACGTTCGAGTTCCTCCCATTTTGAACATCCTATCATTCCTGTCCACATTCGTTTTTTTGCAGAGCATGTATTTCTTATCAAGTTTTGGGACCATTTTTTAAACATGTTTTGGGACCCATTGGGACCCTAAGCCATGTGATTCTTCGCTGTATAAACCCATGCAATTCCTCAACTCTTCAGGTGCCTTCCTTCCTCGCTGACTCGGCTCTGTTGGCCCTTCAGGTGCCCATGGCTTGGCTAAGCCTTGGCCGATCAATTCACGCGGTGAATCATTCGTGGCCAATGTTGATAGAACCGCAACCCACCCCAACCCAGTTTGCCATTTGCGGACAGTATCATCAATATAATATAATTAATATAACATAATAATATGATAATAATATGATAACATAATATCACATAATTCTATCTATATCTATCTATACTACAGTATTCCCTCCCAAACTATTAAAAGATCACTTTAGCCGCTGGGTTGACCATGGTTGACCACTTATAACCATGGTTTCTCCCATGATCGCCTGGCCATGTTGAGCGGAAGCCAGAGCACCATGGCAAGGCTGGTGGGTTGACCATGGGTTGACCATGGGTTGACCATGGGTTGACCACGACCATTAACAGGGCACCATTGTCCTATCCAAATGTCCTAGCAACATCATGGTCAATTGGAAAGGACAATTGGGCTTTGTAGATGTCCGATTTTTGGAATTACCCTATCTTATTTAATCGGAAATTTTGGGGAATGTAAATGACCGATTTGTTCACATCAGACAACTATTGGTGATATGATTAATCATTGATCATTCTCTCCAAGAGATACGTGACATGAAGAAATGTTCTTCATTTTGTGACTCGGACGATAGCTTTTCGTGGTATGGTATGTTCATCCATTTCTGGAAAGATTTGGGGAGGTCCACTTATAGTTTTCCCCACCGTTCCCAAGCTGCTGGGCATCAATCAGGATTTGCCCTCGATGCATCCAAAACATGTTGCTGACTTGGTTCAGATCCCCATGTTTGTGATTGCAATCAAATACAAAAACTTTGGTGCCTGGATAGTGCCAGCCTTTGTGGGGGGAAATCCATATTTGACAATCTCGGCAGCGTTCACGGCTCAAGCAGAGCGGAAGAGCGGGCTGTTTTGACAGCTTCACGGTCAGGGTCGGCATGGGTGGTGGGAAACGGGTGATAGGATGGGGGTGTTTCAACAGCCTTCCAAGATAGGGGTTTAATCAAGATACTTACGCCTTACGCTGTCTTACACTAAGAATGATAGGGGAGTTAACCGACCAAACTTGGTATGCCATTACAGTAACCAAATGTGGCGCGGGGTTGGATGGTTTAACCGAAGGATTCCCCCCCAGGCAAATGTAAAGTAGGGGGTAGTGTAGTGAAGGATGGTCCTGGTGGTGACGGAAAGGTCAGATTTGAAAGAGCCATGGCAGCCATGCTGATATCTTCCAGGGAATGCTAAGTTCCCAACATATATATATATATATATACACGTATATTTTTTTTAGATATTATTTATTCATGTTATATATAATTATATATATAGTATAAATGGAGGTTGTATTCTTTGAGATGCTAGACATGTCATATGTTAACCAACGTTAACAATCAAGAATCGGGATATCTTCAGGGGATGTGCATCTCAGCGAGAAGCACTTGATGGTTAACCGATAATCCCCGAAGGCAATGGCCGATCGAGTCTTTGTACGGGGCTTCGACTATGGCACAGAAGAAGATGCCATCAGGGCTCATTTTCAACAGGTGCGGGGTGACAGGCTGACAGGTGAGCAGAACACTTCGTAACATTGGCAGTACAAGTAGAAATTTTATGTCTGGAGTTCTTAATGGCGGCTCTGAAAAAACACAGAAAGTTGTGTTTGTTTTTGTTCACGGGCATGTTGTGTAGATATTTGCTCCATATATGTGTCCAAGTTTCTAAGTATTTCACTGATTTTGGGGGTGCTACATGGTGTCAGACCCCAACATTCTGCATTGGAAGTGGGCCCCTACCAGGATTGGCCTTCGCTGAAAACAGCCGCGAAAAACTGGAAAACTCAGGATGGTGGAAAGAGGAGAATACATATTGATTTGTTGAAATCATTGGGACAAATGCACTGCCAAATATTCATGAAGCATGCCCTGTTTTGCATTCTCATTAAATATATTACATATATTCTGTATATATATATATATCTGTATATACAGAATTTGTCCCGCGTCACAAATTGTGGTTTATCACCTTGGCTTATGTTGTTCTCCCTTCACCTTCTGAGAACACGCCTGACCTATTTTTGAAGGCAACTGGACGACCATCCACTGAGAGGAGTTCTGCTCCCAATTTGCAAGTGCCTAGTGGTCCTAAGCCCTAACAAGCCTTCCATTCCTGCAAGGTTTCTTGGGAAACCCGACACAAACTGGCCTGCAACATGTTTGTTTGTTCACCATTTGCCAGCGCTGCTTGTGGATATTGTAAAAGACGATTTATATAATAGATAATTTAAACGCAGAGGCATAATGCACGCATACATATAAACATACGATAACATACAACATATAGTATATAACATACAAATATCATGTATAGCATGTTGAAGAACTCATTGCATCATCGCAGGGTCAGAACAACATACAGACATATAGAATATCATATATTATAACAACATGACAGCATTAGTGCTATTTATATCTATTTGTATGTTGATATTTATTTCATATTCAGCATTCATGTATAACATACATATTAACTTCTTCAACCATTAATGGTTTCATATTCAATTATTGTGATACCCTCTGGTAATTTAACATAGCTCTGGAAAATCACCATGTTCAATGGGTAAATCCACGAACTAAATGGCCATGTTCAATAGCAAACTGTTAGTCATTACCAGAGGGTATACCATCATATATCCCATTAAATCCCATTAAATCTCATTAAATCCCATTAAATCTCATTAAATCCCATTAAATCTCATTAAATCCCATCAAATCCCATTAAATCCCATTAAATCCCATTAAATCCCATTAAATCCCATTAAATCCCATTAAATCACCATCAAATCCCATTAAATCCCATTAAATCCCATTAAATCCCATTAAATCCCATTAAATCCCATTAAATCACCATTGAATCCCATTGAATCCGATTAAATCCCATTAAATCACCATTGAATCCCATTGAATCCCATTAAATCCCATTAAATCACCATTGAATCCCATTGAATCCCATTAAATCCCATTAAATCCCATTAAATCACCATTGAATCCCATTGAATCCCATTAAATCCCATTAAATCACCATTGAATCCCATTGAATCCCATTAAATCCCATTAAATCCCATTAAATCACCATTGAATCCCATTGAATCCCATTAAATCCCATTGAATCCCATTAAATCCCATTAAATCACCATTGAATCCCATTGAATCCCATTAAATCCCATTAAATCACCATTGAATCCCATTAAATCCCATTAAATCCCATTAAATCACCATTGAATCCCATTAAATCCCATTAAATCCCATTAAATCACCATTGAATCCCATTAAATCCCATTAAATCCCATTAAATCACCATTGAATCCCATTAAATCCCATTAAATCCCATTAAATCACCATTGAATCCCATTAAATCCCATTAAATCCCATTAAATCACCATTGAATCCCATTAAATCCCATTAAATCCCATTAAATCACATTAAATCCCATTGAATCCCATTAAATCCCATTAAATCACCATTAAATCCCATTGAATCCCATTAAATCCCATTAAATCACCATTAAATCCCATTGAATCCCATTAAATCCCATTAAATCACCATTAAATCCCATTGAATCCCATTAAATCCCATTAAATCACCATTGAATCACCATTGAATCACCATTGAATCCCATGTTTTTATTCATGTTGTTAATACACATCTTAAACAGAGATCCACCTGGCCCAGGCGGGCCCAGTGAGCTCGGTGGAACTTTGGGGCAAAGGCCTGCGGCCGACCGGCTGGAACGTTGGAACATTAATGATGGTTAATGAAGTGGATTTATATAGATGGGTATCACTAGGGCATCAGTCTGAAGGTGATGTAGTTCTTTTTTCCACCTCAAACCCCAAAATGCAAATCCAAATGTGCATATTTGGCTTGTGTACCTGAACACATTTTGAAAAGAATATTCCTCATTTTCCTTATTCAAACTTTCACTACCGGAGGGTGCTCAAATGTGGCAATTGAAGATCCACCATGGATAGATGATTCAAGCCTCCATATTTCTAGGACATTTTCCATCCAGCGTGTGATTACCAGAGGGTATCATCATCAAATATCCCATAAGATCTACTGGTTGGTGGTTTGGAACATGAATTTTATTTTTTCCAGATATTGGGAATGTCATCATCCCAAGTGACGAACTCACTCCATCATTGTTCAGAGGGATAGGTCAACCACCAACCAGCCATAATTCACCATTATTAACCATTATGAACCATTATTAACCATTATTAACCACCATTAACCACCATTAACCACCAACCAGTAGAATCCTTATTAAGCCACGGTGAACCTCCTGGATGGCGCTGGAGAGAGGCGCCGCCATTGTAACCTTCAGTGCCCCTGCGGCCGCGGAAGCCGCCGTGAAACTGGATCGAAGCATCATCCCGGGGAACAGCCGCTTTGTAGCGCCTGGGCTGAACCAGGCGGGAAACAATATGGCATATATATATATTATTATATATGTATATATGTATAATATATATATATATATATACACTATACACATCATATATACAATATATATATATGTAAATATATATGTAAATATATATATATATATATAAAATAGTAATATTAGGCACCAATGGCGCTCCTATCTACGGTGGAGCGGTTTGTTTTTGTTCACCCGCTTTTAGCTGACAAATGAGCTCTGTTTGCTGTTTGCATGCGTACAAATCCCTGCGACAAAAAACATGTGTTTTGAATGTTTAAACCTCAAGCAAAAAGACAGAAAAGAAGGTGGTTTCAACATTTCAACATCTATCCATCCATCTATCTAACCATGGATAGACCGATAAATGGTTGAAATGGATGGATGGTTAACCCTTTGTTTTATGAGATCCTCATTTCGTGCCACGGCTGCATCGTGACATTTACCTTGATCCGCTTAGGAAGTGAAGCTGGACGATGATCCGCCACTGGGTGTGAGTTCCACGTTCAGCGCAGTCAGGGATGTATGATAAACATTATAATTACCCTCTGGTAAACTAACATAGCTATTGAAAATTGCCATGTATAGTGGGTTTACCCATTAAAAATGGTGATTTTCCATAGTTATGTTAGTTCACCAGAGGGTAAACATGATAATTATTAGGATTATGTCTATGATGAGTTTATGTTTATAGTATTATGTTATGATAAACGTTTATCATGTCATGGGATATAGCATGGGATTAGGATGATGCTTATGAGTTTTCCAGTTGATGAAAGCTCATTTTTCTTGATTGTCAACCCGTAGGCTAATAGATTGATCCCCCTTGGATGCTTACCGTAGAACAGATGCATAGAACGCTATAAAAAGCAACACACAGCAAAAATATAAACAACCAAGACCTCCATTAAATCATGGAACCCTGGGTGGGGGTAAGGGGCGGTTAAGTAGCTTATCATATAGGAGCCTAATAAGAGCTTATCAGATATCCCCAACGCCAGGGAAAACTGTCTTTATTCCCTGGTCCAACCAAGAATGAAACAAGAGATCCTTATCCAAGGTTTGTTCAGGGTTGGTTGAAGACTGATAAGGGTTTATTAAGGGCTTATCCAGGGCTTAAAGGATAAGCCTTGGATAAGCTTTGGATAAGCCTTGGACAAGCCTCTTTCCCAACCTAATTTGCCTACCCCCCCCAAAAAAAAATCTCCCAAAATCCACCAAAACCCCCCCCCAACCCCCAACATCCCCCCAACCACCCTCCGATCCTCACCCAAACCTTCACAGACCCTCCCCAGGCCCTTCCCCCCCGCAGACTCTCCCATACCTTGGTCCTAGGCTCCTTGGCTGAAGACTTAACCAGGCCTTGTTCAGAGCTTAACGGATAAGCATCTATTAAGCTTCTAATAAGCGCTTATTAAGATTTTATTAAGCTTCTAATACGGGCCTTACACAGAAGCCCCTAATAAACCTCTATATGATAAGCTACTTACCCCCCCTTACCCCCCCAGGGTCCATGATTAAACATCATTGTAAAATCATTGAACAAATCCCATGAAACCACGAAAAAAAACAGCCAGAAACTGTCTGTCAGGTTTGCATCAATCCCCATGAAATCATGATGAAACCATGATTAAATCCCATTAAATCATCATTAATAATCCCGTTAAATCATAATTATTCATTAGAATCCCTATTTTTTACAGCATTAAATCATCATTGTATATTCCCCATTTAATCATTACAATCCCAACAAAAATCCCAATTATAGTATTTTTTTTCACTATATCAATTTTGATTTTAGATTATACAATTATTAAACATTATAGTACTAGAATACTGCCCTATTATTTTTTTTCATATGGTACTATAATAGATTATTAAAAACTATAATATTTCTATAATTATATGTACATTACAGTTTTATAATAATTAAAACTACATTATATTTCTATAATATATTATATGTCTATATGAAAACTACGTTTATATGTACAGTAGAAAATATGGTACAGTATAATATTTCTATAATTAAATTACTATAATTATGGTACTATAATAGATTATTAATAACTATTAAACAACTATTAATAATAGAAATTATTATAGTACTATAAACCATTAATATTAATTATGGTAATTATCATAGTACCATGATTTCTATATTTAATTATGGTACTATTAAACAACTATTTTCATATAGAAACGCTGCCGTCAGAGCGAGCCGTGTCGAGCCGGACGTACGAGGCAATCCAGCCGCTGCCGTGTCTTCGTGCGGGGCTTTGACTTCGGCACCACGGACGAGCAGCGCCTCGGAATGGGATGAAACCACTTGGGGATGCATGGGGGCAGATATAATATAGATAATATATAGATAATATAAATAGAGTAATAATAATAATAATCATAATAATAATCATAATCATCATAATAGTAATAACTATATATATATATCAATTGATATGTATGTTTCCTCTCTCTATATATTCATATAGATATAATACATATATAGATATGAGATATTATGATTGGTTGGGTTCAAGGGAAGATTATTACAGGAAACCAGTGGTTTTGCAACCAGATATGGAGGTTTGCTGCACTTTGTTCAACAAGTTCTTGGAAATGTGTGAGATAAATAGAGAAATGCTGTTAGATTATTTCCATGTTTTTTTTATCTTTAACCTTCCGTTCGGTTTTCAAACTGGCCATTTACCTTCTGGTAAACATACAAAAAACTATGGAAAATCACCATTTTTAATGGGTGAATCAACTATAAATGGCCCATTTTCAATAGCAAACTGTTAAATTACCAGAGGGCAACCCATAGATTGGAATTCGATGCCAGGCATTCGGTCCAATTGACATGGCATGTCTAGTTGATTTACCCACTAATAATTCTGATAGTCTACTGGAGGGTATAGCTGATGCAAGTACCAGAAATGATTAGGCACTAAAATATTGCAAGTGCAGATATAGCCAAGCACCATGAAAGGTAATCCTAAATGAAACTAGGGATGGATGCTGTATGATGGTTGATCGTACTGCTAGTGATCCGGAACCCTTAACTTATATAATCCAAGCTGTTGGTATACAAAAGAAACATGGGAACATCAATGTCAGATCTGATGTTTGTGGTTTTGACGTGTTTTAGATCATTTATATTATACCCTCTGGTTATTCAACATAGCCATGGTATAGATGGCCCATTCAAAATCATAGAGTCATAGATGGTTTAGCTATATTTGTAGAAAAAGTTCATGTTTGCAGTTCTGGTTTGCAGTTATTTTCCTGGTAAGGTCATGTTGCATCATTTTTTGCATCCAGGCTTGAGTCGCATTGCTCACAAGCAGGGCAAATTGTGACCTGGCGCGACATCTCGGAGAATCACGACGCTGGAGGGGTGTTTTTTTTGGGGAAAAGGAAACCTCTCCATGATTACGGCATATTTGATGGGATAGATAGATAGATAGATAGATAGATAGATAGATAGATAGATAGATAGGCATCTTCTATCCATCCATGCATCAATCCATTTACCTATCTATTTGTCTGTATATCTATCTATCGATCCATCTATCTATCTATCTATCGATCCATCTATCTATCTATCCATCTATCTATCTATCTAATCTATCTATCTATTTATCTATCTATTTACCTATATGCATATATAATATCCATACAATCATAAAGATATGGGAATCTGATGGATTTTGGGGTACTTATGTTGAGACAAACCCAAATGACCCTTGGTTGAAGACTTTACCTTCAAAAGCCTTTAAACAAGTTCAAGTGATTATTGGAGCTGTTCGACCCAGAATGATATTTGAATCAGCAGGTGGGATGTTGCGGGGCAAAAATCGTATTTTTTACTTGCGACAAACGGGATTTCAATCGGGCAAACTGGTTGGTGATTGTTGTCACATGGGTTAGTTTGCAAGGCATGTGCAAGGCATATTCGGTTTAGCATTTCTTCCTAGCCTGCTGTAGAAAATCGACTGTATCTAAGCGTAAGGTGTGCCATGTGAACTGGCCAAAGATTCCCTAAATATGCAGGATTTCAACCACAGAAAGGAGACAAACAAATCCGGTCCCGGCTGACGAAATCCGAACGAAGACCTTGGATTGAAGCAACCAGATTTGTAGCAAAACACGGCTTCAAATCCCGGTCCCTGCGGCTGTCCCTCTTTGTAACTAATTATTGGTGGGCTGATCATCCCAGTAATACTGTGGCACCGATGGCCCCGGCTTTCAAGCTTACGGCTTTTCAGCACGGCTTTGCGATGCTCTTTAAAAGGGGTCTTATGATGTGCTCTTAACTTGTAGTTTCTTTTGATGTTTGATAAGAAATGTTTGATTTGTGCGGTTTGTTTGCTGGGAAAAAAGCTTGCCTGTAGGTCATTTTGGGAAAGATCAACATTTCCGGGTGAATACCATTAGGGACATCACTGTAAACGTTGGTTAGTGCGGGTAAGTCGGGTAAGTGTCCCAAAATGACTCAACATTTCAGGTTGGTGAATGACTTCAATTTAGATTAATTTAGCCGTAGATATCTACAGATACACCTTGATATAGGTTTTTTTGTTCCCTCCCAGCCAGTATACATCAGTATACACAACATAGATCAAGCCAATAGATTAACCACCATTAACCACCATTAACCACCACTAATGGCCAACCACAATTTTAGCAGATGCCGTTGCTGTTTTGGTGCTTCGTGGGATCATGTGGGATCTCCCAGGTGCCTTGGACATCCTCTGGTTCTTTAACGTAGCTACGGAAAATCACCATTTTAAGATAGATAAACAATCATAAATCATCTATAAATGGGTCATTTTCCACAGCTATGTTAAGTAACCAGAGGGTATCTAATATATAAATGATATTCAACTACACCCACTATTTATACATACGTATGTGATTCTATGTATATGTGTATACTTATATAGATGCCCATGATATTAACACAGCATTCAAACATATATAAACACATAGTTACATATAAATATACATTTACCTATATATATATATAAATATACAGGTACACATATATCAGATACACATATTTCAATAATATATATATATACATACACACACATATATATATATACACGTATGTATTCTCATAATTTTGCTGCTTGTGTTTCTCCCTTTTCACCAGCTCACCACTTCCCAGGTAAAGGTGCAATGGTGTAGTAAAGGTTCAGCCATTGTGACCTACAGCACGCCCGCGGAAGCCCAGCAAGCCATCAACACCTTGAACCGTAGCACGATCCCAGGTGTGCGATTTCATGGGGAACAACTGGGAAAACCATGGTTTAAGGGACAATAAAAACAGAAAAGCATGGGAAAAATCGCCATGGTTTCTGGTTAAGATTTTCCCGGAGAAACCAATCCATTGATCTGGATTTTCCCTTCAATCCACTGAAATATTGGGACATGAACGTGACATGTAAGATGAGAGATTGATAGTAACATGCCTATGTTACAATGTTCTATATTCTTCGCCCAAAATGGGGAAATCAACATGATGTTATGTTTTTTTTTTACATGATTTATGATAAATGCATATGCTTTTCATGATGATAATATGTTGAATATGATTCCTCTTATTCCTTTCCCACATATTAAACACTTCCCAGAAACAATGGTGGATGATGGTGGATATAGGGGATGAAAACGCAGATTTGGACCATAGAATTAGGGTCTTTAATATGAATGGGGGGGTGGGATTTTGGGCATCCCAATTTTGGTGCAGTTGATATGGGGGGTTCAGATTCAGTGATGAAACACCTTGAAGCTTTCAAATGATTTCAAGTCTCCAAGTAGGGTCTATTTTGTCTCTTCATTGGTACATGTGGACATGCAGCTTTGGACAGGCAACAGCCGCTTCGTTGAGCCTTGGAGAATGTCAAGATTTGATTTGCCACTTTTCTCAGGGTTGCTATGGTCACAAGGGAGGAAGATTGTATTTTTACCGTTTTTTCTTTTGAATCCCTCAATTTAGCTCTAAGATCGAGGTGTTGCGGGCAACTTGTTTCGACCTTCAATTGTGAGGATTCATATGTTGGAGGCTGCCTTCCTTAAAATCCGTGCTGGGAAATGGGCATCCCAGTTTCAACCTGTGGCTGTCCCAAACCAAATTAATGGATATGTGATATGTATACATACATACATACATGCATGCATGCATGCATACATACATTCATTTACATACATACATTTACATACATTTACATACATACATTTACATACATACATTTACATACATTTACATACATTTACATACATTTACATACATTTACATACATTTACATACATTTACATACATTTACATACATTTACATACATTTACATACATTTACGTACATTTACATACATTTACGTACATTTACATACATTTACATACATTTACATACATTTACATACATTTACATACATACATACATACATACATACATACATACATAGTTGTCTCATGCATGCTTTCTTTCACCGATTCAGTATATATATATGTATACCCATATAAACCTGAATGCATGTGCCGTATTTTCATAGCAGTACTGGTATGAGCTCCCATGGTTTTGTTTCAAGTCTTCTATTCCGAATGGTCAAATATTTGATGCTTGAAACGGTCAGGATGTCATGATCAAAGAAGATGGCAATGGATTCTTCGAGAGAAGGATGAAGGCGCAGCTGCTCACGGAACTTTCGGGGCCTTGGCTGACTTTTCAACAAAGAACTCAATATTTGAGGGTGGTTAATAATGGTTAATAATGGGATAATCTATATTAATAGTGGTTAATAATGGTTAATAATGGTTAATAGTGAACTTCATGAATCATTGAGGTTTTTTAGATGTCAAAATGAATCACCAAAGATTCGTTGGAGCTGTGCTCAGTGGAGTTGTTGCGCTTTTGACCAACGCGCAGGGACGGAACAATGTACCGGCAGATGTTCCCTGAAACCCTGACCTGCCACGGAACAATGTACGACAGCCACCCCAGTTTTGTGGCCTTTCATTCTGCTCAGATATATGATGATATAATATGACATTAATATGACCAGCTGATTCAAAGTGCCCTTGTTTTGTAGCCACTTATGGAAAGATAAGAAAGAAGTGACTTACGGTCAGAATATAATATTTATTGATCTAAGTGACCTCTTTTCATGAATCCTTATAAGTGACCTCTTTGCCTGGCTGATCACATGATTTCTGCGTGTCACTTGCGTGTCACTTGCATGTCACTTGCGTGTCACTTGCATGTCACTTGCGTGTCACTGGGGTTTCGAGGTGGGATGAAACGAGGTCACTTAGGACCCTGAAAAGGTCACTTACGCCTTGGAGGTTCACTTAAGGATTGGCTGTTTGCGTGTCACTTGCGTGTCACTGGTAGGCCACTTTTTGGCTCGTTTCCGTAACTGACCTCTTTCTACGTTTTCCTTAACTGACCTCTTTCTAAAGGCCGCTTAGCAGAAAACACAAGCAAGGTCACAGGGAATCGTTTGGGATACGTGGGTTGGATTTTCTGTCATTGTTACGCATTACTCCTTCCTTTTGTTTACGGCAGTTTCATCATCTATTTCTTCAGTATGTCCGACCCCAGTGTACAGGCGCATGCAACGAATTATTATAAATTATATCTTTGAGTCTTAACTTTGAGTGAACACATCACACTATCAATTTCTATAATTACCATAATATTACGGCCAGACGCCTTGTGTTGCCCGGAGATTTACAGGGACGTTCCCGGCATGTTGATGATGATGATGATGATGAAGATGATGATGATGATGATATGATGAGATCTTCAATGGATGTAAGGGTTTAACGGAGTTTGGGACGGATTAAACCCTTATTGAAGATCTTCAATGGAACTGTAAGAGTTTAAAAGGGGGGTGGGAGAATTTAACCCCGATCGAGTCTTCAATGAATGTAGAAGTTTAACGGGGGTGGGAGATTAAACCCTTATTGAGATCTTCTATTGAAGATCTTCAATGAATGTAGAAGTTTAACGGGGGTGGAAGAATTAAACCCTTATTGGAGATCTTCAATGAATGTAGAAGTTTAACAGGGGTGGGAGAATTAAACCCTTATTGAAGATCTTCAATGAATGTAGAAGTTTAACGGGGGTGGGAGAATTAAACCCTTATTGAAGATCTTCAATGAATGTAGAAGTTTAATGGGGGTGGGAGAATTAAACCCTTATTGAAGATCTTCAATGAATGTAGAAGTTTAAAAGGGGTGGGAGAATTAAACCCTTATTGAAGATCTTCAATGAATGTAGAAGTTTAACGGGGGTGGGAGAATTAAACCCTTATTGAAGATCTTCAATGAATGTAGAAGTTTAACGGGGGTGGGAGAATTAAACCCTTATTGGAGATCTTCAATGAATGTAGAAGTTTAACGGGGGTGGGAGAAGTAAACCCTTATTGAAGATCTTCAATGAATGTAGAAGTTTAACGGGGGTGGGAGAATTAAACCCTTCTTGAAGATCTTCAATGAATGTAGAAGTTTAACGGGGGTGGGAGAATTAAACCCTTATTGAAGATCTTCAATGAATGTAGAAGCTTAACGGGGGTGGGAGAATTAAACCCTTATTGAAGATCTTCAATGAATGTAGAAGTTTAATGGGGGTGGGAGAATTAAACCCTTATTGAAGATCTTCATATTGAAGATCTTCAGTGAATGTAAGAGTTTAACGGGGGTGGGAGAATTAAACCCTTATTGAAGATCTTCAATGAATGTAGAAGTTTAATGGGGGTGGGAGAATTAAACCCTTATTGAAGATCTTCATATTGAAGATCTTCAATGAATGTAGAAGTTTAACGGGGGTGGGAGAATTTATATGAGATGTATAGTGTGAACAAAAAATCCTTGTAATTTACGCTATTCTGGGTTTGGGCAACACACAGTGTCTGTGGGTAATATTATAGTATAGAGTTGCATGCCCAATGTGTGTTTTTTTTCCCGGTTTTGGCCGCTCGGCTTTTCACCAGGGAATGCCTGGAGCCATGGATTCTTGGCACGACGGAGATCCTGAGGCCGAGGGTAGCTTTGGGTTCTGAGCTCTGATTTTTCATAATTCCCGGTGTTTTCAATGGAATTACTATATCCATCATAAATAGGTTCCACTGACCTGTGATGTTTCATAATTCCTGGTGTTTTCAATGGAATTACTATATCAGACTATATCCATCATAAATCATCATAATAGGTGAGTGGCGAGTGGAGGAATTCCATAATAATTCATGGATGGAAAGTGTTTCATAATAATTCCCTGTGTTTTGCAGATGTGTCATGATTGTCCAGTTGGTCTCTTCTTGCTGTTCAGAGATCGTTTCACTTGATTCTGCAAGTACATTGGGTCGATTTCATAATGATTTGATATACATAATAATATAATATAAAATATAATCTAATCTAATATAATATAATATAATATAATATAATACATATATATGTATACATATATATATGTGATTGATATAATTGGAACAATTATTTGATAGAATTGGAGAATATTTAACTCTGAGAACTTGATAAAATTGGAACAGTTGTTTAACTCTGATAACTACTTCTGTGATATGTCCCACTTTTCAAACCGGCTTTTGTCAATTTCACATGTTTTTTTTTGGTGGGGAGCCTCCTAATGTCGTCATCTTACAGCAATCCACAGGAGGTACAGCAACCCACCCCCAAGTTGAGCCTGTTCAGTCAAGTAGATCTGCAGGTCATCTAACCTGTAGCATTTTCTGGGGGGCACTCGATGCATTACCAGAATCAGTTGGGTTATTAAAACCATTTAAAACCAGGTTTCCTGCAGGTTTTTTGTTGGAACCAATCCATTGGGAGATATTACTACCCATCTCTGATATGATATCCAGCCCTTGCCAGTCGACCCTCAAAACCGGAGACTCTGCATTCATTTTGCCACAAGTTCTTTTGCGTTAATTATGGGCCAGTAGATACTACTAGTATTTTTCAGTTAACTATGGTTGATTGGAATTATAATATATATATATATATATATCTATTATTTTTACAAATATACATATATGTAAGAGAGAGAGAGAGAGATAAATATTCGTATTTATATATTAATTATATTTATACTTCTATTTATTTCTGTATTTATAGGTGCCCTCCATCCTGGTATCGCTGGCGGCTTCGCACCGAGTTCTGGTTTGCCAACCTAGCCCGCTACTGGGGCAAGGGCAAAGGCAAGGGCAGCAAAGGGAGGAAGGAAGATCCTCCAGGCCAGACTCGCGGTGGTTGAAGGGCCTTGAAGATTTCAGTAGGGAATATGATGATAGTGATGTTTCAGTATATACTTGAATTATGATATCATATCATATCATATTATGTTTTATAATAAATGTTTAAGTAAAATATTTTGTTTAAGTATTATGCAGTGTTTCAGTAATTGAATTCCTCCGTTCATACTAAACAACCCCCAGAAACCATGGTGGATGTAGGGGATTAAAACACTTATTTGGTACTAATGATGTATTTAAATGTATTTAATGCGGGGGTTGGCATTAATCTGGTGGATTTGGGGCTGCCAACCCCAATGTTCTGTAGCTGGTTGATACCCGGGTAAGCCTCGATTGAGTAGTTGGATGTAGTTTGACGCAGTTGGATAGGTTTTATATTACGTCGTATGCCAGTTGATATGCTGTATAGCCATAGTTAATGTCCCCTATTGATGTACATAATTACTGATACTTGAATTCATTTGTTTGCCATTTATGTGGGGACATTACCCATCTACCCTCTGGTAAATTAACATAGACCCTGCCAGATAGGGGTTGGAAGATTAGTTTCCATTAAAAATAGGTAATTTTCAGGGTCTATGTTTATTTACCAGAGGGTAATCAATCAGTGATTTTTGCATAGGATCATAGGTGATCGCCATGGCCATGGCGTGTGTGCCTAACCATACGAACTAGATTCAACATGTAGTCAGAATTAGTCAGAGCTGCCGACTGAAGGCGGGATGATGCGGGTTTGATGTCCCTTGAACCATGTCCGGGAATATTATTCTATTTGTTGATTAATGCAACTTTGCATAATATATTCACTAATATACATTTCGCAGTCCGGCTGCAGGTTCAGGCCGTGTTTTTGTGCGTGGATTTGACTTTGGCACCACCGATGAACAGCTGCAAAGTCATATGTCCGCGGCAGGCCAGACTTGAATCAAATCCACTGATCTGGAGACTCAAACAGTTGAAATCCCCATGTTTTCAGGGATGACCGGCTCTGATGCCGAAGGGGCCCCAGTTTGTTAGCAAAGTTGGTTTTGAGTACAACAATCAGGATTTATTATGGATATATCGAACTTGTTCGGTGGGGCTATCAACCAAGTTAAAAGATATGGTGCAGATCATGTCTGATAATTTTTGATAGTTTCAGATTCGTATTCTTTTTTGTCCAATGAATGCGTCCCTATTTGGTCAGATATGTTTCTCTTCATTTCTTAATTTTTATGTTTTTGTTCTATATTCATGGTCCACGTTTTAGTGAGGAAACCTTTTAAAAAAGAATGTCCCATCCCACTAATATTATACACCCGCGTTTTTATAACCCACCATCCACCATGGTTTGTGGGGGATCTTTGAAATATGAACGGGGGAAGGGATTCTATCCATGGCATCATCTTGATTTCGCTGTGTTGAGGAAAGTAGTAGCAGAAGACATGTTACTATGAATTTCTCATCTTTAATTTCGCGTTGTTGTTTTAATGTTTCCCATTTTTTTGTGCGGAAAATGCATGTCCCATGTCTACGTTTGTCCAAAACAGCAGGCGAAGTGGCGGACATGCACTGGGTGACGCGCGGCTCGGCGGTGGTGATTTTCAAGGATGCGGAATCGGCCAAGAAGGCCACAGAGACATTGCACAAAAGTAACTTGGCACTACCTTGGATTCCCCTGGATGCGAACAAAACACCCAAAAACCTAGGGACATGGGAGGAAACACACACAAACATTCGAGACATCTCTGAATTTGGGAAATTAAGCTGAGGCTTGGAAAACGATAATGCATTATCAACAAACGATAACATGCGCTCATGTTCAAAAAATATGTCCATCTCAGGCAGGTGATTCGATACTTTGTGTGGACATTTACCATTTGTTTGAGAGATCAGCATGAACCAAAATGTTCAATCTTTGGTTTGAACGCTTGCTATTGCCAAGGCACCATCTTGGCGACAGGGAAGAATAAAGCTTAAGGGAATGTTTGAAATATGCAAAGAATGTTAGGGGAAACTCTTCATGATTCTTCATCAATCAGCAGAACATCATATGTCACAACATCTTCATGGAAAGGGCTTTTCACGTATACCACACTTTGTTTTCTTTGACCAAATGTCACAACTGTAGTACAACTGTCACAGTCTCCAACTCAGCCGAGGTGTGATTCCAAACAACTCCCGCTACATCGATGTCATTCTGAAGGATAGCGAGTAGACGCACAGATCCTCCGAGCACGCGGAGGTTAAACCGGGTTTGTATCTGAAAAAATATTGAAAAATATGATAAGATTTAGCACTCCTCTAATCAACGATAGATGATCACGATAGAACCAAAAAAAAACAGTGAATCAGATTGATTAAGGACTGCTTTTGAGAATCAGTGAGATTCAGTCAGATGTGATTTGTTTCTTTAGTATTCCAACAGCCACGCCCTTGCAGTTGGGATGAATCTGAAGCTCTGAACTGCCGCTGGGGGCCTGCTCGTTTGGATCAAACTTGGAATTATCAGGCAGCATCTATATCTGCGGGTGTGAATGCGTCCCCTTCAATCAATCGGTTATTTTGAATTTTGGTAAATTATATACATCTTTTACCCTCTGGTAATTTAACGTAACTATGGAAAATCACCATTTATAGTGAAATTTCCCATGAAAAATGGTGATTTTCCATAGTTACGTTAAATTACCAGAGGGTACATTGAACTGCATGTTCATGTGTTTTTGTTGTGTTGCGTTGTGTTTAGCGCGGTGGTGTTTTTTAGCGATGCTTGGTTACGGGCTTGTTACGCCGTCCGAGCGCTGCCGAGTTTCATTTTGTTGTGCGACAACATGCAACGGGAGGCCATTGTAGGCCCGTAGGCATTTTCGCAAATGATGTAGAACCCCTCTGGTAATTTAACATAGCTATTGAAAATGGCCATTTATAGTGGATTTACCCATTAATAATGGCCATTTTCAATAGCAATGTTAAATTACCAGAGGGTAGAACCCCACACACCAAAAAATGAGACATATTCGTCACCTCACAAGGAACAGATCTTGAACTAAACCCGGGTTCTTGTGTGCAGAATGCTGGCTTTTGATTGGGAGGGGATTAATTAATTGGAGGATGAATTATAACTGGTGAATGACTAGCCCTAGTCCACAAGTCCCCTAATTAAATCGGTTATCCCATCTCTAATTGGGTTATAACCTGCTCACTAATCAGTTACTAGCCGTGGTGATCCTCCACATAGACACTGCCGCGACGGCTCTCTTTGATCCTTCAGCAGGCTAATGGACATCTGGACGCAGATGTCTTCTTCGGCAGTAAAAAATAGGGCCCTGGATATTTTTAAAGGACAAAGATCTTGTCGCGATCATCACCCTGTGGATGTTCAAGAACTGTTTTGTCGTCGGCAAGACCACTCAACAGCGACAGCTGAAACAGCGCCACGCTGGTAATTATTCATGTCACTAGTTTTCATGTAAATTCATCACAAATGGGGTTGAGGTAAAGGTCCCCTTTGGATCCCTTTGGGGGTTTTGAAACATCACCTGTATTGATAAGAAAGATGGCCTGAAAGTGCATGGGGTACACATGGGTACCCTGTAAAAAAGACATCTGAAAGATTCTGAAAGCATGGTGCACACACAATATTCACCGAATTCACACCTATATAAATCAGTCAGTTGTTCCCATTGCCAATGAGTCATTGACATATCTCCATATACCCACCAGTAAAGTTAGCTATGGAAGCCTCCAATCTTGTCCCATTAAACATCGTATACAACATCATGAAAACCTCCAATGCTTCCCATTTAACATTCTTAACCATATTCAAGTCATTAAAAATCTCCAATGTTTCCCGTTTTTTTAATGTTTTTTTTTCTCCTCCATGTTGGATTATGATAGATCTGTGAGAATTTCAGCCCACTGGTGAGCCGCGGAGCCATTAAAAGAAAGCGCGCCTTTTGACGCTGGCGGCCGAGCTCTCCGTTGACTTGGAGAAGAAATCCCCAGTTGATAGGTGGTAAACTTCCCATTATCCCATTATTTATAGGGTTTCAACTTGTTTCAACCATCCAAGGTGGTGCAAGATTTCGAAAACATCCACAGTAGGAAAATGATCTACAAATGGTGTTTTTTTCCACATCTATGTTAGTTTACTGAAGGGTAATGGAACTGGAATGAGTGTTATATGTATGAATCATCCCCTGAATTCCTGGAATATGTTCCTAATATTGATTTAACTGGATGAATCCGCCTGTGAAATGATACTCTTATCCAATCATTTTTTTTGTTTGTGCAACTGTTGCTCTCGATGATATCCCTGATAGACTATCACACCGGATGCCATCTATGGCTTTTGCCACAGCAACAAGCACTAAGCTGAAAAGTCGCGGATAGCTTGCTGGGCAGCTGTAGCTCTGGCCCCTTGAACAAGAAAACAAGGAAAGCGGAGTCAAAAAGGACGTCGGCAGCGCCAGCTGGCGGTGGGATGTGGCTCTGAGAAATGGTCATTTTTCAGTAGACCAGTGGAACTGGGCACTTGGGGGCAACTTTTTTTCCAAAAAACCAATGGGTTTGTCTAGGAAGCGTGCGGTATTTTAAAGAGAACTGCAGGAGTCTTTTGGGGACAGTAAGCATATTGCATGCTGAGTTTTGACATCCATCACAACTTGACCCTCAATTTGTCCGCTGTGCATTTCACGCCAAAAAGAATGAACAATCAATAAACTTCAATAAACATATTTTGTTTAAAAATGTTATTTGTAAATTAAGATAGATCTAGGGTCAAGGTACCTAATCAATTTTACCCTTCCAATAATATCTGCAAACAAAGCGCCCTCTTCCACCTAGTTGTTTATTGAAATGATTTTTTCTAATTCCTTCCCCCTACTGCCCTACTACTAAAAGTTCCATGGAAACTATGGTTTAGTAGGGAATTTACACATATTTGGGGCCATTCAGGGTGCGTTTAACATTACAATATAAGGGCAGTGATTGAAATGTTGATGAGTTTACCATATTGATCTATCTTGGAAATGCGACTTGACGGCATTTTTGTGGGCAAATTCATCAGATCAAATCACTGGATTTCACCAAATGGTGTTGGGTTTGGTATTTTTAACATATGGGTTTGTCTGAAAATAGGCTAAACCCCATTTACCCAATGATTTTGCTGATCATTATCCCGTTTTTAAATGGCTATTTCATTGGGAATATACCCTAGTTTCAGACAAACCCATATGTTTTTCCGGTGTATCCTACGATATCCGACGATTGTGATCCCAATGCACCGAGGTGGCTTGCGACACCGTTACTTCTTTGCTCAGCGCTTGGGCAGAGGCAGGGTAAACTGATGTAAACACACTGGGGACCGCACGACGACGACACTGTGGATAACGCTAGGGGACTTATCCCCTAAATGGCATGAGTTTAGGTTGGTGGGTGTATTTATGTAATTCAGCCTGAAAACATGTTATTTTTTTGACACACCAAAAGATAGTTACATGAACCATCGTGAAATTGAACCGGCAAAAACAAGTTTCAGTTGGGTCAGCAGTTTGGTGAATGGTTTGCGCAGAAATGGTTTGATTTAAACAGAATTTGATACACACATACATGCACACATGCAGACATGCATACCCACATGCATGCATCTTGCACATACATCCATGTATGCATGGATCTAAGTATATCTATATATATATATTGGGATTGTATATATGATTATATGTATAAATTGTATATATATATATATATATATGGGTGTGTGTGTGCGCGTGCGTGTGTGTGTGTGCGCGCGCGCGCATCCATATGAGCATGATACCCTGCTGAGTAGCAAGCCCATGCTTGGCCATGGACTGCTGTAGCTTACTCTTTTTGTTTCCCAACCATGTGAGGAAACTACCGGGCCTACTGGGGAACATTTGCTTTAGGCCCTTCACTGCAAGATCAGTATGTAACAATGTAGATGGTTATGATGGTTGGGATTTCTCTAATCATCATAATCATCCAATCACAGCATCATATTCCAATTTGGTGCCTTAAGTTTCCACCTTTGAGGCTTAAACCCAGATCTACTCTGCACCGAAAGGTCCCAGTGTGGGGACGAGCTGCATGTGAATTGGACGGCAGTTCGCGAGGACCGGGCACCGCTTGTCCCTGGTGTGGGCATCTCATGGGCATCCCATGGGATACCCGGTATCTGACTTGTGGAGCCCAGAAAAAGTACCTATGGTTTTTGTTGGCACCTGGTTACATACCAGTGGGAGAACAACTTGTTTTTCTTTTTTGTTGCCTAAAAAATAGTTATTTCCCACATTTGTTGCTCAAGGTTGCTCATGCAACCCACAAAACAGCACAGGACTTGGTCACCTACAGCACGCTTTCTGAGCCTGTTATGCGTAGTCGACGCTGCTTTGGTGACACAGGCGTGTGGTCCTACTGCGCCCTGGCTGAGGTTAGTAGCATTCCCCGACTTTTAAATAGCCTTCCCTCAATGGATTGGGTTAGGGGAAATTTACAGGAAAACCCCATATTTAATGGGAAAATCTATCGTTTCCGGCATTTGTTTCCTTAAACCAATCCATGGATTCCCGGAGAGGCATGCTTTTTGCTAAGCAACGTGTAATTTTTGTTCACTAACGACTCCTTGCCTAAGGCCTAGCCCAAGAACTGTAGACAAACCGTAGGCAAAGTGTAGACCGGACATTTTCGGGGTAGGTTAGTTTTTTTTGCCGTGGAACGTTTAGTTTTTGCCGTAGAACTTTGCCTAAAACAATATTAAGAACCATTTTTCAACGGACTCGGCGCCATTTTTTTGACAAAAACAAGGCTTTCACAAAAAAAGTTCTTGCAATAACGACTATTTAAACAATTGTCTTTGGAAGTATTGGTACTTATGCAAAATGGTTCATTTATAATTTTACAATAACTTACCTTTTAAAAACCAGTGGTTTCCATAGTTTAATTCGTCGACTGGAGGATTTGCTTTGGCCCGACATATTGGGCAAACCATCCCTTTGGGGCACTTTGGGGCAAAAGCCCCACATGGATTTGATCAAGCTCGTGTGGCGAAGCCAAAACACCCCCAGTCTGATCAGTTAAATGGCTGGTGTCCATTGGTTTTCCATGGCTTTTCCCATTTTTCCGGCACACCCAAGGTGGCATTGCAGCGAATCTCAGTGGCATTGGCGTAAGACAGCTGAGAAAAAGGGCCCATTTCTTGGCGTATTCAGAATGAATCAGATGGAAAGAAACTAAACAGCTAAGCGTTGAACTGTGATTCATTTTTCTAGTTGGAACATGTTGGAACAACACAACACAACTCCCCTAAAGAAGCAACAGGTTTCAATTTTATGGTTGCCCTGGCCGCTGAGGATGAACATTCTGCAGATGCAACCAGGCACGGTTTTGTTATGTTTTGTTGGGTAGGCAGATGGCCCGTGGAATATGACTGGCAAAAAGTGGCTTTAGCCAACGAAAACGGAGGTTTAGCCAACAAGAGCAGAGGTTTTGTCAACAAACATGGGGTTTCATGGGGATATAATGGGATATGGCCAGCCAACCCAGCCAACAATATGATCTCTGGGTGTGTCTGAAATTTTGATGGCACAATCTGATGGGGAAAAGGTTCATAAACCAGCTGATTTGGAAATAGCGTGCTCCATTTTAAGGCAGACCCAAATCAATACCTGGAATGATCGGGGTTTCAATTGGCAAAGATGTTCAGTGGTAGCGACTCAAAGGACGGCGAATATTCCAATATAGAGGGATCGCCTTTAAGGATAGAACAGTGTTGCCAGGATAAATTAAAGAGATGATGTTTCCCCCATAATTTCCAGGTGTCCAACTGTTCTAAGACTGTTCTACCTGGGGATTTATGAGGATTTACATTGCAAGCCCATTGTGCAAGGTGACCTCCAGTTGGAAGTAAATCCCATAAGAGGGTTGGGGAGATGTTGGGGACATCGGCAGCGATTCTGACTGCTTAGGCCTCATCAGCAACTCCCAGTCCCAGATCAGCAAAGCTCAGGCCGAGTCGATGGCTTTGTGGCAAATGATGATCCCCAATGACACTGACAATAGTTTTTCGGGGGGTTGAAGCCCAAAATAAGACAAACACATCCGTATATGTTACGTGCATATGAAAAAATGGAATGTAACTGTAACCAACAAAACTGGCATTCAAGAAATTCAGCGTGACCAACACGCTTCGGGTTTAATGAATTGTGATCTCACAGTCGATAGTTAATGCGGATTCAAGCAGCATAGGATGACGCCAGCAAAACAGGGATTCAACCAACACAGACAGAGATTCTCGCCGATAAAACTTGAGATGACTAAAGAGAAGAGCCCATCATGCTAGGGCCGGTAGGGTTGGCTGGGTTCCAACCCTGAGCACCAAGACATGCATGGTTAAGTTGTGTAGATGATACTCTCCGAGAGTATATATATATATATTATTTTTTTTTTTGTTGGTTTCATGTTGGATTGTTGGGTTTTAGCCGTTTTAGCCAATATTCGTCGGTCAAATCTGTATAAATCTGACAGATTTGATCTGGCCTCACGCCAGGTCGAGAATCCCTGCGAACTGGGCCAGGTGCATGAGAACTTCACCTATGAATCAAACTCCTTTGTCATCAACCGTGGGACCGTGGTTTTTTTTATGATTCTGAACTTCAGAAAGGGACAGTTAAATTCTGGCTGATCAGACTTGATCAACAAGAATGGAATCATGGAGATTCCTCCGCAATGATTCCAATTTCCAGGTACCCGATTTAGGAATCACAGTGCCATAAAATGCCAACAGCAGGCATGGGTCAACATTTTTCAGGCTTCAGGCCTTACAAAACCACATACGGACTGGTAATTATGATATATATATATATATATATTGCAACATAACTATAGATTAATCTGATTGACCAACTGGCACTAAATTAAACATTGGTCCATTTTGGTGAAGCACAGCAAGTTGACCCGGACTCGACAACCAACACTCGAGCCTGGCAACAATGACCAATTTTATGAACCCAAAACACTGACTGAATTGCGCAATGAAAAGCACGATTTTGTTGTACGATTTCACCAACTTCTATCTTTGGGGTGGTTGCTACAATCTGAATTCATCATTTTCCTGTGGGTGATTGGTCATTTCCCCATTGGTAAACCCACCAGAAATGGGCAACAAAAATGCAGAAACTCTGGAGCCAACTCACATGCCTATGGAAAATTGCCCTTGTGTAACATCGAACTAAACAGATCTAAATGGGCCATGGCTTTCATAGCAAGCTGTTATGAATTGGATTGGTTTAGGGGAAAATCTACAGAAAACCATGGTTTTTACCATTAAATATGGCGGTATCCCGTAAATTTTCCCTTAAACCAATCCAATGACACAATTAATTATAGGGCCTATAGTATCCCAATGACCGGAGGGACCCTAGCGGCTTAGATTCCTGCAGGTGGCCAGCAACTTTTTCGCGATGAGTTTCCTGACTCCGGGCGAGCGATGCTTGACTGAAGTGGCGAGGGCTGGTGATTTAAGCAACATATCCGAGGATATAACACAAAGCATGTGGTGGATGGGTATATGTAATGGTTATACATGAGTATATGATGGGTATGAAATGGGTATATAACGGGTATATACGGGAATCATCAAAGGATATCAAAGGTAGAATGGGTTCGTGCAAGAACGGGGGATGGCCGCAAATATTTGAAGAGGGAAACTATGAAAAGAACGATTTGTTGGAGGTGCGGTCGTTTCAGACACACCCAGATGTATCACATATACGGTTCAAACTTCAACCCCAGAAAAAAAGATGAGATGATGGTTCTTTCATTCAACTGGCGTGGTCCGCGTGCAATTGACAACTCCAATGAATACGTTTCAGAAGTATATCATGAATAATCAGCCAGTGGGTTAGGTCGCCATAAATATCATAAACTGGAGGAACGGAATGTAAGATCTCCGTAAGATCTGATGTTTTAGGGCACCTGAGTTACCACCACCAGCTGTGCAGGTTATGGGATGCTGTGGGTGGCCTTTGATCGCTTGCAGAAGCTGGAACGGAGCTTTTGGGACTTTATGTCATTGGCTACATGGCTGCAGCATGCTGCTGCTGTAGCTAGCGGAAATGTAAGAAAGGTGTATAAACATATTATACAATTATATTTTAATGTTATATAATTTGTCAACCCAGGATATACATCTTAGTTATCTTAGTTGATTGAATGGGGCCCCAAAAAATCCTGAGACTTCCAAGTTTAAATTCCTACTGGTGTTAGTCAACTGGGAACGTGTTGCTGAAGCGGGCCTCTATCATGTTGTTTCATGTTTCATCCACAGGGCAGCCCAGGGTGGTCCAGCTGTTGCTGGATGAAAAACTGGGGAGTTGGGATCCATGAGCTGGAAGTATCGCAGTCACACTGAGATAAAAGAACAAATCAGACCATGATGTTAGTTCATCATAATCATGGGTAGAATCGATCATAATCATGTTAGTTCATCAAATCAGACCATCTATTATTATCTGGGTTAGTTCACACATTATGAAGTTCGGCTGTAACATGATGCAATCAAGTAGATCTCGGTTGCAGCATCATAATCATCAGATCTGTACGGCGTGAACTAACCCAGATGCCAACCATTGCCAAACATTCTAACTTCAAATCCAGCACTGAGGACTGGCCCATTTTCGGCCTGCTGTCTCGCTTATCTGAAGTGATTTGGTTATCCAGTCAGGCTCGGATGGAAAGAATGTTGGACCTGGCTTTCCAGTTAGGTGAGCATTCAACCCCCCTGATGGTTGGTGATTATAGAGGGTTAATAACATATATATATATACACATACACAGTATATATAATATTATGCATACATACATAACATAATATAACATAACATTACATTACATTACATACAATATCATACAATATCATACAATACATGCAACACATACAATACATACAATACATACAATACATACAATACACACAATACATACAATACAATGCAATGCAATGCAATACAATGCAACACAACACAACACAACACAATACAATACAATGCAATGCATGCATACATACATCCATGCATGCATCCATGCATGCATACATACATACATACATTTACATACATTTACATACATTTACATACATTTACATACATTTACATACATTTACATACATTTACATACATTTACATATATTTACATACATTTGCATACATTTACATACATACACACATACATACACACATACATACACACATACATACACACATACATACATACATACATACATACATACATACATACATACATACATACATACATACATACATACATACATACACACATACATACACACATACATACATACATACATACATACATACATATGTATATATGATTTTATATATATATATATATATATTGGCGATTATCATTATCCTTTATGTTTTGTTGGTGATGCAAACCAGAAAGTACAATTGAAGAACAGAGGGGTTTTTGAATACTTGTCAAATGGTGAAGGGTGAAGGAGAATATTTTCACCGGGAAACCTGTGACTTATTTTCTTAATGGTAAGAACAGGATTTTATTATTCAAGATGGGTGAGACACGGACATATGCATACATTTGCTCATTTGCCTATGATCCTATGGAAAGTCTCCCCCGGACAAAGAGCTTAAAACACTCCTTACAAACAGCCAAAAACACAATCTTCGAAGAAAACATATCGCAAACAAATGTAACATACTACTAGTTTGGCGGAGCTTGCCAAATAAAGGACTTTGCCGCTGTAAATTGCAAGCTGGCAGGAGCTCATGGCAGCAGTTGCCAGGGGAAATATTCCAATTGGTGGTTCAAACATGTATATCATGTGCGGCATGTACCCAATGCCGGATGAACACCGGCTTTCTGCAAGTCCTCTCCACGGGTCAGCCCCTTGTAGGCTCGCCCCGTGGATGCTTTGTGCGGCCGGGATGCTACCCAAACACAGCAGGGGGCCTCCGGACTGGGTTTGGGGGTTGAGCCTCCATCCATAAACTCTGTAGGATTGAAATCTCCAGATATAGTCGAGTTGCCGCAAAGACATGTTTACAACTGGCATATCTCTTGGGCCAGTAAATCTAACAACATACTCCAATTACCATACTCTTAATTGCCAGCTGATACAATCCACTTTTTCAATTTTGTTATACGTAGCTGTCCGATTAGGTATTAGATGTAGATATTGAGTGTTATCCCACACATATAATTATACAATATCATACAGCATAGAAGCAGCATATATATATATTTATATACTATGTATATCATTGTGTATCTATAAATGTATGATATAAGCAAATATCATATCTTGATGTATCTAGAGTATAAGTAGCCAGAATATCATCAGATATACATCAGATATACATCACAGTCCAGTGGATGCCGAGGCATTTGTCCGGCCTGCGGCTGGACTTCTTCCAACGTCTCAGCGAGAGGCGCTCCGTGCCCGATGCCTTGGCGCGGAAAGTCATCGTGGGGACGCCCGCGATGGACGCGGGCGTTGCGGGTGGAGTGGTGAAATACCCTTGAAAAATCAGCTGTTGAACTATCGAAAACCATGAAACATCAGGGTTTGATGGGGTTGGATCCTCAAGAATGATGGTTTTACTATAGAAGAACATGGGTTTAAACAGTTTTGAATGGGAATTGTATACACCATAATCGTGGTATTTTTTGGTCACTGTTCAACTTTAAGCTGGAGAGTTGGGCAAAATCGTATTGAAATAGTGGTGAGCCATTGTTATTGTTGAAGGGCCGCTACAACGATATAGCCACATTAAAATGGTAAATAGATCTCAACTGGGCGAAGTTTATGTTATTTTTGTTGAATGTTTGTTTTTAAGGGTTTTGCCTTCGGTGCATTTGAGCTGAATGGTCGCAAGAACAATCCCATTTTCATCCATTTTCTCATGTTTTGGCACTTGGACTTGATGTTTGCAATCCTTTTTATATCAGCGTGATTATATCAGTTTTTTTCATGAGCAGAAACGAACGCGATCATCAAAGGAGACCTATTCTTTTAGACCACCCAAGTTACCCAGTTGATGGTAAACTCAACAATCATCAAACCATCCCATTCACCAAGCATTTTGGCTCATTTCACATTATACATCACACCAAATAGATCCAATAGAGGTATACCCAAGAATAAGCATCTAACTATTGGGTATGGTTTGCGATTGGTTTTACCCGATTATTTGGATTTATGCCTATTGTATTCCCATTATATATCTAGTATATTACCGACCATGATTGATAAATCCACTATAATCTCCATTATATATCCATGTGCGTTATTTGATGATGGGATTATAGTGGGATTCACGATGTTTCGCTTTGTATATCCACTATATAAATATATTCATTAAATCCGACTCTATTAACTGAATATATCCCCATATAATTCATATCGGGAACTATGGGAATATATTACTGGTTATATAATACGGGGATAACCATAAGATACATTATCCATTCTATATTCAATGTTGGGAATATATTTTATATTATCTACCAGTGACTCTATGACATATTCATCATATAGTCCTTAGAAAATATTTCAAGATGGGAGTATAACAAAAGTTATTGTCATCGCCATTATATTCCCATTGTATATCCATGTGCATCCATTATATTCCCATGATGCCATAAAACCACTATAATCCCAATGTTTTCTGGTTGTCCTAACTTGACAGTTCCTCGCCGCTTGACGCTCATTATAAATCTGTCAGTTTAAATATTAATTATGATTATATAATTGAGTTGCTTTCTCAGTATTTAACAAACGTTATCAAATGAATATGCTTGACTGTGGGAACCTGTCAGTTTGTACTATGTCAATTTATGATATGTTTTGCAGTGCATCACTATTTTTCACTATTAATTATTGATATATTTACACTGTTAACTATTAATATATTTGAATACTGTCAACATCACTGTCAACTACTAATATTGTTCAACAATCACTCTATGAATAATGTTGGATGCTGATTAGTGTAGCCCCCCCCAAAACAATTTTTGGATCCACTTTAATGTGGATTTCTTTAAGTGCCAGGTCCTGAATAAAATGTTGATCAATTGATTTCAATTGATTTCAATTTACTTTCAATTGATTTCAATTGATTTCAATTGATTTCAATTTACTTTCAATTGATTTCAATTGATTTCAATTTTATTTCAATTGACTTTCAATTGATTGTAATTGATTTCAATTGCTTTCAATTTACTTTCAATTGATTTCAATTTACTTTCAATTGATGTCAAATTACTTTCAATTGACTTTCATATTACTTTCAATTGATTTTCAATTTACTTTTGATTTCAACTACGTTCAATTGATTCTCAGTTGATTTCAACTTACTTTCATTGATTTTCAATTGATGTCAACTTACTTTCAATTGACATCCCATAGTAATCCCATAGAAATATCATAGAAACATCATGGAAATCCAATAGGAATCCCATAGGAATCCCATAGGAATCCCATAGAAACATCATAGAAATTCCATAGAAATCCGATAGGAATCCAATGGAAATCCCATAAGAATACCATAGAATTCCCATAGCATCCCTTCAGAAATCCCATAGGAACCCAATGGGAATCCCATAGACATCCTTTTCAAACCCCATAGGAATCCCATAGAAATGCCATCGACATCCCGTAGAAATCCAATAGTAGTCCCAAAGAAATATCATAGAACCACCATAGAAATTCCAAAGAAACCTCATGGACATCCCATAGAATTCCCAAAGAAATCCTCCAGAAATTTCAGAGAAATACCATTGTTTTTTTTTTTAATCCCATAGTAATCTCATAGAAATATCATAGAAATCCAAAAGAAATATAATGGACATCCCACAGAAATCCCATAGAATTATCATAGAAATACCACAGAAACCCCATAGGAATCCAAAGGGAATCCCATAGACATCCTTTTGAAACCCCATAGGAATCCCACAGAACTACCATAGACACACCTTTAGAAACACTATAGAATATCATAGAAACACCATAGAAAGTACATAGAATTTCCATAGAATTGTTTAATCAAAATCCCATAGAAACACCATAGAAATCATGGTGAGGATGCAAGGAGAATTGAACTAAGTAAGAGACAAAAGCTATAGCAAAGGAAAGGAGATAACATTTCAAAAACAAAACAGCTGGACATAATAGAGGACCCACACAACAAACATACTATTGAAGATCATGGTCATTCATGGATTTTTTTGGTTGGCTGACGTTCACCCTTTGGAAAAACCTTTTGGTTTTGATTCCAAGAAGAATGGGGCTAAGTAAAAGAAACAAGTTTTAGCAAAGGAAAGGGCAAAAGGAATGTATGATTTTTTTCTCACCTCAGGCAGCTGGACACAATAGTGGACCCCCACAACAAACATACTATTGAGGATCAGGGTTGCTCATGCACTACCCCCTTGAAAAAATGTTTGGCTGCTGTTTTTTTTTTTATTATTGGGTTTTCATAAGGCATCATATATTTTGGGAAATTGGACATTCCTGAGAATTCCAGAAAGTAAAAGAAAAAAGCTTTAGCAAAGGACATGGGAAAATTTGTCACCTCAGGCAGCAGCTGGACACAATAGAGGACCACCACGACAAACATATTATTGAGGATCAATATTGCACATGGACTACCCCCTTTAAAAATTGTTTCTTCAGACAACAAACACATATTCATCAAATATTTCAAAAATGTTGAAAAATAAGAAAGCATAAAGTATGAAAATAACATGAAAAATCTGAAAAAAAAACTATTTTTAAAAGTGAAAACACTTATTACCCCAAAAAAACTTCACACAATAGTGCGCCCCTCAATCAATTCCACAGATCCAAAATAATTTTGGAAACATTTGTCACAATAGCGCATCCTCATAGTAATCGGCGTCCAACACTAATCACAATACTATTAAACTTCTTCAACAACACTTTTTACAATCACTATATTCATACTTTCCTTATTATACTAAACAAACAATTATTAATTTCACACACGGTTTGTTTTCCGATGTTAATTCACAATCACTGCCCAACCTTCAAACACTGTTCATTATTGTTATGTCAACACCGTTAACTATTCCATACTGTCAGCAATCATTGTTAACTGTTGACATTGTTATACTATTCCCCATCTTCATACAACCCAACATTGTCAGTTCCCCACTTCAGGCAGCCGTGGAGCGGCTGGAAGGCCGCGAGCAGCGGCAGCTTGGGAGTTCACCAGGTGGGGCGGAAGCGGAACCGGAGCAGCTCCGTTCGCACTGCAGATTTTAATGTGGTTTGATGGCATTTTTGGGTGATTTGATGGGATTTTGTGGTGATTTGATGGGATTGTATTGGTGATTAGTGGAGGTTCACCAACAAAAATGAAAACTATACCATTTAGTAACAGGTTGCTATGGAAGCGAAGTTCGATGATTCACGTGTCCAAAATAGTGTAATTTTCCATAGCGAACTGTTAAACTACAAGGGGTAGATTCATATTGAATCATATTGAGAATAATTAGCTCTACTATATACAAAAACAAACGTCATTGCGAAACTGTTGGTTTAACAATCGGGGTATGTATAATACGTATGTATATATATATATATATAGAACACATGCCAGTGCGTACAATGATTAGGATGACTAATTGGTACATATGGGTCATTTGAAATATACACATCTTAATGAATTGAGACCGACTCAGGTCTTTGTTCCCCACCTGCCAGGTGAGGGTTGTTAGATTTTATGTCAGTTCCCTGGTCCTCCTCCTCCTCCTCTCCTCTCCTCCTCCTCTCGTTGTCCTCCTCCTCCTCTCGTTGTCCTCCTTGTCCTCCTGCTCAACTGCGACTCGCGATCCACAGTGTTCTCTGTCGGACCTCAACCACGACCATCCACGCCCAGTGTTCCCTGCCGGACCTCAACCACGACCATCCACGCCCAGCGTTCCCTGCCGGACCTCAACCACGACCATCCCCGCCCAGTGTTCCCTGCCGGATCTCAACCACGACCATCCACGCCCAGTGTTCCCTGCCGGACCTCAACCGCGAGTATCCCCGCCCAGTGTTCCCTGCCGGACCTCAACCACGACCATCCACGCCCAGTGTTCCCTGCCGGACATCAACCGCGAGTATCCACGCCAAAAGATATGCCACATAGAGTGCCAGAAGATATGCCAGATAGAATGTTAGAAGATATGCCAGATAGAATGCCAGAAGGAATGCCAGATAGAATGCCAGATAGAATGTCAGATAGAATGCCAGAAGATATGCCAGATAAAGTGCCAGAATGTTTGCCAGATAGAATGCCAGCAGATTTGCCAGATAATATGCCAGACGATATGCTAGATAGAATGCCAGATGGAATGCCAGAAGATTTGCCAGATAATATGCCAGAAGATATGCCAGATAGAATGCCAGAAGATATGCCAGAACATATGCCAGAACATATGCCAGAAGATATGCCAGAAGATATGCCAGAACATCTGCCAGAAGATATGCCAGAACATCTGCCAGAAGATATGCCAGGTAGAATGCCAGAAGATATGCCAGATAGAATGCCAGAAAATATGTCAGATAGAATGCCAGAAGATTTGCCAGTAACAAAATGTATAAATGTCATGGTGGGGATCACACGAAGTAAAGTAATTTGTTTTTTGCTGTGGAGTTGCATGAATTTACATCCCACCATCGAGCTGTCAGGGAGTTCCGCCAGGCATTGCAGCCATTGTTTGGCTCAAGGTGGGAACAGCCCACCGTTTCGTTCATTTGCAAAGTTTCAGGTCTTCATATATCGGGGCCCCTGGGTTTGGCTTGAGATCACGATGTTGGAGCAACGTTTTTGTTGGCTGAATGGGCGACCGTTAGAGCCGCAAGGTGATCGTGGATGATGGTTGGAAACTAGAGCCATGTTTTGATGTGTTTGTATTCCAGCCAAATCTGGTCAATCCAATAATCCTAAGCCAATGCGATTGGGATCTATTGCATCCAATGGTCCCTTTCCTGGGATCTTCCGAGGTATCTGAATCACTTAGTCCAGGTCTTTTCAACGACCATCCAGAATTTTAATTTGGTATTCCCAGATTCTTGGACCAGATCTTTCGTTCCAAGGAACTTGCAACATTTTGGAGTCTCCCTTAATTTTTGGGCAAATTGCATCATATTGATGGTTGTATATCCCAGTAAATGTTCTCCTTGTTGAAAGCTTGACAGCGCTAGACTCCTCACCTCCTATTCCTTGAATCTCTTTGAAAACTGGCTACTCCGTTCCATCCATTGCATCCACTCGATTAGCATCATTTCCCCATTGTTTTCAATAGCCACCTGTGGGTAAAAGCCCCATAATTTGGTTTGTTCAACCCCACTATATCCACTATTTTTGGTGGGTGAAACTGACCAAGCCTAGGCCCAAAAAGTGGCAGTTGGGCTTGTGCGTGATGGTCACCCAGCTCCAAACATCAGTTTTTTTTTTCCTAATGGGATTTGTATGGACTTTGATGAGGATTCGCATGGCTGAAACATGAAAATAGGAGATTCATATAAGTTTATCAGGATAGTATTCGGAGGATTCATGGTTTAACCATCAAAAATTACATAAAATTACTATATATAAAGACTGGTAAGTTGACACTAGTCCCGTTCCCCGTTCGTATAGAACAGCCCCCATTCTATGAGGGATGTTTAATATGAACGGAAGGGATCAATGGACAGTTGATGGATATATGTTTTTAAGGGGTTATGAATGGATGAACTAGCTGGCTGGTGGTTTTTTACCAGGAAATCATGGCTATGAAAAACCAACAAACTATGAGGACTACGGGCATTTCGCGCATGATTTTTACGCAAATGGGGATCATGGGTATATCATCAATGATGATTTGGTGGTCATTGGTTCAAGGTGGTGCCGCAGTTCGTTAACTGGTGGCTGTATAAATATCTATCCTGTGCTGTAACTAGGCCAACTTTTGGATTAATGGTAGATATACTGATACTGTATCTACAGTCACTACAGTCTACAGTTGGGTTGGTGAACACAAACCTATAATTGGGGGATCCTTATTGTGGACAGAATGATTATTCGATATTACGTATGCCAACATTATTTACTAGCACTAGCGTTTAAGTCGTATTACTAGCCGAAGTAGACCAGGGGCGCTGAGAAAAAAATGCAACTCCTCTGGGTGATAGATTTGATGAGATTCTTTCGCTGTGCGCAATACTTTGGCTACTTTCTGTCTATATAACGTGCACATGTAAACATGCTGTGCCATGGTATTTTCCTTCACAGATTATATGATTATATATGATTGTATGTGCCAAATGGCCGCTGTACCAGTAGGATTTGAATCTGAGGAGGTTATATGGGTATCGGCTGTGTTCCAATCATTCCATTAGGATTCTCTACACATATGAACCTTTCAGTGCTTCGGCCACTTTTAGCTATATGTATTATTATAGATGAAACAGCCTGTGCCATGGTGATTTTTCTTCCCTGATGTGACTTTCCACTCCCTGATGTGACTTTTCTGTATCGCCGCTGTATGCCGCTGTGCCTTGGGGATGATGTGACTTTTCCCGCCTGATGTGACTTAAGTACGGTGCTTGTAGCATGAGAATTTGTGTGCGATCTTCACTTGGGCCCAAAGGTTTTCACCATCCTTGATCAGTTCTGCCGATGATTTTGACCACCGCGAAGCGGCTTACCTCGCGAACATGATAAGAATGTGTAATACACATAATTTTATATGCATAGAACTATTATGCAGTCCATACTTGCATGGCCCAGTAGTCACTGTTGTCAAACCACATCTGAAATAAACCAAAACATGTGTCCAATGCTTTCCACGGGTAAAACACACATCTTTGGGGGTGATATCCAGCGAATCCACCAAAATCCTAAATGAGTCCCACCGCTGAAACCAACATCCGATTGCCTTAGTTCAATGGATTGGTTGAAGGATGTTGAAGGGAACATTTACAGGAAACTCTTATATTAATACATATGTATATACCTGGAGTCTCCACTACCCTTCGTTTTTGGGGTCGTTTGCAAAACACCTCTTTTTTGGGTACGTTTGATACTTTTTGGGGTCGTTTCATGCAAAAAAGGCCTTTTATCTTCCAAGCAGGTGCTGGCTATATACACTAAGCATTACTAAGCTAAATCATGTGAGCGTTTTGTTCTTGTCCTGTGTAATGTTGGATCAGGCACCCTCACACATCATTCAGACCCAGGCGCATAACTAAAACTTCATGGCTGAAAAGCTTTGGATCCACAATTCGTGTCGAAATATAAAACCTTCGCCTGCTTTTGATAATGAGCTGCGGGGGCAAACATTTGCACATTGCGACACTTATGCGAAAATATACACGGGGTTTGAGCACATCCACTCGCCCTGATCTTCTGGTGCCAGCTGCTGAAACAGTTTTGACGGATGGACGGACGGACGTGAAAAAAAAGGTGCGTTTTTTGGAAAAAAATCCTTTTGGTTCGGACGGGTCCAAGCCGGACGGATATTTCCGTACTTTGGACGCATTTTTCCGTACTTTCGGACGCCGTCCGGACGGCCCTCAGCAAAAAAAGGTACGTTTGAAGAAAAAAGGCCTTTGCATGTTTGCGTTGTATGGGCAAATCTTCCAACGACAAGTTGTCACCAAAATTGAGCAATTCACCCGCGTGTCCGCAACTGAGTGTTGAGACCTACCCTCATGCGTGCAATAATGAAAGAGCAAAGTGCGTCCAAAACCCAAAGCAAGCAAGATCGAAACCATGGCATCAAACACGTAAACGAGAACCAATAGTTTGGAAATCTTTGCTCCTGCACCTTCAAGCAGCCAAAACAAAAATGGCACCTGCAACAATGAGTTGCAAGTTGGCAATGTGGCACATTTATTTGATTTCCACAGTTTCAGCTGTACCTCCATGAGTGAACATCACTAACATGCAAAAAACAGTACTTGATTTCAAAAAAAGTACATTCGGAAAAAAATGCCATTTTTCTTGAAAGACCCCAAAAATTAAGGGTCGTTGGAGAGTCAAGGTATATATATATATATGTGTGTGTGTGTGTGTGTCATGGGGGAAGGAAGTGGGCAACTCGAATGGTTTCCTGCAGATTTCCCGTTCAGAAACCAATCCACCGTTTTTTCGTCCAGCCTTCATCACCACGAGGTGAAACTATGGCCATGCTGGCTGCTGGCGACTGCAGAGGCAGCAACACATGCCCTGCATCTGACACTGGGCCAGAACGCATGGTGATGATCCCAGCTGAAAATCAGTAGTTTACAGTCCTTGGTGCTTCACCGCGGGAAGAATAAGTGGGATATTACTCCAGTACAAAGCCGTTTTTTTAGCAGGTCGTATTTTTCCAGTTGTAACTCCATTCTAGCCACCTAGCCACCTGTGGTGAACCCCCACGTAGTTTGTGCTCAGGAGTGCCAATGGTGAGGTTTGGGATTTTCCCACGGCCACCTGGCTGAAATGAAGATCACCAAAATTTGCGGAGAGATATCGGTCACATTCGGTCATGCTGTGCTTCTACTTATGGGATGTCCCTCTTTGCCTCGCGGCCAGTTGTGGTACACATGCAACAGCTAAAAACAATCGAAGTCACCATTTGAAGATGGACAGCACAAATGACCTGTGACCATGGCTTCAGTTATTGCCGAGCCAATAGACCATTCAGCAGATGACCATCCTCTTTTTCCACCAAGGAGCCAAGTAAGAGAATGGTGCGGCATGAAACTCGTGGGCCATCAGCTTATTTACAGCAGGACGCCGGGGTGCCCGGTAGGGACTACCGTTTAGGGGGGCTCCTAGAGGGTAGGCATTCCTGGCATGGCCAGTTTGACTTCCATCGGAACGCTTGGTTTTCAACCGTTACCCTTTGGTTGCAATGTATGTCAATCAAACATCCCCCATGTATAGATGATTATAGAATATTATAGATGATTCTTTGTTACACCAATAGTACTGGATGTTCAATGGCCATGTTTGGGTATCAAAGTTTTTTCTAATTCCTATTCAACCAATCACCCATATTTGTTGACAACACCAATTGTCAAAGGACCGACAAGATCCTGATGCAGCGGCTTGGCTCATGATTTGTCGCAGCCACGATGATCCAACCCAAATGTTGAATGTCGTTCTGCAGTTTGCAAAACTTAAAAAGAAAAAGCAGCCCTTCCCCAAATAGATATGATTTGTACTGACTACAAAAGTACATAATATGTATACTATATGACTATAAAATGTACTGTACTATATATACATATAATAGTAAAACCCAATGCCGAAAAATAGTGGCAACTCTAAGTTTCAATCACAATTGTCAAACCTTTTGGTCATTCAGAATCACTATAGGTATGTTTTTAACCGGTAGCCATCGGACTGGCCCAGTCATTGAGGTGCAGATCTTGAGCAATAACACAGATCGGCTTGAGGAACCGGCTGATGGGTGCCGGGCCGGAGGGGTACTTGGATATACACATACATACACACACACACACATATCATTGTCTGTGTGCTTTTAAAGAATACAGAATAATCAGAATAGATATACAAATAATAACAACTATATACCAAAGAGCCGCCAAAACACATGTTTCTTGTTTGGCAGAGCTGGGGTATCACAGACTTCGCAATGATTTCCCATGTGGCAGACTCACCTTCGTTGGCCTGTGGGGTTATTAACTGGATCTGGCTTTGTCTGAAAATGTGATAACCCAAAATTCCAGTTGTTTACCATCATTTCCGCCAGTTGAATTGCAGTTTTTAGGCATCCCACATTTTCCAGTGTGATCCATGTTGATTGGTTAAACCTCCATTATTGTTAGTTAAACCTCTAGTTTTGTCAAGCCTCCATGTTTGTTTGTCAATAATCCATATGTTAATGCATTTTTTGTTGCTTCAGCCGCTTAGACAAAAACTCACGTTCTCTGCAAAAAAAAATCCAGGACTATTTGAGCAGCCTAAAGCGGGAAGCAGCAGAAGCTAATCTGGGCATTGCGTTGGGCCTGACGGGACCGTTGCTGTGTGTCATAGCGCTCTTCTATATGGCATCTGGGCGGTGATTTCGCCGGAAAGTGCTGAACCGCCATCTTGAACTGGGAATACTATAGATACTGTATTTATATATATATATATATACACACACGTAAATGATACATATGTGCATATAAATATGTTTACATGATTTTTTTCCACTATAATATCAAAGGCACCCTATTAACCCCCAATCGAAGCCTTGGTTTCAGATTGAATCTGTTCATTTTGAAGGCGGTGTATTGAAGAATCATTAGGGGGATGGGATTAATGCGATTCTCATATGGCTAGCAGCCCAAGAAAATTAAGAACCCTTGAAATTGATAAGTAGTTTATTTTCTTTTAACGTCTTGGAGGGGTGCTATATGTTTCAGGTTCATTTTTGTTTGACCAACCAAAGTGGGGTTTTATAAATTATAAAATAACAACCAACAAGAATCCGGGATAATAACATGTTTTAACCATATGCCTAAATGGCTTTTAATCCCGTCCCACGATCACATGACGTACCTCCGGCAGAGGAGCCCAATAATTGGATGGATCCACTTGGGGGTGGATGCTCCACTGCAGGGAGATATACTCACTGTGCAGATGAGAAACGGTCCATTGCCTGTGGGTGAAGGGATTCATCCGTCATGAAATCTGAGTTGCGAGTGAATAATCCCTTCATCCTAATATTAAAATATATTAAAATGTCCCCCCTCCCCCCAAATAATAAAACGTAGGGGTAGTTTTTATTATTCATTAAGGGGTATTTGATATTTGGGGGAGAAGCTGGCTCCTAATATTAATTTAAAAACCTTAATTAAAAAACTAAAATTGCCGATTTCAAAATCAATTAAATTCCCTTTTCAAATCTAATTAAAATAATTGCCAAAAATTGGATTTCGAAGCTTTCCCTCAATATTACAGTAAATTTAAAACCTTAATAAAAAAACTAAATTTTTTGATTTGAACAAACGGACTCTAATAAAAAAGACCCCGGGGCTAGCTAGCTTTTATTATTTAGGGGGTAGAACCTTCAAATGGACCTTGATATCCTTGATTTTAAAATTGTTTTCTGAAGGGTGTCAATTACTGTAAGTCAAATTGGCCAATCTGAAATTTCCCAAAACAAATAATCTGGGGTGGTTTTTATTATTCAGGGGAGGTTTAGTAATAGGGATAAGGATTAGATGACCCATGCCTTAAGAAATTATTCCAGGGTATCAACTAGGTTATGGAATAATTTCTTTTGGAATAATTTTCAAGGAATAATTTTTGAGGGGGGTAGGTATACGATTATGCATGTTGGAATTTGAAAATCATGATCCAGCCCGTCAAGATACCCCGGAATAATTAGGTTTTGGAATAATTTTTGGTAACTTAAAACATCTCGAAGCAGCCTATACTTCCTACGTTTGGCCTGGCCTTTCCAAAAGCCATTCCTAGCTTGGCGGTGTTTGCCTGAAAACTTTTTGCTGGAAATGCCAATTGCAGTTATTTAAGGCATCATGCAGTTTGGGCAATTGCTGCCAACCTTTTTTTGCAGCATACTTGCACGCACAACTAGTGTCGACCGGACCACCTTTCTCTCACGGTACTTTCTCTCGAGAGCTCTTTGGGTGGCAATGAATGGGGAATGTTAGGAAAATACCTAGGAAAAGGCCAGGTTGAGTGCCAGGTTGAGTGCCATTGTGTGGGCTTTCCCCAGGGGGGAAATTATTCTAGGGGTATTGGAGATGCCTGGTACCCCTCAAAAACGAAAGCGGACAGCTAATCACCAAATTAGGCCAGAAATTGGCAAGAATTGCAAAAAAAACAAATGAAACCCCACACATTTCCCACCCATTCCCACTATGGCCAACGGGAGTTTTTTGGAAGGAAATGAAGGGAATATGGAAGAAATAGGGGTGCGGACGCAAAGTTGGGAAAACCTCTAGAAGAGAGCCAAGTTGTTTTTTTTTCTCCGGGCTTTCCCCAGGGGAGAAATTATTCTGGAGGTATTGGAGATGCCTGGCACCCCTGAAAAACAAAAGGGGGCAGCTGCTACAATCACAAAACAAATCCAGAAATTGGCAAAAATATTAACCAGTGACAACCAAATATTTTGCTTTTCCCACTCATTCCCACTAAGGCCAGAACCACCAAACTAGCCCAGAAACTGGAAAACACCCAAAACCAACTAAAACCATGTTCAGCCAGTGGGTTGCTGAGAGGAAATTTGTTTAAAGATACTATCCTGACTCTTCTTGATCCTATCTGAGTATGTTGAAAATTGTTTAAATTTGTGCCCCAGCTCTGCAAGAAGGGAAACCGTTTTCGGCCGTTTGCGCGCAGCTGCTTACGATCACTTGCGTTTGGCTAGAAATAGACTATACCGGTATCATTTTGATGGAAATTATTCCATTTTTCCATATGAACTCATGAGTTCTTAGAATAATTTATTTTTTTGAACTCAACGGGTGCCGGAATAATATTATAATATATTATAATTATTCTGAGGTATGTTGACGGGGGTATCCCCTTAAGGCATCCCTCATAGGATTAGACCACATACCCAAGTGTAGGGCGTGACCACTGAGATGGAACCATACCATTTTTCCAGGGTGTTCGCTGGCAAAGTGTAGACATCGCTGGGGCAAATAAAGCTCTTGTGAGGAGCCTGCGGTGACTCAAAAGAACAGCGTTTCCACGTCAGTCTTGAATATTGCAGTTTCAATATTCAATTCTTGAAGGATCATTGGATATCATTGGATCATTTCCGATGACTTACGCTGAATGATATCATTGGTCTCTTTGCGATGATTCTTGGATCATATCCGGTTGACGACTCGTTTCTTCACCATTTCCGATGCAGTCAGGTAAGCCAGAGTATCAATCAGGAGATCCACTGGGTCCACAGGGTCCACTGGGTCCTCAGCCATGGGGAGCCACTTGGAGCTACGAGTTGAGTTTCCCAACCACATGATAGCATGTTATTTCTAAATATAATATGATTCTATTATTATTTATAATATATAGACATATTATTACATATTTATACATCGAATACCTATTATATCTTTCAGAGCATTTCTTTGGAGCATACGCAAAGTCCAACACCTCCAATGAAAAGATATGAAAAGAATCCCTTCACAAACGCTCCTTCCATGGCATGAGGTATGCTCCAGGGCTCTGTTGGATTTGTTTTCGGCTATAAATTCTAGGATGGACCCAATATTTATCATAAAATTCCCTCTTGTTTTTGATTCAGGTGCATAATTTTGAGGTTTTACTTTATAAATCTTTAATAATCATCAATATCATTAATTGTGATACTTTTCGGTACTTGATTTACAATTGATAATTTAAGTACATACTCTTGTTTCTTCTACAGACTCTGTAATGGCATACGCGTATAAAGATTGGTGATATGGGACCGTGATTCAGCCCCCATTCTTGACACTTCGGCTGGGTAAAAATGATCATGTCTGACGATATTTGATTTCCGCGTCTTTGACGAAAACCTGTTTTAAGTAGTAAGAACACACCCATGTTATCTTTGTTTTCTTTGGATTCTGATCGCTATGATGATTATATATAATTATGATCATTATATAGATATGCTTACAAATCATCATCATGATCATGACCGTTTTTTCTACCACACATCGTAAATGTAGAAAAATGATAAACTACGAATATCCCCATATGTTTGATGGTCAAACCATGGTTAAAATCATTCCCAATCTTGGATAGGTAGAAACTACTCCTGTAGTTTTTTATAACTGGAAAATAGCCATAGCTGCTCGTGGACTATCAAAGGTTGACCATAAAATGATGGTTTAACTAACCATTATAAATCATGGTGAAGACCCAATAATACCCTATAAATGATTGATATGTTCCCATTAAATCACAAAAAAACAAAACATGGTTAAAACCCTTTATTTTTAAGCCTCTAGATCTATGATTTTTATTTTCTTGTTCCATAGCCATGAAAAATCACGATTCGTTTGCCGTGGAGGACTTGGTCACCTGTACGTGGCAGCTGCTGAGTGGCAACATTGCCCTCTTCGCCACGGAGCCATGGCAGGGTTTTAAAAAAACATGGGCAATGGGAAAAATCGTGGTGACATACCCTCTGGTAATTTAACATAGCTATTGAAAATGGCCATTTATAGTGGATTTTCCCATCAAAAATGGTGATTTTCCATAGCTACGTTAAAGTACCAGAGGGTATATGAAGAAATATGAAGACCTATGGGGATAGAAATTTTTCATGAGATGACTCAGTCGGGTAAACTAGCATGGATGTGAAAAAGCCATGGATTCCTTATTGAAGTTTTGTACCATAGCTCTGGAAAATGGATGAACATGGTGACCTGAATATATAACTGCTATAGCTATAGCCTTGCTATAGCTATTAAATGGATGAAATCAACCTCGTTGACTGTTATGTAACTGCAGCTTGTACATATACACGCGGTTGGATGGGATACGTAACGGGCAAGTGGGCTTATTTTTAGTATGGAGGCCTATTTTTTTTTGGATTTTTTTTCTTTTACGTTTTTGGATTTTTTTTTGGGTTTCTTGTTTTATCTTGCTTTCTCCTTTTTTTTTTTGCGTTTTTGCTTTTGTGCTTTTTTGTTTGTTTTTTTTTGTTTTTTTTTGCTTGTTTGCTTTTTTTGCTTTTTTGCATGTTTGCTTTTTTGCTTGTTTGCTTTTGTGCTTTTTTGCTTTTTGCTTTTTTTGATTTTTTGCGTTTTTGCTTTTTTGCTTTTTTGCTTGTTTGCTTTTTGTTTTTTTGCTTTTTGTTATTTTTGCATTTTTTGCTTTTTTGCTTTTTGCTTGTTTGCTTTTGGCTTTTGGCTTGCTTTCCATGGCTTTTGGTGGTATTTTTAGTATGTCAAAATTGCACATTTTTCAATACACTAGTTTGAATCGACTATATTCATATATATATATTTATGTTTAAATTAAAATCATAATATATATATATGTGTATATATTATATGTATATATATATGTATATATATATATATGCATTTATATACACACTTGTATATTTATATCTAGATATATTTATATTATTTATATTTTCTACTTATATATATTTTATATATATTTACATATTATTACTATTTATGTTCAAATTCAAATATATATATATATATATTTACATATATATATATATTTACATATATATATATATATTTACATATATATATATATATTTACATATATATACATATATATATATATATATTTACCTATATATATATTTACATATATATTTATATATATATATATATTTATATATATATACATATATATATATGTAAATATATTTATATATTTATATTTATGCATGTATATATACACTTAAATATATATTATATTGATATATTTATATTTACATATTCATATTGATATTTTATATATTTATATTTATATTTATATATTTATTTTTATATATTTATATTTACATATAAATATATATTTATGTACCTATATATATATACATTCATATGTATATACATATAAATCATATAAATGTATATATATATATAAAGAAGTATGTATCTATAAGTACATGTACTGTATTCCACATGTTTCCAGGGTGCATGTCGTGTAGTCTATACACCTTGAGTATCACATTCAACCCAGCACCTTGCATGTAAAATAGGTGTTTCCAATCTGCTTTGGCGGGGAGGCGCTGCGCCCTCCCCCCAATCCCCCCCCTCCCGCTTTTTTTAATTATTTAAATTCAAACTTGCACACTTTTCAATACACTTGTTTGATTCGACTATATTAATATTTTGTTAAACATTATATATATATATCTAGACATATATATACATATATATACATATAGACACACGTATACATATATATATATGTATATGTATATGTATATATTTGCATTTATATATACACTTATATTTATATATATTAATGTACTTATATAAATGTATATATATATACATACATATTAATATGTATATACATATCAATGTATATATATTTATATAATTATATAACTATAAGTATATATATATATTATAAATACACATACATATTTACTTATAGATATACAGACGTATACATATATATATATATATGACATATTTGTGGTTGTTTTTATACACAACTTGCATCCCAACATAAACAACAAATAATCATGTAATTATACCTAATTACATGTTGTATCCCTAAACCCTAAACCACACCCGGCATATACATACATACATGCATGCATGCATACATACCTACCTACCTACCTACCTACGTACATACATACATACATACATATCTATATATATATATATAGATTGATTGATTGAAGAAAACCAAAGAAACCTTGCAGAAAACGATGGAAAATTGAAGAAAACCATGGAACAATTGAAGAACACTATGGAAAAATTGAAGAAAACCATGGAAAACTTGCAGAAAACCATTGGAAAACCATGGAAAAATTGAAGAAAACCCGGGAAAAATTGAAGAAACCAATGGAAAAATTGAAGAACACCATGGAAAACTTGCAGAAAACAATGGAAAATTGAAGAAAACCATGGAAAATTGAAGAAAACCATGGAACAATTGAAGAAAACTATGGAAACATTGAAGAAAACCATGGAAAAATTGAAGAAAACCATGGAAAAATTGAAGAGGCACGAACCCCAAAAAAAAATCCAAAACTGTAAAAAAAATAAATACCAAAAACAATTCTGCACCCTTTTAGTATTATTGCCGTGGTGATTCAGCCCGCCAGTTCGAAGATTCCTCTGGAACTATGGCTAAAAACGTATACACACACACATTACCCTCTGGTAAACTAACAGTTTGCTATTGAAAATGGCTATCTATAGTTGATTTACCCACAAAAAAATGGTGATTTTCCATAGTTATGTTAGTTTACCAGAGGGTAATAGGTCATGTTTGTGGACTTCAGATGATATCTCCAGCATGGACTGGGATGATACTATACACTTGAGTCCCTCCCGGCTAAGGAATTGATCCCACTTTCCATATGTTTGCAGGGACCTAGTCCCTTCCCCAGAAGTTGATCAAACTAGTCCACAATTGTGCGACTTATTGGAATTGTTAGTCCTGGGGAAGTTGATCAAATTGTTATTGTAAGTCACTAGCAGCTAGTCATTCAGCAAGACATTTGGGGCTAGTCCTACAGGTATAGCAGCCGGATCTTTCCCAGTTCTTTTTTGGGCTCTACGGGAGTGCCTTTTGAAGCGTTCATTGTTTGTGTACCCCAATCATGCGGATAAAATAATGTCACAAACCCATCCCCCAAATCACCATAAATATAAATATATATATATATAGGTGGTAGAAACTTACCATTCCCAGTCATGGGTGGTTTAATTTATGACATTGTTTTACCCACATTGATGTCAGCCCAAGAGCCACGAAATTAAGCCGCTGCTGGCGGCTTCGAGGTCTTGACCTTCATGGCCCTCAAGAAGGTCTGGAAGTTGCTGGTGGGTGACCAGCGCCTTGCCGTTTTTTTAAAGGGAAGACACTGGATGTGTTTCAGGGAAAATCCACTGGAAACCATACTGACTTTTACCCATCCAATACCGGGGGTTTAAATGTGATTTTTCCATTCAACATTTCTGGGACTCAGAGATTTGTTCTTGATGAATTTGCCGGTGACCTTGAACCAAGATCAAAGTCAGAAGCCACCTGGCTGATGTGCCTCTCAAGTTGGCAGACATTGCAGAATTGTTTCAAGGTCAATCTGGGAAAAACAGTGCATTTGGATGAACTTCAGACACAACTTGCTTTTCCTTAAAAACCAGTGCATTTGATTTAGCCACGCTGAATCTCAACCTTTTCTCAGCTGAGGGCAGAAGAGATGGCGCTGATTGGTGACATCTTGGCCTTCCTGAAGTTCATCCTCCTTCTGCGGCTCGGCACGACTCGACACAACGCCATCCTGGGACGGCTGAAGGAATGGATGGGATCCACGAAGGGATTTAAGCCTCAGAAAATGGTGGTACAATAGGAACATAACATGGGAATGTCATAGGCATATGATTGGGATATACTATCGAATGGACTTTACTCAACAAGGTGTACTTGAGAACTTGAGGTATGTTCTGGGGAAGCGATTTGATTTGAATGTGAACCAGGACTGACTCTCATTGATCTTGCAGGATGTTTGTTGGTTTATAAGGCATTTAACTCTGGATACATCTACCATATAACCCTGCGATTGGAGTTATGTTTGCCAACTGAGTGCTTCGGACTTGGGACACCACCTTGTGTGAATCAACTGGTGTGTTACTGATCTGGTATACCATTTATATATTTTTATACGAGGATGTGTGAGGGATTGATCCATCAAGCTCTTAAGTATGCACCAACTATAAGAGAAACGGGAGGTCTGAGGGGTAAATGAACATCTTCAAGGCAAGATGCAAAAGATGAGGTGCCTCAAACCTATCACAGTTGTTTGGGACAGTATCGCAACTAGATCACTGCAACTCTTCATGGGCTGCAAGCCTATGCATTGGTAGCAGGTGCTTTTGCCGATTTAGTTTTAGATGTTCATGTCATCTCAGAACACCAACATGTTTTCGGCACGTTTGTTTGGCGTGGTGCACACTTCAGCAATCAAACGGAAAGTGGAAAGTGTGGCAAACATGATATCGAAACACTTACTGGACTGGACGGAGCTGGATTTACTTCGGTCATCAAGCAACATGGCAGTGAAGAAATCCCAATGTCATATCATGTTTCCATGGTATTCCATGGTTTCATTACCGCGGGGTGGAATACAGCCACTGTAGGGCCTGGCCCATGGTTCCAAGGATTGGCGTTCCATTCCTGAGGCTCAAGGGAGCTGGGTGGGGTTGGGAAATAAGATTTGGAGCTGAAATAAATCATATATCCATATAAATCCATGTCTTTTTTGGTTAAATCACCATCTTTCCCATGATTTCTGAACACACCTTGTTACCCAGTGGTTTCCCAGCTCCTCGCAGGTCCAAGCTAGAAGCCAGCTCCGCGGCGGGACGGTGGCTGCCTGCGCTTCGCACCACCGGGGCATATCTCATTGGCTTTGCGGGTGCGGACTGCCGCTGAGCAGATGGGGGCCACGGGCTGACCACGTTTCACAAAGGGGGACTTCAAGTGGGAAAATCACGGTAACCTGATTTGAGCACTGGCAGCATTCTACCAATTGTAAGCGAATAGGTAGCAACAGCTTAGGGATTCAATTCCTCCATCAAAAAGTGGAATAATTGAGTATTTTTTTAAATTGGTTTACCCCACCTTCAGCCCACTCACACACGTGGCATGTGATGGTCCATGGACCTGGGTACCACTCGATCCTTTTGGGACTAGAACATTGAGATGTTATTTACAGTAGCATACAGTAGCAATTTTTGTGCCGTTGGTTCATTAAATCAGCCAGTCTTTGATACCACACCCCCAGCACAATCCACTTTTAGGGTGGTTGGCTCGCCCAGCACACCTCTAAACCTCCAAAATGACTTGAGAAAACCTCAGAAATCTCAATCCACTTTACTATCTTTCGCATTGAACATGGAACATTCATTGAAACGGATTGACGTATTGAACACAACGCTAAAACCCATGGCATCCCATGGCTTTAGACTCCTGGACGAAGATATTCCGTTTGGATGTATGATGTTGCCTCACTCAAGTGAGGCTTTGCAAACTTCCTGCGCTTGGAGCCCTTCAGCAGAGCCCTGGGTCAAAATCTAGAAATTTCATTCACCCATGTGCATTTAAAAACAAGAACATCAGGAACAAATCGCATATACAGTAATACACATATTAAATCATATTATATAATTAATATTAATATGTATATATATATACCGTATTAACCCATATTATACCGTATATTATATATTTCTAAGATTTTGTTTTTGTTTGCTCGGACCTTTTTTCACGAACCATTCAGAAAATTGGATTGCAAAGTCGTGTGATTCCAACCAGCTCCCACAATCAGCTCCCATCAGCTCATTTGTGGAATCCATCAAGTAGTCAGGTCAAACTTAATTTAACCATTTCAACCCTAATCCAGCAATCATTGAATCATGTTGGATCCATCCCTGTTTTGTTTCACTAATTGATGACAGGACCCCTTGCAATTGGTGGTAAAAAACGATCGTTCCATTGACTTATTGCTTGACCGTTAGCTCCAGGCGACTTAGAGATGGATCTTTCCAAACCCTGAATCCAATGGCCGGGGAGCGCGCAGCACAAGAACTAAGCCCCTTCATAGTGATTCACATTGCTGGTTCAAAGAATCACATGATTCATATCCGCGGAGGTTAATATACACATTATCTGAGGCGGTGCTGGTTTTTATTTTCTGGGTATGCTGTTGGTCTTCGGCGTTCTGAGTGCACTGCTGGCGCTGGCATGGAGGTGAGATGACCACCGCATGGATCCATGGATCATAGCATTTGGAAAGTCAAACGGCATCAATTGGAAGCAGCTTAAGACTGGGAAACATGTGGGGGAATGCAGGAAAGTGTGGGAACATCGTGCTCGTAGAGAAAACTCGTAAATTTCCGGGGAACTCTGAGGAAATGTCCGGAAAATCTAGGGAAAACCTCCGGAAAGATCATGGGACAACGGGGGACATATGTCATTTGCGGCCCAGCAGGATCTCTCAATATGGACGCCCCAGTGATGCGGCGTACGAACCCGAACGCGAGGCGAAGCCGCCTAGACAACCCAGGAATCAGCAACTGGTGGCACTAGCCCCAAAAAACCGCACCAGATTTTGAATTTTGGATGTGAGTTATACCATGTCATACCCTGAGTTTGATCCTCCAAACACCTTAAATACCAGTTGGTTAGAGAGTGAATTGTGTCCCAATTGATCACTGGAACCCAATATGTTAAGGTTAGTGGCTTTGCATAAATGATAAGACAATAAGAACCACAAAGAGAGGATATAAGGGAGGGTAATGTGGGGTATTAACATACTATGGTTACAATGTTACATGATTTTGGAATAGTTTAGATGTGCCAGCAGGCTGAGCAAGTCGATGCAGCCGGCTTTCAGATCGGCTTCCTGATGTGCTACGGCTGCATGTTGGATCAGTGCAACGTGGGGCTGGGAAGAGCAGGTTGATCCAGGGAAACTTGAAGCAGCCTGGCTGGAAAATCACATTTTTTGGAGAGGTAGATAACTATAACTATAATATAGTTGAATTTCTTGAATTGCATGTGTACTTTCGTTGGTGGTTTTAGAATTCTTTGATATTCTTTAGAGCGCCGGCTTGATTGCTGGCCAGTAGGTGCTGGTAAACATAGGGAAGAAAATTGCAAAAGCGAACGGTGATGTGTTAGACGACTATGGTTCCGAACCCTTGAAAAGCCTCAGTTGGGTTGGGGCTGCAATGCTGGCACACAAATTTGACCAATATGGAAGCTTTTCTGTCGAGCCACTAAAGGTCAGCCGATAAATTTGCCTTTTGTATATAGCTGCGTTTAATGAGAAATACCATTGTGTCTTGGGAATCCATGCAAAGGAAACTACTGGACCTGGGTGTTTTTGGCGTGGCTGTAGGGTGGTCTTGCCCAAAATTGACGCTCCAAGACCGCATCTGAAACCCATTTGTGGGCCCAGTTCCGCTTGGAAAAGGGGACCAGGCAATTTAAGATAATTTTCGGTCAAGTAACTAAATACCATTAAAGAAATAAACACAAAATAAGAACATAAAAAAGAACACGTGGTGTTTTTCACTGTTTTCCCAATGTGTCTCCCCAAACCTTGGGCTCTTTCGTTCCAACTTCCTGCAGGTCCATGTGGCTGCGCTTTCTGGTGACCGGCTTCTTACCTGGAAGCGCCGTGGCTCCGATCGGAGGACTGGAATCTGGAAAGATCACAGTGGGAAAATATGGAGAATCTCTGATTTTTTAATAATAGGACCCATAGGATCCATGTATGCTATATATGGTAACATTTACCATCAATATACCCCTAATGTTGGCATATATACCATACATGGATCCTATGGGGGATAAATATGGATAAATTATTCATAATTATGCGGATATGGCCGGATATGGGGAATCGTTTTCGTGGGACTGATTTCTGGAAAAAATATGATTTCTTGAAGTTTGTGGGGGGTAGCCTTTCAATAGCTGTACTTTTGTTCCCATTCAATACGCCTTTTCCCCGTGGTTGGGTGAAAGGATTGGGGAAGACCCACTTTGAATATTTTTTTGAATAGAAACCAGGTTTGGGATACAAGGAGCACGCTACAAGCCATGCTGGCATAACTTGCACAACCTGAGCCAAGGGTAGTCAAGGTATGTCAAGGTAAGCTCATCTCATCAGGGTTGAATCTTCAGCGATTTGTCGCTTGGGGCATGTGCAAGAACCTCCTAAGGAGGACTCAACTGAACCATTTCTTCTTGTGGACATGGTTGACCCCAGTGACCCAGGGCCAGGGGGGGCAGATTTGTTCTGACCCCCCTGCTGTATCTGGGAGCACAAGATTTATAAGTACGTAGCCTTTCGTGGAGCAAAGTAGCCTGGGGTTGCCAAGACATCCAAGACAGATCCACAGCTGTGGGAAAAGGATTTGCTGTTAGCTACTGGTTGATTTCTCATTTTTTAGAAGGTTAGCCGGGTGATTACTGTACGCAGGCACTGTGGCCGCCATGGCCTACCTTCTATTCAGCTGTCGCAAGCTTCAGGTAAGATGCGAGCACTTTCAAAAACTCAAAATAGATGAACCGATCATGTTGTTTTTCTTAGTCTTTGATGTCCCCCTTCACCCCCAAGAAAAAACACAATCATCCAATTCAAACACCGTATATAGATTGTATATGATATGATTGTATATAGTATAGTATATTGTAGTATACTGTAGTACACTAAAGCATGCGTTTTTTTTTTTTTTTTCGGGGGGCTCCTCCAGCAGTTTTCATATATTGGTTCACGACTAGTTTGATTTCCCAGATATATTTTTGCAAAGTATAGCTGTGCCCTCAACCAGTGCACCAACGCAGCAAGGCAAAAAGGAAGCTCATCCGTTGAGCAGTCAAGATTTGCACCTCAGCAGCGTTGAAAAAACATGGTGATGGGTCGGCAGATGAGTTGTGAAAAAACGGCCATCGTGTTTCTTGCCAAAAAAAGGCACAAGCTGTAAGCATGTAAACATTCAAGTGAGGTGCTTACAATATGGAATGTCATGTAATGTCATGTCATGTTTGTGTTTATCACATCACATGTCATATCATATCTATAGGTCCATAATGGTCCATATGCATATGCAAAGTCATAGATCAATTGACCTTCGTGCATATGTATCACACACACACACATATTAATGTACACACACACACCTTAAAATGTACATCTACTGATTGGCGGTTTGGAACATTTTTTATGTGTCCACAATAATCCCAACTGACTAATATTTTTCAGATGGGTTAAAACCACCAACCAGATATAAATTATGGCACCGCTGATAATGACAATATGTGTGTGTGTGTGCGCGTGTGTTTTCATAGGTATGTTGAGAGAAAGGCAGCCATGGTCTCTTGCCCACATGACATTAGCCAATTGCCAGTGCCCTTGCCCATTTTCTGCAATCACTTGCAGGATGATAATGCTTGGCAACCGGCAAAGAAGTCCGATGGTAATCCAAGTACAGTATGTGTATTTATGTTGATGCTCATATCATTTCATATCCAGTATATATAATATATATATATATAATATATATATATAATATATATATAATATATATATATATATTGTGTTTATTTTGGAACCATGCCACGAATTGTGGGAGCAGACCTCTGTACCACCAGTCGATTCCACTCGTCCATGTCGTCCATTTTCAGGGCCTTCTTGGGTGGTGCGCTGCTCATTTCCATGTCGATTTTTGCGCTGATGATGTGGAAGGTCCGAGCACTGGCAGATAGCACTGAGAGGACGACTGGGCTCCGAGGTCAGGTCGGCTTTCACGGCAACATGTTGATATTTATGGGTCATGGATGGTCATGGGGCATATCGACCCTGAGAATCACCATGTTTTCGAATTTGGAACCTGGATGAACCTGGTATATATTTCAACCCCGGACTTATGACAGGGTTCCAGGTTTACGTTCGTTGGGGGGTTGATTCCCACAGTGTGCGTGCGCCGTTTTCTTCACCGGCGAAGGCTTCACCATGATTCATCAGGTGATATCTACAAGAACAGGCATTGGATTAAAACCTTCCAAGCAAGCGGTAGTTATAGCATGTTATAGCATGTTATAGCATGTTATAGCCACAATATTTTTTTTTTTTAATTTGATAGTTGAAGTTGGCATTTTCAGATGCTTGGACCTTAATGAAAGGTAGTGCCTCCATATTGTGAGTTGGCCTAGAACCCCCAAATCGTAAGTAGTATAGATATATATAGATTATATCTATATAACATAAACTCAACAACAAACTACAGTAACTTAGCTAACATGAATCAACTACAAACACGCGCACACACACACATTAAATTAATATGTTGTTTGTGATTCCGATTGGTCTGGCATCACCACGCTCTGTAGGAAGCCCATCTATCGCCGCATCTTTCGGATTCTCACGGAATCCAGCGCAATGACGATGGCTTGGCTGCTGATGTACTGGGAGACTTGGCTAAATTGCTGAGGTGCTGGGGTTTAGCTGCAAACTCACTGGAATTATGGTTAGGATTCGGGGCATTATCCCAATATAGCCGAACTTTTCAGGTTGGTGAAGCATTATAAATTACATTAAATGATCCAGATGAATCTTACAAGTTAATGCTCAGAGCTAGCTATGTTGATTGATAACTCCAATAATTGTTCAGTTTATGGCAGATGTACTCCCTTGAACCTCATCAATGGAGGTCAAAAACGGCAACTTATAACTGGGGTGCACCCACCAACTTTTGAGACTTATAAACTATACATAAGAACCAAGTTAAGGATCTTTCAGGATGCTTTGGGGATTTCTTTCCAGTCGAGCATTCTAGTTAGTTCATGTCATGGCACTCAGCTAGCCTTATTGGGGCCTCCACTCAGCAGGTCTTAAACGTTCCAAGTGGCGCCCAGGTGCAATGGCTTTTCTGGTACTTCCACCAGAACGCGGATGGCAGCCACAGATCGGGACGCCATGCGGCACTGATGTCACTCGCGCTGAGCGGTCTCTGGGGGTTTCTATAAGTTGGAGATAGACAGATAGATAAATAGATAGATGCGGAGCGAAAGATAGATAGTGCATAGAACTAGATAGTGTAGGTCGGTAGGTAGGTAGATAGAGGACGGACGGACAGGCATATAGAGATGTAGATATATAGATGTAGATATAGAGACATAGATATAGATGTAGATATAGATGTAGATATAGATGATATCTAGATACCTATATATATGATTATGATGATGATGATGATGATGATGATGATGATGATGATGATGATGATGATATATGCATATATTCTTGTATCAGTCAATAAATATTTACTTATTTGTTTGTTGTTTGTATATATATATATAAAGCAGCCATAGCCACGTTCGATTCAATGATAAATCTATCAACATCCATGGGTTTGGTGCAACAAAAAGCCGTATGGTTGGCAGATCCTCTTCCGAGAAATCATTTGCAAATCTGCAAAGAGAAAAAAAAGAACACTTTGGCAATGAAACATCACCGTGGAAAACAGCATGTTTTTTGATATGTGTATATAATTCATTTTTGTATAAATGGGACATACCTTCCATAGCAAACTCTTAAATCACTGGAGGGTATTGGTATTGCACCTTAAAGTGCCCAGCCGCTGGTCCCAACGTCCATGGCATTGCCATGTGCCGCTCCTGCGGCTCCCGTGCGTCTGGCTCCCGCAGATCTGGCCGTGCCGAAAAGCGGAGCGATCTCCGCTGGAACTCGCAGCGTGAAGCGAAGGGGCGCCCTTGGTGCCTGGGCTGAGTTGTACCCACTGGTAAACTAACGTAACTATGGAAAATCACCATTTTTAATGGGAAAATCCACTATAAATGGCCATTTTCAATGGCTATGTTAGTTTACCGGAGGGTAGATTTTGGAATGACCTATTTGGAGATGGATGGATTGAAAGTGCCTGGCAGAGAACTGTCAGCTGGTGCCTTCCTAGATGCCCCCCATTAAGATGCTTTGGGATTGATCATACTGAATACTGTACAGTTATGTAATCGGATCAGTGGACCCCCATGTTTCTTGAATAGATCCTATATATAGAGGAATCGTTTGCAACCTGTTCAGGTGCAGGATTGATCAAAATTGGTCACCCTCATTTGTTTGAAGAAAAAACGCATGCTAAACACGGTGTGTTCCGGAACAAAAGCTCGTCACTAGTGCTAACGGGGGTGCACACTAGACCCTAACGTCCCCCAACTAGACTCAAAACACCAGCGACGATGAAAACATCCACTTGTACTTGGTTAGAAACCTTTCAAAGAGGGCTCCCCCCTCTTGGGGGGGTTAGAAGATTGTATCGATGTGATTCTTAGCCAGGGTTCCTGAGGAGTGTTTCGTATATTGGCAGCAACCGGAAAGACAGAATTTGGATGAATTTGGCAAACCACTGAAATAGAATGGTACTTAATGGTGCGGTAGGTCTGTCTCACCTGTTGGGATGGCAATGGCGAGAGAGAATGGTACACTAATACTGTAGGTATACTGTAGGTATACTAAAGGTTTTATCCGGCGGAATGGCATATCCATGTTCTAGGAGAGCGTGCAGCCAGCCTCAGCGTCCTGGCCCTCACTCTGCGCCGAGTGGCCACCAGGGCAGTCAGCGACAGCGCTCCAGTGCTGGCGGCCGCGCGGCGCGCCAAGCGAAGGTCGGAGTTTGAACGCACCAAGCGACAGAGTTTGTGGCCTGGCTTTCGCGCTTCAGGTCAACGGTAAGTGAAACCGGGGCCCGAGTTGGGGACAGGTTAAGAGGGTCTGTTGGACATCAACAAAATGGGGCTTGGCGGTGTTCGGTATGAGGTTGGATGCTGCGGCTGTTGGTCTCCTGGGAGCCCTTTTGTTATATGCCAACAACGGCCAAGAGACAGCAGAGGGCTGGCTGTTGGGCGCGGTCTTTGCGGTGCTGTACCTCATCCTGCTTCAGCAGGACGTCACTGTGATCACTGTGGCCTGGAAAGGAAACGATTTGAAGAATGCGGAAGTTTTCTCTATTGTTTTCTTTTCATGCACATAATTGTATAATTTGATCATATATATATACATATATATAATATATATATATATAATTTATTGCACATGTGTACATTGTATCCATGTATATGCATTTAGAATCGTTTAGATGTGTTCTTTGAATTGCATTTAATTATTCATTGTCATGTCCTCATTTCATTTTAGATTATTCAAATCATTCTATTCAACATTATCGATTTTGATTTTAGAACAATTTACTTGTACATCCGTATCTACAAATATATACAGTTATATGATATATGCATACAAACACGGACATATGTACTTTTGTGTATTTGTTTGTTTACCTCTCCAGCAGATCTAATTGCAATAAGGTGGAGTCCAACCCTTTCAACCTGACCAACCCCTTTCGGATCCTGCGCTTTCTGTTGCCCTTTGGCTTGGTCGTAGCACTGGGCCTTCAGCATGCCTTGACGGTTGGCCCAGAGGAGTGGTGGCAGAATGTCAGCTGGCCAGCGATGGGACAATGGGACGATGGTCAGACTCTAGAACACTCCATTTTTGGTCAAAACCATATGGCTATGGATCAATACCTATTAATACCATTTTTAGTGGGATGAACATCCATTTACCAGCTATTTTGATGTTCACCAGGGGTACAAGGTTTTGACGCACTGCCATATGCTGTTGACCCAAAGGTTTTGGTGGACCATGTGAAAGATGGCTGCATTTCAAGCCACTTGTTCATGCGACTGCCTTGTTTTTCTCGCTTGGCATTGCTCAATTGCATTGTTATAAATTGTTAGCATGTTTTTTTGAAGATAGTTTGCTTTCCAATTCCACCATTTTTCACTTGGAACATTCATCCTAGATTCGTCATGATTCATATGTAGGCAAAGAGCACCTCACCATCAACATCAACCAAAACAGTCCCCACTAACAGCAACATCAAAGTTGATAATCGTCATATGTTCAACCTCATTTCATTACTCAGTTCATTTTTTGTTTCCGAAACTACCAGATATGGTTTGTTTTCAACGTCTTCAGTCAAACCTAACCATAACTTTATGTAACCCATGGTTTTTCTAATGCTACCAGATCCAGATTTATTAAAATCCTTCAAACCATAATGGCAATCCCCCAAATATATCCGGCACAGCTCCAGGGACACCCGAAGGCGATGGGCGATGGAGAGAGAGAGAGAGAGAGAGAGAGAGAGATCCAAACACAGACACCTAAATCCAAGAAGCTTGAGAAACGTCATATAACGTCATATCTATAGCTGACATCGCTTGTGTTTTTCAGCATGTTTCTAGGGAAATAATTTCCAGATTTCCCTAGAAGATGATACAAGATTCCCCATGAGTTAGCTAAGTTGCTTAATGTTGGTTATAACCCCAACTAACAAGATTTGTGTGTCCAGTTGTAACTGTTTTCCTTTTTCTCGGTGTTATCAGCAACAAACATTTCACTGCAAGGCACCAAGTACAGAAAACTCATAAGTCATATCTACATCTCTGTCACTGTTCGGCATTTTAATCGGCTGATTTCGACAATGTGGTGCCCCCCCCAATTATAAGTGGGTTGATAACCCCATTAACTATAATATATATATATATATCTACCACAAGTTCTAGTTCTTAGACTTGTAAACCAGCTTAGCCATCAAACTGGGGCACCACCTTGTAAGTATTCCCCAAAGATTCCCCAACTAGATTATGACTATGGTATTCACGGCTTTATAAACCAACATTCATACCCCAACTGGGGAGCCACACCCAGTTATAAGTTTATTATAAAACCATTCCCTTACATATGATTTCAAATATTGATGTATGTGTGTGTGCGCGTGTGTTGATTTAATTTTATAAATATATATATATATATATATAATCATATATATAATCATATAATTATATATAATTGTATCTATATAATTCTATATATATATATATACACCCCGAATCAGCCCAAACGTTCGTTCACCAAAGAAGCTATGTGCGTCAACTCATTCAACTTATAGCTTTATTGGTTATAGTTGGAGCATGTTATAGCTACAGTATATTCTCCTATAAACCTTAGTTCCCTAGGGAACCATAGTTAAATCCCATCAAATCACCATGTTTCTTCCTTAAATCACACTTTTCAGCTGAAAAATCAGCTATAAATCCTGAAATCCCTCACTTTTTCTATCTATTTCTGGGTGAAATCCTCTTAAAATCCCCCCAAAATCACCATGGTTTCCTCCATTTCGGCAGGTGACTTGGCAGCCCGGGGTCAACTTCACCCGCGTCGTCGCCCCGTCGTCGCTGCTGGGCGCCCTGCTGGGCTACGTTGTGACCTCTGCGGTGCTGCCGCTGCGGGGCCTGGCCGAGACGCTGCCGGAGGCGCGGCAGCTGGTGAAGGCCGTGCCGGGCTCGCTGGGAGCCTTGACGGCACTGGGGTAGTCTGTTTTTGGGGGGAAACACCGGGGATTTTGGAAAGTTAGGGGAAAATCATGATCGGATGTTACAATGGAAAATCAGGTTAGAAGATCATGCGGTTGTAGATTTAAGACAATTAAATGAAGCAGTGGATGGATTTCCTTGGGAAACTGAGCACCTAAACTTGGAACATCCCGCGAATCGGAACTGGTTATTAACACTTAGAGGCCAGCTATGGGACAACCACATGAGTCGGGGACTTATGAGGGTTAGGAGCCAGTCACGATTTGTGGGGTTATCCTCCAAGTGGGGATCTGGGCAAATGTTGGGCGTGTTTTTCGGCACGGAGATAGGAAATAAATAATGGATTCACATCGATTTAATTATTTGGTGGTATGTCCCAGTGTGGGGTGAAGGGTAAGCATTGCTTGTGAGGTAGTTGAACATTGGAATATTGAGTGGATTATAAATGGCTACATACATCTACATACTAGCTGAGAAATGGGTTTTGGGTGAAATTGACAGGCAAAAAATGATGATCATTGATCATTGTAGTGGAAAAAAACATAAGAACAACACAAACAATGCGGATGCGAAACTGATTGATGTTTTAAAATACCAGAAAAGGTCGGGCTTGACCAACACATGGATGCAGCCACCCCAACTCCTCCAAGGAGTTGCCTTAGAGTTGGCCGATGCGGCCGATACGTCGCAAAGAGTGGAGGAAGTAGTCGAGGCGGGAACAGATGTGAGCCATAGCCGAAATATGCCGAAATCCTTGTTGAGTGATTCAGCAGAGATTTAGTGATCTATCAGGGTTTCTGAAAACCATCATGGGGAAATCATAGCTACAAGGGGGGAAATGGATGGAAATGGGCCAACTTCACTCACCTCTTTGTTTGGCATGTTTTTCCTTTGTGTCTGGGGTGCTGCGAGCATCCCTTCTTATAGGGGTTTTAAATGGTTTTAAGTTTTAACCACCGATACTTGGTTGGATGATGATTACACATGATTACACGAGGTTGTCTCGGCTGATTTATTGAAGATTCTGGACTGGTCCGATTTCAACTTGCTCATGTGGCAGGTGTTGCAAGTTTTTGAGGGTTGGATGATGTTTGAAGAATTGCACGAAGGCACACACACAGAAAGTAATTGTATAATTTGCACGCATATATATATATATATAACATATTGGTTTGGAAAACGTTTTTCCTTTGATTACATGAATTCCTTGGTTACCCGGACTCTTTTTCATCTCACTTCAACCCCTGGGTGAGGATGTGGAAGTGGTTCCAGTGCTACTCATCACAGGGCCCAGGGGATGTGGGAAGAGCACGCTGGCACAGCAACTGATGGCAAATGACCATCGCTTCCAAGAGCCGCTGAGCTGCTCCAAAAGTTGATTTTCCATGAGCGGGAATGTTTGGCTATTTATATAATAATAATGATAATAACAATAATAGTAAATACTAATGATAATACAGTAATAATATATATATATATCCATCGAATTTTGGGGTAAATGTTGGTCAGGCTTAAAACCTTTCCAAACCTCGGTTTCAATCTTTCGTTTACTGCCAGGTGAGGGTCTCTAGATTCTAGATCTTGAAAAGGTGCAACTCCTCCTTCACCTCCAGCTCCAGATGCACTAGGTCACAGATAGAATGCCAGAATAGATACCAGATACCTGAAAAGATGCCAGATAGAATGCCAATATAAACTCCAGATAGAATGCAGAATAGATGCCAGAGCATGCCAGAATGAATGTCAGAATATTATATGCCAAAAAGATCCAAAAATATTTCCAAAAAGTATGTCAGATTAGACGCCAGATAGAATGCCAGAGAAAATGTCAGATTATATGCCAGATAGAATGTAAGGTAGAATGTCAGAATATATGCCATATATACGTCCAAATGACGTGTCAAAAACGCTGTCAGAAGTCAGAGTGGGGATCAATTGAAGAAAGTACTTGGATTACTTGGGTATTTTTCTGTCAACTACCCAATATTTTTCCCAGAAAAATACCTAACATGTTTCTGTTCTTCGGGCCTTTCTCCCCCATTTTTCCACAGACGTCCCTTCCAAGGCCCGAATGGGTCGCCACCAAGCCATGCTCCATGGGACGTCAGCGCCTCGTCTCGCAGAGCGACTTTCAGGCGCTGGAGCAGACGCGATCGCTGGCGGTGTCATATCGCCCTGCAGGCGGCTGATGGAGGTGAAGAATCATAAAACACAGCAGCCATGGTTGGTTTCCAGTATTTTTCCATATGGAATGCCAATGCCAAGACATTCCAAATTTCAATACTTTTTTTGCTGGTAAATCCTCATGTTTTCAACATTTTTGAACAAAGCAGGCGATGACTTGGAAGAAGTCGAGGTGGGTTTGCCTGCCATGTCAGTGTTGGCCACGGCACAGCAACTGGGTCGAATGGAACTGTAGGGAACAAGGGTGGGGTAGGGAGTAAGCACGGGTTAGCGGTTAGCATAGATTACGCTGACACCAAATTTTGACAATATTTTGGTAGGTTAAACAAGGGATATATGATGATATATGTTCAAATATGTGTACATGTATGCCACATATATATATATATATATATTTATGTAAACATGTAAGCAATTTGAATTTAGTTGAGTGAGTAGTGAGTGGATTAGTTTTTTAGCCACAAACAGTCAGTGCCCGACAAAATTTAAGTTTTTACGTGGGGCAGCAAGGTGCCCGTTGCCTTCCAAAATGGCACCATCATCACTTAGCGATTTGACATACTGCCGTTTGCCAGAACTTTGGCCCACATTTGCAGCACGCCCAGAACCATAGTGACATTTTGACTGGGAAACTCCGGGAATCGTGTTTTGACATCCAGATTCTCAAGGCTTGGAAAACCCCATTGAACTTACAGCATTCAGTTCGTCCCAGCGAGATTCCAGCAGAATCTGACATGACTTTGATGCACTTGCAAGATCAGACAGACGGATGGGACCTACATTCCCAGAAATGTTCCCAAGTTCCATCCTTGGAAACCCGGATAAGGTGGGAACTCAGTGAAAAAACATGGAAAAACTATGAAAAACCGTGATAATCAGTGTAATCAGACCTTCCACTTTTGAATGTTCAGCCTTTGCCAACTCAGCTCAGGAATGGAGCTTGCATTCTGGATGTTGACCCACCGACAGCTCGTTATATTTTGGCATACAACTTTGAACCTGCTCTGTCTGCAGCCTTTCCAGAGAAGAAGACGGAACTCCGAATTGTGACCGTTTGGGTTTCCATGCAGTCATTAGATCCTTTGATAAACTGAAAATCAAAGCTTTGTGTTTTTGTTTTGATTATTTTCATCCGATGTATCAAGTCAATATTCCAGTATTGATGCTAGCTGCTGCTGACATAAAGAGTTAGATGAACACCACCCAGATCGAGGTTCAATCCCTGCTGAAACACACACAATTTCCCGTTTAGACATTGCTAATTCCATCATAGGTTCCACGGTGGAGCCCCTAGAGTGCCTATGGCAACCCGATTTCAAACTTTTTTTCGACCCCATTTGACTGGGAGATAGGCCTATGTTAAGGATATGCAACATTTTGCGACTATCATTTTGCCTGATAATATATTGAAATTATTAATATTCATCAATTAATTTTGATTAATTCCGTATAATGTCAACCCTGGATTTATAAAACGTTTATTCATTAGGAGGCTACTCCCCCAAGAGTCATCATTTGATAGAAATGATTGGTACATGGCTGGGGTTTAATCCAGGGCATCTATGGCCCTGAGAGCAGCAAAGCCCATGACCAGTGGCTCGACACCTAAGGACGCCATCATGCAACGGAACCGTCGGTGGTTGGAATCGCAGGGCTTGGAGGGCGAGCTGCTGACGGATCAGCTGAAAGCTTTGAGAAGCCAGGCGCGCTTTTTCAGGGACTGACCCGGGGTAGGGATGGGTAGGGGGCTTGTATTATGACATGATCCATATGGGGGTGCCATAAATGGGGGGATACCCAAAATGGATGGTTTATAAATGTTTATAATGGAAAATCCTATTGAAATGGATGATTTAGGGGTACCACCATTTTAGGAAACCTCCATGTGATGTATGTAATTATGATCTGAAGTTTGAACCAAATTGCCCACAGATCTTTATTTTTGCAGTACCCCATCAACTGTAGTTCCTTCCCCCCAATACTAAACAATACTAAACCTCCCCAAATAATTGTATTTATAGGGGTAGTTTTTAATATTAGGGTGTATTTAGTGTTAGGGTGCGAAGCTTTCCCCCCTAATACTAAATGTTGAACTTTTAAACCTCAATTTAGACAAAAAGTAAAACGTTCTATTTCAAAATCGATTGAATTCCTTTTAAAATCTAATTCAACTATTGCCCAAATTTGGATTTCGAAGGTTCCCCTAAGATTATTAATATTAAACGAAAAACCTTTAAACAAAACTAACATGTTATTTATATGTCAAAATCGGTTAGATTCCTTTTTTTTTTTTTCAACATATGATTAAAATATTGCCACATTGGATTTCCAAGGTTCCCCCAATATTAAATTAAACACATTAGTTAAAACAACTATGTTTTTTTTTTTAATAAAGGACGGACCCTAATGAAAAACACTGCGGTGTTGACTAGTTTTTATGATTAGGGCGTGAAACCCTCAAATTGGACCTTATTGTTTCAAATTGTTTTCTAAAGGGGATCAATTAAAAATCAAATTGGCCCATCTGAAATTGCCCCAAACGAATAATCTTGGGTAGATTTTATGTTTTTGTTTTTTGTGGGAGACTGGGCAGTAATAGGAAGAATCCGGATTATCATGATCCATGCACGTGTCCCCAAGACAGCTATTTCTGTTTCTAGCTGACGGCACCAATGATCTAAACTCTCGGGATCCCAAAATCCAACAGGGTCGATGATTTGGTGAAACATGCCTCTGGCGACTTAAATAACATAGCTGTATGGAACATGGCCCATAGATATCCATAGATAACATGATGATTTACCATGATTGACCTATTCAACAGTTGATTTTCCATAGGGGTAGTCCTTCCAAGGTGACATCGGATATGGAATGGGCCCTGACCAACGGCCTGGATTTCACCGTTTTAAACGATGGAACGACGGCGAAGGCCACTGAGGAAGTCCTGAAAGCGTCACGCTATTGTTTCGAGGATCCCTTCTAGGCTGAGATAGCGAAAGTTGATGGCTGTAACCGGTAGGGAACGTGAGGCTGTAAACATCTTGAAACTGTTTAAACATGTTTAAATACTGTTGAAACATGTTGAAACCATGGAAAGGAATGGGCTACTAGATTCTTTTCAGACAAACCCAGGTGACCAGCATGGCAATTACAAAATCATTGAAAGTCCATGATCCACATGAAAACCGTTGAAAACCCAACCTCAACGATTGTTTTAGCGAACCGCCCAAGATGATACCAAAATCAGCTGCAGGTGGATTTTCATGACATGAGTGACATGATGTTCCATTGCCATGGCAATGCGTTTCATGGAGGTTCAGGATGTCGAAAAAGAAGTGTTTCAAAGGATCAAAGATGATCACAGTTATCGAGATGATTGATCGCATATTATCCAGCTCAATGAAGCAACAACATACCTTGCCATGGAAAGATATCCACCATGCTATTAATAGGTAAACACCATCTATTTCTATGGGTCATCTATACCATGGCAAACTGTTACCCTCTGGTAATTTAACATAGCTATTGAAAATACCACATTTATAGTATTTATAGTGGATTTACCCATTAAAAATGGTGGATCTTTCCAGTTCGCTATGTTGGTTTACCAGAGGGTAGTCATAACCAGACTGGTAGCTCGACACAGCTGATCGGATCTATGCCACGGGAAAAAGACCGGAGCGATGCCACTGCGAGTCGCGGAACGACTCGTATCAGCCATTACTACAGTCCCTTCACATTAGCGGAAAAAAAAGGCGAACAGATTGGTAAATGATATATATATATATAAACAATTATATATGTATATAGGTATTTTAAAATGGAGGTACCCCCCAATCATCCATTTGATTGTTCGGAATTTCATGGATTTTCCATGGATTTTCCATGAAATCGCACCAAGGTCGCAGGCCATCGTTTCAACTGCAGCTTGGCAGTGGATCATCTTGGATGGCCAAAAAGTATCAAAACGTCATGTTTCCGGAGGTCATGTTGTCCATGTTGATGTGCAGATTGATATGTTTTTTTGGTTGGTTAAGACAACATGATTTGGTTAGATTTGATTGCTAGGTTTGATTGAGGTTTGATTGTTGATGATTGTTGATGATTGTTGGTTAAGATGGTTAAGACTTTTGTTGGCCACGTCTTTCTCAAAACACCTGGCGCATTTTTTGTGCGTGACTCGTCGTCGCCGGGCCTGAGCTCGTTCCAGGCCCTAGTCTATGCTGGCCTCATGGCCTTGGTCTTCTTAGCAAAACGCATGGGGAAGCAGGTCTCTGAGCCTTGGCTGGGAAAATGATTGAAAACTGCGGAAGTGGATCGATTTTCCAGGTTTTTGGTGTTGTTTTAATGGACAGTTGACACGAAGCCATGATTTTGCTCTGAAGATTCTTCAGGTTTATTTCAGTTTATTCCCCACCTGCCAGGTGAGGGTTGTTAGATTTTATGTCAGTTGCCTCCTCCTCCTCCTCCTGCTCCTCCTCCTCCTGCTCCTCCTCCTCCTCTCCTCGTCCTCCTCGTCCTCCTCGTCGTCCTCGTCGTCCTTGCTCAACTGCGACCCGCGATCCACAGTGTTCTCTGCCGGACCTCAACCACGACCATCCACGCCCAGTGTTCCCTGCCGGACCTCAACCACGACCATCCGCGCCCAGTGTTCCCTGCCGGACCTCAACCACGACCATCCGCGCCCAGTGTTCCCTGCCGGACCTCAACCGCGACCATCCGCGCCCAGTGTTCCCTGCCGGACCTCAACCGCGAGTATCCATGCCAAGTGTTCCCTGCCGGACCTCATGTAGGAAGATTTGCCAGATAGAATGCCAGAAAATCTGCCAGAAGATATGCCAGATAGATATGCCAGAAGATATGCCAGATAGAATGCCAAATAGAATGCCAGATAGAATGCCAGATAGAATGCCAGATAGAATGTCAGAAAGAATGCCAGAAGACATGCCAGATAAAATGCCAGAAGATATGCCAGATAGAATGCCAGATAGAATGCCAGAAGATTTGCCAGATAGAATGCCAGAAAATATGCCAGAAGATATGCCAGATAGATATGCCAGAAGATATGCCAGATAGAATGCCAAATAGAATGCCAGATAGGATGCCAGAAAGAATGCCAGAAAATATGTCAGAATATATGCCAGAAGATATGCCAGATAGAATGCCAGATAGAATGCTAGAAGATATGTCAGATAGAATGCCAGAAGATATGCCAAATAGAATGCCAGATAGAATGCCAGAAGATTTGCCAGATAGAATGCCAGATCATATGCCAGAAGATATGCCAGATAGAATGCCAAATAGAATGTCAGAAGATATGTCAGATAGAATGCCAGAAGATTTGCCAGTAAGAAAATGTATAAATGTCATGGTGGGGATCACACGAAGTAAAGTAATTTGTTTTTTTCTCTGGCTGTTTCTTCAGACCAAGTCTACAGGGGGTGACCCCCAGCTGTATTCGATGGTTTGTACCCCAATATATAGGGAGATTTCGATATACTTGCCATCAATCCAACAGTTATTGGAGTTATGTTTACCAACTTAACTAACACAATCATGTTTAAGTTTATATCAATCTGATTAAAGCCATTTTGCTTGGTTAAAACATGTTAAAACACCATTTAACCTTGGTTTCAAACAGAGGCAACTGTTCACCCATGCGCCTTTTTTGCCTAACAGGATTTCACGGAGCTGTGCAACGCCTTCGTCTTGCAGACGGGCTTCTGTTGGGAGATGGCGCCTTGGGAGCCGAAGTTTGTGAAATATCCCTGACCTTCCATAGTGCACGAGTACTTTCAAACAAAGTGCCAGTTAAACGAGAACTGAGAACTTCAGGGTATACATATATATATTTCTGAATAGTGTTACATAATGTTATATTATGTTTTGTACTATTATGTTATTATATAGTTCTTGGTGAAATCACAATCAGATGTCGCTTGAACGGTTGAACGCCGACGTTACCGATTTGTTGTTCCGCATAGGCATGCATATACCCTCTGGGAATCAGGCATGGCAATGGAATATAATGGAATGTTCCCCATACTTGCAGGGTGATTTTTCCATCTGAAATTTAAAACCTCCATTTATGATCATTTATGTTTTTCCGTCTGGAATGTTAACCTCCATTGATGATCATTTCCTTATTTGTAGAATCATTGTCCATCTAAAATTTCAACATGTTCCCCACTTATAGATGATTTTCCCAGCTATAAAGCCTCCATTTCTGGTGGACTCCCCTTTTTATCGGAAACCAAATCTGGGGTAAACCAACGGCAACGGCAACCGTCGACCAGGCAATCTATGTGGGCTTGGTGGATTCCACCACCAAGCTTCGCAATCCCAACAGCAGGACGTTTTGGTGTTTTGTTACACAACAAGCTGGGTGTTAGAGGTAAAACTGCAATAAGCATGGCTGGTTGGTGGTTTGGAACATTAATTTAATTTTTCCCATCCCAACTGACTTTCATATTTTTCAGAGGGGTTGAAACCACCAACCAGGTGGGGATTTATATAACGGGATATAACCTCCGGTAAACAACAAAACACTATATGGAAAATCACCGAATCTTAACAGGCAAATCAGCTATAAATGGGTAATTTTACACATATGCTATGTCACTTCACCAGCGGGTAGTCAACAGAGATAGCAACAAACATGGTGGCTTCAAAATTTCGCGTATCTCGGATTATTCCCAGAGCGAGCTGAGAATTCTTTTGGCTGAGTGTGGATTCTTGATTTTTGATGTTCCATTTGGCTGATAAAGATTAAACAGGATGGAATCAGAAAAAGAATCCGTTCCACCGATTTACCAACCATGATCCTACCTTTGGGGCTCCCATAATGCCATAGGCCCTTCAGGCCACAAACACTGGACTCAAACGCTCGCATGTCGCAGGAGAATTGCAGCCATTGTAGGGGGGCCAAAGCTGGTTTTTGAAGATGTCTTTGGACAGTGGACAGTGTTTCTAAACATATGCCAATGTACAGGTAAATAGAACATTGCCAATGTGTTTTCATGATTTCTGAGCATCGCATCCAATGGCCGTGGTGGGTCTTGGCGGCCTAGGTTTGGATATGTTTCTTGCTGGTGATGATCATCCCTGCGTGGTTCTGGTGTCTTCGGCTCTGCTCAGCGCAGATTTCTCGCAGGGTTTGGTGTGCTGAATAGCTGCGGCGAAAATATTGGCCTCGAGAGATATATCCCCCGTCGTCATTGTTCGATGTTATCGTAGATTGGCCTTTGGACCATGTCAACCCTCATCAACTCTTTGATTCTATGCATGTGGTTACGTCCAATTACTCTATGTTTCCTAACTTCTGATGGTATTTTGTCACAACGGTAATCTCGAGCACGAGCATGCACTAGCCAGATGATGGTAGATGCAGAAGTTCTGTGCATGATCTTGTCTTCCGAGTTTCTCATTTTTGCTGGCAGCCGCACTTGGGCAATGTTTGCGGCTAGTGTGCTGTGGATTTTATAAAAATTCTGATTGTGTTTAATGGTTATATGCATATCTACATATATATATATATATATATCTGTGTGTGTGTATGCTCAATCTGCTCAAAATGACCTTCTGAGAGGACCAATTGGGTAAGTGGATATATGTGGTTGGTAGATGTTGGTAGTTGGTAGCCGTGGTACCAAAACTATTATATGGGAGCACAACACAGCACGGATGCTCCAAGTGGCCCTCAGCGATCCCAGGTACATCCTTCCCAAAGCGCAGAAGGCGGCCGACGGTAAGGCTGAGGGAGATGCCGCCGAGGGCAGTGCACCAAAAGAGGCATGGCCAGGGTTGCGGATGGCTGCACAAACCACAGAGGTAGTGGGCGCCAAAAAAGGAATGACGTGTTTGTTCGATATTTTGCTAGTTGGTGGCAACCATTTGATTTCACCTTCTTTCGGTCGATGTATTTGAGCCCTAGTTTCTGAACCATGGGCTGAACACTGGAGGGTCACATCCAAAAGGCCGTGGATGAAGGAGAATTGCATGTGCAGGGTTCAAACCTAGCATAGTTTATCAGCCATTCTGAATACGACAAGAAGTTGTGGCTGACGTTTCTGCAGTTTGCCACATTTGATTCCAAAGAAAAATCATAGCAACCGCTTAGATTCGCATGATGAAAGCTTTGTGATGAAAGCTTTGAACATCTATGGATATATTCTTTACTATCCTAGATCAGGGTTGCGGGGTAGATGAGAATAGGCATGACGGGACAATTTGGATCAATTTTGTAATTTTAGTCTTTGTCTACATAATTATTCTCCTCCCTTGACTCTGGGCCCAAGCGGCTTCTCCCCCAGCTGCATTCAGGCCGCACCCGCCGCAGCGGCCGTGCCAGCTGCACCTGCAGCAACGACACCAGCGACGCCAGCGGCACCAGCAGCAGAAGAGGCCCCGGCGCCACCAGCGACGCCGACAGAGACGAAGGAAGAAGCGCCAGCGGCAGAAGCACCAGCGGAGGAGGCGCCAAAGATGGCTACTGAAGTTCGGATTTTATCATTCCAGGGCTGAGTTGGCTAGGTGTCATTCTGTCACCAGGAGCCACAGGTTATTGCAAAGTCGACTGTCAGTCCATGTCAGTCCTTTTCTGGGCATGATGTGTGGGGAAATCCAGTCACATAGTCTTGATGTGTATAAATAAATAAATAAATATATATATATATAAATATATGTATGTATGTATGTAATTATATATGTATGTGTGTGTGTTTGCGCGCGTGTGTGTGTGTAATGTAAATGTAATGTAATGTCATGTAATGTGATGTAAATGTAAATGTACATGTAAATGCAATTGTAAATGTATAAAATGTATAATTGTAATGTAATGTATTGTATTGTATTGTATTGTAAATATATATATGGCCTATGTATTTACAAATGTTGTCGCTCATGATAATTCTTCCTGAACCATTCGCCATTGTCCCAGGCAACCACGTCATAGAGTCGCTCCAAGTGCACGAGGTGATGACTGGGGTTCCTATAGGGTCTCAGCATCATTAGGTAAGGGGTGTCAAGAGGAAATAACTTTGACTCTTTTGATTACTTTTTAGAAAATATACTTGAATTATATTGAATTAAAATGCCTTGCTTTCCTGGATGGAAACTGTCCTTCCATCCAACCATCATTTGAAAGACACAGAGCCTGTCATTTTTTCTTGGGACTCACAGTACGCCCGACCCAAAGCGAGCCGGTCATGGGGAAACACCTGCAAGGTGAGGGTGGCATCTGGCCAGGCAACAGCTACCATCGCCATCATCGCCACTTCGGAATGAGGGTGTCGCTGACGCACAAAAAGTGCTGCGGTTGCGTCAGCCTTGCAGTCAGCTAAGCGGACTATGTGATCGGAGTGGGTAGTTTGATAGCTTAACATTTCAACTGGATGGTGGTTTCAAACAATTTTGAACCCTATTTGGGTGGATGTTTCCAACTGATTTTGAACAATTTTTTCAGGGGGATGGCTCAGTCGCCACATGGGGGCGGCAATATCCAGCCGAATCCCGCCGGGCAAGATTCGGACCATGACCTGGAGGGCCGATGAAATCCAGATGCTACACCCGATTTTTTAGATCCGAATAGATCCGATATGTTTTTTTTATTTTGTTTTTCTGTTCTATCTTTTGGGCATTACTGTAGCCATTCCTAATTGGTTAATCGATATATTTGAGTAACTGACAAAATCTTTGTAATAATTGGTGATTTAGTCTTGCTTCGCCTTGGCCTTGCTGAGGGGTGTGCAAAACCTTCATTACCGATAGGCGACGACCCTATACCGATACCCTTGTTTTGCATGAGTCACCTCAAAGTCTGAGAACGCAGAAATCCTCACTACCAATAGGGCACAACCCTGATTTGCACATGGCAAGAAAATGAACGAGTAATTTTGTCTGCTGATCGTACACACACACACATATATATATATATGTATATTTATACATGCATATATATATATATTTATATACATGCATATATATATTATATATATATATAATTATATATATATGTCAATTGTCAAAACATCACATTGTTAGCATTGTATGTACCAAAGACAATATGATACTAATAACCCAACCCATCACCGCAGGCTGCCACTTGGCCCTCTCTGCTGCCTGGGCTTCCCTGGCGGAGAACGCCCTGCGGCGCTCCGACAGAAACGCGGCGGAGGCCTTCGTGCAACGGGCGGAGCCTGGGGCGACAACGATGCTGCGGATGGGATTTTCGTTTTTGTTAACGGATCATTACATGTTTGTTTTTATGTTTGTGTGATCCAAATCCCATTGTTAATGTGTTTTTTTTTTGTGTGTGTGTGTTTGTTATGTTTTTTTTTGCATGACGTTAATGATCGTTAATGTCTGTAATTAATAGACAGCTAGTGGTCGGGCGTGCTACTGTACGGGTCATTTGGGTTGCAGGTATGAAGTGCAATATCGTCATCGTTTAATGTTTAAAATCGTTTTTTGCCAGTGAAATCATTACCTAATTTTATATCCTGGTCAGGCCTATGAAAATACAACACATTTACTATGTACAACACAAGTAATGCTGAAAGAGAGAACTTCCACCCATTTCGCTTTCGGTTTGCACATGCGTGTGTGTGAGGTATAGTCGGAATACTCCATTTCAATCTGGTTAGCTGGTGGTTTGGGTTGGTTTAGAATCCCAACATGTATTCCGAAAAATCCAAAGAAGGTGGTGCCCGGCCCCGGGGTTAGAAAACTAGATATGTCCTATACTTTTTGGAATTATAGATTATATATAAACTATATATATATATATTGTACTTGTAACCAGCTTCGCCATTTCGAACTGGGGGAGCACCTTGAACCACCCAGGCCCCCAGCGTTTTTATTCAATTCCCACCCTCAGGGCTCAAGGGCAGGGCTCAAGGCCTCGGTTCCGTCACGTCGTTGGGCCATGCCACTCTTCCAAGCGGGCCGTGCCTGCTTCGCCCGCGGGTTGCAACAGACCTTGCGGGCGCCGGCTCGGCTGACGAGGGCCCGATCCTTCAGTAGTGACTTGGATGACTTGGAGGACTCGGCGCGGACGTGGAAGAGAATGATTTGAAATGTGTTCCCACAAAACAGGTTGGGATTTTCAAACAGTCACGGGAAATTGCCGTGGTTATTGGAAGTGAAGCGATTTCCCGGTTGTGTTTCCTCAGATATCCTCAGATGCGCTGGAGGTGATGTGCCAAAACCCACGCCGTTGCAAATGCGGCGGCTCTTCGTCACCTCTGCCGTGCCCTTCGTGGCCTTTGGTCGCCGAGCTCAGGGACGGGGCGTCCACAGTGGCGGTTCTTTCTGAAGTGAAATGTTGCAAGGATTGCCGGAAATTCACGCAAACCGCCAGTGCATCCGTTATGTATATTTTTAGATTAATATACTCAGTATATATCAGCATATAATATTATATGTATATATAATATAGTGGCAAAGGAGTTCAAAAGGATCAATCGCATGAGATCCACTTCCAAATCATCCGGACCCATCCCACAAGGCATCGTAGATCAGAGTGTCCTGCTCTATGCGGGGGATGCCATCGACAACACGTTGGGTGTTGCCCTGGGCTTGCCAACTTTGGCTGCAGCGGCGTCTCAGCCATACTACTAACTAAATTTGGCTAAAGGTGGGACTGCGACATGGGTCATGTTGTTGTAACTTTTTTTATTTGGCACTTTTGGGATGTAGCACCTGGACATAAAACATATAAAACTCCTTGATTAAGTTGAATGTGCCATGTGTTTTCAGATTTAATTGATCTCACTACGGGTTGCAATACATCCTATAGTTGCATTCCATTATTAATTTTTGATTTGCGATCTGTACCCGCCCATTCCTAGTAATTACTGTAATAAAAACTTAATAACAAGTCAGAATAATAACATATTGAGAGCATATAACTATGCCAATCCTCACACGAAACATGCCGCTCGATCTATGGAATATCGATAGACATATGCTCCAACCATCACCCAGTCCATCTAAATCAAGAGATTTTACCAACATCAACATCGAAGCTCAAAAATCGGCCAGAAAGTAAGAACTCATCGGAAGTTTGACCTAGGTCAATGCCATGTAATACACATTCATATCACATGGAGGATTTCCAATGTTCAATGGGGTTATCATGGGCCATCCATAGCCCCCATGGCCGGCGGCTCCTTTTTCGTGAGGCCATGGGCCAGGTGCTGAGTGACACCTGTGGCGTCGCCTTCGGAGGCACCATCGAGGCAGCAGCATTGAAGCTGGGGCTACCACTGCCCAACCTGACGGATGCTGGGCGCGGATCATCGCGGAGCCGCCCCGGGAGTGGCAAAAAAAAACAATCAGTCAGTAGTGGTTAGGGATATAGTTAACATATGTTAACATCTCACTTAGTAATAACATTCAATAACAATCTTTCAGTTTATCAAAATGTTGGTAAATGATAATGCAACAATCGTATATTATAGGTATGTTATACTTAATATGGGAGTAGCGTACGGTAATTTAATATAGCTATGGAAAATCAGCATCTTTAAAAGGAAACTCATCTATCAACTATAATATGGACATACTATAGTAAGGGTTATCGTACCCCCCCCCAGTCAGGTCGACAGAAATACCTTGCATGGACATCTGAAAGTTCAGTGGAACACGTTTCGGGAACTCTGGGGGGATTGGTTGGGACAATACGGGAATCCTCTGGTCATGGCTAACACAATACGCGAACTGGTTGGCATCACCATTTTGATAGGGAATTAAATCATTTGTTGGTCGGTCTGACTATACAGAAAATAACACAACAGTGGTTGGGGATGGTTAATAGTGGCCTGCGAATTCTTAGCTAGTGGTTGGTGCCTGGATAGTTAAGCCTGGAAACATCCTTTCAGTTGCTGGGCCAACTGGATCATGGAGATAACATAGCTATTGAAAATGGCTATTTATAGTGGATTTTCCCATGAAAAATGGTGGTTTTCCATAGTTTTTTGTATGTTTACCAGAGGGTAACCCCAACCAAACTTGGATTTTCACACGGACTTTTTCCCATCCTTGGCATCGCGCCAAGGACGCCCAGCAACGCTTGGGCTCTGTGAAACGCATCAGCACTTTGGGAGGCGCGCGTTGTAAAAAGGTGACCTGTTGGATGATTGGGATGAGGTTTTACAAAGTGCTCTGGCTGGATAGTTATAGTGGTTTTAAGTATTTAAATATGTGTACAATATAGATATATATATATATATATACACATTTATATATGATTACATATGTTTATGTATGTTAGATTTATTATTTTATTGATGTTCATATGTGGGACGATGATCCCCCAATGACTACGTGTAGGGAAAAGCCATGAACCAGTGCTGATACACGACCCAAATTGAACCTGAGGTATTTTGGGCATGTCAGTTGGTCCACATTAACAACAAATATCGATTATCATGATATCCAAATTCATGGAACATGGGGGTAGCTGTGATTCTCAGCACTTGGATTCCTTGGTATATGGTTGGGACGACTGTTGGACATGGGATGAGGTGCAACATTCTTGGAGAAGGTGGGGATCAACCTTTTATAATGGATGTTTTAAGATGTTTTAAGTGCGAATGCTGGGAAAAAATCTAGAAGAGATCATGTTCAAGCTCGTCTACCCAGCGCCGGATTCGAAGAACTTCCTCGTCGCTGCAAGGCGTGTGTGGAGTGATTTTGGGCTGCTTCATCGGCATGAGCAACTTGCTGATTATCGACTTGAAAGCAGCTGAAAGAGCCAAGAAGGAGAAGGAGCTCGCAAAGATCATGAAGAACCTGGATGGAGTGTAGCCATAGATGGCTGATGTTTCACTTTTTTCAGGGCACTAGATGGGCTCAATTGCCTTCCAGTAAATTGACGGAAAGATAGGAAATGCAAACTCTTTGTCCACGGTGGCTAGATGTATAGGGGATGTGCCACCAAGGACAGTGATGGAAGATGGCAGGCCGGAGCTGGGTTTGGGTCATTCTTGCTGGAAGCGCCACCGAATTGAGAGAACAGTTTTTGTTTCCTCATTCGAGCATGTTCGAGCTTGAGCTGTTCTGGGTTGCAGGGGTGTCAGCCAATACGGGCGCCTACAATCCTATATAATTCATTGTTTTTCCTTTCATAATCTTCTAGGCAAATAATAGTCTTGAAACCGTGTAAACCAACACATATATGTTGCAGGTACACTCAGGCAGTCAAAGGTGATATACCATAGGAAGTTCCATTGTTCTACATCATTTACCTCCATTTGTAGATCATTTGCCTATAAACTCCCGAATAATCCCACCCCTGATCATGCAAAACACCCCCATCCTATATGGTCCCAAATATGTGATTTGATCCCCTACTTCTCACCGTGGTTAATTGATGCGGGGTGTTTAGTATGAACGTGGGAAGGGATTGTATGGGTGATTTGATGAATATATGTATACGGGAATCACGGAATCCATGATCAACAAATGGGGGTTTACTACTATAATAATCTCTAGACGGAAAGTCAACACGTTTAATAATTGAATCATCGAACTAATTTTTCCAACGCTTCCATAGCTATGTTTAAATTCCCACACATATCCTTACTTCTATCACCATTAGTATTCCATGGATTATCCCATTTATCCCATTCATATCCCCATTAAGTATTGCATGCATCTCATTCCTATTCCATTTGTATAAACAAATGAGGGTTTACTACTCTCAATTCTATTTTTGTTGTTCAAATCCCCATTAATTAATAATCATTATATAATCACAATAAAATCCCATTAAATCACCATAGAATCCTAATCATCATAAAATCCCCGTGGAAATCATCACAAACTCCCACGAAGTCATGATGAAATCGCGCAAATTTTGCGAAGTGCCGCCTGGCTTCGCAGCTCGCGGCTTCGCTTCAGGAAGGCCTTTGAATGTGATCGAACCACCTTGTGGGCCGTCGAGGAGGATCATCCCATTTTGATTAACCATGGTGAATGGTATGGTGAGCGGACAACAATAGTGGAATCTTATGGAATCCCAGGTAGCCAGTTACTACAAGTTACCCAGCTTACGTTTTGTTTTTTACGCAGATGGTTCAGTTATATATACTGTATATGTAATATATTATATGAATGATATAATTATCTACATTTGTTTAAATCTTTTTATCCTGACAATAACTGCTTAGTAAATGGGCGGTTCTCACTCAGTTTATAACATCGCCTACTATGACCTGAATGGGAACTTAGTAACAAGGCTTATCCAGTGATTAGGAGGGAGCCAACGAGCTATCCCCAGGTTCTGATTAGCAGTTACATCCCCATTTTTTCATTTGTGTAAGTATATGTTTCCATGATATTTGGTTGGTGGTTTGGAACATTTTTGATTTTCCATCATATTAGGAATGTCATCATCCCAACTGACGAAGTCATATTTTGCAAATGGGCTCCCGTTTGTGCCCATGTGTGTTCCCATATCTTCCCGATAAAATTTGCCAGTGTGTTTTCCCATATATCATTTCCCCCTTAGTATCCATCATTTTTGTTCCCATATCCCATGTTTCTAATAGCTTCCCATGTATGTTCCACAATGTGTTCCCATATGTTCCCATATTTTCCCATATGTGTCCAATGTTTTTCAATATCTTCATCATGTTTTCCCCTGTTTTCGCATATGTTTCCCAGGTTTCCCATATGTTTCCCCAGCTCCGCTGCCGCAGATCCCCCTGTCAGGACAACAACGAGCTCTGGAGCACCTTCGCCAGCGGCGTGGACGGCCGGCTTCGTATTGAGAAATCCACCACGTCCCTGGCGGGATGGGTGGCCACAAAGAACGAGATGGTGAACATCCCAGATGTGGCGCAGGTGGAATGTGCATCCCGGTTATATCCGGTTATAGTGGTTTATGAGCCAGATATAGGATGATATCGGTAATATATGGCCATACAATGCCATACTAACTGGGGTTATCCGGGGATACTCCGCCATTCAGTGGGAGGAAGGGCTGAAGATCATCCCACGGTCGCTGGTGAAGTGGGATCGATGGCGCAGGTTTCGCTGGTTGTGAGTTGCTTTAAAAGCCGGCTTATGAATTAGAGGTATATCTACCAGAAGTCTTAGTTGTAGTTGAAACATGTTATGTAATGTTATAATGGCCTTAGGTTGGGGCCAGTTAGTTCACATTTGGGAATCAGATGGAATAGAACTTGGGCTATGATTTCTATAATCCCAGATGTGGCACAGGTGGACGGTAAAACTTGGGGAAGGGTCTCAAAGTTGGTCCCTCCGGTGGCGCAGGATCCCCGATGGGCAAAAAATGTGGTGCACCCACGCGACTACGAAACGAAGTCCATGCTTTGCGCACCAGTTGTGGTGGAGGACAAGGTGGTTGCAGTGATTCAGCTCTTGAACAAGTTCCTTGGATTTCCTTGGAACATTGGAAGTAGCGTGACACAACAAAAAAACTGAACATTATATATAATATAAGATGTTTGGACAACTCTGGAAACATCCTAGTAACTTGGTGGGCAAAGTTGTGGTTAAAAAAGACTCTTGAACTCGTGGTACTTTAAAAAAGAGGGACAGAGGTGGCGGGTGCTTTAACATGCAATCCACTACCATCAATGATCGGGATATTATATCTGTGTATCTTTGGAACATTTGGAGCACAACGCGACCAAATTTGTTGGAATAGTCGTATATATAATCATTATAATCCCTTCCTCCTAATACTAAACCCCCCCCCTAATACAAAACACGGCAGGTAGTTTTTAGTATTAGGGGGGTATTTAATATTAGGGAACCAAATCGAAGTCATGTTAATTAATTAATTAAATTTCCTTATATAACGCAATTAAAATATTGCCAAAAATGGCAGTTCGAAGCTTACCTAATACTAAATTAAAACCCTTAATACTAAAAACTATTTTTCCGATCTCAAAATCAATTTAATTTCCTTATATAACGCAATTAAAATATTGCCAAAAATGGCAGTTCGAAGCTTACCCCTAATACTAAATTAAAACCCTTAATACTAAAAACTATTTTTTCCGATCTCAAAATCAATTAAATTTCCTTATATAACGCAATTAAAATAGTGCCAAAAATGGCAGTTCGAAGCTTACCCCTAATTGCTAGAGTAGCCAGGCAGCTTGGAGTGAGGGATTGGGACTAGGCCCCCCTAATACTAAACACCCCGGGGTGAACTAGTTTTTAGTATTAGGGGGGAAAACCCACAAATGGTAGGTTGATTTTTAAATTGTTTTTTAAAGGGGATCAATTAAAAGTCAAATTGGCCAAACTGAAATTTTCGGAAATTGGAGATGGATGCCTGTTTTTAGTATTAGGGGGACGTTTAGTATTAGGAGGAAGGGATTAGTATGGTGCAACTTTGCCCACAAATTTGTGGATAGAACCTAAAATGATGCTAAGAATCTTTGAGGGGTTTGCAGATACTGCATTTCAGCCCTTTTTTGGACAAATACGATCAACAATTGGCATAGTGCATTACTTTTTATTCACCATAGACAATGCAAATCAACACGCAGACACACACACAAAAAACACACTAGACAAGAAATGGATCATTAAAGTGATCCGCTGGGAACTGAATCCCTTCACATGCAATTAGATTAGAAACAATGACCTACAGTAGATCTCCTCGAAGTAGTATCCGAATATTGGGAAGGAATTCCGATAAAGACAATCCAGCCATAGACAAAGTCCCAAAATAGAAAAAAACACGATAGGGTTCTCGGCTTAGCCCTTTGCCATGACTGTAAAAATGCCGTTCGAAAAAGGTTGAGAATGACGCCGACGAAAATCTCAGATTGCGACAACCGTGTCAAACCAATTTTTCTGTTGTTGGGGTTCTTGGCTTAGCCCCTTGCCATTGCAGCGAAAAAAATGCAGGTACGTCACCAGGCGTCCCTGGTGATATCCTAGGATCATATGACGAGCTTCGTTGGATGGAGCCTCATATGTCCTCTCCATCCCCCTGCATTTAGAAGTTTTACATCTGTTCAGATGTTACACACACACACACATATATATATATATATATATGTGTGTGTATATATTTATATATGTATATATATATATGTATATATATATATATGTATATATATGTATATATATATATATATGTGCATCAGGTTTTGGAAGGCTTGGGTTTGCACTGATCATTTTTAATCACCATGTTATTTTGGCTTAAGTGCCTTGATGCAAAATAGCATCAATTTTGGGAGTGCGTCCTCAATAGGATGCATGTCAGAGTGTTTGACATATCCCAACCAGGCGGGCCTGGTAAACTGGTCAGGCTGGAGTGGCCAGCTACCCAAAGCAAATCCTGCGAGCTAGCAGGTTTAACGACTCATAGAGCTGGTGAAGGAAAAAGAATGAGCTGTGTTTGAAGTAGCGTCTGGGCGAAGAGAAATAAATGTATATGCATATATGTATTTATATTTAATCATATGATATATATATATATACACACACACACCTTTACATTCTCGAATCAACTGACATGTTTGTCTCCAGATCTACTCTCTTGCATAGTCAACCATCCCAGCCAGCAATTCGCTGGAGCCAAGGAGTCCAGCCACCCCTTAAGATCAATGGCACTTGGGCCAAACTTGATAGCTCTATCCTGGCGTGGATAGAGATGATAGAGCATGAAATCGGATGAAACCGGACCCTTGTACCCTCTGGTAATCTAACATGACGATGGGCAATCACCAGTTTAAATTTTAGTGGGTAAATCAACTATGAATCACCATTTTCAATAGCTACGTAACAAATTACCAGAGGGTAATGAGAAAATCATCTAACGATGGAATCGTTGATGCATTCGCACCTTTTCAGAGTCGCACCTCTGCAGAAAGTTGATGTGACCAAGCCTTCCGACCGTACACGTGATCCCAGCCTCCACAAACGGAGGACATGTTTGTGGCCCATTATTGCATAACCTTCATTTATCAGTGGGTGATTGTTTTGTTGTTTGTGTTTTTTTGTTCTATCTCTTTTCTGTTTCATTGTCTCCTTCGATTGATTTATTAATATATATATATATAGTTGTTATATTTATATTACATAGCAATCCCCGTAAAACTACAAAAGTTGGGAACGTGTGACTGTGAACATATGTGAGAAGCATGACCGAACCACCATCCCGTAATCATTTTGCTATGCTGTTTGAAGTTTTTAGAATGATTTTTTATATGTACATATTATATTATATGATGTTGCATTACTTATTTTTAATCATCATTTTGCTTTTTTTTTTAAATAGAATTTATTACGGCATTTTGTTTTTCTATTGTTTTATATTCTCTTTGTTTATTCTTTTTTATATTATTTTGATATAGTATATTATATTATATTATATCGTATTGTATGAAAATTTGTTAAATATTATGATTTTTATTATCTTTATATTTTATTGTATCACATTTTTGTTTTTGATTTAAATTTGTATAATTGATCTATTTTACTATATATATATATATTTATTTATATTATCATTATAGTATTTTTCATGATATATCATTATATATATATATATATTATATTTGTTATTTCACATTATATTGTAATATATTGTATTCTTTAATATTAGTGTATTATAATATCATTTTTCTTCATTAAATTATATTATATGTATACAACGCATCAACCTGACTCAAGCATGGGAACAGCTCCAGGCCGTGAAAACGGCGCTCCGAGGCTGGATGAAGATGGCACTGCCATCAGTTTCGATCGAGCTGATGAACGGGCGCTGAAAATGATGGCAGGTCACACTGCCATGTTCATGTCTCAACTTTCGTGATGGCTGCAGCCTGCTGCAGCTGCTAAATGTTGGCAAAGCATGGTTAGATATGGTTAGTGTTTAGAACTGCCTCAATGTTGCTCAACTTGCTACAATGTTGGCACGGCAATGTCATAAACCACCTATACGGATTGATGGTTAAAACCAATCCATAACAACGGTAGAATTGGGGATGTTGCTGTACTAGCATTGATTTAGGTTTTGGGGGTCAGTCTGAATGGTTATCAACTCATCGTTCTTATACTGGGGTGTGTTGGTTATCACAAGTTGTCAACTCATCCTTTGCCAATGAGTGGCATCTGCGATGTAGAAGCGACAGGCTGCAACGGGACTGGCTCGCGCAACTGCGTGCTAGTGACAGTTGCAGCTTTGAGGGTTGACTTCGTTTCATTTCGTTTCAGAAAATATGGGCCTCCGCGGTTTGAGGCTGTCGTCTTGCTCCCACATGTAGACTTGTTTTTTCACGGGAAAACCATTGTTTCCCGGTCCAGTGCATGTATGCATCCCACCCTAAACATCCCTAAACTGAAATGAAATTCTGGATGCCCTCTAGCAATATAACCCAGCGATGGAAAAGAAACCATTTATAAATCAGAACCCCCCCCCCATATTGTTCAATTATAAAGTTGGGATTTGCGATTTGAAGGCATCCATTAACTTATGTTCCATAAATGAGTATCCCAGATGTCACTGAAGGTTGGGATTTGACAGCTAGCTGCTAGCAGCCTCCCACCGCTCAGGAAACTTCGATGCGCTTCTTGATGGCTTTGGTTTTTTGGTGATGGAGGGTGTGTAAAACGAACGAGCTCACAACGAGCATGCCATGAATTGTCCTTTTTTAATGTACTGTATATAGATGTTTTTTTTTGTTGGTGGGAACTAGCCCCCCAAAAAAATCACGTCATACGTGGTGTCGAGCTCTGAAACAAACTCACAAAACTTTAGCCTCATCAAGGCTGGTGGTGTTCGTTCACACATGGGAGATAACTGAGATAACCCCAACCAAGTTTTGAAATTATGATATATATATATATATTTAATAAATGATAAGCAATATGGGGTTGGGAGTGCGCCATTATTGGGCCAACCCGGCCAACTCATATGTTCCAATCAAAGCTGTATTTGATTACTCTTGGAATTCGGGTCTCAACAGATGGAATGATTTACCTTAGCCAAATGGCAGCCCTTTTTTCCAGAGAATGGGTATGGATAAGCGGCGCTTCCCCACACTAGGTGCTGCCGAAACGAACTACACCATCCTCGATTGGCTTAGCTCAAAATGGCCAACATTTAGGAGACGAGTCGGTGTGTGTTTTGTGTCAATGTCGTGTTTGTTCTCCAGGAGAGAAAATAAAGAATTATCCTTAAGCCTTACCCTCCCGTAAAAGTAACATAACTATGGAAAATCACAATTTTTTAATGGGAAAACTCACTATAAATTGCCATTTTCAATAGCTATGGGCTATGTTAAAAATTACCCACAGGACGAGGGTACGGCCCGGAGGGCCATACCCGAGAGGGGACTTAGCAACCCATTGGTTCCATCATCCCAGTTCCAGGGGATTTCCTTGTCATAACAACAGTGACGTCTTACGCATACTTTTATTCGGGGTTTCATTTCGGGTTTACATAAGTTATAAAATCCCCCGGCCCCATGGAACATATACGCATACTTCTATCAGGGGTTTCATTCGGGGTTTACGTAAGTTATAAAATCCCCCGGCCCCATGGAACATATACGCATACTTCTATTAGGGGTTTCATTTAGGGTTTACGTAAGTTATAAAATCCCCCGGCCCCATGGAACATATACACATACTTGTATTAGGGGTTTCATTCAGGGTTTACATAAGTTATAAAATCCGGACTCGCCAAAAAAGTGAAAAAGATTGAAAAAATGGAAATGGCCGAAACGCGTGAAGTCCGCAGAGAGGTCACTTTTCTGATTGATTTTTCCAAAAATTCGTCTTAGACCACGCTAACCCACAGATGTACCAGAGTCATAAAACACTGCGCCTGCGCAGAGAAATGAGTCTCCCACTGACGTTCATACGACCATTCCGGGACAACCCTCAGTCCTAACCGTTAAATTACCAGAGGGTAATTGATGCCCAAAAAAAAGTAACATTGTTGGCAGTGTTTCTGAGCCTAGACCCAGTTCAGCATCCCAAAGTCTTGGATGGGGGTGAATGCGCTGCCTTAACATCATGAATCCTAGGTGGCACTCATCAGTGGATGAGACATTAGTCAGTTCAGGCAACCTAGGCAGTCGCAGAACAGTTTCATGGTATTTATCTGGTATGTTGCATCCAAAACTTGCAAGGGTGTAAGATAATAAACCCATATGAACCCTATGGATACCAAAGCAACTTGTTTCTGCTTGCATCCATGCCACAGACATCCATTAGTCCATTAGCCGCAAGTAGGTGCCTGGCATCGTTGGCCCCGTTGGCCCTGTTCCCTTCCAGGATTTTGCATAGAATGCAGTTTCGGCTGCTTCCCAAGGAAGCAGCTGCTGTGGAACAAGGCAAGGAAGAGAATCTCCTGCAGTGATGTCATGGGGATTCAACCAGCAGGGTTTAGTAAGGGCGAACCATAAACCATTGGACGAACATCTTAGACATTTTTAGGGAATACTTCAAGTGAACAGGAAATCATGTTAAATCCCATCATATCCCATCGCTTTGGTCTGTTTCACATGAACCCAAAGACCCTCCGGTAATCAAACAGGGCAATTTGAACATCCACTACAAATGGAGGTTTAGTTCGCTAGGAAAATCATCGAAATAATTGGGATGTGTTCCAGCAAATCATGGAGCTGATTGCTGGAAGGTAATGCATACTATTGATCTATTGGTTGTATATCCAATATTCGCATTATATAACCATAAAGCAACTGTAATCCCCATGAAACACACACTCACACACATATATATATATATATATGCATATGTTATTTACATGTTTATATATATATATATATGTGTGTGTAAATATAAATATATATATATATTATATATATTTATTGATTGTTTCCTTATATATATAGTCATATGCACACACACATTTATATATATATATATATTTATTTATTTGTTTATCCACGGGCATTATTTCTTTTACTGGAGGGCGACCGGGCGACTCCCAGCAGGTTATTGGTTGCAGCAGGACCTTGTGCCGCAAGAAGCCGAGACAGGTGCGAGACAGATAGCGTGCTGCTTGCCAGGGCAACATGGTGTAACATGAACCTACATCGATATTTCCTGTGTTACAGCATTCAGTATAGCCGAGTTCATGTATATTCATTTACCTCTAGCCTTGACGAAGCAGAATATTTGGGTCGCTTTGCCTTTTTGCATCGTTTGAGTTTTTTATTGGGTTGCTTTGCCTTGTTTTGCACTTTTTCTGCCGTGTCCTGATTTTTTCTGCCGCGGCCTATTCCCATGTCACTGTAACTTCTTCAATTGTTGTATGTATAAATGCAGATATTTCGGCATCCCGCGTGTTGAGCTGCAAAAAGGGGTGATAAGATCTTTGGAGTCTTGAGACATGACCTATTGTGATCTTTGTTTGCCAATCTTCAAGAATAATTATCAGCAAATGGCAACCTTCAGAATCTTCAGAAGAGTTCAATTTGAGCACACATCAAATGCGATGTTTTGCAATTTCCCATTGAATTTTGCGGTTTGGCCACAACCTTCAAGGTTCCTCAAGGCAGAAATCCAAATTTGCGCTTTTTTGTGGGGTTTTGCGCCATGTTTGCAGGGTTTTGCGCCTTGTTTGCGTGCATGTTTCGGTCCTGAATGTATCAATTTGTTATTAAAAACTTGTCGCTGGGATTGGAGAAAGAAGAACTCAAGCAAAATCGCACGAAAACTTCAAAAGTTCTGTGCAACTGCAGCTGAGCAAAGAGTCGCACTTCCACAAAAAAACTGGGTGGAGGGATGGCACCTCAACGAGCGGTGACAAAATCATGGCAGTGTTTTTGGGTCACCACGCCCAGATGGGGCACTGAAACCCCTTATTTGGTGGACATTCCCATGGGAAATATGATTCACAAACATTGTGGACATGATTGTGCCACTTTCCACCACTTCTGCCCCTTCTGCCCCTTCTGCCCTTTCTGCCTTGTTTGGCAGTTTTTGGGTCGTTTTGCTGAAAAGAGGGTCACAAAGCAAAAAATCTTCAATATTTGGGAATGTGGAAGGTCCAGGCATTCATTTATTTATTTATTATGGGTCTATTTATATATTTATTTATCTAATGATGACTGGCTGGTGGCGTCAGATGATTAAAACTATTTTTATCACTTTTTCATCAGGATTTGGTGGTGTCACTTTCAACCACAGAGCCACGCTTTTCGGCGACCAGCCAGCTATCACTTAGCACCGGTGGGGTGGCGGCCAGGGAGGCCAATGCGTTTCGTCTTCAACGTCGGCTTCTACAGGCGCGTAGTCTGATTGGACACCCCCAAAATTCATGTTTTTTGTCTAAGTAGACATCAAAATTCAGTAAAGCGAACCATTTGTTTCATTCAATGGAGTGGTTTAAGGGAAAATTTACAGGAACCCCTTATATGTTTCGTGGAAAACCATTTTTTCCTGAAAATATTCCTTCAACCAATCCATTGATTCATACCTTCCAGCTCCTTCCAATAATTCAATGTATCAATGGAAAGTGAACCATTGATATCCATTTAAAGCCGAAGGAAGTTTAGAAGTCAAACTTCCGACAATATGGTCAGATGGAAAAGCAGAGGTGGGAAGAGTCAGAGAAGAGAGGAGCAGAAGAAAGATCACAGAAGAGAAAGAGTCAGAAGAAAGAAGATGCAGGTGCGCGAAAAGGTAGGAAAGTCGCGAAACACTGCGCTTTTCCAATGATTTGTGGCTCCGGAGGGTCGAAAAGTAGGCTTGCTAAAGCGGCGGGTGCGGAGCCATCTGGCCAGATGAGAGGTGAAAAATTGCACGCCGTTGTGGCGCGAAGCACGTTTCCAAGTCAACATGTGCAAAGCACACCATGTTCGGAGCACTTTTGGAAGTTGAGATGTCGAAAAAGTGCACGCCATTGTGGCGCTAAGCACATTTCCAAGCAAAATGTATAAAACACCACATGCTCGGACCACTTTTGAAGGTTCAGATGTGGTTTTGCGTGGCAGGCGCAAAGTGATTCTGCATGTTGTCAAAAGCGAGAAAAACGTGAGGGTTTTTTAGCAGTTTCAAAAGCGTTGGCAGGCGTAGGACATTTGCAGAGGACCTGCAAAGATGCATTTCGCGTGGCAGGCGCAGTACAAGAGACATGTTCATGAGAGATGTTAGGAGGTCAGGGCGTTGATTTCCTGAGAGGGTTTGCATTCTGGAGCATCGGACCTTTAGGTTTGCTAAGATGATTTTTGCGTGACAGGTGCAGCACTTCGCATGACCTGGCATCACTTTTTCGTGGCAGGCGCAATACTTTAGAGACATGGACCGGAAAATTAGCAAAACGCATTGGCACGAGGCCGTCAGCTCTGCACTCAACTTTGCATTTTTGAAGGAAGTCTCGCGGAATTGCTTCGTTTTTGCTGTTGTCAACTTCAAAAATTGAGGAAGTCTCGCAGAATTGCTTCGTTGTTGACGTTGTCAAGTTCAAAAACTGGGGAAGTCTGGCAGAATAGCTTCGTTTTCAAGCTTGCAGATAGATAGATAGGTAGACAACTACAACTACCACTACACACTACACTACTACTACAGCTACAAATACAAATACAATACCCTACATTACACTACACTAATTACAACAACAACAACAACAACAACTACTACTACTACTACTCCTACTTCCACCACAGCTACAACTACAATTACGACTACAATACATTACACTACACTGTGCTAATTACACTGTAGTACATACAACTACAATTACGACTACAATTCATTACACTACACCGTGCTAATTACACTGTAGTACACTACAACGACAACTACAACTACATTACACAACACTACGGTACACTAATTACATTGCACTACAGTACACTACAGCTACAACTATATATATATATTTACATATACAACTACAATTGCAACTGCAACTACCACTACATTACACTACACGACACTACACTACACTAATTACACTACATTACACTACAACTACACCTACACTACATTACACTACACTAGACTACAACTACACTTTACCACATTAGAGTGCACAACACTACAGTACAGTACACTACACTACACTACTTACACCAAAGCACAGCTACAACTGCAACTGCAACTACACTACACTAATTACACTACATTACAAACTACGACTCCACTACGCTACAACTACAACTACAACTGCGCTACACCACACTACATCCAGCAGTTGTGGTGAGGTGACCACTGCAACCTTTGCAATCATTCCAAAAAACAACCAACCTCTCCTATAGGTTTCCTATTTTTTTGAGACTTCCGCCACCGCCTTGTGCGGTACTACTGGTATAGGCGGTATAGGTAATGATGCTTTAATACGATTTACCGTTCTTAAACCTACAACAGTCTTCCATAGCTATATTGAGTTAAACTACTGCGTTTGCACGGCTTTTTCATGGTGTGGGAGCATCTCTTAAGACTTGGGTCCTTTATGTGGTTCCTTAAATCTTGCGTCATCCCCAGTGGCTTGGGGGGGAGTTTCCAAGGCCTGATGCGTTGTACATAGATGCGGCGGCTGACATTGCCACTTCTTTTGCAGCGAAGCCTCATGCTTGACGTCACCATTTTGATATATTTTCATGAGGTCTCCATACATGGATGTAAATGATGTTCAATTCCCAAAAATGGTTGGCAACTCCAATGGTATGAAACAATGATTCAATGATCCCTCATCTTCAAGTTATTATTTAGATAGGTAACCCCAAAATCGTAAGGGAAACCCCACCCTGGTTACATAGATCCAAGGCAACTCGATGGCAGGGTGTAGATATGTGTAGATAATATATGCGCTGATTGGCACTGATTGGTATGTATGTGTAACGCCCTGGAAATGACCAAGACTTCAGAACTTCAGACCGGTAAACCAATATTAAATAAACCAGATTGGGTGCCACCAACCTTGTTTGCTGGCGCTCCCTGGTTCACATCATTCTGTATTGACCCAGTTCTTGTTGAGTAACCCCGCAATCCCCAGAATGAAGCTACTTACCCTCCTGTAAACTCACATGTGTCACATAATTTTACATAGCTATTGAAATTCGCCCATTTATAGATATCTTAGCTATAGAAAATGGCGACTTTCCATAGCTATCTTCGTTTACCAAAGGGTAGTTAGCGAATGTTCTGTGGATTTCGCAATGTTTCACCACGGGGAATACACCCTGCAGCCCAGGTCAGCATCGATATGCTTCGGACCTTGCCGGCCTTTTTTGGGATCTCTATGGCATTGCCCAGTGAGAGGCGCTGGGTGTGCAGCCAGCTAGGCTCCGTGGTTTATAAGCCATGTACTATATCTAATTTACACATATCTTTATTCACACACATATTTACTGATGTATATATATATATATGTATACACACATATACTGTACATATATATATATATATAACCCATATATACCATATATAACCCATATCTAATCCCATACATCCCATATATAAACCCATATTTATTTCCTATATATCCGATATAACCCATATGTAATCCCATATATCAGTGGGCCGTAGGGGATATTCCATGAATCGAACTATTTTTTTGAACCATTTACTAAGGTGGGCCCTCAGCCCCAAAAAGAGGTGTGCATATATGTGCCATCCGGTAATTCAATATAGTTCTGGAACATGGGCCATTTGTAGATCATTGAATCACTTACATTTTCAACATTGTGATTTTCCATAGCAAACTGTTAAATCACCAGAGGGTAGACTCTTCGTGTCTTCGTGTCTTCGTGTTCTTGATGAGGGCGTTTGCTCAAAGATTAGTAATATCGCAAATATATCCCCATCTGGTGATGCAGATCTTTTTTTCCTGGGCGTCCACTACCAAAATTAATAATTTTGAAATCACCGATTTGCACATGCTACATCCATGCGTCCCTTCGAACCCAGGAAATAGATTTTGGCTCAAAAAAATCGAAATGAATTTCCTTTGGTGTACACATGTCCGGCAACAGAAAAATCATTTTCATGGGGGTGAGTTCACTCGAACATATACGTACGTCAAACCCTATGAAAAAAATGACCCATGATTTTTTGAGGGGGTATGGTTTTTTACATGACTTTACAAGGTTGGGAACAAGGATTTTAATCTTTGGACATGAAAATATAATGATTATAATGCTGAATTAGCATAGGTCAGACATCGGGAACAAATTCAAAAAAATGTGTCAACGCGCACCCAAATTGCAAAACATGCGTTTTTTGCTGAAAAAAAAAGTCACTGCAAAAGGGTACAAACAGATATGTTCAGCTTCACCAACATTGAAACAGTGACTTGAAGAGGTCGAGCTGCAGGTGTCAAAAACAAAATCTAAGGGGCTGGACTTTTTTGGCTGAATACTTCAAAGGTTGGCCCCACACGAAAAAAGTCGCATCACCAGGCCAATCATCCATAGATAGGACATGATTGGACAAATTCAAGAATTTTGTGTCAACGCACGCCCAAATTGCAAAACATGTTTTTTACTGAAGATACTTGTGTTCTTGCAAAAGGGTCTAAACACATATGTTCAGCTTCACCATCATTGAAACAGTTACTTGAAGAGGTCGAGGCGCAGGTGTCAAAAATATAATCCAAGGGGTGGACCTTTTTTTGGCTGAATACTTGCGGATGATCTTCAAAGGTTGGCCCCACAGGAAAAATCAATCTTCAATTTTTCAGTAGGCCACCACATAGACTTTCATCAATAGATAGGACATGATGAGACAAATTCAAGCGCACCCAAATTGCAAAATACGCGTGTTTTTTCTGAAGATATATTTGTCCCTAAAAGGGTACAAACACATATGTTCAGCTTCACCAACAAAAACAGTGAGCTGGAAAGGTTCGGACCCGCAATTTAAGATGTTCCAGGCGTGGGTTATTTGCTAAAGTTGTTCCAGGAGTGGGTTATGTGCTAAAGTTGTGATCCTTGCAACCCAGAAAATTAATCTAGCAACAGCATTGGTTAGGGTGGTTATTTCAGCATTGTATGAGGGTTGGCACCCAGGAATTCATTTGGTACCAGAGGCGAACAAAATCACTCCTGGAAACCTTAGGCATCAGGAGGTTAGTGCCTGCAAGCTTTAGTCGTCTTAGATTGTAAATTCTATCCAGAAAGGTCAAGGTACCAGGATTTTCTATGTCAGAAAGGTCAGGACCCAAAAAATAACCCAGTTATTTTCCCATGGACAGGATTCTCCGGGGTGCACCAGATGGGGATCAAATATTTTACCACAAGGGCTACCACCTCGTTGGACATGCTGTTTGGTCGTTGGGCGATCCACTTCATTTCTAAGCAAAATGTCGGTAACACCGTTGCTTCGGGGGAGCTTAACATAATTTTCCCTAACAAAATCGTCATTTTCAGACACATTCAAATCTCAATGAAGTGAAATTTACGCTCTTGTAATCTAACAAAACTATGGAAAATCACCGTTTTCAATTCATAATTCATCTACAAGTATGCCAGTTTGCTGCGATTTGTCCATAGCAAACTGCTTTACCAGGGGTAACTTTCAAATGTCCCAAACGAAGGTGGAATTTGGGACTTGCATATACCTCGACGCTTGGCAAGAAGCAGTCCTGAATGAAGAGCTGTGATATAAATGTTAGAGGGAAAGATAGTCATGCAGGTTCAAGATGGATCAAATATTTTAATGTTTTTTTTACACATCTCGACTCAAATTCATGGTTTGAACACTTTTCAACATATCGTCAAATAATGTCAAATCAAATATTCACAATGATACCCTTGTTGACATTATGGGTTTCGTGGTTTCAAGAGTTATCTTTGATCTGCCGAGGAACGATTACGCAGACTTGGTGCCCTCCAAGGACTCGGGGTGGCGTTCTTCGTTTCGATGCGCGACCGTGGTATTCATAGAGACATCAGCAGGCTGAAGATGTGCATCATCATGAATCATCATGTGTAAATCAAAATAAACCGATTACATCTTTACAACATATATATATATATGTGTGTGTAATCCATACATAATATACATACATCCATACCACCATACACCCATACGACCGTACATCCATGCATGAATCCATGTATACACCCATGCATACATCCATGCATACATCCATGCATACATGCATACTTACATACCTACATACCATCATACCTACATACCTACATACCTAATATACCTACAAACCGACATACCTAATTACATACCTACATATCTACATATCTACGTATCTATGTGCCTACGTATATACGTACATACATACATACATACGTACATACATACAGACAAACAAACGGACATACACACAAACAAACATGCATACATACAGACATGCAGACACACAGACGCACATTATACAGACATATTATATACACATATAGACATACGCACGCGTATACATCTGTACAAATACTGTCCATCGACACATATAGATCTACACATACACATGCACATACATATACCCATACAGATACATATACAGATACACATACAGACACACACACACACGCATTCACACACACACACACCATACACACACCATACACACACATATGCACATACATATACGCACATGCATGCATGCACGCACAACAAATTTGTATAGACATGCATTTAGTCCCAAAAACCGTGAAAAAATGACAGCCGAAACTGAAAACGTTGCGCTGCAGGAACTCTGGCGACTCCATGCGGGCAGCCAAAAGTTGCTCTTCGCGCCAGAGTTGCAAGATGTCCTGGGAGAGAAGGCGTGGAGCGATTGGTGAATCATCGCTTTCCCGTTGAACTGCCTGGAGAGAACAAAGAGTTGAACAGTTGCAATTATAACTGTTTGCAACCCTGTGCAAACAGGGCACATCGCCATGTTTGGTTGGTAGGTTATTTTCCCATTACTGCATCATGGTTTCATTTTTTTTGGTGTTCCGTCCATGCAGAACGATCCCAGAACCAGTTGGATGATCTAAGTAGGGCACAGGTATCGGTTAAGGTTGATGACCGAATGGCTATCGGAGACCATGGCATGCAATATACGACACAATATGCATGTGGCCCTAGTTGGATGTGAATCCCAGTTATCACCATTTTTAATGGGTAAATAAACTATTTCCATGGCCATTTTCAATAGCTATGTTAGGTAGTCCGTGGTCAATAAGCGCCTGCCAGGATCACCAGTGCCGCGTGCAGCTTGGCGGCCAGCTCTATGTTTTTCCGGGTTTCCAAGTGGAAAGGATGACCTTTTGGTAAACATACAAAAAACTATGGAAAAATCACCCTTTTTAACAGGTCAATCAACTACAACTGGCCATTTTCCATAGCTACGTGAGTTTAACAGATGGTAATCCAAAGTTGATGCATCATTCAAAAATCATTTGGACCTGGAGGCAGATAGAATTGAAACAAATGATAAATGAATATAAATGAGATAACGGTGTTTGGGCCTGTGTTTTTGTCCGAAACACCTGCATTTGCGCAGTTCGTTCATGTTCAGTCTGTAACTACACATTAAACAAAAATACATATAATATATATATATATATACACGTGCGTAATATATATATATATATTATAGTCATGAATATAGTGTTCAGTTGAATATGTTGAACTGGCTGGCCGGCAGCCCAAGTCTGTCAGGCTTTTTAGAAGGAACCATAGGAACCTGCTCTCGCTGAGGTACTATGATGCGTCGCTTGGTCAAAGGAACGTGTGCAAGATGGGTGAAGGTGTTAGATTTTCAGGGTGCTGAATATTAAATAGTTGTTGCATGCTTTTCACAGTGCTTGGATGATATGAGGGTCATGTAGACGAGTGGATGAATGAATAATAGTTTTTGATGACCTACACTCATTATATGTTATTGTTTGACATCGGGGTTACCGCCGGGGTTGTGATATTTGTCAGATCTGGGAACCACAGATTCCCCAGTCAGTGTTTGGTAGTGCTGTAATTTCAACCCATGTTTGGGGTTCCAAATGTGGTTCAAGTCGACCCTCATGTTGGTTATACAACTGTTTGGTCAATCTAGGGTTTTTTTGGGGGGCATCGGTCGGTATTTTTTGGGCTTATTGGATGTTGACCCATACCCCACCCCAACATGATCATGGATGTGATGTGTCGAAAATGATGACCCCTAAAATTGCAGTGAAATCGCAATGACCTCTTTGTTTTCAAGCACCAAAGAGGTCAGTGTCTGCGGTATCCCAACATCCACAGCTTCATTGTGTTTGTTTTTTTTCCAGCAAAATAGCCATTTGGAGGGCATACCCCGTTTTCAGACCCACAAATCATATTGTCGAGTAGGTTCCACTATATCATGTAACCGCAGGACAGCCCTATACCCATTATATCCCCATGAACCCCAATGTCGGTTGGTTAAACCATTTCCCCAATTAAAACCCCGAAAAATGATGTTGTTTGGAAGGGACTACCCATTATATCCCCGCAATTACTATACCTTTGAAGAGATATGTGCTGCATACCCAGCAAATATCCCGAATACTTTACTATCCATGTAATGTCTCAAACCTCGAGTTTCGTTCGTTTAAACCTCCATTTTCATCCATGGTTAATGGTTGGTTAAACCTCCATGTTTGGTCAGTGAAAACTGCTTGGTCATTGCACCCAGATTTTCAGCGAGGCTCAAGTCCTGGCAGGTTGCTGCGGATCGTTTGGCAGAGGCGGTGGCCAACATGAAGGGAACTTTCTGAAGGTACAATCAGGTACAATGTGAATAGCGAATAGGAACATGGATCAGTTAATAACCACCTAGAGTTGATAATGAAAAATGAATACCTATAACATCAACCATTAATGAACACAATTAAACGCGTATCATCTCAATAGTTAAGAATATCACCTTTAGTTAGACCTGGCTGGGCTGAACATGACGAAAACAACGTGACGTGGATTCAACAAACCAACGTGCGGATTTAGGACCTACCCTTTGGTAATTTACCATGGCTCTGGAAGCCATGGCAAATTGAATTTGATAATTTACCTCCCTCAAAAATTGTGACTTTCCAGTTGGAAGCCTGCTAAAGCGGCTAAATCCATCCATCCAAATCCCAGTTTCCCTGGTTTTAAACCCCCGCTCACCATTAAACCCCCATTTCTTGATGTTTCACCAGCGGATCCCTTGGAGGTCGGCGGCATGCCACGCTGCTTCGACATGCCCACGGCGGCATCGCAGCTGCGAAGCTTTGCGGAAGAACAGGACGGGTGCGCTCCGTGCCATGGGCCCAGGAGTTCACACCATGCGACCTTGATGAAACGCGTCGTAACACTTGGCAAAGTGGAAAAAAATCGGAAAAATCACCATTTTTGGAAGAAATGATCTAGGCATGTGCCATTTTCCATAGCAAAGTGTTAGTTTAATATAGTTTCATGGAGGGTAAAGCCATTTGAAAAACAATCAGCAATGGTTGGTGATAACTGGGTGCCTCTGGTGATGCTGTAGGGGTCCTGTTGCATCCCATTGGGAACAATTTGGGACCCAATAAACCCAAATTCCGGATGGCTTATTATTGGGTTTTCCACATTAATGAGTAGATATAACAATGATACCTTAGTGACATCTGTAGTGATATCATGTGATATCCAATAATAGTTTTATAGCATGCTAATAACGTAGATATAACAATAATAGCAGAAATGGGAATTCAATCATCGGATGTTTATGGCTCTTTAGCGCGGTCAGGACAGCATGGCTTTCGTGCGGAAACCCGAAGGCTACGGCAACAGCATCCGAGAAAGCCCTGTGTGGAAGAGCCCATGGAAAATCACAAGGTTGCCATAAAGCATCCCCCTAATCACCATGTTTATAGGTGGTATAAGAAGATGGTATAAGCCTTTCCCAAATGGGTGGTTTATGGCATTGTTTAGTTTTACCCAGAAGGCACTCAGAGTTGATATCGGACGTGTGTGCTCAGGCTTTTGGGTCCCAATTCATCATCATTTACCCTGGAACCATGGAGTAAACTAACATATAGATGTGGAAAATCCAACAGTTGTAGAATTGTGTTCCCAGGGTTTCCCCATGGGATTCCCCATGGGTTTCCCCATGGGTTTCCTCATGGGTTTCCCCATGGGTTTCCCCATGGGTTTCCCCATGGGTTTCATGGGTTTTGCACATGTTTTTGTATGTTTACCCTTGGGTACCATATATATTCAAATATGTTTGATGTGATTTCTAGGCCTCTGCCCTCTGGGAGGCGCCTGGGGCGGCCGTGGCATTGAAATTCGCTTCGGCATTGAGCATCTCATTCCATCGGCCGAGAGCGAAGTGACTCGCCACGGGGTTCTTGGGGCTTCCAAAACGGGGCACGAGGCATGGACTTCTCAGCCAACAAGGGGAGATGCCTTGGATGGCTGAGATTGTCATCTATCCCAAAATCATTCGAACAGTGAAAGCTTCAGCTCTTGATTCATGAATTTGCTAACTTGTGTTTTTCCGTTTCTATTTAAATCAGATCTCCTACTTAGTTGACGTGTGAGTTGAGTTTTTGTCTTTACTATACATTTCTATTTAGATCAGAACTATGTTGAGATGTTGCTTCCAAATGTCGCAACATATCAGTCCGAGGCCTCGGCTGGCTGCGACTTTCAAATCCTGCAGGACGCGGATCAGACATCCATGACATCCGTTCATGTTAGCCGAAAATCATGGGAAAATGGTGGTGAAACATCAAAACAAATATAATATGTTTTTTTTAAAGGGGTAGACAATGTGGGAAATTGGGATTTAGCCTCGGGCGATCTCTCGCTTGTAAAACTCCGAACTCCTGAATGCGCACCCTTGACTCCAAAATGTGTTCGCATGTAACTCTTTTTTCTTAAGCTCCAGACACTCATTGGTCATGTTGGAATGAGAAGACCATTTGGAAATCAGCGGCATTTGGCAAGTCTGGCAATTCTAAGACCATGATGTTCTAGAGTGCGAGAAAGCTCATTGACATGTTTGATGAAGAACTGAAGGCCAAAGTCACTGGAATGTGTGAGGTGTGGCTTTGATGTTGATACAGTCCGTGTGCAAGAGCTAAAGAACGTTGTCACACCCCACCCCGCCCAGCCCAGAGCCAGTGGAGATGATCTGATAGCGTGGCATCATGCTGGTGTGCAAGTGCAAGAGAAGATGTCATAGCGTAGCACAAAGAACGTTATCACACCCACCCTGCAACACGTGATGTGAGCAAACGGTCTGAGCTACAAGTGAGCACTTTTCCGAGCCGCAAGTGAGACCTTTGCCCTTTAGCCTCTGGTGTTTTCACTGGCTGCCCACTGGAAAGTCATCATGTTCAAGAACGGTAAATCATCATGTTTATCATCTGAAAATCATGCGTTCATGTCTATGTTAAACAGCGAGAGTTGTCAAAGAACCAGAGGGTAGTAGAGCAATAATAAGCCCATCATTTGGGGTTGTTTTTATTAACCATCCGTTTATAATACATTTATGTACATGGTTTGCTGACCTCGACCCCCCATTCGCGCACACTATTGTTGTCCCAAGCCGGGCCCTACGTGAGCCGAGCCTTTACCGTATGCCCCACAAGCCCAGAGTTCACCCTCTCCAGCGAACACTTCCGCGTTCTCCTGCGGCGCCGTGTGCGCCTTCCCCTCCCCTTGACAGACGCGCATTGCCGGTGTGGGGGCCCCCTGGATGAGTTTGGTGACCACCGCAGTGCATGCCCCACCGCTGGCTTCCTGTGCGCCCGCGCCCTGCCCCTTGAATGCGCCGTCGCCCGCATTTGCCGAGAAGCCGGAGGCAGAGTGCACACCAACATCCCCCTCAACCAGATGAACCTTCCCCACCCCCCGCAAGACTCTCGGGCGATCGAGGTCTTGGTGAACGGCTTGCCCCTGCGGCATGGAGCCCAGGTGGCGGCGGACGCCACCCTGGTGAGCCCCGTTGGACACGACGGCATGCCCCACCGGCGGGCCGACACCCATCCCCGCGCCGCCGTCCAAGAAGCGGCGCGACGCAAGCGCACCCAGACTTACCCGGAATTCCACAATTCCCCGAGGTTTGGCCTTGAAATCGGCGGCCGGTGGTCCATTGAGGCGGTCACCTTGATCCGCCAGCTGGCCCTCGCCAAGACCCGAAGCACCCCCCGCTGGGCTCGCCAGCAGGCAGCTCGAGCTGGGCCAGCCTTGGGGCCGTCGCGGCGCCGCAGCCTCCTGGAGCTACCCCTCCACGGACAGGATGCGATGGACTACCCCCCCCTTCCCTCCCCACCCTTCTTGCTGACGCGCGCTGGGACGACCCCCCTGTCCCCAGCCGGCTGCCACCTTAACCCATGAACACTGACGCGCAGCAAAAAGGAGTGTGGGGGAAAAAAAAAATACACATGTTTTCGATAGCACATCAGCACATACTGTATTGTCGTGTTTTCCTGCACATAATGTATTGTCGTGTTTTCCTGGTTAGATTAGATGATGCGATTCATGTTGCTACAATCTCATTTTAATTAGTGGATCACTCCCTCTCCTAAAAAATTGCAGGTTCGTTACTTTAATGCAATGCATTGCAATGCATGTTTTTTTTCCCATTATGTCCCCCAAGAAAGGTTTTCTTCCAATTTGTTAAATCCTGGAAGATCAGTTGGCTTCATGTTTTTCATAGTTTAGATCCCGCAAGAGAAGCTGATTTCATTGATATGTTTAAATCGTATTCATTAACAGTTAACGTAACTAAACCATATCATCATATCCCACAAGAAAATGGGTGTCACTGCCATACAAATCCATGTGTCCACACTTGTCAGTTAAATCCAGACATGAATCCTCTATAGGTTATTTTATACATTAATCAACATTAATTATATAGCAACCACCCAAAAAATGGATACTCTTAAAATACCATTGAAATAATGATACAATATGATACATATCACTTTTGTGCGTCCTTTTGAGGTTACAGGTTAACTATATTTTTGAAATATTATCACCTAAATCTGGAAAGTAACCTGACAAGTCGTTCGTAGATTACATTATATACTTAATTCCCTTGGTCACTTTATTGGCTGACACTTGCTGAACATACTACTGTAGTTTATTAATGTTTATCATTGGTCACATTCCATTAATGTTCCACAGTTGGCAGTTGCCCATAACCACCCATAATTATCAAACATTATCAATTATTGTTCACTCAAATCCGGAAGATAATTTGCCATAATATGATTTGCCATCATATGTTGGTCCACAAGCTTTCATGAATAGATTGTACCATTGTTCCATGGTTCCAAGTTCCGTTCGTATAAAATCCATAGTAACCCCAAAACGATGGAACACAACAAAATCACACCTTTTAGCAGTGATACATATCACTTGAATCTGCACCTGTTTGAGGATTACTCAAAGTTCTTAGATATTATCTCTTGAATCTGGAAGTTCATCCAAAATGTTTCCATAGATAAATATACAGATTAAACTGATTAAACTGCATTAGTTAACTTCAATGGTCACATGTCTTCAATGTTCCACAGTTGACAATTGCCCAAACTTGCCCATAACTATCATATCAAATGTATTCAAGTATTGCCAATTATTGTTCATGTAAATCCGGAAGTTTAAGATCTTCCACAGGCCCTGCTGTATGGCAGCAATAATATCAACCCACATTGGTTAATGAAACACATATCCCAAATCTGCAAGTGAATCCAACATATCTTCGCAGATTAATTTACAGATTTATCCACATTAGTCAATTCCATTGGTCACTAAAGGATTGATAAGCAATGAATGAACATATTAATTACATTGGTCAGATTCCTTAATGTCCTCCCACTTATGTAGATTAATTGTTCACAAACATTACTGTTCACAACTTATCACTTAGTTGACCACAAAGTATTAGTTAATTCCATAGGTTCATTCCATGAATGGACAGCATCCAGGGGACAAAACATAATATTATACAATATTAATCAATTTTCATCCATATGTGGGTTTCCAAAAGTGGGGGTGTCCCCAAATGGATTGTTTATAATGGAAAGCCGTATTAAAATAGATGATTTAGGGGTACCCCCTATGACTTAGGAAACCCCCATATTCTCCCATTTTATGAACAAGTTCTGGTCGCCAGGATGCTCAGTGCCTGGGTTTGGGCGAAGCGCCGCCTGCAGCTTCGGCCACGGAAGAGGCGTGTCGTCCCTGGGCGATTTCTCGGGACGTCGGGGAGGTCTGGGGGACCCAATCCCGAAGGAAATGATTTTTTTTTGATGGAAATCATTAGGATGGGAAAATTGTTGGATGTTTGAGCATCCATTATAAATGATGTTTTTTTGGTTTGTGGGATTTTTGTGGAAGAATATGCTTATGGACAATCAATGGGCTATTCATGGTTGATCCCGATCTGAACAGGGATGTAATTTTGAGATGTCCGCCGCATATAATGCCAGTGGGATCGTGAATGGTGATGTAATGTGGGGGCCCTATCTCTTCAATGATCCTAGCCACGTTTGTCTTAAGAGCCAAGTGATATACCATTCAGTTCATGCTGGACATGAAGGCCAACTGTCAGGTAATTGGCCCTGAAGTGCATTCTATCTACCCTCCCCCACATCACACACACACATATATATATATATATAATTGTATATATACTTCAGGAGGAACAAAGTTAATGCTTCTTGAAAGCTTGACAAAGCATCCATCTCGGCCAACCGCGGATCACATTTCCAAGTCCATTTCGCGTGGCAGGTGTGGGACGGTCAATTATCACCCGCTTTTAAATCTATAAGATTAAAAGCTTTTGGAGGGTGGAAATTCGACCGGGGTACGACAAAGCTCCATGCTAGGATTCTAAGGGGAAAGGGTGTGCAGAAGAAGAAACCAAACATGTTCTCGGTCGGAAGCTCTATTTATTGTCGCTGTGGCGACACTGGACGGCAGCTGACTAAAAAGGATGTGGTGCTATCACATGAGCCGTGCCTGGGGCGTAATTCTAACAAAACAAGTCACTAACAAACGTCACACTGGCCGAATATGAAGCCCGACCAACTGCAACCTAAAGGAATTATTCTCAGTACAAAAGGAACTTTGCACGGAGAACAGTTCTTGAAGGGCTACATTTTTTTCATACTCGGACAGTGTGATTCTCCTGGCCACATGCAATAGCTTTAATCAAGATCGAAAATATGCAAATTTTCTGTTCTGGCCACAGAGTTTCTGCTCGGTGCAGGAATCCTGGGGCCAATGCAAGAATCTTAGGGCAATGCAAGAATCCTAGGGGCGGGTGAAGAATCCTCCCGGATTTCTATAAATCCTGCATCAAGACCCCGGATTCTTCTGTTTTGAGGGTCTTGGTAAATATATATATATATATGCATATATATATATACACACATATATACATATATATATATATATTTACACACATATATATATATATATATATGCATTTATATTAATATATTAATATATTAATATATATATATATACATATGTATATATTATATATGTGTGTATATATGTGTATGTGTATACATATATATATATTTATATTTATATACATAATGTATATATATATATACATATGTGTATATATTTTTGATATTTGCACACATATATATATATATATATACGCCGAATACATATCTTTCCATCTATATATATATAGATCGATAGATGTTTGTTTATAGGTGGATTTAATTTGCAAACCAGCCGCTGATGTAGGGTTGGATGATTTTGTCATGCCGAGGAGAGACATGTTGCAACATGGGCCTGGCATGCGAAGCTTGGAATTGGCGCCGGGCGGAAGGATGCTGGGTCCCTGGGCGTGAGGCCTTGGCGAGTGGCGAGTTTGGGGATGACAAGTTCTGGAAACCAAAATGGGAAGATGTCACCAACCAAAAGGGTAGTTTAACCAACCAAAATGTGGATTTATCATCATTTATCCAACGAAAACGGTAGTTTAACTTACCAGAATGGGGATTGAACCGCCAAAATATGAGTATTTCTGGTTGGTTTACATCGCTGATAGGGATAGTATGAACCAAACAAACAAAAATGATGGGCACTACTGAAAGGCTGAGGCAGATTTGGTCTGAAGGCAATGGAGAGAGAGAGAGAGAGACCGTGAGGGAAATCTACCAGATTGGATTGTTTTTTTTTGGGAAGGTGCGCCGCGCCAGCCAATGATATTGCCAAAGATGTGTTGTTTTGTCTTAGGGGTTGTGCTATCAAATTGCTGTTGTGGTTGAATGTTGCAGGTCACCTGTAGTTGCGGACGGCTGGATAGGTCATGGGTTTTCAAGGAAGATAATTTTATTGGCATCACATATCAATTTTATGATATTCGATTCATGTTTTAATGTGCGGTTTTTCGGGGTCCATCCCAGTTGATAAGTGCATAGTAACACTCTCAAACACGTTCAATCCAAAACATCAAATTGGTTCCTCTATACCCAAGTCAGATCCCTTTTTATAGCCCAGTTTTATAGATTGCCTACAAGCCAGTTTGATCCCTTACAACCCAGCTGCATCACTTATAACCATTATCTCATTCAGTTGCTCCTGATAAATCACAAGTAATTAGGAACCAATGAATGGTTGGTTGCTAATTACCAATTACTATTCTTCTGGCTTACAATAATTCACTAACCTGAAAATAGTTGTTGTTGGTGGGTGATTTGGTGATGATTCCCTAATTCATTCACCATCATTCCAGTAATGAGGTCATCATGTTGTTCCCCCTCCCGAAGAACAAAACATCTGGGAATGGATTCTGAAAAACCAGGGTTCCCTGTTGATGTTCCCTGAAACAAATTTGTTGATCATTGCGACCATTGATTATACCACCATTACATATCATTTATACCACCATTTTTATGCCATTCACGGTAACCAGTGATTACACTATGATGCCGATTACATTTTGTTATATTTTCATTATACCACCATTTTTGTTGGTGAACTATCCATAAATATTCACTTTTTATATCTGTTCATGGTTGAATTAAATTACCATTCATCCACATTACTCACTTCCACAAGGTGGTGTTTCCAAGATAGCTAAGTTGGTTTATAACTAGGTTAACTATGTGTTTTTTGTGTGTGTGTTTTTGGCCAGATATAGCAAAAGTTAATGGATCTTATAAACCAACAAACACTGCAAGAGCGTCACCAATTGGCAGCTAGTAACCCCCCAAACAACAGCATCGAAAAGTAGTTCTCAGCATATTTCTAGTGAAAGAATATCATCGAACTCATCTAGCTTTTATCTTTTTTGGTTCCAGATGACTCACTTCCAGCTGTGTCGTTCTAAGGTCGGCTCCCCTCGCTACTGCACCGCTTCCAATCCCCTTTACTTGGGCGGCTGGCGTGGTGGCCGACGCCTGCCAACTGTGGCCTCCAGCACGGCGGCGCAGACTCTCGGCTGTCGCGGCTGTCGCGGTTGCGGGTTGGTGACGTGTAGCAGTATACTGTTTGGTGGTTTGGAACATTTTATATTTTTCCATATGTTGGGAACAATAATCCCATTTGACTTTCACATTTTTCAGAGGAGTAGGTATACCACCAACCAGTATACATATCCGTAACTATACTTGGGATGATTGGGATGACTGGGATGACTCATATGACTTGGGATGGATTAAACCTTAAAGGACCAATTATATAACGGTGGAATATAAATTTGCAAATAAGTTTTAATTAATGTATAGATATGACGAAATTTCGAAAAATGGATATCGATCATCCATTGCATTGTATATTTAATGGGAATGTGTATGCAGATATGGACATCTAATGAATGGATATGTCAAGAAGGGCACTTTTTCATTGATGGGTTGTGGGAAAGTTAATAGGCACATTTGATTTGTATGGATATGTTTGTATATTGATCATGGATTGGGTACTTAACCTCTCCGATATCCTCAAACGTGGCTATCTGGAAAATACCCGAACTAAGTGAAGGTTTGCAACTGGGAAAAACTCATCGAACTAGTTCGAAGCAAGGCATGTTTGATTTCCAGAGTGTATATTACAACGGTCATAAAGCAACACACACACATAATTATCATATGTATCCTCAAATGGGTAATGAACACAACCAAACCACACATGGACATATTCTGATTTCATGAATTGAGAGATCACTGAGATTCCATTCTGGCTATGAAATATGGAGATAGGGATTTAACCAGCCAAATGGTAATATGATGGATATTTTCTGATAGAATGGGATAGACCTTGGGGGTGGTGGATGTCAGGGTACATCCCCTGAATGTTTGGTAAGCCCAATTTACGTGGTGGGGTTGAAAACCGCAACAATTTGTGAATTTCAATGGGTAAACTAAACGAATACATGCGGGATTAACCAGCACATAAATGGACAATTCATTCAGATATTAGGAAACCCATGGAAATCCTACCATTTGTACATCACGTTCCGCACGAGAAACCATGGTGGGTATAAACGCAACATATTTTAAGATATTTTGAGTTTTTAGTAAGATTGATGATTTAGAGGTAGGCAGTTGCTCAATCAAAAATCCAGCGGGTTTTAAGTTTTAAAACACTTACTGATGCTTTCAAAATCTTTCAACATGATATACCATTTGTCTAAAACAAACATTGATCGTTTAAGTGTTATTTTATCTATAGTTTTTATAACATGACTTACTACATGTTCAAGGCCTTTATTGTCGTCAGTGAATGTTTTCGGATCCTGAACATCTTCATTTTGGCAGGGGCCCACGGGCACCCCATGTTCAAGCCAGACACTTGTGATGGTGAATAAACATTTAGCACCCGGAGAACCCCAAATATTTTTAGATCTTAGTCATAATAATGTTGGTTTTGAGATACCCGATTTGATTATCCAAGTCTTCGGCTTATGTTTGAAGGATGACAAGTCGGTGGTGTGATTATCCCGCTTGGGCCAGCCATGTCGAGACATGTGCTGAGGAGAGCGGTTGTACAACAGTACATTGTGGACCCCGTTCTGTACCAGCTGCTTGGGTGGACTCTGATGGATATGTTTGTCAGTTATCGCTCAGCGCATGTTGGATCAAATGGACAACCATCGCAGTATGCTGATGCCTCTACAATATCCTCTACATACCTCTATCATAGGTAAACTGATGAACAATGTCACAAAACATACAGAAACCATCAGAAACTACATTGACCCTGGGGTGATGAAAGCATCGAAGGTTGGAGGGCGTCTCACCAGCCATCACCGTGAAGACTGACATTCGAATCTATGGCACGGTGGTGTCCATGGATCCTTTCAGACCCTCGGTGCCGTGAGCGAAATCGCCTCTGTTGGTGCAAATAACTCCAAGAAGTGTTGGGTTTAGATGTTTATGGTAGATAATGGTAGATATATCGAAGAAATATGAAGAAATTGATTGATTGATGAGGGCATTAACCAACATAGACCAACAAGACGATGTGCTTACTTATCCTAGTTCATCCTACTCTACATTTATTTCGAAGAGGTCAGCGCGTCAGGCTGCACCCCACCCCGGCTCCAGCCTGACAGCTTGTGGCGCCTGAGGATTCTATATCAGTGAGTACGGTGCCTTGAATCCATTGAAGGGAGAGCAGGTATTTCCCACCATTCCATTTTACCACTCGCAAAGTAGGATGTATATATATATATATACATATAATTATACATTTATATAATATACATGTTCGTGCAACTGGGGATGGGTCAACTGGTTTATCTTTAGTATCAAATATTAACATCTTTCAACCATCTAGCTTCGGGGGTAGCCAATTTTGACCCATTTGAAACGCCAGACCCACTGGAGATCATCCAACAAACTGTGTCGGTTAATTGCTGTGTGAGTTGATAGGAGCAACATGTAGCATCGGGTTTAATCAATCAGTTTGTGGGCATTGCCCACTTCAAGACATGATTTAGGATTCATGAATACGCATAATGAGGTTTATAAGTTATACACACACACATATATATATATATATAATTCATACATATATATATATATTTATACTATATGAACATGTGTGTGGTCCTTTCTGGTCGCTGTGTAGGTATGAAGAATGTACCCCCAGACCCCCAGCGTTGAGGCTATTTCCGCTCGGGTTTCCTTGAAAAGAACTACTCGGCCCAGTGCGACGAGGATTTCAAGGAGAGTTCTATCGAAAAAAATGATGACAAAGACAAAGGTGATCCTGCCAGCAATAGAATATGATGCTCATATGATGTTCATATGATGTTCATTCATTTTCCACCTTATCTCGTTATAGCATGTTATAGCCCTGGTTTTGAGCATGTACTTTCTCAGTTTCAATTAGTTTCCATCCACTTTGGGGACGGCTCAAGTGGCAATCCCTTCCCGTTTGCGCTCTCGCCACAACATTCTGAATATGCAGTTTGTTTGTATAACATATATATATACTGGTTACGTACACACAGATATAGATATATACATATACATTATGTGTATGTATGTAAATTATTTTTTCCACCTACATGCACTTGTGTATGTATATGCGAAACATGGATAGAGAATAAATCTAGTAACAGTTGGTGCCAAAGTCCGAGCTGATTCGCCACATTCAGGAGCCCTTGATGCACGTGACCCATCACATCCCAAAGATCGAGGCGTTTGAGCTGTCAGGGCTTCCAGCCTCTGAGGGCCCCTATGAATGTTTATGTATAGCGATATAATGTGTATGTCAGTCTATGTACTGTGATGAGATATATATAAATATATATATATACAGATAGATAGAAAGATAGATAGATAGATACATAGATAGATAGATAGATAGATATATGCATGCATATATATATGATATTTATATATATGCATATATTTTGTATGTCATTGGATTCATTGAATTCGTTTACCACAATAAAATGCAATATATCTCTTTTCCATTCTAAGTTTGATGCCCAACGTGAAGAATACCCCAGCATTCCATACAGGGCATATTAAGAAACGTCCCCGGGTAAAGTTCAGCTCCTGATGAGCTAGCAACCAGGTCCCGGTGTAAATTGTAGATATCTCCCATACGGAAACCAGATCTGCTCTGACAAGCCATGGGATTTCCTCTGTTGACATCCATGTATAATATGTTATAATCATTTACCTTCCGTTGATGTAACAATAGCAAGTACGAAAAAAATCATTTTCCATGTCCTTGGCAAAGTATTAAGTTACCAGAACGTTGTTCCCATGGATTTTCGGGGCAATTTGATCCACCCCGGGATCCTTTGGCCGCCAGGGTGGGACCTATCAATGTCCAACGGCTCCCAGCTGGAATCATCCGGAGGGTGCTGAGCACGATGCCGGCTCGGGAGGTGCGAACATGGGGACCGGTTTTGATGGACTCACACCAATCAAGAGATCAACATATGGAGGTTTTAAAGACAGTGATTCGGGGCCAACCTGGGATAGATCATACATACATACATACATACATACATATATATATATATATTACCAGTAGTACTGCGCAAGGCGGTGGTGGAAGTTTCAAAGATAGGACGCTATAGGGGAGGTGGGTTGCTGTGATGCATGGATGGCAGAGCGAATCCACTGATGGACCGAAAGGTGGTTGGAGTTGTGTTTCTTGGAGTGGTTACAATGGTTGCAGTGGTCACCTCACTCACAACTGCTGGATGTAGTGTGGTGCAGTGCAGCTGTAGTTGTAGTTGTAGTGGAGTTGTAGTTATAGTGTAGTCTAGTGTAGTTGCAGTTGTAGTTGTGACGGCCTCGTACCAATACGTTTTGTGTTTTTTCTACTCCATCTGTCTAAAGTGCTGCGCCTGCCACGCAAAAGTGATGCCAGGTCACACGAAGTCCTGCACCTGTCACGCAAAAACATCTTAGCAAACCTGAAGATTTGATGCTCCAAAATGCAACCCTTCTAAGGAAATCGTCGCCCTGACCTCCTAACATCTCTGATGAACATGACTCTTGTACTGCGCTTGCCACGCGAAATGCATTTTTCCAGATCCTCTTCAAATGCCCCACGCCTGCCATTGTTTTTGGAACTGCTACAAAACCCTCACATTTTGCTCACCTTTGGCAAGGTGCACAATCCCTTGCGCTTGCCACGCAAAACCACATCTGTACCTTCAAAAGTGGTCCGAGCATGTGGTGCTTTTAACGTTTTGACTTGGAAATGTGCTTCGCGCCACAACGGCGTGCACTTTTTGCTCATCTCAAGTTCCAAAAGTGCTCCGCACCTGGTGTGCTTTGTAGATTTTGACTTGGAAACGTGCTTGGCGCCACAGCGGCGTGCACTTTTTCGGCATCTCAACTTCCAAAAGTGGTCCGAGCATGGTGTGTTTTGTACATTTTGACTTGGAAATGTGCTTCGCGCCACAACGGCGTACACTATTTCGACATCTCAACTTCCAAAAGTGATCCGATCCTGGTGTGTTTTATTCATTTTGACTTGGAAATGTGCTTCGTGCCACAACGGGGTGCACTTTTTTGACAGCTCATCTGGCCAAATGGCTCCGCACCCGCCTTCTTTTCGACCTTCCGGAGCCACAAATCACCAGAAAAACACAGGAAATCGAGACCTTTCTTCCTTTTTGCGCACCTGCATCTTCTTTCTTCTGACTCTTTCTTCTGACTCTTTCTCTTCTCTTTCTCTTCTCTGATCTTCTCTCTTCTTCTCTTCTCTTCTCGTCTCGTCTCGTCTCTTCTCTTCTCTTCTCTTCTCTTCTCTTCTCTGACCTTCTCTTCTCTGACTCTTCCCACCTCTGCTTTTCCATCTGACTCTTCCCACCTCTGCTTTTCCATCTGTCCATATTGTCGGAAGTTTAACTTCTAAACTTCCTTCGGTTAGAATATAATAGAATATAAATACATTATGTTATTTTGTGTATGATTATATTATAATATATTATATTCTATAGTGACTTTAAGTTGTTGCTTTAAAGCATTCCATGGCCCCGCGCAGGATTTCATTGGGGGTTACATCCAAAGTCAGAGACCCATGGCCCATGGTTTTGAAATGTTTTGAATGGCATGGAAGAGCGAAGCTGCTAAGAAACGGGGATGGGCGATTCCGACAAGTTGGTGCCCAGTGATGTTGGTTTATAACCGCCCTTGAGTATGGCATATCAGAGACGTATCTACCATATCTACATAACACCATGCACCCAGCACTCGTTGGAGATATTGAAGCGCCAACTTGGCTAACAGACTGGGGCACGAATTTATAGGGCCGGTTCTACGAAGCCTGAGCTATGAACCAGGCTCGTTGCACAAGTGGTTTCGCATCGCCGAGAAGCAAAATGGTTTAGACCCCAAGGCGCGCCGGGTGGAGATGACTCTACCAAGTAAATAGCGAATCATATGAATAATGGATAATGGATACTTGTTATTAAATGTCACCAACCATTATTCAACATTCACCATTCTTATCCACTAAGCGCGATATTACTGTAATCATCATTGATCATTTATAATCTATAACACTATAGTTCAGGGGAACCCAAATCTTCAGGTCTGCAGCTTTGTACCAAAAAAAAATGTAATGCGTGCATCGTTTGTGCTGCTGGGGTTTCAGAGTCTCGGAACATCCCCAGGTGGTTTGGAAGAACGTGAAGTTGGCCCTGGCGGTTTTTCTGTTCTTGGGCTGCAACCCTGACACCTTGTGATTTTTTTTGGCGCACTCCCTTGGCAGAACATAACAGCAATGTTGATTTCTGCTGGCTACACTGGTGTGCCTTCCGTGAAAAGAAAGCAACAGGCATGATTTCTTGGGTTGGGCAGACTCTGTTGAAGTTTAGTGAGACATGACATCTGGATACTTGCAGTCCTGGCATGATTCCTGCACTTTGTAAGTGACTAGTACTGTAATTGCATTTGAATGGCACAAAATATGTTACTTGCACCAGGTCGAGTGAGATGCCACAAGGTGGGCTCGCAGTTATGTCTGTTGATTTCGAACTACCATTCACATCCATTAACTATGGATATATCTACCTTAAGCCCAACAGTTATTGCATTAAATACCATTGAGTATGGATATAGCTACCATGAATTGTATTTTGCTATGTGTTTATCTATATATTCTATATGTCATAAACCCAACAGTTATCGGAATTATTTGCACCAACTTAGAAAACAGACCGGGACAATATGGGGCACCACCCATCCCAGATTTTGCGCCCGAACTCTGAGGCTAAGCGCGAGGGGAAAGCTGGACTGTGCCTCCAACGTGGGGAGACACTGATTGTGTTTGCTTTCACTGGACCCATGGAACTGGGAAAATCTTTTTTTTTTTAAACACCTACTTAGAGGAATAGAACCTAAAGGTTTAAGTTTAAATATGTTTAAATCCGTAGGTTTGGGGTTGGACATGGACCCAGTTCAGGGTTCGGTGCGGTGGTTGTTGGAACATTGTAGAAACCTCAAGCAATCACAGCGTAGTCTTGGCAAATTTGATGCAAAGTAAAGAGGGCAGGGCCTAAGATATCTAGATCATCATTGGTAAATATACCTAAAAATATACCCAATGATGTCCCATGGTATCCCAGTTTAAGAGGTTAAATCCCCATCCATCGTTTGTTTTCACGCTACTGTTGTTTTCGGGGTCACCGCCTGGAGGCGGGCATGAGTTTTTTCATCAAACTGCTGCGTGCCTTCATTGCCAGCATTTGACATGTTGCGGATATTGACATGTTGTAACTGTTTGCATGTACGTTGCAGATGTTCTCGCATGTTCGGGGTTGGGGGATGGGGGGGTGTAATAACGTTCCTGACGACTTTAAGACGGTTGCACATAAGGGTCAGATTTTCGTACCTTGCAACAGGTGGGGTAGTAATAATAGTAATAATTGCATGCTGTTCATTTTGTTTATAGATGTTGAGCCGTGAATGCTAAGATAAGAATGCATGTAACACAAGCATAACTCACTATAGGCTATAAACTACAATAGATTATGATAATTCCTGATTCAATCTCCAAAACCACAATGATCAAAAACGCCCGCCTGCCTCAAGGCGGTGGTCCCTTGTTTTCCTTTGCATTCTTTGTTCCCAAAACCTCACAGATATGTCAAAGCCTGGGGCGGGACATTTATTCATGGTGCATTCTGGCAAATTGAAGTCAACATGTTTTCCCTTCTAAGAATGTTTTTCCCTGATGAAGAACATTTAACAACCACGATATGTTGACATTTTCAGATGCCTTTGTTCTTGTCATATGAATCAAAACTGTTTTTCCTCCAATAATTATTGGCGACCTATTAGCTTCAAACGGGTTCTCCGTTCTGGGTATAAGTGCGATTTTGCATGAAAGACAATGCAGGTGGTTCTTATTCCGTTGGAACTGTATATACCCGGTATGCAAATCCATGACCAGGGCTCTGTACCTATGGATATTATTATTATTATTATTATCATTATTATTATATATATATGTACACATGCCCAGGTAAAAAGCACCATCAATCCCAAGATCAATCCCCATGAATCCATGCCCATCATATCCCATAACAACTATGGATTAAATCCCCCAAGAACATATCCCAATCATGATTAATCCCATAATATATGAACGATTCATCCCTATTGTTGCTTTGAATCCCTCCATATAACTTGAACCCAAGGCTGTGCCACACGCTTGTGGTTCTTTGGGTTTCCATTTCTTCGCGGACCTAGTGGTGGACAGCAAGGGACGTGTCGCATGGCTTCATAAACTGGCGGATGAACTCGTGACATGGACATGGGAATCTACATCTATACACATATTATATATATATATGTATACAATATGTTATATATATATATTTCGTATATGTGTTTCTTGCTAATATTCACTATCTAACTATATAGTTAGGTATATGGTACATAAATATTTACAGACATGTAAATCGACATGCTCACATGGACATGCGGCAAAGGGTTCACATATCAGATCAAATATGGCAATGGAAAACCACCAGTTTTGATTGGCAAGTCAACTAGAAATGCGTCAAAAGAGAGGAGAGCCTCCATAATTCCATAATCACATTAACCTCCGGTAAACTAACATAACCATGGAAAACCACCATTTTTTATGGGTAAATCAGTAAATCCACTATAAATGGCCATTTTCAATAGCTATGTTAGTTTACCAGAGGGTAGCTTACCAGACGGGGTGAACAACAAGGTGCCAATTGTGGAAAACCTCCTGTTATCTACTGTTCAGGTTGCTGGATTGTCAAAATTCCTTGCTACCTATTGGTGGATGTTCCCATTTTTGTTTGGTGATATCCGCCAGATTCATCAAATGAAAAAAAACAAAAATGTAAAAGAACCATCAGATAAATTCTGGGTCAGCCTCAAAATCCAATTCTCGTTGCTAACAAGTCTCGCACCCTCGATCAAGTCTACCCTGGTTTGCTGAATGTCCTCTCCACCCCAAATGGCCCAAATATGTATGTTGACAAGATCACCCTAAGATTACCATTTCAATAGGAATGCTGATGATGAACCATGATGAACCATCGAACTTAGGATAGCAACCCCCAAAAAGATGCCGAAGGTACCTTAGACACCTGGAAATGATGGAGGAAACACCACCAAAATTGACCTCCTGGAAAAGCACATTCCATTTTTTGCAGCTTACCATAGTTACATCCCACGCATAAACAATCCCCATGATATTCCTATAGAATAATAATATCCTTTTCTTTTTGGTCATATTCCCTGCAATTCCCCAATCATATCCAAGTTCCATCCCATTAAACAAAAAAATGTCGCCGCAAGTTCCAGACATTGCTGAAAGCCCCATGGGATGGGCTGGTGAACTTCCCATGGGTGACTTCACTCCATGTTTCAACGGTGAAATCCCTGGTGAGTTCGCCATGGCATGCCATGGCGAGGCGTGGCTGATGGAGATCCATCCCACTTTGGCCATCAAATCCCCCGGCCTCGGAGATCCGGAAGCTGGCTGGGTGCCCTCCAAGTTTTGCCACGGAGTTGGGCAGTTCACCGGTGTTTTTTTTTCGGAAAGGAATGGGAAAGTTATTTTTTGGGATGATTGGGGAGTTTGGGCCTGGAACGCCCTGGAATTTGGGATTTGGCGTGATTTTCTTTAGAAATGAAGCTTTGTCTGAAAAACTGGTGGGATTTGGTGATTTTGGCAAGCAAAACAGGGAGGGAGTTGACCAGCAACTGTTGATCATGTCAAATCAACAGCAATAAGGGCGTAAATCATGAGATAGATGAACATGATCGGCCACCTGGCTGCCAAAGCCAGCTTCACTATCCCACACTATCCTTGTTTGAATTCAAGCAACAGAGGGATTATCATCATCCAGGAACGATCCTGAAGTGTGGTCTAGTGGAGTTATACTACCCTTGACAATCAATTATGGATAATTGATATTTTATTTGACTACCCTTGTGATATATGGGGTTTATACTGCCCTTGATATTACCCACAACATCCCATAATTATATAATGGCTATGTAACTTGAGATCTCAGCGATTGTCACCATGCATTATCTTTTGGCAATTTGGCATAGCCACGGAAAATGGCTTGAATGAAATGGTGATGGTCCATAGTTATGCTTGCTGGAAAATCCATCATTTGGTTCGATGATTTTCCCAGCTATAAACCTCCATATACTTCGGGGATTTTCAAACGCCATGTTTGATTACAGAAGGTTATACATAATATATATATATATATTCGAATTATCTTCTCAATTACCTGTAGAATCACCATAAAATCCATTGAAACCACCAAACAATCAATGAAATCCCATCTAAAATCCATGACATCCCTCCAAAATCCCTATAAAATCCTTATAATATCGGTATAATTCTTCCAAAAATCCAAAAACTACTTCTGGAAATCCTGCCTGGTGCAGGTGGAGGTTCTCACACGTTCGACACGCCAGGGTACCGTGGGAGACTTGCCGAGGAGCGAGCTCGGAAGTTGGTTAGGCTTGGTTGAAAAATGCCAGGGAAATACCACAAATATCCTTAGTACTCTAGTAAACTAACCGTACCAAACGCCAAGGACATTGAGTTTTTTCCCCTTCTCGTCTAGACATGATCTACAAATGAGGAATTTCCAGATCTTTTTGTGGGGTAGTTTCATCGGGAATACCACCCAAAAAATTGAATTTCTTGACATATTTAGATGCCCTTTGGCAATATGGTAATCAAATACTCGTATGTCTTGCTGGTAAATCCACCATTGCGATTCATGTCGCATTTAAATGCCCAAAAAAGGGGATCAACATTTGAGGCCCAGGGGACCGCAGAGTTTTGTCACTGTTTACTATTAAATAAACATCCAATTTTGGGTATACCTAATTTTGACTCATATTCCTGCATGAAATGCACATGTACAATCATTTTCCCAGCTAACAATCCTTGATTTCTGGGAGGTAGTGAAAATATGTGAAAATGGTAACCAGACAAAACCATACAAATCCATAATGATCTTGGATGGCTTTGATTCTCATGGGAATACAGGCTTGAAGAATAAAATCCGTGTGGTTTTCTTGAATGTAGTGACCAAGTGCGATTTTCCTGTAATTTAACAGGAATCATCCTGAGAGGATGCTCAACTGGGTGATCTCTTAGTCACCTTGGTTTCCGACTCAAATCCATGGGAATTTGAGGACCCTAAAATGGTACTGTACGATACCAGTAGTACCGCACAAGGCGGTGGCGGAAGTTTCAGAAATAGGAAACCTACAGGAGAGGTTGGTTGTTGTGAATCACGGACGGCAGAGCGAATTCACTGATGGACCGAAAGGTGGTTGGAGTTGTGTTTGTTGGAGTGGTTGCAATGGTTGCAGTGGTCACCTCACCACAACTGTTGGATGTAGTAAGGTGTAGTGCAGTTGTAGTTGTAGTTGTAGTGTAGTGGAGTTGTAGTTGTAGTGTAGCGTAGTGTAGTGGAGTTGTAGTTGTAAGTTGTAGTTGTAATGTAGTGTAATTAGCGTAGTGTAGTTGCAGTTGTAGTTGTGATGTGGTGTAATTATATTGTGTAGTGTATTGTAGTGTATTGTAGTGTTGTGTACTGTAGCGCGGTATAGTGTAGTGTAGTCTAGTGTATTGTAATGTAAAGTAGTGTAGTTGTAGTTTTAGTGTAGTGTAGTGTAGTGCAACGTAGTGGTAGTTGTCATTGCAGTTGCAGTTGCAGTTGCAGCTGTAGTGTAATGTAATGTAGTTAGTGTAGTGTAGCGTTATGTAATGTAGTGTAGTTGTATTTGTAGCTGTAGCCTACTGCAGTTTAATTAGTGTAGTGTAATGTAGTGTAGCTGTAATTGTAGTTGTAGCTGTGGTGGTGGTGGTAGTAGTAGTAGTAGTTGTTGTTGTTGTTGTTGCTGCTGCTGCTGTAGTTGTAGTGTAATGTAGTGCAGTGTAGTGTAATTAGATGTAATTAGCGTAGTGTAGTGTAATTAGTGTTGTGCAATGTACCGTGGTATATTTGTTTTTGTAGTTGTAGTACTAGTTGTAGTTGTCTATCTATCTATCTATCTATCCATCCAGCCATCCACCCATCCATCCATCTATCTATCTATCTAATCTATCTAATCTATCTATCTATCTATCTATCTATCTATCTATCTATCTATCTATCTATCTGTGTATTTGTCTATTTGTCTGTCTGTCTATTAATCTATTCATCTATCTATCGATTGATCGATCGCTCTATCGATCTATCGATCTATCGATCACTCGATCCATCGATCCATCTATCTATCTATCGATCTAACTATCTATCTATCTATCTGTCTGTCTGCCTATCTGCCTATCTATCTTTCTATCTACCTATCTATCTATCTATCGATCGATCTATCTATCTATGTATCTATCTGTTCTATCTATCTGTTCTATCTACCTGTTCTATCTACCTGTTCTATCTATCTATCTATCTATCTATCTATCTATCTATCTATCTATCTATCTATCTAATCTATCTATCTATCTATCTATCTATCTATCTAATCTATCTAATCTATCTAATCTATCTAATCTATCTAATCTATCTAATCGATCTAATCGATCTAATCGATCTAATCGATCTAATCTATCTAATCTATCTAATCTATCTAATCTATCTAATCTATCTATCTATCTATCTATCTAATCTATCTATCTATCTAATCTATCTAATCTATCTAATCTATCTAATCTATCTAATCTATCTAATCTATCTATCTATCTAGTCTATCTAATCTATCTAATCTATCTAATCTATCTAATCTATCTAATCTATCTAATCTATCTAATCTATCTAATCTAATCTATCTAATCTATCTAATCTATCTAATCTAACTAATCTATCTAATCTATCTAATCTATCTAATCTATCTAAAATCGATCTAATCGATCTAATCTATCTAATCTATCTAATCTATCTAATCTATCCAGTCTATCTAGTCTATCTAATCGATCGAATCTATCTAATCGATCTAATCGATCTAATCTATCTAATCTATCTAATCTATCTAATCTATCCAGTCTATCTAGTCTATCTATCTCGAATCGATCTCGATCTATCGATCTATCTAATCGATCTCGATCTATCGATCTAATCGATCTATCGATCTAATTATCTAATCTATCTAATCTATCTCATCTATCTAATCTATCTATCTATCTAATCTCTAAGCTATCTAAGCTATCTAAGCTATCTAATCTATCTAATCTATCTAATCTATCTAATCTATCTAATCTATCTAATCTATCTAATCTATCTAATCTATCTAATCTATCTAATCTATCTGTAATCTATCTAATCTATCTAATCTATCTAATCTATCTAATCTATCTAATCTTCTATCTAATCTATCTAATCTATCTAATCTATCTAATCTATCTAATCTATCTAATCTATCTAATCTATCTAATCTATCTAATCTATCTAATCTATCTAATCTATCTAATCTATCTAATCTATCTAATCTATCTAATCTATCTAATCTATCTAATCTATCTATCTATCTAATCTATCTAATCTATCTAATCTATCTAATCTATCTAATCTATCTAATCTATCTAATCTATCTAATCTATCTAATCTATCTATCTAATCTATCTAATCTATCTATCTAATCTATCTAATCTATCTAATCTATCTAATCTATCTAATCTATCTAATCTATCTAATCTATCTAATCTATCTAATCTATCTAATCTATCTAATCTATCTAATCTATCTAATCTATCTATCTATCTATCTATCTAATCTATCTAATCTATCTAATCTATCTAATCTATCTAATCTATCGAATCTATATAATCTATCTAATCTATCTAATCTATCTAATCTATCTAATCTATCTAATCTATCTAATCTATCTAATCTATCTAATCTATCTAATCTATCTAATCTATCTAATCTATCTATCTATCTGTCTGTCTGTCTGTCTATCTGTTTGTCTATCTGTCTGTCTATCTGCAAGCTTGAAAACGAAGCTGTTTTGCAAGACGTCCTCAATTTTTGACTTTGACAACATCCAAAACGAAGCAATTCTGCGAGACGTCCTCAATTTTTGAACTTGACAACATCCAAAACGAAGCAATTCTGCGAGACGTCCTCAATTTTCGAACTTGACAACATCAAAAACGAAGCAATTCTGCGAGACGTCCTCAATTTTCGGAGTTGACAACATCAAAAATGAAACAAGTCTGCGAGACGCTTCAAAAATGGAAAGTTGAGTGCAGAGCTGACGGCCTCGTATACCATCTATCATCATCTATCTATCTATCTGTCTATCTATCAATCTATCTATCTGTCTATCTGTCTATCTGTCTATCTGTCTGTCTGTCTATCTGCAAGCTTGAAAACGAAGCTGTGTTGCGAGACTTCCTCAATTTTTTGACTTTGACAACATCCAAAACGAAGCAATTCTGCGAGACGTCCTCAATTTTTGAACTTGACAACATCCAAAACGAAGCAATTCTGCGAGACATCTTCAATTTTTGAACTTGACAACATCAAAAACGAAGCAATTCTGCGAGACTTCCTTCAAAAATGGAAAGTTGAGTGCAGAGCTGACGGCCTCGTACCAATGCGTTTTGCGATGTTTCCACTCCACCTGTCTAAAGTACCGCGCCTGCCACGAA